ACAAAGTAGAACAATCGCTGTTGACATTCCTTCCAGATTAGCTTTCAAACGCACATACACACACCGAGAATAAAAATGATTATGTGTAAGAAAAATAGATCTTCTCTTTCTCTCTTTCTCGTTTGTTCTCTTGCGCAATGGTACCAGCAAGAGAAAAAAGTCCCTCTATGTCTTTCTCCCATTGACCAGAGAGAGAGAGAGAGAGAGAGAGAAGAACGGCGCCAACGAAAGTACGTCTCTCCTTGAAAGCAGTTACTCAAAATCATGTATAAACCCACTCGATCTATGCTCATTAATACCTCCTTAATAGATTTTCATGTGAAAATAATCGTTTGTTCTTGCTTGATAGCATCAATATGTATTTCTTTTATCGAATCAAATAGTAAGAACAACAACAACAACAACAAACAAACAAACAGAAGAAGAAGAGGGAGGAAAAGAAGAAAAACTGAGTAGAGATTTAAAGAATATGTGTATTGTTTATAAAACACAAATACGGTTTCGAGAAGGGAACAGCACAGAAAAGTTCAAAGAAATTATCTTTTGTTTTTCAGAAAGCATTTCATCAAGTTTATACATTTCTAACGAAGATGCGAAATGTTCTTCTGTGCACTATGTTTGTCTTTTCTTGATTATATGATAATAGTAGCAACTGAACAGAAAATATTTTCAAAATGCAGGATTATTTTTTTGTTTTTGAAGGTGGAGATTTTGAACGGGACTTTGTTTGTGAACGACTCTTCTTTCTGCGAACTGGACTATCTGATCCAGAACGTGAACGACTATGTGAACGACGACGCCCGTGTGACGATCGGCTACTTTCCGAGCGACTACGGCTTCTAAAAATGAACATTCATTTGCATGAGTCAATCCTTCCAAACCAGTTTCTTACCTATCACGACGTTTGGATGAATAACCATTACCGGTCCGTCTCGTACTTCGACTTCGGCTTCGTGAGCTTGATCTAAAAGAAGAAAATATAATTGAAGATCAGCACAAATAAATCGAATTTTTCATCGGCTCAATACTAATGGCGAACTTCTCTTGTGAGGACAATAGCTCCAATGTATTCTATTTGCACCTTTTCATCGCATACACACCTTTGAAATTGATATAGTTTGCATGAAAGAAATCGAACGAATAAATCGAGAGTTTTTGTTTGAATTCGATTGTTTCGAATGGAGAATATCGGATATTCATTCTGACTCCCAATCCAAAGAAGATTTCCATCGATAGATATGTATCGATACCATTCTTTTTCGATCTAGTCATATGTGAATCGCTCGCGCTCGGTTTAATCTCTGTTCATCAATGAACTAAAAACAGATAGACGGTTTTGTATGTGTATTACGTCTGGTCGTTTGGGAAAACAATATCTAAGTCCACCGGGGAGTTCAAGACAAACACTCGGCGTACATACCTCATACGACGCTGACGTCTTAATCGAATTTCACAATCGTATGCATAATGACCACGATCTAGAAGAAAAGCTGATCATCACAAACGAGGTAGCGACGGAAACTGACCTCCACATTCATAGCAAACATCATGTGGACTATAAGGCTTCTTTGATCGTGGTGATCGACTTCCTGAACGACGTCGACGACTATCACCGCCGCCACGATTTGATCGGCCACGACCGTGAGAAAATTCTACACGTACACGTGATCCACACAGCATTCTAAATGAAAAAGAAATGATCGATTTGCAGAATAATCGCATCGTTTAATGTTACTTACTTTCCATCGAGAGCTTTGACAGCATCAGCTGCGTCACGCTGATCTTCAAAGTCAATAAAACCTAGAAGAAACCGACTTTTCTTTGTAAGAAATTCTCATTGGAATCATTTACCATAACCCCATGGACTTCGTGAAAGCCTACGCAAACAAACAGTAGAATTAATCAAAAGGAATACCAAAATCTGACTTACCAAACACTACGTAATTTACCGTAATGACCAAAAGCTTTCTCCACTTCTTCTTTAGTTGCATCACGGGATAAATCTCCCAGAAATACCTAAATAATATAGGAAACGATCACTATTAAAATTATTCAAGGTCTGTCTATTATTACTGTAATCGGTTCGTCTTGTCCTCGTGACATCGTTTGTGCTGCAATAGAAATTTCTATCTAAAATTATTTGTTAAAAGAGATTTCATCGAACAAAACGCTTTCGAATTGGCTCTGCATATACAATACGCATGGCTTCAAAAGAAAAAATCATTACAACACCAACAAGAAATGTTACACAAAGGAATGTTAAGATCAAAATGCGAGCGAGAGATTCATAACGATATGGAGTATCACTGCCAGATTTTGTTGAGCTACCAGTATCACGTGGTAGCAATGTTAAAACAAGCGTTACGATGATTGCGATCACTAATGCAGCTAGACCAACGAATCTGACAGGCGATTGAACGAATGTCAATAATGTTAATAACACAAAGGTAATAACCCAGATAACGATTAAAATAATGACACCTGCTCCTAATTCAGCCATGTTCAAAGTTCTCCTTTCCAGATAGATAAACGGATAAGCATAAATAAGCGTTGGTCTTTGTGTATGTAATTTTCTATTGATCCACCATTGTTATGATGACCTCCATTTTGTAACTAAGGGTCAAACAATGATTGGATTCGTTTATTCTTTTATTGAATATTTCTACGTATGAATAAGAGTATCGGGTTAAAACGAGTGTTTTAGAAATGTACCAATATAGTTGCTAGGACGAACAATGGAAAAGTGATTTGTGTGTGCGACATCTATCGGATACAACAGAAAGTTTGTTATGTTCACAATCAAGAGAGTATAGGCCAAGATGAAGCGTTACCAAATGGATTCCTTTTCTTTTTAAACTACATTCGTCATCACTTATGTAAAGATGACATTATACATTCAGATAATCCGTTGCAAAAAAAGAATTGTAAATATGGCACAATGAGTGTATGAATCAAATATTAACAAATCTCCGACATGTACATTTTTAACTGTGATGCATACTGTGTATATGCAAATCATCATCCTGTAGAGTCGACAATACGACACAGATGAGAATATATATAGGATATTTTCTACAACAGACGCTCAGGCCTCTAGACAATTTCGAGTCGCACTCAAAGCTACTTTTATGAAATACAAAGAACTCGGCCGTCTTCGGTGCTTTTGCGCTACTTTTGTCTCTTGAAAATTCTTTCTCATTAACTAGATCGGGTTGGTACACGTTGTTCTGTTGTTTATTCATGAAGCTTATTTGATATATTTTATTAAACATAAATAAATGTGTTGAAATGTCACAAAAACTCTTGAGAATATAAATATTGTATTCTCAATGCTGTTTCATGCGACCGTCAGTAGACTAAACACTTTTTTCTAGAGTTCAAGGAAATATCATCTAAGAGAAAAATTAGTACCTTTCGGCTTTCATTCTTTATGTGAATAGAACATTCGATGATGTTCTTGTTGGTGTTGCTTCCTTCTCGATGAATTGAAATCTTTTTGATAGGAAATGAACATCCATTTGTGTCGCTTGTTTTGAAAATGTTTTAGTTTGTTGCTACTCGGAGAAACGCATGGAGGATTCCATTTATGGTCGAATCAATTTCCTTGCATAATGATAGATCGAGATAGTGAACGGAAATAGACTTTTTAATACGAGAAATAGATTGTAATGATACTTATTGATCATAAATGGAAGCATCGCAGCGAAAATGGTATGCTATAACCTCGTTATTATTATTCTCTACAGGACTAGTACGACCGTAGTCTTGATTATCCATCTCTGACGACAGTTGTCAGTATGAATCAGTCCCAGATTGTTGAAATTGAATTGAATCTAATGAATTTCAAACACAGACGATTTCGTCATGACCGATGAGTCCTCCGTATGTTCTGAGTTTTTTCTCTTCTCGGCAGGGGAAGGAGAAATAAGTGTGAGAAGATGACAAGCGACTTAACTGGTCTATTGGTTGATCGTCTTATCCAAAGCATTGGTTTTCTTATATAAAGAAATCAAACTCTGTGGAAAAGAAACATTTTTTTTCCTTCATATTTATCTTTTTAATATATAAAACTTCTCTTACAATGTTGTTGACTTCCGCTGTCGAGACTTGCTATGAAAAACATTCGACTCTCATTAAATATAATAACTAGAATCAGAACGGTTTTTTCTCTCTCTCTTTCTACCACTGAGTAGGAGGAAAGAGTAACTGATGATTTGATCACCGAACTTTAACGATGTTGTCTTAAATCTCCTTCGAATGTCATTTATTATTTTGCTGTTCTTTTCGCTGAACGAACGAAACCTTTTAGAGGAGAAGTCTTAATAGTAGTTCTAGGAGACAGCTCCGCGAAAACGTGTCATTAGCCTGTAGAATATGGGTATTGTGACTCGATCAAGCTTATATTTCCTTGTTCAGACAGTGATAAACATAGATGTAAGTCGAAGAAAAGAAAAAAAGCACTTCTTGTGTCATGATTGTTGAATAAAAGATGAGAGTAATAGAAAAAATTCAGCATCATTGACGCCGATAGGTGCAGTCTTCTCTTTTTTTTCCTCTCTCCCTCTCTTCTCACTCGCTCTCTTTCTCTCTATCTTGCGATTTTTTTTTGTATTTACAGCTGCAAATAAATATATGGGGGGGAGAGACAAGAGTCTCACTCGTATGAAGATAACTAGTTGAAAGAAAGGAAGACATCATAATTTATTTAACGAATTCTCTCAATCAACAATGATGACAAGTTCAACCTCAGCAGATTTTTTACTTCCTGAATCGGAATACTTACCACAATGGTTACTCATGCCGTATCTAATCATATCAATCATCGAAAGTCTTATCGGAACAATTGGAAATCTGTTTGTCATTGTGATTATATTATTTTTCACGAAATCGAATATTCCGCAAACGTCACATAATTGTTTTATTGTAAATTTAGCCTTAAGTGATTTCGTCTTATGTTTATTCACAATGCCTTTGAACACATATCGTAGTTTGAACATTTATATGACATTTCCTCGAGCATTTTGCAAACTAGCAGATAGTTTTCCCGCTATTAATATCTATGTTTCTTCATTAACGATCGTGACGATATCAATCTATCGATATCTCGTTGTTTGTTATCCATATAAGAAAATTATTGGCCCATGTTCGACGGTTATCATTATGATATCGATCTGGGTCTTAGCAATTGGGGCAGCTAGTCCGCTGTTTATTTATTCACGATCAATACCAGCTTACGATGATGATATTATCAATACAATGGTAGAACTTATGTGCACTCAACCATTAAATAGTTCTTGTGTAACAAAATATACGAAGATGTATCGCCGTTTACATATCTGCCATGAATCTTGGCCACAGCACGGCAATCTGCATGCTCTCTATACGATTTTCATGCTTTTTCTTCAATTTATCTTGCCGATTTTGATTATTTGTCTCACCTATTATCAAGTAATGCTGAAACTTAGAGAACGTAAGTTCCACGAATAGACGAGACTGGCTCAACTTCAGCCATTGAACAACAATCGTTTTTCTTTTTTGCCTAATAGAGGCTCACAGCGGGTCAGATCAGTCTGTCTGTCTACAATGGCGATCCAGGAAATCAAGCCTTTTTGATAAAATCTGTATAGGAATACAAAGCACTGCGAGTTTCATAAAAAGGATCAACGTTTAATCTATTAGTAGAAAGTATTCGACATTTCCCGACGTTACTTTCTGATTCTCAATCAGGATGTTTTTGAATCGAGAAAAGTTCGCAGACATATACTCTGTGATTGTCTTGACATTATATAATCAAAGATGTTTTGCAAGGTCTTTTTGGTCTGTAGGTTTTCGCTATCGGTTTTTAATGAAACGACATAATATTGGCTCTTTACAACATGAAGTTCGTCGGCAACGTCGGAATAATGTTCTTCTATTATTAATTGTCACTTTATATGCGATCAGTTGGTTGCCATTCAATATTTCATACATATTATTTACCTACGGCGAACGATATGAACTATCAGGTAAGATTTTCTATAGATTTAATAACAAATTTGATGAAGACATCATTATTCTTTTCAGATACAATTCAATCGACACGTGATCAATTATCCAAATACCTTCCATTACGTTTTCTCATCTGTATGATATCGGCGATTTCCAATCCATTTCTTTACAGTTACTTTAACGAAACATTCAAAGACGGTTTAAAACGCATCTTCTCTTTTTGTTATCCACCGTTAAATCAAGGTCTCATACGAAAATCAATCGATCAAACGGACTACTCGAGAACGAGAGAAACTTTCACCAATAGTATCAAATCCTCAAGTGTACTGAACCATGCAAACAACTATCCTATATCAGCGAAGTCGGCGTCGGTCGGCACACCTCTTTGTTCGTTGTCTGAGTCTGCTAATTTATAAAATTTGCATAGAACAATTGTTGAAATATAAAACTAAACCGAACATTTGTTATAAACTCTTTTCTTGTTTTTTACTTCTTTCAAGTCAATATGCACACTAATCGTAATTTGAATATTCACGATTGATTGCAAATAGAACAATGAGTTCCTGACTTTGAAGCACGATGAGATGGTACATACTTAGAATACATTCGTTATTATATAGGAAAGAATTAATTTTCTAGCTGAACACGTTATGCTAGAAGCACTCTCGAACAGGTATTAGATCTATTTTTATATATTTCTTAAATGACAAAAGATCATTAAAAAGCAAAACATCCTCTAATTATTGTAAACGAGAAAGTTGAATTTGATAGGAAAATGAACATTTTCTAGGCGATGCGTTTGGAGTGTTTTTTTTTTCTTTCTCTCGTTGTAGGTCAGACATTGTTTGAGCAATTTTCTCTGTTATTTGTTGAAATTGACTGAATGAAATTAAATATTGATCGTCGAATGGTAAACATCGCTGTAATTTACGTCAAATAACAAGATTTGTGCGTTAAATTGATCCGAGCAATTGGTTTCTAAGGAGCGCGTGTTTTGTAATTTTGAATTTGAAGGTCAAGGAAATATTTTCTAATCTTTATATAATCACGTTTCATAACGTGACATTTCCATCGACTAAATTAATATCCTTGAAAGAGATAAATGACGAAAGAGAACTGTTCTAGTTCCTCATTTTGCGAGAAGTTTTCTGCGGACAAATCATTCTCGAAGATACATAGTCGAGAAAACGTACAGCTGCACAGACAAGGCCGAAAGAAAAAATTGAATTCGAACAATACTATTTAAACATGGATCATAACAGACAGTCGCAAGTCTTCATGATAAGATTAATTTTTTTTTCCGTCCCTTTCGTACATAGTTAATGACGAGTTACGGATAAACTCTCGTCAATCGGTAACTTGTGGTTGGATTTTTGTTATTTCTCACTTGCAACAAGTAATGTTATTTTGCGCACATGTTTAGGAGTACTTAACAGATTCGATTTCAATTTCGACATAAGCAAATTATACACTTCGGAAGCAATTAAAGTTTTTTGTTTTGTTCGTCAAGAATGTTAACATAGCTTTACTTTGTTGTTTTTTTTTTCAAATGTCGACAAAACAGTCATGAGTTCTCAAAGGAAAAAAAACCAAGAGAAAAGAGACGACTACTTAGTATATATACATAGGTGTTGTTACATTGTAAAAGGAAAAGAGAGAAAAAGGAAAGAACAGCCTATTGGAACACGTCAGTTTATAACAAGATAGAAAAAAGAAAAGTTGAAAACATCACAACAACAACATTCATGTCAGAATTGAACATGGTAAGATGAAGAAGAAAGAGAACGTCATAAAAATGGGAAAAGCAAAAAGAAAATTCTCGTTCATCGACAGCACGTATTTGGTTAAAGAGAAGAAAAACCGCTCTAATCAATTGTAGCGTGACATGGCAAGGTAAAGAAAATGTGGAGCGGCTTAATACTATTCCAAAGTAAACCTTTTTTTTTATTGTGCTCAAACAAAGAACAGTAAGTTGATTTTTTATACATAGTAATAAACGTCTCTCTGCTTCTTTTCCTCATTAACTTCAATCAGTCTGTTCGAAGTCAATAGGAAAAGGCAACATTTTTTTTTACGTGTTGTTGGATCAAATTTCACTTTCCTTCAAAATCTTCCTAACGATCGACAGAGGAGAATTTTTGTCTTGATGCTGTTCAAATAACCGTTTGTATGCTCGAAGTTAGTTTATTTCGATTAGTTTTTCGTTTGCATATAAATCTGTGCAAGAATCAAACAAATTCCTTGAAGTCATAACTAGAGAACGAAAAAGACGACGGCGAAAAAAGAACGAAATTCAATCACTTCTAGATGTTATCATAACTAGTGACTCAAGTGAGAAGATAATTCTCCGAAACAACAAATATGCAACCATCATCATCATCAATCAAGCCACTCGATACAAGAGAAACGCTTGATTATGACAATTTAAACATCATCACACATCCACCGCCACCGCGCCGTCGACAAAGTGGTGTTTCATTAATTCCATTTCGACCGTATGTGAAATGTTTAACCAGTATTCGACAACCATTTTCGTATGCCAATGGCACGGACAAATGGACGGTTATGGGAGGAGATGAAGTGTTTTTTACACAACCCAACGCGAGATGTATTGGTTCATTGCTTGGTGATTGTCATATATCGGACATAATTCGATGGGATATCGAAGGTGAATCAACTCGTTTACCGATGATGTGTAAATTATGGATGATTGGTAAATATAGAAAAGCGTGATTTCTTTGCTTAAAAAAGAACTAATCATTTGCGTGCTTGTATTTAGTCGACGGAGCCGTTGTAGAACGAGGAAAACCACATTTAGTTCAAGATGCTGCTATACAAGTGTGTCTGACAGGCCAGAATCTTCGTATGGTCCGTTCATTTCAACAGAAAAAGCATCAGGAACAATCTTTATCGACAACGACCATCGTCGATCGAAAGCGGCGTCATTCATGGCATGATCTGAATGAATATCACAGTGTACCTTACTATCAATATACACGCCCGGTGCGAGCAGAATTTCAAGAAGGTACTCAATGTGATCTCGATAATGAATATTTCATAGGTCAACAAGAAGTTCTCATCGATATGGAAGAACATGTTACGAAAGCAAATCAAATACAAAAATTTCGACGAGACAATGCGCGAGAAACAATACATTATTCATCAATCCCAGAAGAACATGCTCACATATCGATTACAACACAAACAGAGTAATGAATCCGATTGTTTTACTTCATTGAATTTTGTCAAGAAAGAGAAAAATTCTTTGCCGTTGTAGAACTCTGTTCGTAAATCAATCAACTGCCATCGATTATCAGTTCGTTCGCATGTACAATCTTAACTTAGAAACGAACGAAATTCTTCTTTCGTCCATTGTGAATCCATACCGGCGCGTTGTGCCATCGAAGGAATTCTCCGATGTTTTGACCTTTCATCGTCTCGGGAAAGAGTATAAACATCGACCGACATCCACCGGTGATGATTTTCCACATTGGTGGCTACGACTAACTACAGATCTGATCCTAGCTGACTTTATTACGAATCAAGGCGAGGAGAAGGAGAAATCTTTGCCACCTCCTTCTCCTCGACATGATCAGAGCATTCAGACCGATGTAGAAAAGTCTCGGCCATCATCGACAACAACTAGTAATCATTACGAATCGATTGATGAACTCGGGGATGAAAGTCATCGTCAGAGAGTACGGTCAATCGAAACGATCTCATATTTTGTTTACTGCCCGTTGTTTTCTAGATTGATTCTCGTTTAAGTGATTTAACTCACATCGAACATACTCCGGTGCGAAATTCTCGACACGTGAAGCAACATTCATCATCATCCAAACATTCCGAAGCCGATTACAATCTGTTCGTCTCATCGTTGAATCATCAACAACAATCTTCTACGCCAGACAACCAAAGCAATCGTACGGAACGACATTATTCATCCATGAATACAACGCCCATTCGAGAACGGCGCATGGAAAGCGAGTCAACAGTTGTATTGGGAAATCTACTTGAACGTTATGAAAAGACTCTGCGAGAACGTCAGCGTGCTTTTACGATCATCAACGATCAATTGTTAGATATTGATGATGTTCTCAATCATTATCGAAGTAAAGTACAAAATATAGAACAATCGAATGCGGTAAGTAATTTGTCTGTTTAGTTGTTCGAAAACGAAATAATGCGAGAAGAGAGAAAGACGAACAGAAGCACTTCACTTTCTCGACCTTGTCAGGGCTTTATACTTTAATTTATTTTTTTTTTCATACGAGAATCAATTTTTTTTCATCTTTTCACTGTCAACCAAACATACATTTTATTTCTAAACATATATTTGTGCAGACAATGGAACTCTACCGAGATATCTCCTTGCTCTCGGCTCGATCCAAAGACGATCGGTCAGTGTCATCGTTAACAAATGTGACGAGAGATAAATATCGAACGATGCCCGACATAACACCGGAAGAAATGTTACAAGGCTATGTTTCATCGCCTCGAAGACATTTGACGACTTCCGAACGTCAGCCTCGATTTGTCGCTCCACCACCCTCGGAAGTGATTCGACCTGATTACTGTACCTTATGTTTCGAAGATCATCATTCCAGTTCAGCATGGGTTAAATATAACGAAAGAAGAGTTGAACAACTACAACGACGAATTGATCTCATGCTGCAAATTGATGATAATGAAGAAGCTGACATGTTATTGACACGATCAGTCTATCCAACGACAATAGCAACAGTTTCGCAACGAATCGACGACATTCTTTTACGAAAACCACAATATCGTTCACCATTGCTCTTTCCTCCCGACCGCATCGGTAAGTTTACAATTCTGACATTCCTGAAAATCAGCACGAAATCTCAAGGTTTATATTTTGAAACTCGATACGAAGTTAAATATTTCTCTTCGTGTAATCTCATCGTTGTTCGATTATTTGCGAAACAAGAGTGAATCGTATGTTTTCGTTTTCATTTAGTATCACCTCGTCGATATCACTATCGATTACCTTATCGATCAAATCAATCCTTACCGGCTACACCTCACCAAACAAGTCGAACTGGAACACGTTCAACAACACCTATTTCCAAATCGGTTCGCATCTCCACTCGATCTGTTCCGACCACTCCTCGTGCACAGAAATTATCCACCTCAACATCGGCTTCCTCTACTTCTCGGCCTATCGTTTCCATTTTACGTCGTACAAGTGTTCCAACAACAAACGTAACCGAATCAACACACGTTTGGCGAAGTAAAGTCGATGGTAAACTACATACATTGAAACCATTCAGTATCCCGCGGTACTATCGCCTGTACAATGATGCTAGCTTTCGAGAAATGTACAACTTCTCTCGACTACTTGATCGATGTTTAGCTCCCGAGCGAACCAACGATTACTCGTCACTCTTGACAAGTTATTTGTTAGATCAACAACTACTTTCTCCCCTCACAAGTGCAGCATAAACACATTCTCTCTTCTTCGTGTTTGAATTTGAACTCATTTGATTATTTTTCTTTCTTTTCGAAATCGAGGAATATTTATATATATATCAATAAATGTTTAGGTAGAACTCGAGACTTAATCGAACCGATTGTGAAGAAGAAGAAAAAAAATTGCGCTGGTGTTGTTGTGTAAAATCGTTCTATTTTCTTTTCTATTTCAGACACAATGAAAACCAAACATTTCTTTTCGTCACTCGACAAATTGCGACGAACTTTGCCACTTAATTTGATAGTTTAATGTTTTAACAAATTTTCTATTTTCAACATTTCAACCATCGACTTGTTTTGCCAGTGCTGTTTATTCTTAGGAGAAGCCCTTCGGTCTTTCAATTAATAACCAGATTGTTTTTTCTTTCTCTCACATGATGACATGCGGTTTGAAATCCAATCGGCGAATTTGCCTATAACGAAATTACAGGCCAAACAAAAAGAAAACTCCACAATCTCATGAATAATTTCTAAAGTTTCCCTGTTTTGTTTTTCGAATAGGCGGAGTGTTGTCCTTGAAAACATTGAAATTTAATCAAGTGAACAAAGATATTGCATTTTCACACGTAATTAAACAGAAAAATGAGCTATTGAAATGCTTACAACATCGTTCTAGTTGCTCAAAACTGTTCGTTAGTCGTTAAAAGACTTTTATGTTGTAAGGTCGACTCTTTCACGTTTCATGGCTGTGCGCACTTGAACGACTTTATAATACTTCAACATATTTTCAAACCGAAAAATCTTCTGGCTTCTACTTGACTCAATTGTTGTGCGACTAAACAAGTCTAGGAATTGTACAGCAGATGTTATTCGAAATAGCTTGATTTATTCGTCAAGGATAGTAACAAATACAGAAATCAATCGAAAAATCTTCCGGATTCTTGAGACATGCGAAATCTGATCTTCTGTTCGACTTACATACTTCTTTCAGCAAGAAATGCAAATAGATCTTCTCTAACCAATCGATATAGCATGATGTTATACAAATATGATCCTTCGTTAAATTGGAAAATAATGCTTTAGTACTCAGATGTATTGTATTACTGATCGAGATTTCTTTTTTTTTTATTCTATGTTTGATTGTGTAGCGACAAGTCTACTCGTATTCTTTCGCCGAAATTGTCAAGAATAACAACAAAAGATGCTTTAGTAGACAAGTCACAACGGGATCGATCATCGGAGATCAGAATATCATATACGAATTAGATTCTCGGTACATCGGTTGCTATTGTCTTAGAAATGACCTGTGTCGACATCAATTCATTGAATTGATTGTTGTTTATGAGAAAAAAATGATCTATTTTGATAATAGATGCAGCTCGCTCACTCTCTCAACGTTTCTCAAGTTCATATTGACACAGATACTTTGTCTTAAAGTTATTCTCTAGCTATTGAATAAATTTGATTGACCACTTGTCACATCCATTTAGTATTTCAACAAGATTTCTCAACTTTTCAATGTTTTATGACACTTTCGTTTCTCCCCCCCTTTAGCATCAATAATTACCAATAACATCGCGCGGGTAAATTCAAAGAGCAAACGATCGCATAAGTACGCGCCTGAGAGAGAGAGAGAGGCAAAGAAAGGAGGAGCATGGATAGGAGGTCAATTAGAAAAGAATAACATTGACACATAGGAGGTCTTTCTGATTAGCCTTTTGATCATTGATTTCTTTTCGAGAACAGAAAGAAACAGGTGGTGTCAGTCGAACTGACTGTGCAGCAGGTGAAGAAGCGTGTCGTCTATCTATCGATATCTTCAATCTAATGGGCAATATGAGAGTCGATTAATCGAACATGCTGTGACACACACCGATCAAAGCGAAGAAGATCCTCCTCCTTTAAAAGCATCGTTAACTCAAATAAAGATAGACGAAACGACAACTGTGTTTTTCTTTTTCTCCACTTTTTTTCCTTTGTTTCGAATGCATCCAGAACAAGGCAGAGTCAATAATCGATACATTTTATTGACTTTGATTGTGTCATTTCAATTGGAGTCAACATTTTTCTTTCATGTCCAATTGACTAAATATGATACCTAATGACAAAAGAAGGAGAGAAAAGAAGAAGAAGAAAGCAGAGATGTTCAGTTATTGGTTAAAATTTCCCATTGGAATGTGTTGTACTGTTACAACATCGAACCTAATCGATTAGTGTTGTGAGTTCAATGACTCTTTCGTTGTTTCTCTTTTCTTTTCGTGTTATTTGATTTCTCTAAAGGCGTTATGAATTTGTAATTGACACTTTTGTGTCTATTCCCTTGATGAGAGAGTCGACTTAGGTATACGAAACTATGTTTGTGATCATAGAGATCAAACGACAAGCAATACATATTCTCAAGTGGTCTCTATCGCTTTTACTTAGCTTAAAATATAAATGACTTTTTGATGATCCACCTCTACTCCTTTGTCATCTATACACATGTAGAGAAACGATGACAAACTTTCTCCTTACCTTTACTTGCTGATTGTGTATTATATCCAACATGAGAATCAATCACTGTATCGTCATCATCGCGAATGAAAAGAATAGCAAATAAGACATATTCAAGGTGTACTAATCGAGACAATATAATATCCATCTATAACCCCGTCAAAAGAAATGAATGAATAAATACATTCAATGCACTCTTTTTTACATCATAGGAATGTTAATATTCATTTTAAAACGAAGATTTGTTTTATCGATATTTTATATATACAAAAGAAAATGAGAGAAACGAAAATCATACAAAGCAACAGCACACACACACGACAATTGAAAATTTTACAAAACAAGAGAAAAAATGAGCCTCGCCTTATGACTGTAGAGTTGTTTCTTTTTTGTTCAAAGTTTTCCTACTGATGTCGGTGAATAATACGACGAAAATATAGATGTTGGGTAAGAAGATTTAAACGACGATAACGATGTATGTGCTGTACAGAGATGTTCAAGTAGACTGAGATTGTTGGCAAACCGTTTTCCACAGAATCCATCGGGATTATTGGATTCCATCCAATTGCAAACGAATGCTGGCAGCTGTGGCGAAGGCTTCAATGGTGCTAAGATTGAATCCATGAAGTAAGGAGAGCGTTGAGACGAAGGAGAAAATGCCGAACTTGAGGAGTGTCCGAACGGCGGTGTTGGAAAGAATGGTGACGTTGTGAAAGTTTTACTTAAATGATGGAGAAGAAGTGAATCGAACATGAAAGGTGATGGAGGAAAATAGAATGATTGTGCATTTGTTGGCGGTAACAATGATGAAGTTGACGAAGATAAAGGTGGAGCTGAAGTTTGCGATGGAAGTGACGATTGCAAGGAGATTTTTTTCGCCGGAGGTGAAGGAGTCGATGGGGCGGTTCGTTTCAATGATTTTTTAACTTCAGGTGATGAATTTGATTTTCGTTGTTTTGAAGTGACTAACATCGTCGAAGACGATGATAATTCTTTTCCGATATTGTTACATGCTTGTGCCATTAACACTAAAGGATTTTCTTGTTTAGTCGGATATTGATCAATCTAAACAATCAAGATCGAATCTAAATTAATACTTTTAACTCGGATTTACTGTTGGATTAATATATTCGCCATAGAGTTGTTGTTGCTCTTGTTTCTTCATTGACATTGTCATTGAATCAAATGTGTAGATGTATAGGAGAATAAATGCAAATGATGAGTGATTGAAGGTGGAGAAGAATACATACACAGGCGCGCGTTCGATCGATCATAAATCACGATGTTTCTCTCTTTCTCTTTTTTCTCTCTCTCTCTATTACAGATGAAAGAGAAAGAGAAACCATTTATATAGTCATTGGTTGAAAGCGACAGACATCGATTCGTTTTTAGCCAATATCGATCGACGTGGTCGCTCTTTCTTTCTTTTTTCATTCTGCTCTTGTTATGATTGACAAGTGTCTGCTGATGGAATATTCTAGCGAGTCTTTTTTCCTTTTCTTATTCGTATGATCGATTGTTTTTACTTATCAATCGTTTCGTTTTGAACTTCTTCTACCAGTTGCGAAAAAGTTCGATCGTCTTGATCGATTGAGTTTATGTGGGCAGTCTCATCTGTCTTTTCGTGAACATATAATGATATCGTTTTCGCATCTCTTTCATCTTTCTTTATGAATCGTTGGACGAAACAAAAAAAAATCATAAATCTCGAATTAAGTGCCTTTCGTTGTCAGACATCGATCATTCTATGCATGTATACAAGAGAGTTCTCGCACTTGTTCTTACATGACATCAACATTGCCGACATGGATAAACTTCTCTGATACATTGACTATTAGAAGTCGGCATGTAAAGGAGAAAAAATACTTTGGGACGTGCGAGAAAGAACATAATTTGAACACATCAAAGAAATGAAGTTTGTGCTGTCCAAGATTAATGATACGCATAGAGAGTGTGTGTGAATTGACATAAATATATGCACGTAGGGAGTCGATCATATCGAAAGGAAAATACTTTTATCAGAAATAGCCCATAAAGATGAACAAAAACATATCAAACACAGTATGACACTAAGTGATACTAAACGGAATCATCAATGATAAAACATCAAAAGAAATATGAGTGTGATTTATTCTGTTTTCAGATCAATTAATTGCATCATATATCATGTGTATTCTCTGCGTTTTTTTCCATGTCACGTGATACACATTATAAGACAGATCTTTTAACAGAATAGAAATCAATGGATGAAGGTGAATAATAGCTTTGCAACCACTTTGTTTTGTTCCAATGCAAACATATGAATATTGGCTTTTAATGGTAACAGGCAGTGTGTACTAACGACATCTATTCGAATTTTTAAAAATACTATTTTTATTGAAAATTTCTTATTCTAGATGTTTGTTTTGTACATAAAAATGGAGAAGATTTCGTTTATAAAATATTTTTGGATTATTTCAATTGGTCTTCGTAAACAAACGAATGACATCTGCAATCTTTCTGACTCATTCAATTTCTTTCTTTGAATAGCACTTCTACTTCTTTCTGTCATCAATCTAGTCATAATCAATGTGTATAAATTCTTTAATGATTGATACCGATATAATCCAATGTCTCGTAGACGATTTACTCGATCGAATATGTTCACCCACCAGTTCACCTTTGCCGATCAGTTCTTCAGCTTATTATTCATCGAAATCACTTGAGAATAAATTTCAGCAATCAATTAATATTCTTAATAAGTCAATAAAACAATTGTTAACCTATGAATTGCACACTGTTGTCAACAATGGTCAACTAACAAGCGCGTCCAACATTCGTCATAGCCGGTATTACAATCCGGCTACTGCATTGAAACAAACCAATGATTTGAAGAAAAGATTGCATTGGATCGAACAAAGGCAAATGTTATTGAAACAATTGGATAGTAATCAAGAGAAAACAATTCCACAAACATAGTATGTCGAGATTATTCTGAAGTTTCAATTGTATTTTTCGTGCTTTTAGTTCGGATTTGAATGCATTAGAAAACATTTGGTTTAATCATCGTTTAAAGATTCTCGATAATTCATTGGAACTACTAACAAAGCAATCCGATGAAAAGAAATCTTTCAACGACGATGATACTGAGGAATCATCTTGTGCTCGTTGTAGAGTGTATCGAAGAAGAAAAGAAGAAGATAGTCAATTGTTGAAGAAATTAAAGCGTACTCAACGTATTCATATTGAACATAATTATTCAACTACCTACGTTCATTATTCATCCCCAGGTTTGTTGGTTTGTCTATCGGAAGTTCTGACAATCTACTTGGTTTTCTTCTTAGAATCGGATCTTATTTTATCACTGTCTAAAATAGCTGATCGCATCGGTCATAGTTCGAACTTGAATGTTTCAAATCACACAAAAAAACTTCCAACATCGACAATGAAGAAGAAGCAGCCACCCAAATTGCAATCGTCGATATCGCTCATTGTTACGGATTCCAACAAAGCTCAGAAAAGACCATCAGACGACTCTCGGAGTATATCGAACAGTAATTTCATCTCCGCTAATTATGATGTTACTAGCAAACGACAGAAACGGATCGGTGAGTACATGAAATTTACTTTTAAATTTCGCAAAGAAAAAGTCATTTCTACTAGCTTCTCCACAATCGACATTAACCGTGTCCTCAGCGAATACGTCTGGGCCGATTAGCAGTTCATCTCCTCATGAAATTCTTACACCCAGTTGGCGTGTATTGACAAATGTTGATTTGGAGAATTCAATTGATCAACAAGAAAATGAAGATATTTCTGATGAGAGTTATATTCGTCGTCATATTCGTTGTGAATTAGAACAAGAAACATGGATTACAAATCCGACAGCAACAAATAATCTTTCAATAACATCGACTCGAAAAAATTCTACACTTCAAACATCGTTGTCTGTACCGAATAGTTTAGCAACAACGAATTCAAAACAGTATCGTTTAACACCGAATGGAATTGCCTATACAGAAACATCGGATATCAAACAAAATCTTGTCTAAATCGGTTCATCAACAGACATTAAATTCTCTTCTCCTGTTCGTTCTTGTTCACATTCTTCTTCGACTTGTACTGCTTCCTTCTTTTTTCTGCGTGATTTTCTAACAATTGTTTGTTGTTGTTGTTGTTCATGTTCTTTTCTACTGGATTGTTCATCGAACATATAAGCTTGTGCTGTTGTATAATCAACAGGTTTATCTACTGGATAAGTTAATTTTATTCCGAGAATTTCTTCGATCATAAATGGCTTAAGCCAACAAACCAGTGGAGAATAACCGGGTTCATAACAACCTAATGGATGATAAAACAAATAACCATCTTCTGCTTCGATCAAATCTTGTTTCTCGTCGAGTCTCGTACGAGGTAGGATTTGAAAATGCGGTTGCAATCTGGAGTCATCATTTAATGATACTAACATAAAAAATCGACATTGACATTCGAATTGAGTAGAGTAATCCTGTCCGTTCCACATGATCAAATCCAAAATATGATAAGTCGATGAGCGTTTGTCATATATACAGTAGAGAATGGTTTGTTTGGGTAAATGTGTGTACATTGTCCACATAAGATTACCGAATTTTCCGTAGACAAGCGTTCGATTCGATTGAACAACAACGAGACATCGTTGGCCGCGTGGACATGGAATAGCAAACCAAGATGATATATCATCGGGAGCAGAAAATAACCATTCGGCTAGCATCATCTCGATTGGACAGAGTGGAGATATATTTTTGCGGTGATGACGGGGAGGCCAGTGAGGTTTATTATCTTCGACTGGTTCATCATCTTTAGTCATGAAACGTAATTGAGAGACGAGCTGCTCTCGTTTTTCTTTTTGCTTCGTTAAAACTTCATTTCGTCGTTCTTTTTGACTGGCGAGAGAAGATATAGAATTGGATTTGGCTTTGTACAGTGAAAGAGACGACAAGTTCAGTATGGATGTTAGAGCTTCAGCCATTGTGTAACAGAAGAATCTAAAAAGAATTCATTTCGATTTCGTCACTCATTTTTCTTCTATACACGTCATTCTTTTGCAATACTGAAGCAATTTGTTTGCCTCTACATTTTTTATCTGAGAGAAAGAAAAGAAAGAAAAAAGGTCAGACATACACACAAACACGCGCACACAATGTACAAAAGACAAAATACATGTAAAAAAAACCGTTTTTGGTAATAATATTAAGTTTGCTGTTGCTTTTCAACAAGACGTTTTAATTGACGATAATAATCATACAATGGCTTCATAATACGTTTTTGTTCACTTGTCGTTGGCTTGGAATATTTGTTTTCGAAACGTAATAATTCTTGCTGCATATCACATTTTTCATCGTAAACTTGCTTTGGCGTCATTTGAGAAAGATCATTTGGCCGACCATGTCGTACCCGATGCTTACTCATTCGTTCTTGAATATCACGCGCTTCGAATTCCAGTGGACTGATTTGTTGTTGAGGAGAATTCCAGATATCTGACGAGGGACTTGGCGCTGTTACAGGTCGTTTAGGGTTAAGAGAATGGACAGATGGAGAATGTTCATTTGATGATAAAGGTGTATTCGGAGTGTTCGATATAACAAGAGGCGTTTTGGTTGTTGTTGTTGTCGTCGTCGTCGTTGTCGTTGTACTTACGCCTGGTCGACGAGCGCTGTTCACTCGACGATCAGTTGTAGACGATGAAGATATCGACTAAAAGTGTATCAAAAACAAATTTTTATCGTGTTCTTCTCGTCTCGGTACTTTCAAATGAATCCTTCGATATGACAAAATGACAGGACACGACAAAGTACAATGAACGCATGTCTTTACCACAATAGGTTTGATCGAGGCGTGATCATTTACCGTAAAATTTTTCTCAATTTAGTTTTAATTGAATTCAAAACAACAAGGCACATATCAAAACTGATGTCTAATTAATGAGAAAAAAAAACCACGTCACTTTTTTTCTAAATATATTGTGACGAAGGTTTTTTTTTACATGAGATGTTTGCTTGTTTTTATCGATGATATAATCGAATGTCCTTGGTCATGCTTGGCAGCAATGACTCGCCTCTCTGATTAACCTCCGAAGCTGTCGAGTACAAAGGTTCCAAGAAAAGCAAAGACTATTGTGGAAGGGAAAGAGAATGAGACAAATCTTACATCTTTTGGACTGTAAACGGTTTTTTTGGTTTTGATTGTGATTCCAGGAGTATTCGTTGACATAATTGTCGAGACAGGCTGTTGTTCAAGTAATATATGTGAATTTAATGATGAAAGATCAAGGGGCGGAACATTATTCGTTCGAGAGTGATGGATGCTCGCTTGTTTGACAGACGAAGAAGATGTTGATGTTGTTGTTGTTGTATGGTGATGAGACTGTTTGGGCGTCGTGATCATCGATGTTCCTGATGGATTCGAATACGATGATAAAAGTGTGAAAGCTTTGGGAAATGATTTCGAAAAGCGTTGGTAATGATCCGCTGGTGTGATACCACGAAATAAAAAGCCATCAATTGCTAAATCGATGCAATCGCGTAGGAAATTGTTTGTCGAAATTGAACTCATCAATGATGAATTGCTCTCATTAATCATCGACATTGTTTTGTCTATGAAAAATATTAACTACGGGAGAATAATATTCGATGAACAGGAAGAGAAAACAACGGTTTGATCATTAGCAACCAATCCTGTTTGATATTAGAGGATGTCAAATGAAATTTCATTGGTTGCGAAGATTAATCAATCAGTGACGAGCAGTCAACCGTTGGAATAGCTTCTTTCAAACTAACTTCACTCTTTTTGTGTTATTTATTTTGAAAAATGGCAGCTTCAACAAACACAAATGTTATACTCGAACATCTAGAAGAAGGAAAGGTCTATGATTTAGAATTCGGTGATACATGGAATGCGACCAACGACGGACACCCATCCAAATACGCTTATCATACAGTAAAATGTAATTGCAACACGAAAGAACTATTGTGATATACTCAATGAAACTTTTTCCCGTCTAGATGACTTTAAACCAGCATCTGTAGTAAAATCTGAACAAGCCGAATTAACTGTTGGATCTACCGATGATGTGTCTATTACATTGCCTAACGTTGAAGTAAGACACTTCAAGTCGAAACTGTGAATCGATCGCGTTGCTCTCTTTGTAGGGTTCGTTAACTCAATCGACGAAATTTTCTGGTAGTACGAAATCTTACACACCGAAAGAATGTGTCATGATCATCGATCCACGTACCGGAAAAATTGTTCTCGAACGTTTATCAGCGAATGTTCGAGTGAAAAATGTTCGGTAAAGACTTAATTCTCATTCCATGCAGTTCATAAACTTGCTGTTTAGAATGGAAAATCGTCCTGCCAATCCAGCGATCAAAGCATCTATTCCACGTTCAAGTCAACCTGATTCACAAGGGGAGAAAAAGGCCGTGAAATCTGCCACAGCAGCTGCTAAAGTAACAACACAAAAAGTCAACACGTCAAGTAAACCAACTGTGAATGCACCAGTAAAACCAATGCCGAGTAAAGTGTCTCTATCTCCTATGGACGACCGATTGAGTGATGAAGAATGTATGTTTATTTCATCGATTCTATCCGATTTCGTTATCAATCACTGTTTACTTTAGTGTCGCCAGATCAATCTACGACCACTGCTACATTATCTTCAAATCCTGCACCTGTACAAACTCATGCCTTACAAAGACGAGCATCGCATGCAACACTCGGTTTGATAGAAGGCCTTCACATTAATCTTATTTCTCTCTCTTTTCTCTTCTAGAACAAGATCTTCAGCTTAGTGATACCACGGACGATGAAGCTTGATGTTTTTCTTTCTTCGCATATTTATTTATTTGCTCACTCATTTCTCTTTCATTCGTTATTGTTAATTATTTCAGATATGACATCAACCACAAAAGTTGATCGAGCAGTTCTCTTCTCACGTGAGTGTACTGACCATTGATTTCTGCACCTATTCTCACGGAAATTGTGTTTAGAATGTGAGTTTTTTGTTGATTATCGGTCAAGTCAAACTGGATGTGATCGTTCTCTTCGCTTGGGACAAGAATTAGAATCGAAATATGGTGCAAAGATTGTCGAACACCCTTCGAATACAACCACAACACATATTATTTTCAAAAATGGCAATGTAGAAACGAAATTATTCGCGAAAAAGTACAATATACCTCTACTCGATCCGATGTGGTTAGAACAATCGATTCGAAAAAGACGACTAGTTAAAACGGACAAATATCAAATCGAAAACGATGAGAATATCCAACCGATAGGTAACTATCTGAGTAGAAATGCTTCAACCATTACTATCAACTTTAGATGTATTTGCATTCGATCGATTAGCAATTGCAAGTGACGATTTACCGGCGCCATCGACTCCAAAAAATAAGGTACTGTTTACTCGTTCCTATTCAATTCCACTCGTCTAATTTGTGGTCTTCTAGACGAATCAACTCGGCAATGCGAATGTTGACTCGGAAAAACGAACAAAAAAACTTCTTTATACACCTGTACGAGGAGAATTCGATCAAGGCAACCCTCACGAATACTATGATCATCAAAAGCGGATCATCACTTTGGATAATTTGGGAATGGACTTACCAGGTGCGCACACCCGTAGTTAATTCATCGAATTGATCCCGATTGACTTGTTCTAGACGAGAATCACGTGTTAATACACCGATATGGATGCAGTGTTGCTCGTCGACAGATTCAAGAAAAGCCAACCCCACAAAAAGAATTGAAAGGTTAGTTGCATTCAGAAAATTTTCTCTCAGAAGACTTTTGGTGAATCTAGATGAGCCAATCAATCCTATCAAATATGAAGAATTACCAACGACAATAAGTGTTCCCACTGAATCTCAATCATCACCGGTCGTTCATTTTGCTAATGTAAGCACATACGATGACAGTTGTTGTTGATACCTGTCTGTCTTTAGGCGATCCGTCCTGGTCGTAAGTCGCCAGGTCTACTCCCTCTGTCTCCTTCGACAACATTCGATTTCGATAGTCAAAAACAATACAATGCACTTGGAAATCGTCCACAATCGACTCCACTCGCTTCACCAATCGTGCGTCGACCATTACCGACGAACGTTGTCGAGAAAGAACCACCTGTTGAGATTCCTATTGAAAAAATTCCCGCGGAAAAACCATGTATAACACCTTTGAAAACAGCAGATTATTCATCATTTACTCGAATTTCACCGTTGCATCCGACCAAATCCAAGGTTCACTTTGAAGTTCGCCTTGATGAAGAAGATAAACAAAACGATCAAGAGGAGATCAATGATCCTGAACTACCAAAACCGAATGAGGATGACATACCTCGACCACCACCACTCCTTGCACTTTCCCAAGCAATCCGCAGGAAACATCCCGAACGACTGATTGACACTAAACTAAATGACCAATTACCATCAATGAAAGACTTACCAAATGCACCAGCAAACTATTCCTTTGTTTTCTATGAATTCGAGCCGACGTAACTAAATCCGAAAATTAACAAATAATATTCTCATTGAAATCTGATTTCGTTTCAGTCTGTTAGTAGAAGCGAAACGATTGGCACGTCGTATGGGTGATTGTTTTTCTTTCGACACCATTGATATGACAACTACACATGTTATCATACCAGAAGATGATCCACAAATGAGATTAACGATTGATCTTTTGCTTGCTTTAATCTATGGATGGTACATGATTTCCTCATGAAGAAACTTGTCAACAGCTTTTTTTCTTCTCTTTTCCAGTCGTATAGTAACATTCGAATGGTTGAAATGTTCATCTCGTGTCGGCGAATGGTTAGGTGTCAACAAATTCGAACCTAAGCGACTCTATCAAACACATTCATCATTGAACATTTATCGAAAATCTCGACAACAACAAAAAGCTATACATCTATTTAAAGACTGTGGGTTGATTTACCTTACATCCATCGCTAAACAACGACCATTACTGCTCAGATTGATTTCATTTTTAGGCGGAAATGTAACTATCGCCAGATCATTGATATTGAGATCTACGTTTCATGTTTTCTAGATAACCGTTAGTCGTAATTTGGCAAATATTGTCGTTGGACGCTCATCAAAGGCATTGCCAATCATAATTTATCCTCAAGTAACTGAACAATGGGTTATCGGTAAATCAGATCTCAGCAAATGAACTTCTCTCACTTATTTTCTCGAATGTTCTAGATTCAGTTAAAGCAGGTGAATGTCTTCCAGCAGATGATTATCTCGTAGAAAAAAGTACTGAATGAGAATGTGCTCGATTTACGTCAGATCTTTATTGTTTTTACATATGTATACATAGAAATTTGTCTTTGGATTTTTGTACAGATACAATTTGCTCAATTTTTTGCATTGAATGTCATGTAAAATTTGTTTGAAAATAAATTCATACGCATATTTAGTCTATTGCGATGGTCTCTGAACGAAGAGAGAATGTTGCCTCTCTTTCTCTCTCTTCATTCGTGCTCTGTTCTCTTCTCATCAATATGCAAATAGAAAACAGAACGAAAACGAAAGCATTCGTCGTCCAGCAATCATGATGATAACGCGCGAGAAACAATTTCAATTCAAATCAGATTCGGAAATACCTTTGCATTTTCTCTGTTCCAGCATTCAACTAGTGTCCATCTTTGCCATATTAGGCTTTCAAATCGTCTTAACAATCACAAACACGTGTCCGTTCTCTACGGCGATTGGCTACTGGTCGTTTCCATTCCTCATTATTGCGCCGATTAGCATCGGTATTTTTCTTCAGAAACGAAATTTCCTGTCCTGTTGTTTACTGATTGCCACTCATTTCTGCTCGAATGTGTTCGCCACAGTCATCGTCATCATAAGTGTTCTCGTGCTGATTCAACGCTTTGAAAGTTCGTGTCTGATCATGACAGAATATTCATTAGCATTGAACATTTCTTTGGTTACGGTTTCAATCTGCTTGAAAATTGTTTTATACGGAGAGATTCTTCACGTTTATGTAATCGCACGGCGAAATCGCAAACGTTCGAAAGCATCTCAGAGAAGTCATCACATGCTATTCGACGATCCTTATCGACGAAATTGGAAACTATTGCAATTCAACTTTCGTACGTTCGACGAGATTGATATTTAAACACTTTCTAGCAGAATTTGATTGTTAAATAATAATAAATAATCCGTGCTTCAAGGTTCAAACAACCCTGATGTCTCGAAAAGAAAACGTCATTATAAAACCATTTCGTTTGCGTTACATCGACGCATAGAAGAAAGACTGTACGCACTCGAAGAGATGATGATTATTTTTTTTCAAAGTTGAGCGCGGAGGAGATTCATCGATTTGCATTTCAATCGATTTATTAAAAAGTCAATGGAATAAGTTTATTCTTCAGTTGAAATCGAACGGCGGTTAATCGTAAAAAACTACTCGTACTATCCTTTAGAGTGTTGAATGAAAACGGCGAATTTTTGTTTAAGAAAATTCAGGAAAAATTTTATTTATCGACGAAAGAATCAAATAATCGACATAAATTAGTATTTTTTTCTTTCTACAACGTCATTGCTATAAATCGCCGGTCGAAACACAAGTCCGGCGCATTCTTTTTGGCAAATTTTCTATAAAAAAAAAGCAAAAATCGATCCGGGCTTTTTTCAATCGGAATTCACTTACTGATTTTTCTTTAATAGACATTTTTGAGGATAATTTTCCCATACAAAGGATTTCACATGGATGAGCATAGGCGAATCCTTTGACGTGATGATGAAGATCTTGTCCTGAAGGCTGCCAAGGTTGCACAGGATTTCCATTCAATCCATTGAAGCTGAAGACGATAGTGAACAGAAGAGAAACTAAATATAAATTCTCAGTAAAATAACGAGATTTTTGTGTGTCCATACCTAAGTAGTTATTCAACATGATGAATAATATTACAGAATTTAACTTAAGATGAGAATAGAACGAATGAAGCTCGCGCTGTTTCTCAGCGGACTTTTCGTAAGTTAGAAACACGTTAGGCGCTGTTTTTTTTTCGTGTAATTTTTTCACTCAAATATGTTATTTTCGCTCTCTTCGTGTATTCATCAAAGAAAAAGCTAAATCGTCATGAGTTCCAAAGATGAATCTCCCGAACAACTGATTCTTCTTGTTAGTGCTATCTTTGCCTTGATTTCGTGCATCATGTCTATGCTGGCTATTACGACTTCTGGGTGGCAAATTGATAGTAACGACAACAAAACAGGCCTTTTCCGAAGTTGCTATAAAGATAGATGCACAAGTGTAGCAGAACGACATGAGACTGCAATTGTATTTGCCATTCTTGGTCAAGTGTTGATTCTCGTTGGGATTATCAGTTCATTCATGAATGCATTTATCTATCAACACTGCCTGGGTTCGATTTGTGTAACCAGTTGTCTGATTTTCGCGTCGAGCTTCTTCTGGATTACCATTCTAACCATTAATTTACAATTGTACTTGAATGGTGGAAGCGCGATTATATTCAACGCAGCTTTGTCATTTTCCTTACTGGCAACATTCACGTCATCGTTTGCATTGGGTACATTTTTTACAAGAAGAAATAAACAGATACAATCAAGAATATCAACTATACCTTTGCGGATATCATCCTCGAGTGAATTCTATCGATACGGAGAGACAGTGACCAAATATCCCCGAATTGGATTTGATTAAGATGTGAGGAATTAATGAGAAAATTTTCTATTTTATTAAAGAAAAAGATAGATGAGTTAACATTATTGTTATTGAATTAGAGAAAAGCTTCCAAAGTGAATAAAAATGCGAATTAGGTAAAAGATTTAGCTTTCATGCTGGTCATATTGCTTGTCTAATTCGGCTTCCATTTCATTAATGGGACTCTGCCGTTGTAAATTCTTTTTCATCTGATTCTAAAGAGAAAAAAAATCAATATTACATTCGTTATGATCAAATAAAATATTCGTCAATCTCATCTTCTATTCATTGTCTTTGCTCTCATAGCGAACTTACGAAGGCGATGAAGCTCGCCACGAAAATTATACAAAACAGAAGTGCAGCAAGAAGAAATAGAAGCACAATTGATTCATCATTAAATGATGAAGAATACTGTTCATGAGCAGTTTGATTGAATGTAGATAAATCGTTAGCATGAAAGTATTCTGTGTCTCTGGTTTCGCCTGTACCGACATTTTCAGTTATACTTATATACTTTGTATCTGTTCGCTCACCCTTTGATTCTTCGGTTTCTGGTACTGGAACGTGGTGTCGTTTAAGAAGTCCAGTTGTATGAGCAAGTGTTTCGAATGATGATGACTAGAAATTTTGAAAAAAACGTTCGCTATTTAAATCACGAGAAAATCGATGAAAGTTTACTTCAGGAATGGTGGTTAATTCTAAATCGACGGGTTCATGTTCCATCAATCGAACGACACGGTTGTTGAAATCTGTGCTTGATTCTTCAGTGACGAAGAGTTCATTTGAAACGATGTGTTCTTTTGTTCGTTTTTGCTTTCCATCGATCAGTTCGGTTTTCTCGGTGGTCCATTCACCAACTGATCGTTTATCATCATCACCAGAGTCATCTGGGATTTGGTCTTCAACTGTTCGTTTATTGACGACGTCTCCATTTGTAACTTCAGAGATACTTTCACCAACTACTTCATCACTTCCTCGTTTACTATCGACATGTGAATGTTCAGTTGTAAATTCTTCATCCGAATCGTCATATGCTCGTTCGTGGACCAAGGGAACAGTTAATGATGGTACTGTTGTGAATTCATGCAATAAGGTTCGTTTATTGCTGTTATGTTCTTGTGGAACTGAACGTTCAGTTGTAAATTGTTTACTCGACTGGTCATCTGATCGTTTGTGGACCGTGGGAACAGTTAATGATGGTACTGTTGTGAATTCATGCAATAAGGTTCGTTTATTGCTGTTATGTTCTTCTGGAATTGAACGTTCAGTTGTAAATTGTTCAATTGATTGACCTTCTAATCGTTTAGCATGTGTGGTTGGAACGGTACCGAATTCTATTGCGACTTTCTAAACAGAGAGATTCATTCGTTTTAAATTGATCAGCTGTCAGTGCAAATTTGACTTACGATTGGTTTTGGTTTGACAGATGTAAGTTCATTTTCTACTGTTGAAAATTGAAATTCTGTTTCAATTGGAGCTGAATGGCAATAAGTAGCCAATAATAAGACGAAAATTGATATGATTGAAGTCGTTGAAGCCATTATTCGATTCACTTAGCAATAGTCAGGAATTAACGGTAAGCTTTTCTTGTAAAGATATGTGACTAAACGTGAAACTTTTATATGCACGATAAAACAAAGGAAAAACTCTTAAGAAAGATGATATCAGTTAAATAAAGACAAGAACAAAAGATGAAATCATTAATAGATCTAACTGGCGGACTATGTATTATGAAATGAACGATTTCGTATTTTCATCTCTCGAATATACTTTTCCAGGTCCTGTGAAGAACGTGATATATGTCTGGTGGACTGAATAGCGTGTGATGATCAGACAGGCCGATGAACTGGTCGGAGTATATACACAATCGAAATATGTCTACATTTGTACAGAGAATATTGACTATCAAGTTTCTAATAAGAGAAGACCAAAAAGGATGTCCAGATGATCATTTCATTGAAGATGGAGCCACATTCACATTTCCGAAAATCGAATTCATTCAACAAGAAAAATGAATTCCATCGAAGGATCAGATTTGATTCTAATCGAAGCGAATTTCATTTCAATTCGAAAACCGAACGCTCTTGTTCATCTAACGGTTGCTCAACAACTACTGAATGAGAAAAGAACAATGGCGTTTGTCTCTATTTATTTTAAAATATTGCCAGAATCTCAGTTATTGACAGCGGCAAGTGCGTGTCTATTAATCGATTAACGACCACTCGACACATCGCATTTATTCTTCTCTCATGAGTCATCTACTGGATTCGAGGTACTACTTTACTTTGTATGAAAGCGTTGAAAACATCTATCATCTAGAGTCCTGGCTACTTACAATGCTTTAACTGACGAACATTTGCAATCCTATTTCAGTCATGAACGTATTCAAACTCATTTAAGACAAGCTGGACTAGTAAATTGATTAGAAAAGGAAGATTCTTTCATAAACGTGCGGTGTTTAGATTGGTCGTCGAGGCGACATCATCTCGGAGAAAGAATACCGAACGAAATTAGCTCGATGTGAACGGAAGAAACATGTTCGACAAGTGCTTGCTGAAAATATTGTTCATCGGTATTGAAGCAATGTCTTCTCTTGTACTTTCGAACATTTACATGTTTTCCAGAGCAATCGATATGGAACGAGCTCGCCAAGCTGAAATCAAACGTAAACTCGATAAGATTGAAAAAGCCGCATTAGTACATAGTGTCAAAGTAAAAGTGATAAATATCAAATTTTGTCGAATTTATGAGAAAGCTTTTAGGAATCAAGACGGCGTACGGCGGGTGGACGACATTCATCGGTGAACGCGTCGAGATCGGATGAAATAAGTGCGCATTCGATGCATGATTCGTGGTTACAAACTCGATCAAAATCGACGCGTCAACGTCGAAATGTCCAACTAGTAATTTCTTACGAAGACTCAGATTGAAGATAGATTTCCTATTAATTAGATGGACGAAGAATTCGACGGACAGCCTCGCGTTCTACGCGTACGATCAGCAAATGTCAGTGATGATCTTTCACGAAAGCATCCGTCAAAGAGTTCATCATTTCAACAACGACCACTTCATCGACCAAAATCATCTGCTGTTCACCGTTCATCCTCTCTAGTAGGAAATATTTTCGAAAATCGTATCGTTTCATAGGTCTATCGATGTTTAAATAGCACTGTCGTTCGGCAACGAAACCAGCGGACTCTTCATGTCAAATTAAAATGATCTATTACGGTTTGCATACTAAAGTTGATTATGATCATTCGGTATTTGACTCAACCGATGAAATCATGGTTATGCAACAGCATTGTGGAGGAGAAAATCTGATTGTTTATAAGGGAAACCATCGACCAGGAGGTGTGATATGATTTTCTTCTCATGGTTTTGACACCTATCTGTCGACTATTTTTCAGATGAGTTTTCATTTTATTCGCGTCGTCATTCTGATTTTCCACTTGGTTTGTCGTTGTACGTCAAAGGCTTCATCGATAGTCGAATCTCCACATGTTGTGAATATAAACATCGACATGGTGTTCGATTGGGTGGTGAACGTGGTCATTTCGCGATAGTTTCTGTTCAGGGTTCAAAACCTTGCCTGAAGTGCCGTTTTCAGCAACAAATGCGATCAAAGAATTGCGATGACGTTGAAGATGAAGAGGAGAAAACGATAACCATCTCAATGCCGGTTTCGGATCGAGCTGGAACGAAGAAAAAATCAGTTCAGATTCCTGTCAAACACAGAGCTGATTCAGAGCATCAATCAGACGATGCTGACGAGATGGAAAATGTCAACAAATCAAAAGATGGACATGCTTCAGATTCGAGTGGTCAGAAAAAAAAAGACAAAGGTTCTTCATCGAAAGTCAGTCATCACTAAATTGATCTATGTAAAACTGTGATCAAATCTTTTTTTTCTGCAGGCCATTTCGTCGTCAGGCCAGACTAGAACTGATACATCACTGAAAACTTGGCACATCACATTTCATTCTTCGCATGTTCCTGCTGGAAGTTTTCAATTACCGAAGAACTCGTCGACGGACATATCTCTTCACATTTCACTTCGATCAACTGACGGTCAAAGCGAAACAGAGCCTTATGAACTTGACATGCGAGAATATCCTCAGTGTTTTAAATCTGGCCGAGAAGATACATTCCAGATCGAACTTCAGGATATCGGCAAACCCAAACAGATTCGATTGCTACTGCAAACAGAAAATGAAGACAAAGATATCATCAAATGGCATCTGGATCATATCGAACTCACGGACATCGACCGCCGCGTACATTATAAATTCTCGTATAAGCAATGGATTCGTCCATTGCAAGAAAAACTTCTCGATCTATCCGAAACATTTGAAGAAACCAGCAGTCGAAAAACTTCTACGAAGAAAACGATTATACCCGTAAAACCCAAATCAAACGCCGCCAAACGTGCATCAACCTCGTCAGAAGAACTTGCAAAGAATCGGACCGAGTCATTATCAAGTGATGATGAACACGATTCCGTCCGGTATCGCGTGATAATTTATCCTTCAAAGGAGACTGATGGCGAATTTGATGCCGTGCAAGACACTCGAATGTATATTCGTTTGAATAATCAAACAAAAGATTCGTTCATCTATCGGAAAGGCACGAAGACGTGTCCTTCATTTGAATCGGGCGAAAATCAAACATTTGACATGGATTTGATACACAATCTGCATGAACAACCAAGAAAGTTGACGATTGGATATTACAATTCAGGCATTACAGCAAGAAAATGGAAAATTCATAAGGTTTCTTTCGTTTGCATTTGTTTTCAATTAACGAATTATTGTTTCTCTAGATTGTTTTGATCAATATTCAAACCAAGGAAGAAACAACTTTTCTTTGTAAAGAACCGCTGCTTAGAAACGAGCATAATTTACGTGCGGAACGAACTTTCTTGGCACAATCGAAAGACACTGACGATGGCGATGAACAAAAAAGTAGGTTTTTATCATGTCGTGAACTCGGATTTATTCTCATAATTTCCAAAGATTCACCTCATCGAACTCGTGTAACTAGAAATTCCACATCGCAATCGAATAGCGGGGAACATACACCATCAAAAGCCAGTCCTCCATCTTCTCCTAAACGAATCGTTACAACACCGAAGAAAGACGACAAAAATAATCTACCCATACATTCACATCGTAGCACTGATGATGAATCGAAGGAGAAGAATATTGATTACAATGAAACGTTTAAACACAACGAAGATTCTGAGAAGCCTAAAGTAACTTCACCGTTGTCTCGACCGAAGACTCGACGCGGTCGTCAAGATACTTTCGAAACAAGTGACAAATCTAAAGAAACATCAACGACAACACAACCAAATACCGATATATGGCGACCAGCGAGTCAATTGGGTAGGAAAGATTCAGGAGACCATTCAAGTGATTTCGATGAATCTCAAAATGAAAATATTTCTCAGAATAAATCGTTTAATGACACTAATGATAAAACCGATAACTGGTATACAAATGATAACAAATAACTCTTCATTTTTCTTGTGATATGTATACACTGAATCTATTTTCATACGTAAACAGGGTGTGCGCTCATTTCTTCTTGTTTGTTTGAATACGTTTTCTTCTTCTTCTGGATTGTTTTGCAAAATGATGAACTGAACTGCTCGTCGGAATTATTTCAATAAATACTCGCATTACTGAACATGTTTATAACTGTCATCAATAATCCGACACAAAAATGAACAAGAACACATGTCTATGTAAGTTTCGTTTATATCTTGGTTTATTTTTTAAATGTAAATAGCAAACAAAAGGACAAATTTTCTCCAATAAATAAATGTCTTGAGTGATATTGTCTCATTAATATTTTCAATTAAATTATCGAGTAAGTACTCGATCAAATTGAACACCATTTAATACTCCGCCTGCCATTGTTTTCGTGACATTTGATCGAAATGTATTAACGTTTGTTTTCAATACTTCGGCAGCTTCTTTGTTCAATGGATCATCTGGATTAGGTTCCTAAAATACCATTTTCTTGTCCAGTACTCAGTTCCGAAAACGTTGAACTTACCGAAAAAAGAAAGCCCATACCGAGAATAACAGATAAAATCGTTAAGACAGGTTTCCAATCTTCTCTACAATGAACTTCATTTAAAAAAAAACAAAATAGTGAAATTTTCAATTCGATTACCGAAGAATATTCAAGCAAACGTTGCCTTCGAGGTCGATGTTTGGATGATAGATTTTTTGGGTACATTTGACTTTCGGTGGTGAATGAGGATACTCAGACTCGATCGTGAATAAAAATACAAAGCGTCCGCCTTTATAAAAGCCCTATAAAAGAAGTTTCTTAGTTTATTGTCTTAAATTAATCTTTTTCATACATCATCAGGTGTGATTGTAAGTGTAAAATGGAGAAGATCATCTTTGTTAGGATATGTTACTTGACATGTTGGTGGTAACGTGCCGATTTCACTCAAATCTAGTAAACAATAAAATAAAAGATGATTACTTCGAAATTTACGCACAATGATACGTAACCTTTTGTGACACGTAACAGAGCTGCTGATGTTTTTTTTCCGCCGGTATCGGAGGATGCACTCTCACCAGGCCGAGGTTGTTGTTTAAGACTAAATATGTTAAGCATATCTTGAAACAAGAATATTCAATGTAGTTGCTTCAAATGATTATGAAATGTAAGAAGTTATTACATCGGCGATACACTGATCAACAAAATATACAGAGCAAGCCGACATGAATCAATAAGAAGGAGAATAATTTTGCAGCGACATCTGATTTCTTTCGAGAAACTGTGCGCGATAGAGTGGGGCATCTATATGCGAGATTTCTCAAAAGTTAAATGTCTTTTCGGAATACAGATTTCGATGTGGTACAGCGCTATTTGAGTTCCTCACACTAAGACGAAAGTGTTCAATAAACAATGAGTCAGTTGTCTTTCCTTTTTAATTTCACAGGTACAAATAAACTATACAGAAAGAACTAGGATTCTAGCTCGTCATCGTCCTCGTTCAAGTATCGATGCCATTCATCAATGCGTTGCTTTTCTTCTTCTTCTTGCGGTGCGACATCATATTTTGTTGTGCCTAAAACAACGAGAGACAAACATCGAGTGTCATATCGAGACAAAGAAACGAGAAATTACCATCCCAAGTTTGACATTGAATAACTCTGCCGTGCCAAATTCGATCATTCATGTATTGACAGCAGGCATCTGCTTGATCAATGTCAGCGAAACCGACGGTCACAACACCAGCAGGATTCGTCTGTAGAAGAAGAATGAAAAATTAGATTTGCGTCATTTTTCAATGTCACTTACATCGTATATATTGATCTTTTTCACCTCTCCGTATTCACTGCAAGATTCTTGAATGTAATTTCGTAATTTATCGATGAACAATGGATCATTCTGCAAGACAAATCGCAGGTGAGTTGTGGAAAGCTTTGTAAAGCAATTTACTTTGAATTGCTGCAAGTTGAACATATTTTTCATGACGACAATTCGTTCATATTTATGTCGAATAACTTCAGGACGTTCTTCCCAGTTCAACACTTGATCTCTTTGTCGTTCTTTCGCTTTCTTATCCAATTTCTTTCGTTTTCGTTTCAGATCAGGATTGAATGTTCCCTTAGCTTCGAATTTTGCACGTTCGACATGGAGTTTCGACGAACGAAATTCGCTTTCGTCCAGCATATCGATACACAGTTTCACAGATTCGGGCTGAAAAACAAGATGTATTCGTTTACGGAGCGAAACGTACAACTTACTCTCAGATATCGACATGTACCGTCACCTTTAAGATTTCCTTGATCATCTCGATACAATTTCATCTTTTTCTTGCGCGGATTATTTGGGTCAGGTGAGATAACACCATATTTGGACATTAGCTCTTCAAATTCTTCGTCGGTGATGTCAAATGGAAGACCACTTATGTATACATTACAATTCTTCTCATCTGGTAAATCAAACCAACCTAAAGAAGAAAATCGAATAGGATTAGGGAAAAAAGTGAACATCTTGTTTGCATACAACTGAATCAGAAACAATATAAGGAGCAATCATTGATGATATTTCTATCATTCAGAAAACACCATTATTTGTATAACTACATCATCTTCAACGTATGCGTCTTAGAAGTATCAAGAGTGATTATGTGTAGACTCGAACTCTTGACTAATGTAAATAAAATGTTTTTACTATGTGAACTACTTTAGTAGATCAAAGTAGTCACTGAAAAACTAACCTTCAGCTGCTTTCTTCTTGCTATTCTGGTCTTGTGTTGACGTAGATGTTGCTGCTGGCGGTTTTTGTTCTGTCGAAGATTGATCTTCGACCGGTTCCGCACCATCATTGTCCCAACTATTTGTCTGATTATTCCATTTATATTTTATTCCCGTTGTATGATCTGTGTATTGATCGACGGTTGACAAAGGCTTCCATTGAAGCTGTTCTTTTAGCCAAACATAAGTTTGTTGTTTGCCTTCAGAATCTGTTGTAGAATAAGTACTAACATCAGGTATCCATGTGTTATGTTTCTTTGAGAATGTATATTTGATATGATTAGCTTCATCGATATAGGACTGTAGCGGTATCCACTGTTGTGTTTCTTTGTCTAACTTGTAAGTTATTCCATCGCGTTCGTGAACATAGGTTTGATGCTGAACATCGTAGCGAACACCCGACGAAGATTCTAAACCGTAGTTCATGTGATGTTCGACAAGAAATTCTTCGGAAACTTTGGGGAACCTAAAGAGAAGAAACAAAGTGAAGATGAGTTCAGTTTTCTCTTCACTACAAACCATCCTTTAACAGCTGGATCCCATTCGTAGACAGTGCCATCGGGATCAGTTTTCGTTTTGACTTGTTCAGCTTGGTTTTGAAGTTCTTTCGTCTTTTCAAGACGAAGTTGTCGAGCAAAGTCATCTTCATCATTATCATCGTCATCGTCATCATCGTAAGTAGTCGGACGTGCCGCACGTTGATATGCAATATTTTTTCTCGGCTTTTTTGCTTTTGTCACTTCATTGATACGTTCTTCGTCATCTGATGAAGCACTTTCGTGTTCAGACATCTGAAAAAAAGAAATGAAAAAAGTATTCAATTCAGAACGGAATGTTAAGAAAAAAAAACAATATTGTCAATATTGAAAAAATGCTAAACTAATGATGTGAGACTTGGTGGCACCCAACCACCCATAGCTTGTTCAATTTCTTGCGCAACAGCCAGTGGTAACTGATCTCGACCGCGTCCACCAATGCATTGGATACCCAATGGTAGATGTTGTCGATCTAAACCTAAGGGACATTGCGTCGACGGTAATCCTAATGCATTGATAATTCCACAATAGATGTAATCGAAAGTGTTCAATACCACCGGCCAAGCATGAACCGGTGCAGAGACGGGAAATGTTGGTAGAAATAGAACACCATCATCGCCTAGCAGAGATTGTATCTCGTCGAAGAATTTATGTGCTAATCGATGAAAATATTTATTATGTTTATTCGGAACGGCTTCGAGTATGGCCAGACCGATAGCTGGTAACGTGTGTGTGGAACGAAATGAAAACTTGCGTAATAATTCAAGATAGCCATTAAGATAGGATGTACGATCACACAGTGTTAATGAGAAATCACGTGATGATAGTTGTCCGTCAACCATCATTGCTGACCAGAGTGAGACAGCATGACGAAAACGTGTTAGTCGTAAGCGTGTCACGTGGATTTGGAATTTGTTTTCGAAATGTTCGACAACGCGTCGATGTGCTGCTTTTTGATCATGTTCAACATTGTTTACAAAATAAGCGTCCAGTTCATCGATATAAAAATAGCGTAGTTTACTCAAGTTAACCTAAAATAGATAGATCGGTATATTCAATTTGAAAACAATGAACGAAATATTCGCCATTGACTGATTTTCATCTAACTAAAGTCTTCTGCTGATTGCCCTTGTACATAGCTACCTTTTACCTTGGCTACCAAGAGATAGCAAGAAATTTCTAATCGTATTTGAAACAACTGAAGTCAGAGTATTCTCATCGGATTCACTTACGGGAACATCAATGTGCAATAATCTTTCGATATTTTGTGAACCAGCCAGGACTTTCAGCATTGGCTGCAAATCACATGCATATCGGCACATGGGTCCGGTGGATAATAAATACTTCTGATGAAAGTCTTTATGTGGTGGATATTGCCCATCATTTGGAACGATATCTATTTAAAAAGAAAACATCAAGAAAAATCTTTTACTTTCGTGCTCATTGAGCAATCATACCAGGTGTAGTTTTATGACCAAATATTCCATTCATAAACGAAGGTAATCGAATACTTCCACCAATATCTGCTCCAATAGCAAATGGAACACCAGCTGCTGACACTATACAACCCGCACCACCTGAGCTTCCACCTACAATCCTTGTTAAATCGTATGGATTGTTCGTAGTGCCATAGAGAGAATTTCGTCTGAACAAACCGATCGCACAAATCTCCTTGAATATTTCAGATGATTGAGAAAACTTACGATTCAAACCACATACATCCTTCACTGACATTCGTATTGCAAAGAAGTATACCACCAGCTTTCAGCATATTCTCGACCGACGTTGCTGTACGAGTACATATGTAATCTTTTCGTGCAGCAATTCCTGTCGAATTGTGAAATCCGACAAACTCCATTGATTCTTTAATAGCGAACGGAACACCAAGGAATGGTGCACGTTCTTCTGTCCATCCATCGGGTAAAGACCGTTGACCTCGTGAAACTGAATCTAAAACACGATCAATCTCTTGTGCTTCAGCTATCGCCTGAGAAAACCGTTCGTCGACATAAACATTTAAATACGGTTGAATAGCACGAATTCGATCGATATAAGCATGAACAACATTATAAGCCGTTATCTGTAATACGCAGCATTCCTTATGAAATTCTTTGTTAAGAAAGATTAGCTTACCTCTCTTGTTCTGATACGTTTCGCAATTACGGTTGCTGGTTGAAGTAACAGTTGATTCGTGATCGGTGGTAAACGGAACTTTTGATTTCCGTATATTAAACGAAAGCCAAGATGAACCCATGGATACAAGAAACAACGAATTAACCAAACGAGAAACGATAAAAACTGAATCAATTTAGCCATTACAGTCATTTCTTTTTATGAACAAAATCATATCACCCACCGTACCGTGCAAATAGCTGACTCAGATTCTTTACTCTTTTGTATTGGATGGTTCCTTATCCAATGGATATCATTGTCAGCAAGAAAGAAAGCATAACAAACGACTTCAATCATGATTGAAGCATCTTTTTTCTTTCTGTCAAATCATCAATTCAATAATAAACTCATTCAAGTATAAATAACATTGTTCGAAGCACGTTTATTATTTATCAATAAGGTGCTGCTTGTATACAGTTTGCACATCTCTTCACATCCATCCTCGCTCTGTACAACCTGTTCAACTATTCGAGTATTCATCACCTTTCGAAGCGTTATTAGTCGAATACTCGAATAGTTAAAGTAATAGCTGGATTCAAATTTCAAGTTAGACATGTACGCAAAACCTACAACTGCATTCGATACAAATTTCGCATATTACTCGTGGAATCTCATTCGAGTTCATAACACTTCCAAACAGAACCCAGTAATATCTGTTTCTTTTGTTGCCGTTGGTTGTTTGAGATATTCTCCAGCTTTGCTGTAATCATTCTGAGCTTTCAAAAACTTGCTTCTTTCTCATAGTTGCTCTCATTGATTTACCCATTTTTGTTTTCTTTCTTTTCTATTAGAGAGAGAGGACAGTTGGTGAACGAGACACAAACATGAACTAATTGCTTTAAGAAGAATGATTGCATACGGAGAAACCAAGGTACCAAAGATGATTTCTCACTAAATCGGAATAGTATTGATGAGAACATTGTTATCGGTAGAGATAACGCGTAAAAGGTCACACATTCAAATGTTTATTTCTAGCAGTCCGAGTTGTACTTCATTTCTTCATATGGCTATGAATACGTTATTTGAAAAAGAACAATACAAATAAGAACTCATCTATATTTCTAATTTTTACAAGTCCTTTCTTTCCAAGGTTTTTACATTTTATTGTATTCAAAGTTAGAAAGCTCAGCGCTTATATGTAAAAATATTATTTTCAACTTCTCCACAGTCCGTCGAAAATAATTTCAAATACGGTGGTGAAGGTAAATTAGGGTCTGTAAAACTATAGATCGCTGCTTGTTTGAACGGACACGGCGTTTCACGCCAGAGGTATCGAATACCATACAACTGTTGTCCAATACATGAAATGGGAATTGACAAAGTGATAGTCAATCCAACTCGACTTGAAATAGTTATTGGAATCCATAAACTATCGTTAGCACACTTGCTACCTTGACAACAAATTTCGAATCCATTTGGATTACGTAAATCAATGTTTGATACAGCTGTATAAGTCATATTTATTGTTTGACTACCAATGAAATAGACGATATTTTGCACAATAGGTCCTTGAAACTCGACTTGCTGATTGTAAGCAATGGCAAGACCTGATCGTGATAAACGATATCCCACATCGTGTTTATAGCGAGGATGATCACTGAATAAAACTCAGATAAAAATGAGGAAACAAAACAATGACTATCAAATATTACCCGTTAGGATCATCACGTAAATCTAATGTTACGGCCATGAATACTTTTGGAACAACATTGTTAGGAACATAACCGACGTCAAATGTTTGATGCCAACGAATTTCGGGATAACTACCAATGTACTCACTGTTATTCGCAAATGTCGACAGCTATAGTGACATAACATCGTATGCGAAAATAATGGATAAAGTTTACTTGAACAAAACCGAATGGAAACTGAATATCTGTAATATCATTAGTACGTTCATTCCATATTTCTCGCCAATGTTGTATCATTTTTGCAAATGAACAGGCATACTTATGAGTATTATAGTCCCTATTCGCTTCACCTTCATTAGAGACAAGAATAAATATGCTCAATTATACACAAAAGAAAATATCGACTGCTTTACCTTGGTACCATATAGCTCCGTAGATGACTGTACGCATAAATGGATAGATCATCGCATTGAACAGAGTCGAGTGATTATAAGCTGTTTCTATAGAAGAGAAATTCCATGATTTTACTATTACGCTATCATCCCTAATGAAAACAAAGTGAATAAATAATAGAAGATATCAAACATACGATGGGATGCCGCAATCTTGCAGTGCTTTCGGTGGCATCCAAAGTTCAATGGGTGTTCCACCTAGCGACGAAGCAATGAGTCCAATAGGTCGCTCACCTAATGCAACATGAATCATACGACCATAGAGCCAACAAATTGCGGACATATAATTCCAATTTGGTCCACCGATGCTTTTAGGCGATGCCACTGACCAATTTAGTCGAATACCACGTAGTTCTTCGAGTGGTGTTGCTGATGGTTCGTCATCAGCAGTGAATACTCGAATTTTCGGGTACTTACCAGCATTGACAATTTCCTCTGTTGCATTATGAATGAGACTCACTGTAAGTTGCATATTTGATTGTCCTGAACAAATCCAAACATCACCGAACAGAACGTCGTGAATGGTAATTGTCACCAGAGTTCCATTCGCTAATGGTTGTGAAACATGAATATCAAATGGTCCTTCATCGTAGACAGGATCGAGCGTTATCGACCAAATACTTTCGTCTTGTTCGTTGGCAGGTTCTGCATCACTGATAGTCGTATAGATTTTATTATCCATTCGAAGCGTAATCAATTTGCTTGTCTCTCCATATCCCCACACAACTGCTCTTTGTGGAGCTTGTTGAAGTACCATATGATCTTGAATATAGTTGGCAAAACGTAGTATAGCATTACCTTACAATAGAAATAGTTTGTTTATTTTTTGTAATGATAATCAATCGAATTGTTACTTACACTGAACAATTAACAAGAAGAATATAAATAAGTTAGCTTTGAATAAAACCATCTACATTACTTGACCCAATGCCTTTCCTTTCGACATAGATATAGAAAAGAAGTATGTGATCGAGTAAGATATATACTCTCTTCAGATCTCAATGATGAGATAACGGAAAAAATAATGATAAGCACGAGTCTCCTTATTGTCAGATAAAAAGTTGTGAAATGATTAGAAAAGAACGCTTGCTTGACTATGTACAAAAAATATTTTCACTGTTTGCTGATTTTGCACATCAAACTGTAGTGCAGCTCATAATTGATGTTCAAACGACGAAACCAGTGTAGCATGTTGTAGTGCGATGCATTTGAATCCCAATGAACGAATAGAAAAGAATGATAAAGGTAGATGTGATGCAATAAAAAAGAAAATGTCGTTCGATATAGGAGAATGTATTATGATAAACATTATTTATATCTGTTCTAGATATTTTTGATTTTATACATTCGAAAAGTATATGTCGATTCGTGTCCTAATCAGTGAGAAGGAAACAGAATTTTTCGTTAAGATACTCTCCACACATTCTACAATAGGTTCGTTTTCTATTGAACTAGTCGCTTAGTCCACACGTGTAGTGTAAACCTTTTTTAACAGAATGAGAGTAAAGTTCATTTGTATTTAAAAAGTACTTTGTTGTATTATCAACATCCATCGTGCAACTATCTACAGCAATACAATAGAATCGTGTTGAACTGGTAAATGCAGATGTTTTATTATTGATAATCGTTTCTTATGAAAATTATTATCATTCAGGAGTCGGCAAATCCTAGAAATATGTTTTGCGTATTGTGTCCGGAAAAAAATTCAAAATCAACATCTAGCCAAATCCACGAAGGGTTGTCACGGGTGAAAAAATATTGCGGGCAAAGAAAGTACTTTAGAAAATTCTTTGTTATACGCAGACTTATTAAAAAGATAATCGTTTATGCTAACAATGACTAATAACTAATAAACACGGTTGCATTCTTTATTGGCTAATCTGTTACTTATGTAGATCAGTATACGTGCTGCTATCTGAGCAGGAAGAAAGCAACATAGTTTTCCTTTCATGATTTCATACTGAAAATAAGATAAAACTAAGCATAGACAACAATTCAATATGCTATCTGAATAGGGAACAAACCCTGACTTCAAATAGCGTGTTACTTTCAGCTGTTTTACGCAGAGACTTTTTGAATAGTGTTTACGATTATTATGTCACCATCTGTCACTATAATAAATATTGTTTCAGTTGGTCATAATAAATGATTGGATCACGTAATATAACAAACACCGAGAAAACTATTTACATTAGTACACTGAGTGATAGATTGTGACGTGTAAACGGTTTACTATTAATAAAGTACACCTGTGCATTCAGGTGAGGAGTGTTGCATTTTCGAAGACAAGGATCTTCTGAAATGCTTTTGTTCTTGTTAACTAACCATCGGTTTGAAAAGGAAACGATGGAGCAATTCATCAATATTTAATTTATACTCAGTATTTAACACAGCGAGATTTATTGATATCAAATTAATTGAAAAAAAGAACACCAAATTGTTCATCATGATTCCAGTTTTCCTCATTCAGAAATTCCTGTTTCGATAAACGCTTATCACCATTCTTGTCCAGCTTATTCAACAAATATTTCACTTGAGCATGACTTGAGTTTACTCCACGACGTTCACCTTCCGGCAAACCAGCTAAATCGTAGATCGATTCAACCAGTGGCTTTAGTTCACGTTTCTCCAGATATCTACATGCACACGTTCAGTCAGTCATACTCCATCTCAACCACAACACTCACCCATTATGATTTCGATCGAAGATGTCAAACAGCAGTCCGAGATAGACATTCTCATCGTCGTTCACGTTCATCTGACCCGAATCGAGTTTACAAGTCAACAACATGTATTCCATAAAGTCGATTCCACCGTTTCGATCTTGATCTCTACAACGAAGTGGTTGACGATCGGACAGAATAGGACAGTGCTGACTCACAAGGTAGCGAAGAGATGGGAAGCGAACTTGTCGATATGAGTTTCAGGCCAGACTTCGTTAAGGCAATCGAAGAACTGTTCTCGAGTGATGAGACCGTGTGGATACTGGTGGATAAATTCGGAGTGTCGTTGTCGAATTTCGTCGGATGAGAGATGAAGTTGTTGACACATCTTGTCAATTTGGTCTTCAGTAAGAGTTGTAGATGGAATGATGTGCTTTGACTTACGACTGCCCATCGTATAAAATGAAATGGTAATGAACGGGTGAGAAGAGGAAGAAGAAGAAAAAGAAGGGAACAGAGAATTTTCTATGACTGACGTCATGGAACTGTTGACAGACATGCACGTGAAGCTTATTGTATTTCAAGGGATTAATTGCGTTAGATAAATGTATACTTGAATAAAATGTAAAGTGACGCACCTTCTTCATTCGACTTATTCTTTCTGACGCAATGTTCTCATAAAATGTGCTGTTTAGTGGAAATTCTGTCTTTCTGATCGTGAAAGCTGTTTGATTCTCGACATTTGTGTGATGTAATTTGAGCTAATAGGCTTTCCTTATTAGTTCTATGAAAGCCTAAATGAAAAGACTGAAAATACGGGTTGTTCTCAAGTACTCGAAGAGCCATGCACGAGTCCCATGAGCATTTTTCAACTTCAAAAGTTTATGAAAAACAGATGACACAAAAAAGTGAGCAGCAGCATAATGGAAACTCAGACGTATGTGTTGAAATATTCATGATGCTGATGTCAGCTAATAATCGTGTGGAAAGATATAGTTCAGTTGATCAAACTTCATCTTGCTCCAGACACACAAATGAATCGAGGAAACATTGCTTGCTGTATAAGCGCATACAATAACTCGCGAGAAATACGCTCATCAAAGCTCGTAAATTACTTTTATTGATACGAAATATAGAAAACAATTTGATATGCCAAGGCATTGAAGTTGTACGGAATATAATCGTATGCGCGTACATTCTTAGCACACCACTGAATGATTAACGTAGGTATAAAGATCACACGTAATGACTCGACGATTTAGTATTCTATTTTACCAACTATTTAGACTTCCAAAATGGAAGTAACGACTATAATAAAAGCATTCATCGATGAGTACTCTGGAGAGTGATTTATTCTCTTCCTGGCCAAATATCATAGCCTCGCTAGTAGACTTTTCATTTACGATCGATTAGTACACTGCTAAGGATTACTTTTGAGTACGGAACTGCACAAAATTCAGAGGAAACTAATTTCAGGCGTGGACCCTTCTCCAGCTGCGTATAGTAGAAATAAAAGCAAGAGATAGAAGTGCTGAAGGTAGTCCATATGAAACTAAAACAACAATTGGTAGATGCACGCTATCTATATGATTGTAGTTATTCCTATCTTTGTTCATTTCTCAGGCTCAGAAATCAACAAAAAGAGTTTTTTATCGTGAACACTTCTACTTTCTGTTTATTGAAGAAAACATTTATTCGTATAATTATAAAAAAAGTATTATTGTCTTTTAGCTGATCATCTAGACCTTAGTAATTAAAAAGAAGACGTCCGAATTGTTCATCATGATTCCAGTTTTCCTCATTCAGAAATTCCTGTTTCGATAAACGCTTATCACCATTCTTGTCCAGCTTATTCAACAAATATTTCACTTGAGCATGACTTGAGTTTACTCCACGACGTTCACCTTCCGGCAAACCAGCTAAATCGTAGATCGATTCAACCAGTGGCTTTAGTTCACGTTTCTCCAGATATCTACATGCACACGTTCAGTCAGTCATACTCCATCTCAACCACAACACTCACCCATTATGATTTCGATCGAAGATGTCAAACAGCAGTCCGAGATAGACATTCTCATCGTCGTTCACGTTCATCTGACCCGAATCGAGTTTACAAGTCAACAACATGTATTCCATAAAGTCGATTCCACCGTTTCGATCTTGATCTCTACAACGAAGTGGTTGACGATCGGACAGAATAGGACAGTGCTGACTCACAAGGTAGCGAAGAGATGGGAAGCGAACTTGTCGATATGAGTTTCAGGCCAGACTTCGTTAAGGCAATCGAAGAACTGTTCTCGAGTGATGACACCATGTGGATACTGGTGGATAAATTCGGAGTGTCGTTGTCGAATTTCGTCGGGCGAGAGATGAAGTTGTTGACACATCTTTTCAATTTGGTCTTCGGTGAGAGTTGTAGATGGAATGATGTGTTTTGACTTACGACTGCCCATCGTATAAAATGAAATGGTACTGAACGGGTGAGGAGAAGAGGAAGAGAAAGGGAAGAGATTTAGAATATATTTCATGGCTGACGTCATGGAACTGTTGACAAACGTGCATATGGAACTCTATTCTTTTTTTCATTATACACCGAGAGCATCACGGACGTCAATCAATTATTGATTCAGTGAAACATTTTGTTTCATAAAGTCGAGAAATCTTTTCGATGAATATAATTTCCATATTTGATCACCATATACGTCAATAGAAACATAGTATCATGCACCCTTGAATGTGACACGCATGACATTGGATTGTTTTATCCTTCTATGTTTCTGATAGCGTTGAGTATGATCCGAGGAAATAATCATGAATGCATTCTGTAACTATTGCTATGTCATGTTTTTTTGTATGATACAAAACGTTTAAACGTAATTCTTTGTATGTTGATATGAGATTAGCGGAACCATCTCATGACGATTTTTAAAGTTCGACTTGCTCTTGGGCGTGATCTAGTTCAACCATTTGAAAAGTGACTGATCGGAGCTTTGAATCTGATCTTCAAGGTTATTTATTTATTTTGTTTTGACGTGAAAATATATGATGATTTCATAGAGTGTTGAAACCATTAGTTAAAACGAAAAGCTCAAAACTTATTCTTTCATGATCACATGTATCTTCAGAAGTGAAATTGCTGGTCGTACTGCAGACATAACGTACGAAACCAAGTGGCATTTTGTAATCGCCTTAGTTTTCATCAACTATCATTTGGGTACTTGACCCACTCTACATACTACTGCTATTAGATGTCGCTTTTCGTGCATATACGTATGATTTTGATTCGTTTCGATTACATATGAGTTTTTTACCATCCCTGTGTCAGATAGCGATGCATTGGCTATGCGTTAATGCGAGTGTTTTGGTTGCAATTCAATTTAATATGCTTATAGAATCCTGTTTTTTTTTAGAAGCTCTACAAGCATGTCAACAGTACATGCAGTACGTAAAGGGATGAATCGCATACTCGACGGAATAATGCAATATCGTCAAGCACTAAGGCCAACACTTTTGGAAGAATTCAAAAAAGTGGCAATGGGACCTTCTGTAAGAAGATTCATTTCGTGAACACCACCAGCAACGGTGTATGTTTTTCTATACTAGCCTGAAGGTCTTCTTCTAACGTGTGTTGATAGTCGTGTGGTTGCGTCGCGTTTAACTCAAGCAGTGCCTGGTCAATTGTTTTTTGTAAGAAATCCAGGTAAATAAGATTTCTTTTTCTTCCACATATTTCGTGAACATTCTCTGTTTTTTAGGTAACTTAGTTCCACCCTATGATTATTTTGAGAAAAATAACATTGTTGGTGGTGAATGTGCCGCATTGGAATTAGCATGCTCAAGAAATAACGTGCCAGTCATTACTGTTTTCGGTCATTCTGATTGTAAAGCGATGAATTTGTTATACCGCATTCGAAACGAAATTTCAATTCCGTCAAAGAACCCACTCGATCAATGGTTGAAAGTTCATGCTAAGGGAACGGTTGAGCAATTTCAAAAACTCGAATCGTCCGGCGATTTCAAACGTAAACTCGTGTTCGCTAGTGCACAACACCACGAAGATGATTTCGAAGCATATATTGATCCGAATAATGAGTATAAGCCGTCGGATAAACTGTCACAGGTAACGATTCCTTTCGTGATCATTAAGTCAGATGTTTGTTATCTAGGTCAATACATTGGAACAAATGCGGCACTTTTTATCGTATCCGTTTCTCAAAGAACGACTGAATCGAAAAGAGCTTCAAGTACACGCTTTATGGACCGATATATACAAAGGTGAAGTTTACATGTTCTCGTTTAAAGAGAAAACTTTTATCAAGATCGACGAAAACACCTATAAGAAACTTTCTCTTGAATGTAACCCATATAAATAGTTGATCATTGTTAACTTTCGGAATTTTCTCATTTTTCCCTCGAATACATTAGAATTGACTTCATTTGTAGTTTGTATTTATTTAAATAAAAAAACACACGCTGTGTTGATATTTCTTAAGCACTGTTTTCGAAATGATTGCACTCGTTAGATGTCACTTGTACTGACCGTTCATGCACTCTTTTCATTATCGATTATGCCCTCACCAGAACTAGTAGAGTACTTTCTAAAGGTCAAAGATAGAAAAGGACTTAGAGTTCAATTCGAATATGATCGATCGATTTTGATTGGTTCATTGTTGAAATCCAATCAACACACAGCTGGACGCGAATAATTATGTACTCGCTTAACTCGATTCAACTCAATCATACATTTGGCGATCTTCGTTACATAATCAAGTGAACGCAATTGTCACGAAAATAACATAGAACCTATCGCAATCTGCAGGTCACACTGCGACACACACAAAAATGTCAGTCAGAATTGCCGGTCAACTCAAGTATGTCCATTCAAAACAGTCTTCTATCGAACCGAATGACACATTTTTTTAATGATTGTTTGCTTTAGATATTATTCTGTTGAATAAAACCGAATCTATCCAGTAGCAAAAAAAACGAGAATGTTAACCTTAACAACAAAATACGTATTAGATTGATCCAGGGACTAATCCTTAATAGTAGAAGGGCCTATAAAAGCATGCGCATTATACTGAGTTAGCCTTTGCCTGGTGACAGTTGAGAAGAAAAGGTTTGTCTTGGGTCTGCTAACGAATATATTTTACTTTCAACATGCACTGAGATTCTGCCGATGGGTGTGATTGTGACTATATGCTTGCTTGCTTGCTTGCTTGTTGTTATCGCTCTGGAAACTAAATTTAAAAATACCAGATGCGTACTTTCCTTCTAATCATGTAATAAACACGTGACACTTAAGTCCGACTGCCCTAAGAATTGTTTACTCAATCTAGATATATGTTTATAGATATTTCTCTATCGATGACCAGAACTTCCGATGCTATTCTTTTAACTGAAGATACACGCAGAAGAAAATCATTTCGAAATCAGGTGAGAGTTCGACAGATCTCAGAAAATATACGTTTTACGTATGCAGAGAAAATATTTTCATTATGAAAGGTTGTGCTTATCTCTTTAATCCATATACTCTGTGAAACTTTTCTATTTGTTTTCGATGACATAATATCGGTTGTTTTAAGGTTACGTTTGTGAGAAAAACGTTCTTATCATTTGAGGAAATTCTAGGGCTAAAATTTGCTTATATTTTGATTTGTAGATGGCAAGTCTTGATTAGCTATTCAATCGTGTAATCATTCTTAATCTGCACTTTTCAAGCGCACTCTACCCATGTACTGTCAGAGATCATCGTTATCATCATTATTATGTATTTACGACGTCTTATTCCAAAATCTCGGAGGAGGGTGAGCGTCATCTGGTTTGCTTCTCATGATTTTGTTTCATATAAATATTGTTTGAAATATTTTGCTTTTCTCTCGATTTAACATCAACGTCAGTTCTTCTTGTTTTTCGATATAGTTCCTCCGTCAGTGTCGATCGACAAGAATGGTCCGGTCGGCTGTTGCACTTATCGTTCTTGTCATACTTGTGGTAACTATATCAGACATATCTGCACGAAAATCTTCGATTATACGAAGACAAACTACACGAGCAACTCAACGGATCGATTGTTTTCCTGATGCTGTTTCGAAATACGCAAGTTATTCGAAAGAATCTTGTCTAGCTCGCAATTGTTTATATGATGATCATGTTGCTCAAGGTGTTCCACAATGTTATCTACCACCAAACGTTGGTTATATTCTACAGGGTTCTGAAGAACAAATAACCAACGGTTTACGACTACGATTAAAACGCAATTCAGCAATTGGCAGCATGTTCAAAGACTCAATCGAGAATGTTTTACTCGATGTACAATATTATACCAATGATATCATTCGATTCAAATTATACGATGCTGATAAACAACGTTATGAAGTACCTATACCATTAAACACTGCCTCTGCTCAAGTATCGTCTCCACAGTATCAATTCAGTTATTCATCAGATAGTTCACGTGCTAATATTCTCTCATTCGCGATCAAGCGTCGAGATGATAATGCTGTTCTATTCGATACATCGCTTGGCGGTCTTGTTTTGAATAATCAATTTCTTCAAATTGTCACACGACTTCAATCGCCACATGTCTATGGCTTTGGAGAAAACAATCACGATACACTCAAGCACAATGTTCAAGAAAGAAAAACATGGGGCATATTTGCACGTGACCAAGGAACGAATTGGGATACGAATGCCAATCATTATGGTTCACATCCATTCTATCTTGTCATGGAACAGATTGCCAATTCCAATGAAATTCCATCCGGTCGTATGCACGGTGTTCTCCTACTTAATTCGAATGCGATGGATTACTCATTCGAACCAACACCATCGTTAACTATGAGAACAATCGGCGGTATTCTTGACTTTTTCGTTTTTCTTGGCCCGACACCTGAACAAGTTGTGCAACAATATACTTGGCTTATTGGCCGTACAATTCTACCACCGTACTGGTCGCTGGGCTTTCAACTTTCTCGTTGGGATTATTCGAATATAACTCACATGAAAAATATCGTCCAACGAAATCGCGATGCTGGTATTCCACTCGATGTTCAATATGCTGATATTGATTATATGGATGCAGAAAAAGATTTTACCATCGATCCAAAGAACTTTGTTGGTTTGAAAGAATATTTTGCTCAATTGAACAGTGAAGGCGTGCGAACGATTGTGATTTTGGATCCTGGCACGACTGATGATCAACAACATTATGCACCAACCATTGAAGGAATTGCTCAAGATGTGTTTATCAAATGGGAAGATGGAAATTCATTGATGAAAGGTGCTTGCTGGCCTGGCGAAGTCTTCTTTCCAGGTAAATAGATGTTTTATAGATGTGCAAAATCTCTTCTCTTGTCAATAGATTTCTTTACGCAACGCGCACAAACTTGGTGGGGAAAATGGATCAAAGATTTTCGTCGTGTCAACGTCTCGTTTGATGGACTCTGGATTGATATGAATGAACCTGGTAATGATCTCTATTTGTTGCATTTCCTTGCCTATTCGTTATTATGTCTCATCTTCTATAGCGCTATTCGATACCAATGATGCTGCACCATGGAATTGGGCGGATACAGGCAGTAACTATACTTTGAAATGTCCACAAAACGATTGGGAAGATCCACCATATCGTACCAAAGCTGCCTATCGTTGGGATCAAAAGTCAAGTCGTGTCAGTCGTCTCTCTGATCGAACATTATGTATGTCAGCTCCACAAGGTGAAATCGATCCACTCACAAGTAAACCAAAATATCGTCATTATGATGTTCATAAGTGAGAACACTTAGACGGGCAGATTCTAGAACTTGAAGTTATTCATTTTAGTCTTTATGGTTGGAGTCAAACTAAACCAACATTAGATGCCATGCGAGAAATTACTGGTAAACGAAGTTTAGTTCTACCACGCTCAACATATGTCGGTTCGGGTCAATGGTCTGGCCATTGGCTAGGAGACAACGAAGCGACATGGCACGAAATGAAACGATCTTTGATTGGTATGGTCGAATTCAATTGGTTCGGTATTCCATTTAATGGCGCTGATATCTGCGGATTCGATAAGACACCAACAGAAGAAATGTGTATTCGGTAATTGAAATTGAAAATTCATTTGCGATGGAAATTTCATTTTGATTATGTTTGTAGATGGATGCAAGTCGGAGCTTTCTATCCATTTTCACGAAATGTAAGTTGTTTTCTTCCGTCGAAAAATCTTTCTTCGATATAGACTCATTTAGCACAATATTTGGAAAACTCCAGATCAAGATCCAGCTGCGTGGTCTTCATCGGCTGTTGCTGCCATGATTAGCGCACTTCACATTCGTTATACTCTTCTTCCATACTATTACACGTTGTTCTATAAAGCACATACACAAGGCTCAACTGTTATTCGACCATTGTTTCATGAATATCCAACTGATAAAACAACACTCGATCTGTTTCTTCAATTTCTCATTGGACCTAATATCATGATCGCACCAGTTACAGACGATGGTAAACGACAAGTTCAAGCATATATTCCTTCTTCGCATTGGTATAATTACTATACTGGTGCGAAAGTACCATACCAAAAACAATTTATCACACTATCAGCTCCTCTCGATACCATTCCTATTCTCTTACGTGGTGGTGCAATCATTCCAACACAAGAGTTTGCCTACAACACTAAACTTGCTCGGTAAATCAAATCGGGTTTTTTTCTCTAAAAAATGTTCATTTTCTCATATCGGATAGAGTCAAACCATACGGTCTTACTATTGTCTTGAATTCGAATGGCAATGCTACAGGCGATCTGTTTTCTGATGATGGCGAATCGATCGACACAATCGGATCGAAAGCTTATTACTATGCTACCTATCAATGGTCATCAGCAGATAAAAAACTAACAATCACTGTCGTTGATAACAACTATTCGCAAATGACAAATTTAATTTTAGATAGTTTAGCAATCTACGGCTTGGATGACATTCCCACTACATTCACTGTGGATGGCAAACAATTGTATCCGAAAACAAGACCACACACGCAAATTGTCGACGTAACTGGTTTAGGTTTATCAATGGCCAAGAGTACTACAATTACATGGACAACATCGGGCACAGTTATTGTTGAACCACCATCTGCTGTTGTTACTGAAGCGAAATATCGAGTCGACTGTTATCCAGATTCAGGTAACTACAATTCTTATAAACTTTGCTGTATTTCATTACGTTACTGATACAGGTGCTTCGAGTAATGCTTGTGCATCTCGTGGATGTACTTGGCAAGTTGCGAGTCAATCTGGCTATCCAGCATGTTTTATTCCTAAAGAAAAAGGTGGTTATGGTCAAACAGAATCGGTGCAACAACTCTCAGATGCTGTTACACGATATTCACTATCACGCTTATCGAAGAAACCAAATCTTAACCGTGGAAATGTGGCTAAGGAAACAGACGATTCTCATCAACCATCACCGTCACACTTGAAAGAACTCGCTACAACCCGAGCAAGTGAATTTTCCATGTACGGCAATGACATCGATCATTTAAATGTACAAGCTAGTGTATCCGGTACTGACATGATCCGTTTAACAATTCGTGATGCTGATCAATCACGTTATGAGGTTCCTGTACCCATCCAATGGAAAGCCGCATTACCACCTACATCTGCTCGAGCTAAACTTAAATTTGAAATGACAAAAACAACCAATGGTCAATCAGGCTTTCGCGTCAGACGTACAGATACTCAATCGATTATTTTTGATACATCATTCTTTGCCGAAGGATTTATTTATGACAATCAATTCATCCAAATTGTGACAACAATTCCATCAAGAAATGTTTACGGTTTCGGAGAAAACACACATCCATCATTTCGACACGTTCTCAAAAATTCGCAACGTTACGGTGTATTCGCTCGAGATCAGCCACCTATAGGGTCCAATGAGAACTTGTACGGTACGCATCCATTCTACATGACAATTGAAGACGATGGACAAGCTTTTGGTGTTTTGATCTTCAACTCTAATGCTCAAGATTATAAATTGGACGAATTCGAAGATAATCAATCGATGTTAACCTATCGAACGCTCGGTGGTATCTTAGATATCTTCTTCTTTGCTGGTCCACGACCCGAGGATGTTATTCGACAATATCAAACTGTCATTGGACATCCATATATGCCTCCCTACTGGGCATTAGGCTTTCAACTTTGCCGATACGGTTACGATACACTTGCCAACATGAAAGCAGCCATGCAACGAACTCTCGACGGGCAAATTCCGTTGGATGTCATGTAAGATCGATCTTTTTCTTGATCACGATTACCTACTCGTTCGTTTAGGTATGGTGATATCGATTATTTCCGAAATCAACTCGATTTCACTTGGGACCCAATTCGTTTCAAAGGCTTACCTGAATATGTTGACTGGTTGCATACACAAGGCATGAAATTTATCACCATTCTTGATCCAGCTATCGATTCTGAAGAGCCTAACTATGCAGTTTTCAGCGAAGGACAACAATCTGATATTTGGATTAAATGGCCGGAAGCGAAAAATATTCAATTTAACGAAACTGGAAATAGAAATATGCTTGGCTATGTTTGGCCTATCGGTAAGTTGAATGAACATACTGTCGACGAGTTCTTATGGAATTATCATTTAGGTAAAACTGTATTTCCGGATTATTTCTATCCGCCCACTTTAGACTGGTGGAAAAAACAAGTTTTAGATTATTACAAACTACTGAAATTCGATGGCCTATGGATTGATATGAAGTAAATTGAATTGAATAATAAGTTCTTTTGAGCTTCCTTGGTTCTGTTCTATTCTAGCGAACCAGCTAATTTTGATACGAATAAACTTCAACCATGGAACTGGCCTCATTCTCAACCATGGAATCTTCACTGTCCACTCGAAGAATCACTAGAATCGCCACGATATAAAACTGCTATCCATGGCGATTTATTATCTGACAAAACTCTTTGCATGATTGCTGAACAGAACGATGGTCGCGGAAAAATCTATAAACATTACGATGTTCACAACTTGTACGGTTGGTCAGAAACACTTGCAACATTACCAGCAGCTCGTGCAACGGAAAATAAACGCTCAATCGTCATCAGTCGTTCCACATTTCCTACATCGGGTGCTTATACTGGCCACTGGTTGGGTGATAATACTGCTGCATGGGCACATATCAAATATAATATCATCGGAATGCTTGAATTTAACTTGTTTGGCATACCTTATGTTGGTGCCGATATCTGCGGTTTTGAAGGTAATACAACTGAAGAAATGTGTCAACGATGGATGCAACTAGGTGCATTCAATCCATTCTTCCGTAATCACAATGGTATCCGACACATGGACCAAGATCCCGGTATTTTCCGGCCAGAAATTGTAGCATCCAATCGTCATGCTGTTGAATTACGTTACACATTAATTCCATACCTCTACACACTCTTTCATCGTGTTCATATCTCTGGTGGAACAGTTGTTCGTTCAATGGCACATGAATTTCCACTCGATTCAGAATGCTGGGGATTGGACGAACAATTCCTTTGGAGTTCACATCTTTTAATCGCACCAGTCATCTACGAAGGACATACGACAAAAACTGTTTATCTTCCACTGAGCGAACGTTGGTTTGACTATTATACCGGTAAAGAGATAACAACATTAGGAACAGTGAACGTGCCAGCAGCACGTGACTTCATTCCATTATATTTACGTGGTGGTTCGATCATTCCACATCAATTATCGGCTATGAATACAGTCTTAGCACGACGAAATTCCTTTTATTTATACGTAACTCTCGATAGTAATGAGCATGCCGAAGGTGGCCTTTATTGGGACGATGGTGAATCGATCAATACATACGAAACATCACATTATAACTATTTTATTTTCAACTATGATGCACAACGCTTAACAATCGAACCATGGACATTTAAATATCCGGATATGACAAATAAATTAGATGAAATTTCTATCTTTGGTCTAAGTAAAAAACCAAGTAAAGTCGTTTGGAATGGTCAAGACTTAGCAACGAGTAAATGGATGTTCGATACGAACACAAACGTATTGAAGATGACTAAATTGGCGTTAGATTTATCCAAAACACATCGATTTGTTTTGCCATGAACTTCTTTCTTTTTCGACTTTTCTTAACCATGCAAATGGTGTAATATTTACTATACGACGGTGCTGCTTTTTTTAAAAATAAATAATAAAATTCAATAACTTAATTCCGTATTACTAAACAATAGATTGAACAAAAATCTGAGATGAGATCTTGCATTTTACATCCGTATCTTGAAGTTATAGTTATAAGTATTTCTTCAGCATCACACGCTCGATAGAACTAAAAAAAAACGTGTCACATGTAAACAGAATATGCTCTAGGTGAGTTCTTTAGTACATCAGACCAGATGAATTCGTTTTTTTATCTAAGTTATTTATTCAAACACTTTTTATATTACTGATAACAAGTAACAACAAGTACGAGAAAAAGAAGTACGAAAAACAAAATGCTTGATTGAATAATAAAAGAAAGTTATCATCAAATTTGGACATTGAATTTAGTGTGTGACTGCTTTCGACGAGGATGAAGATGAATGCGATTCGCTTTGAACGGTTTTAGTTCCACCAACAGTGACTGTTGCACCTTCAACATGAGTTGCACCAGAAGCTACAGCCTGAGTTGTGATAACTGTGGTTGCAGTGGATGTCAAGAGACGATTGGCATCTTCAGCTCCCAAACTAAAGGAAAAAAATCGAGTGTGAATGTTTGCATTTGTCAAGTCTCAAAACTTACGCAGCAACTTGTTCGGTGATGGCTTCGACTTTAGCATTAGCTTGAGCTTGTGCTTCACGTAAAACACCCATTTTCAATCGGTTAGCTTCTTCATTCAATTCATCGATACGTTTGCGAGCGTCTTCGAGAATCATCTCTTGACGTAAGTTCAAGTCTCTTTCGAGCGTGGCTAGGTTTTGAGCTTTGACAACATCGAGTTCTTCGACGAACTTTTGTAATTTGAGTTTGTATTCTTCTTCAACGACAGCTGAACGAGCGTTGGCATCGGCTAAGAGAGTTTGTTGTTGAATTTGAGTTTCAGCAACAATTCGATTGATAGCTGCGGCAACTTCTTCGGAGATTTGTTCGGTACGACGGCGAGAATATTCATCAATTTGTTGATGAGTTGTACCTGAAAATGAAATGATGCGAATAAGAGAAACGATAGGTACGATTAAAGATAATATTACCAAGTTTGCTCATTAAAGCAGCCATCTTTTGTGTATTTTCCAAGCTTACTTTGGATTGAGTTTCAGTGCTGACGACTGATTTAACAGCAACATTTTCAGCAACAGCTGTATGAGCTACAGCTGAGCCTGTGGTAGAAGTGGCAGTTTGTACGGTAGCAGACATTTTATTTGTAAGGTTAAGATTGCAATGAAATATCTAGAAGAAATAAACAAGACATATTTCAACCGTTTGACTCATGTGCAGCAAGATAACAGGAGAGTATAGATAGAAATTCTATTCACTTTATCTGTTAGAAAGATGAAGAAACGAATGAGTGAATGTTCACATCATTCTCGTCCTTTATATGTATGTAACATTCGTGTTGTTATCTATGTTTTTCAAACATACGCACCAATCTCTGCATTGCACATTTATCTCTTATCAGACAAAGTCCTCTTTCTCTGTACTCTTTATTTACGTGGAATAGAATAGATACCAAAGGTAACAGTCAGTAAAAATAAAGTAAATCATCGAAATTATGTTGAATAATCAAGATTATTTACCGGAATAATCATTCAATTCAACATATATTCCACTTCCAGACAAACTGCATGAGCAGATTCCAAAAAGAAACAGTGAGTATGACTCATAATTGAGCTGTTTAGATAGATAAATTTATAACAAACATACCCTTTGATATACTGATAAAATCGAAGTAAAACAGTACGCATCGAATGTTTGCTTTTGCTATAATATAGATACGACACGTGCCGCAGACCGATGAATCAACGTCCAAATTCCAAATGAATAAAAATTACATAAGAGATTCATGTACTCGATGGATACAAATTTCATTAACATTTCTTTTCTCGGCGTCAGTTATTCACGAAACTTTTGTGGAACATTCTACAGGTATTGTTTTATGATTGAAATAGGATTTTCATTAAATGCTCTTTATTTCGATTTTCCTGTTTTCATTATTTTTTTCATCCAGCGCACTCAGGAATCCACATGAACAAATCACACATAGAGACGAAAAAAACACGCGTTCCTCAGCGGAACAAATCATTTCGAGCTTGACACACTCGAACCGTATGACGAGAAAGACAGAAAAATAAAGACAAATTAAGTACAAGAATAGAAGCAAAGAAGACTTGTGCGAATCGTGCAATTGCTTGTTCGTTTGTACACGTAGTTGATTCTGTTTTGACGATCTATATGTCTGTAGCACGAAAACGTCCAGCCTGATCTCGAATTCCTAAAGCGAGAAGAACGTTATGCATTTTTCAATGAAACACAACATTGGTTTCGTTAGATTACGTCGGTCATATTCAGCTTTATCTTGCATGTAAATGCCATAAGCTTCGGCTTGTGCTGGATCTTTAGCATTCGGTTCATTGAGTAGCTCTTGTATTCCAAGTAGAATTTGTTTGATTGTTATGGCTGGACGCCAATCTTTCTCTTCATCAAGCAGGGATAAACATACTGTTCCACTCTACGGTGTCAAAAGATCAAACTCAGTGAACCTTTCGTGTTCTTTTTTGCGAAAACTATTTACCGGATAAATATTTGGATGAAATAATGGCGGTTCGAATTTACACTTTGGTGGCGTTGATGGATAATCATCTTTGAAGAGCATACCTGTACGAGAGAGTTGACAATCACATAGGATTATTCATGTGTTTTTTTTTTCTACTTACGTAATTTGAATAAACCACCTTCCCATGAAGTACCGACTTTTCCTAAAAGGCAGATAAGTGAGGTTCAGTCTGTGCGAAGGATTCTTTCTCTCTCTCTCTGATAAATACCTGGAATACCACATTCCCAATTGAGAAGATTATATGTTCCATCTTCATTTTTCACTGGTCTCTAATCAAGAGAATAGGATAGATTCAGAAGTGTGAAGTCGCATGAGGGATTTTTCACTTACAGCAATGAAACCAAAAGGATGATCTCGTCGCCATGCTCTACGTTCTTCGGTTAAACGTGCTATTGCGATACCGGCCATAGATCACTAATATTGTACTATTAGAAAAATAATTTGTTCAACAGTTCTGTAGAAAAATAGAAAAGAACACGATTTTGGCGCAACCAACGAGTCATAAGAGAACAAAGCTGCAATACTATTTTAAACTCATTGGTTCGCGAAGATTGTCCATTAGCCTCTTTCCTCTCTTGGTCTTATAATGAATTCTAATCTCCGATTTTCTCTACGATTCTCGCTGAGTTATACATCTGAAAAAGGCGTTTGTAGAACTACTGAACATAGATGGCGCTAGTCGATAGTACGACTATGACTTCAGGGTTATCTTTGTAATTTACTTTTATCGATTCTCCCAATGGTTTTGATAATAAGAATTGTGACAAGATGAAAACTTTATCGACATGTACATTCATCATCAGTTAAAGGAAATAGCATGGTAATCTGTTTGTAGGACTATTCCCAAATATGATTCTTTGATAAAACAACAAAAAGACCAAAAAAAATCAAGAAATACACAACAGAAAAAGAAAGCAATCGGTTAAACTTTAACTTTGTCGATTTCTGTACCGTTTGAGATTTGGTGTGAATGAATAATTATGAGCGCCGAACCGATTTAAGAACACACGAGTATCACAGATAATAGTGTGCTAAATGAAAATTATTATTATTTGCCAGTAATCATCTTGACAACTTCTAGTAAAACGAAAGAATGAGAGTGCGTTGATTTTCATCGATATTCGTACCTTCATATCGGATTATTCCGTTGCCAGTAGTATCGATTTCATTTAGAATTTCATCAACTTCATCATTTGAAAACTGCTCACCTAAATTGGTCATGATATGTCTAATAAACAAAGTTTTATGATGAGAAGAAAGCAATTTTCTTTGTCAAAAACAAATGTATTACTTCAATTCAGCAACTTTTATATAACCATGGCCATTTTTATCAAATACACGAAACGCTTCTATTAATTCGTCTTCTTCATTATGTTCTTTCGCCCGTTTAGCCATCATCTGAAGGAATTCATCGAAGTCGATCAAACCTTTGCCTAAAAGCAAAGAGAATGGACAGAACATTTCATACATAAAATCGCAAACCGTCGCAATCAAACTCATTAATTAATCCTTTAAGTTCGTCTTCTGTAGGATTTTGCCCAAGAGTTCTCATAACGTTTCCAAGTACTTTGGGATTAATCGCACCGTCGGAATCTTTATCGTACAGGAGAAAAGCTTGTCGAAATTCTAGAAAGTATCTGAATTCATGTGTAATCTTTCTTCCAGAATCTCGTTTACCTTGGATTTGTTCTTCAGTAAAATGTTCAAGCTAAAAAAGAACCAGAAACAAATTATTGATGAATGACAAATTCCACGTTAATCAATTACTACCTTTTGATTATCGCAAACACGAAAATGATCCGTATTAATTAGATTAGACTGCATTTTTCACTAACAGAGAATCTCAGTGAAAGAAAAGATTTCTCATGCGATATATCAATATGACAACAGTTTCATCTTTTATCAACTAATGCTACGAAGTGTACATCGACAAAGATAACGTTTCGTTGACAATACAAGCATAATCAAAAAAAGATCTACTTGTCATCGTCTTCAATGAGCAAAAACAACTAGTAAAACGTCATTATGATGAGAAACTTAACCTTGTCTTTCACGTACAATATCAATAAACAAATAACCATGACATCATTCCTGTTGCTGTCATGTAGAAAGTCGAAAATATTTTGATAGTGAACAGGAAAGAATATGAGTCTCTACAGTTCCTACCTCGATATGACACGGATCGTATGTGTAAAGCAATTCAATGTCAATCTCTTCACTTCTTCTCTTAGCAGTGCGAACATATTCGGGTACGATACACGGTGCACACATTGTTTTATAGGAAAACTTCGGCACGGATGACGTCTGAGACGAGTTTCTGTTTGAAACCGGTTTCGAATTCGTTAATTCATCGTCACGGTATCGAGTAATCAGATCATAAGAATATCGGCGATAATGATTTTCAGTTATTAATGATCGACTCGGAAAAAGATGTGGCACTGATCGATTATTCTTTCGTCTCAGCATTTTTCTTCGCCACAAATGATATTTGGTTTTTCTTTTTCATGTTCTAAAGTCTTCATTGCAAATGTCACATATTTGAAAGAGAGGAAAACGATCATATTGCCTTTCTTATCCTTTTTTAACCGTTATTAACACATAATATTTTTCGCAGATGTCACACACACACTCGAGTTTTACCCTCATAGTTCGCATGGCATGATGGTATTTTTAGCAATGCGAAATACCATACATACATTCAACGAGTAAACTCATATGCATATCTAATACGATATTGTACTGCTAAACACAAAAGGGAAACGAGCTCAATGTGAGTTGACATAGTTTCCATCGTCTAGGGGCAAAAGAATGATTCGAAAGAACTGTTCTAATGATACGATGACTAAGACAATACATTAACCAGACGCGCGGACAATTAGAGATTTGTATATTGTTTGCCTAGTTTCTTTTTTTTGTCGATGACGCACGTAGTTGTAACGAGATGAAAAGGAAAACATTCGTTTTATACGAACCGGATAAAAGACAATCTATCGATTAGGTACGCCTAAATGAAAGTTCGACATTGATTACTCATTTACAATTCAATCAGAAGAAACTCGAAAATAAATAAGAATGTCGTCGAAGGCAAATATGACAATTAGATCGTGTATTAAACGATTTAAATCGTCATAATTAATGTTTCTATCGGACAATCATACACATATTAAATTCTTGCGATTTATGTAACATTCAAACGAATAAGAAGAACAAAAAAAAAGAAGAAAACAACAGCCGTTCTCATGTTATCTTTTCTTTAATAGGAAAATGCTGAAACAACTAATTGACAAAGCATAAATAGTTCGCAAAAAGAGATACATATGATGGGAATCTATTTCTTAGTCTATATTGTTACCAGCAGAAGAAAAAGAACTGACTTTACCAGCAAAGGTAACCATGGATATTTCGAACTTCTCGCTTCGAGTACTTACCCAATTAGTGATCGTTGTCGGTGGCTGACCGAAGGACACTGTGTTCATGTGTTGTTATACTTTGACGGGTATTGTTTCCCATGAATGAGATCCAATGGATAAGTCCACTTTGAAGGGAAAAACTCAGCGCAATGGACTTCGTTCGGTGTTCTTCAATTTGCAAGGTTTGAACTTGTATGCCGTAAAACGAAAAAAGAAATGTTTTGTTAGCTCGCGGTAAGTTGAGTGTTGATAGATTTTTGAGAATCTTTTCTTTTGTCTGCTTATCTTTGGTTCTCTTTTCTTTCTCTCTAGATATATATGTATCTGTGTGTTATTTGATCTATCTATACATATACACATACTAGAAATGAGAGGAAAATAGCAAGCTCGTAAATAAGCATAGAGAGAAGACAAGACGAAGGAAAGCAAGGGGAGAAGAGAGCTAAATAGAAGACGATATTATGAAAGACAACAACGAATGATGAGAACGTCAAGCAAAGAAAATTATCATATTGTACCGTAAATACTACGATTACAAAAGCTTCTAGGCATACATTGTCGTCTTTTTTTCATCAAGTATTACCTCGAACGGTTCTCATCAATACGTCTATCTATCTATATGTAGAATTTCGCTCTTCAATATACATATTCAGTTGCATAAGGAGTTTGGTTCAGAAAATCGAAGATGTGCTTCATGCGTGTTAATAACCAGCACAGATTGATTGACGATTAGAACATCGATAATTGAGTCTAGATTATGACGAAAGGTTTGGCGTAAACGTCTGTATCTGCGAGTAATCCCGGATCATTCAATAGATGATTAGTAATGCTAGATAGAATCTGAATATCAAGGGGTTCTTTCGATACGAGAGAAAACATCAGTCAGATAAGTATAGCATATGTTAAAATAAAAGACGCGGCGCTAGTTAATGCTGTAGTTTGTCAAAGGTAAATAAACAATCAAGTACACAGAATTGATACTTTGTATGCGATATCATCTGATCAGATAATCATCGCTGACGACGTAATTTCGTCTTGCCCGAGATTATTTCAATAGCAATGAAGAAATTTAATATCAAACATTTCGCCGCCATAAATCTCTTTTTTTAGCCAATTCCTCAAAACATATGTGTTGTAAGATATTATTTCTAGATAAAGATAAGCCAAGCATTTTTTTTTGTTCGTCGAATATGTCTTACTTGTTATCAAGCTCAAAAATATATCTGTTGATGGCAAAAAAATAAATGGCATAGTAAAGTATTTGTTAATGTGACTCGTAAGATAAACAGATTATTTATTAGTATAACTCTGGTCTTCTTTTGATAATATATAGACATAGAAAAGTTTCACGTTCTTTCTTTCCGATAGAAATAATAAATAAACAATGGTACTAGCCGCACATCTCAGCCGAATCGATACTGAGAGAGATGAGTATAAAGAATATTACTACAGTTTCACACGCGCATTAATAAGTGCAAGGGTTGTCCAATGTAGTTTTTAGTCAATCATTACATCGAATAAAATTCTCTTCGATTTATTTTCTCTCGCACCTGAATCGATCCGGGTGTTATTTGAGCTATACAAAGAAAACACGCACACATATACGTATACGTTTGTCTAGAAAATATTGAACAACAGAGAAAGTTTCGTAAACTTAGTTCAACCACGAAGTTGAAAACCAGGACCTGATGGTATTATTTGTTCCATGGAATATGAATCATCATCACCTCCACCAAGCAGTTTCTCATACATCTTTCCAGCTGCTGGTGGAGTTGGTTCTTTTTGAGCTGTCGCTGTACTTGAGCCAGACGCATGTTGAGTACCACTGCGCGCAGTTGCTTTGGTTTTTTCTTCGTTTCTCGATGGCCACGTTGGAAACATTGATGGATCAATCAGGCGAGGACTTTCTTCAAAATAATCGTGTTTCAGTGCAGCCAATGCAGATATTCGCTTCGATGGATCATAAGTCAGAAATCTATTCAAACGCAAAAGTGTGATCTAAATTCAGTTGAACTTTTCGATTACTTACTTATTTAACAGGTCGAAGCCTTTCTCCGACAGGGACACATCAAATCTTGATCGAAGCCGATTGTAGGGATAGTTCGAGAATGTCATTTTCTTAGTGAATGGAAGCGAATTATAGTCAGGCCAAATCTTGTCTGTTGGTGTACCCAAATCTTTGAAGATACGATTCAGTTGATCGATTTCCGATTTACCGGGAAACAAGGGTTTCATTGTCAATAATTCACCAAAAATAGCACCTACACTCCATATATCAATAGGTGTGGAATATTCCTACATGTCGACATAACATTTTCGCATAATATCGGTTCAGAAAGAAAAGTAACAATGATCTTACTTTGATTCCAAGTAAAAGTTCCGGTGCTCGATACCAGAGTGTGACGACGACGGGTGTGTACGGTTTCAGTGGTGATCCATATTCACGTGCAAGACCGAAGTCACCGATCTAGATCGAATTCGATGTGTAAACGAAAATGAAATGAAAGAAGTTCATACTTTGAGAATGCCCTTATTACTGAGCAGAAGATTAGATGTTTTGAGATCTCGATGAATAATCCAGTTATCGTGCAAGTGATTTACACCGGCTAGCAATTGATACATTAAAGTTTTGACTTCACTAATCGAAAATGGCTTTTTCATTGTATGGGTCATGAGACTCTTGAGATCATGCTCGACATAATCCATAACAATGTAAATACGATTTATGTCATCACCAACAACAATTTCCTTAAAAAAACAATCATACTTATCATCGATGACAGAAAAGATATGCACTATGTGACATACTCGGACAGTACAAACATTTTCATGCTGTGATTTTAAAATACAACAGATTTCTCGTAGTGACGTTATTGGAAAACCTTCCTTTTCTTTTTCCATTTTCAATCGTTTCAATGCAACGACTTCACCTAAATCAACCAACGATGGTCAATTAAATGAATCAATATTCAGTAACCAACTCTTACCTGTTTTTTTATCTTGTGCACGAAAGACAACACCATAAGTACCCTCTTCGATTCGATTCATACATAGATATTCATCCACGCGTCGACAACCTTGTATAGCAGGATAGTAACTGGGTAATTTGGGCTTTTCTTCAATCAATTCTTTTTCAACTTGATGATCAATTGATATAGGTGGTGTCATAGCGGATTTTGATGAAGACGAAGCGGGCGTTGAGGATGAATGACGTCTTGATCGTTTATGATGATGATGGCGATGATGATGGTGATGACGTTGATGTCGATCATTGTCATTCTCGTCTTCATCGTCTTCTTGTTGATCGTCATCATCTTCCTCATCGTCGAAACGGCTTCGATGAGGTGGCGGCGGAGCAGGTTCTTCTTGTACTTCTTCTTCTTCTACTTCGAGTTTTTCTTCATCGTCACGTGAAGCATCATCTAGAGCAGAAATGATAAAGCTTATCGTCTGAAAAGAGGGACTGCCTAGTTTTACCAGGAGACGATTGTCTACGATGATCTTGTTTATCTTCAGTTGACGGATGATCTTCTTTCGAATGCTGATCATCACTGGCATCTGAAACGGATTCTAGAATTGAAAAAAGAATTATGAAACTCAGGTGAAACTTTTTCAACAGACCAGCTTCCTCTCCCTCTTCTGATGGCGAACGTCGTTCTCTTGATGAAGCTTTTAGTCGATGCTTTTGTTGATTATGTTTGGGTGTATCATCATTAGAACTCTCACCGGATCTTGAAGATCGACTAGACGAATGATGACGACGTTTTGATCGTTCTTTACTCGTACCTATCGTAACACAAATATTTTACCTCTAAATCAACAAAGACAGAAATAGATTCTCCTACTTCGCCTTGATGGACGTTTGGTTTGATCAGCTGGGATATATTCGATTTCACCTTCATCGTCATCATCATCTTCGATGATTTCCGAATGATAAATATCACTATTGATTGGTCTTGATTGTTTTCCGCTGCCGATGGTTAATGGCTTTGAACTTTCATTTTTGCTCGTTGTTGCTGTGTTGTAAAAGGACGATGTTTGCGTAACTTGCCGAACCGACGACTTCAACGTTTTAGATGTTGAAGATGGTTCTTCATAAATAACTGTACGTGAAGACATTTGAGAGGAACTATGCGGACGATTTCGATCATCGTCAGATCGACGACTGTGGGACGAACTTTTGTAATGATGATGTCCTATTTTAGACGATAAAGAAATAATTAAGATGTTCATTCTAGTAGACATAACTTACTGCTGCTCATTGCTCAATTACAAAAATATATATAAGCAGAATACCGTTAGAATCCAATCTTAGTAATATAGAATCAAGATCAAAATTGAAGTTTCCAACGCTTTATGTGTATTTTCTTTCTTTCACAATTATGAAATAAGAAGACAATTAGGTAGGTAGGTCTGAAGTTGTCTACTCATTGGTTGTAGCACCAGCCAATTCTGATCATGTGTGACATAAAAAAAGCATCTATTGTAGCACCACCAATACAGTGAGTCTGCCTTTAGCTGTGCTGGACAAAGAATAATTTTCTGATGTCTTTCTGCTGTTCCCTTCACACATTTCTACATTGAGTGTCAGGCACCCTTAATTAGATTGCTTCCAGTTTACTTTTTCCTCATTAGAAATTGTAACCACTGTGTAAATTTGTTTGTTACGACAACTTTTGAATCGTATCGAATGGTGAGATATGAGAAACACGGTGAACGAATCTTTCTTGTATAAAGAGAAATTGTTCAACGTAATCCGTGTGTGCCAATTCAAGATCGAGAGCAGTCAGATGAAGAAATGTAACGGATGTCACTGAAAACATTCGATATTTTTATAGTCCATTATGTTGCACTAACAATAAAAGTAATCATATTCCAAAAGGACGCATATCATCAGTAAGTACTTGTAGAAAATTGATGATATTCTTTGAATTTGCCATGAGTATAATCAAGCACTAATCTATCAAATCGTTGATTTACACTCACAAGTAAATAAAGAATACCAATATTATCCAATTTACGTCTAATCGTAATCCCCGTCTTCACTCTGCAATCGAACATTCATCCTCACCCTCACATGGCAACGTGAATTCTATCGGCCCAGTCAGCGTTTTATTTTTCAATCTGTTTCACTTCTATAATATGTAAACCAACATGTCTGCTATGTTTCGGGTTAAAAACAAGACGAATATAGTCTTCTCGAACGATTTTCAGTGATATTTGAATAAAACAAAATGCGAATAAGTACCACTTTGCTTTAAACACAGTATACAAAATACGCTCACAACATGACGTGTCAAGCGAAATAGTACCAACAATCTTTTCAGATTAGTATGTCTCATAAGGCACAATTACTAAAAGAAAGCTACAATCGGGAATTGATATAAAAGAGGTCTGTTGCATACGTCGTATGAACACTTTTTATATTTTCATAGATTAGCCGTAAGGTAAACTCTATCTGTATGTTATCGGCTTTCTTCATATGCCTCGCATGAATGTGGCTTTTCTTTTCTATTCTAATTGATGATCGATATTTCTCTATCTATCTATCTATCCACCATAATCATGCATTACGATAGGTTACTTGATCGACCAATGAGCGACTTTCTAACATATTTTTATGAAATATTTTCAATCTTATTCGGCACAATAAAAATCCTTTTCAGTAATGTTAAATTTTAAAAAATATAATAAAGATGCAGTTTGTAGAAAAATCGCAAATGCATAACTAAATTCCAAGACGTTGGTCTTCCATAAAATACTTTCTTTTTTTAAAATATGTGTAGAGGAGTGTTGTAGTGGTTGCTTGCTTATTTATTTGTTTACTTGCTCAATGATTGGCTAGGTTCAGTAATCATTCTAATCTTCGTTTATTATTTAGATGGTATGAAGTCTGATTACGAAGGTTTGATATTCTTGAAGAGAAATTCTTTCAATGTCCGTTTCAATCATTTAACATCATCCCGCAGATGTTCGACACTGTTATTCAATCTCTAAATTACTAGTCAATTTATTCTTTGTATTCGATATATACATATATATCTTCAAATAGAACAGACATCTCAAGATGATGTGCTGTTTGTCTGCCGAAGCACGTGAACAGAAACAAATCAATCGAGAAATCGAGAAACAATTGCGTCTTGATAAAAAGAATCAACGGCGTGAATTGAAACTGCTATTACTAGGTAGGAAACTTTCGCAATCGACATTGGTTTCTTGAAAGAAATTTCATCTTTTTTTTTCCTTCGAAATAGGGACGGGAGAATCCGGTAAATCAACATTCATCAAACAAATGCGCATTATTCATGGAACAGGCTATTCCGAAGAAGACAAACGCTCATTTGTTAAACTTGTTTATCAAAATATATTCATGGCAATGCATATAATGATTCGTGCTATGGATACGCTCAAAATACAGTACAGAGATAAACGAAATGAAGTAAGTTACCGGACGAGTCATTCGCTCAAATAAACATGTACTTCGTTTTAGTTGGAATATGCTCCGTTGGTCCGATCAGTAGATTATGAAACTGTGACAACGTTTGAACCTCCATATGTAGAAGCAATTAAAAGTTTGTGGAATGATCCTGGCATCAAAGAGTGCTATGATAGAAGAAGAGAGTACCAACTAACAGATTCAGCCAAATAGTACGATGGACATTGATTACCTTTGGAAATATTTTTACTAAACGATTTCTCGTTTTAGTTATCTGGATAGTATCGATCGAATCGACACGCCAGATTATTTACCAACTGAACAAGATGTTCTTCGTGTCCGAGTTCCTACGACGGGAATCATTGAATATCCATTTGATCTTGCAAATATTATATTTCGGTAGAAATCTTCACTTGGCTTCTTTTTCCTTTATGTGATTTGATTTCTCGCTGTAATAGAATGGTGGATGTCGGTGGCCAGCGTTCCGAACGTCGAAAGTGGATCCATTGTTTTGAAAATGTCACTTCGATAATGTTCCTTGCTGCACTAAGTGAATACGATCAAGTTCTTGTTGAATCTGACAATGAAGTAAGTTTCAAAAACTTTGTATACAAATCAAGGAACAAAAATGATTGAATGAACATTTAGAATCGAATGGAAGAGAGCAAAGCATTGTTCCGAACGATCATAACTTATCCATGGTTTACGAATTCATCTGTGATCCTTTTCTTGAATAAGAAAGATTNTTCGATAATGTTCCTTGCTGCACTAAGTGAATACGATCAAGTTCTTGTTGAATCTGACAATGAAGTAAGTTTCAAAAACTTTGTATACAAATCAAGGAACAAAAATGATTGAATGAACATTTAGAATCGAATGGAAGAGAGCAAAGCATTGTTCCGAACGATCATAACTTATCCATGGTTTACGAATTCATCTGTGATCCTTTTCTTGAATAAGAAAGATTTATTAGAAGAAAAAATCATGCATTCACACCTGGTTGATTATTTTCCTGAATTCGATGGTATGATCAAATCTAAATTCTGTTCGTTTTCAGGATGTTTCCTTATCGGCACACTTGTTTAGGTCCTAAACGTGATGCTCAAGCTGCACGCGAATTTATTCTGAAAATGTACGTTGACCTCAATCCAGATAGTGATAAGATTATCTATTCACATTTCACCTGTGCAACTGGTAAAGTTTTCGACTCATTTGTTTTACTTGCATTTCGATTTTTTTTTGCCTTCTCTTTTACAGATACGGAGAATATCCGATTTGTATTTGCAGCTGTTAAAGACACAATCCTACAGTTAAATCTAAAAGAATATAATTTGGTTTAGAACTATTTGAACAAGAAATATACAAAAATCTCCCGAATAGACATATATAAATATATGCCTGTCTCTCTCTCTCTGTCTCGTTCTCATTCTCTTCGTCTCTCCTTACTTATTCTCTTTATTCAAACACTCTACTTTATTATATTAGAATGGTCGTTTTACTCTTCTGTTTTTCAGTTTACGTGTGTTTTCTCGTACAGTGTGCGTGTTCAAAGTCAAATTCGAGTTGTTTCCTCTAGTACAATTCTCTCGTTTTTTTCGTTTTTGTGTCTCTCTGAACACGCTTCGACAGAGAAAACACTTATTAAACAAACAGTGACACTCAATCTCTCTTTCTCACATACACACACACGCACACAATGTTTTCTTCTCGATTTTTTCTTCTGTTTGTCATATATACATACCTCGTCTCTGTTTTGTACTTGCGCACTGCGCGTATTATTACTGCTGCTGCTCTCTAGTCTGTTTCTCTTCGAAATTTCTATGTTGTTGTTATTGTCGTTGATTATTGTGTCTTTTCTCTACGCATTGTTCAATTCTTGGAATGACAACAATACTCGTTGGTGGTGTCCATCATGCAATAGCCACATTTATTTCAATGTCTACTATTCGATCTGACTGNATACCTCGTTTCTGTTTTGTACTTGCGCACTGCGCGTATTATTACTGCTGCTGCTCTCTAGTCTGTTTCTCTTCGGAATTTCTATGTTGTTGTTATTGTCGTTGATTATTGTGTCTTTTCTCTACGCATTGTTCAATTCTTGGAATGACAACAATACTCGTTGGTGGTGTCCATCATGCAATAGCCACATTTATTTCAATGTCTACTATTCGATCTGACTGGATTTCTGTCTATCGCTTTTAGCATTCTTCTTCGTTTCTTTTTTATATTATCATTCTTTTGTTTTTTCGTGTGTGCGTGTGTGTCTGAACTACAATAATCGTTGCGTTGCAGTGTCGCCGCTTCTTTCTCTCAATTTCGTTTTTTTTTCATACTCTACTATTACAAGAAGGTTCTCTCTTTCTCTCTTTTTTCTCTGGTTTTTCAATTGTATAAAATAAATAAACGAATAATGAAGAAAATTCGTATCAATCTCATATTCAATTTTTCTTTTCTCTTCTAGATCTTTTCGTCTTCTTCAAAACCAACAAACAACTTCATACAACAAACAATGGCTGATCAAGATACTGCTGGTTTAAGCGCTGCTGATTTAAAAAAGAAGCGTACATTTCGTAAATTCACCTATCGTGGTGTTGATCTTGATCAATTATTAGACCTAAACACCGAACAATTAATGCCATTGATACACTGCCGTGCTCGTCGTCGTCTATCACGTGGTCTTAAACGTAAACCAATGGCTTTGATCAAACGTTTACGTAAAGCCAAAAAAGAAGCACCTGAATTAGAAAAACCAAAAGCCATCAAAACACATTTACGTAACATGATCATCGTCCCCGAAATGGTTGGCTGTGTTGTCGGTGTTCACCAAGGCAAAACGTTTAACTCAGTTGAAATCAAACCTGAAATGATTGGTCATTATCTCGGAGAGTTTTCAATTACATACAAACCAGTTAAACATGGTCGACCTGGTATTGGTGCCACACACTCCTCCCGTTTCATTCCACTCAAATAGAGAAGGAAACAAAGACCAAAACGACAGAAAAACATGCTAAGTTTTCATCGTGTTGTTTTGACTTTTTTTCATCTTGTATCAACATCATACATAAGATGAATAAAATCTAGAAGAAAATTATTGCTCGAAAAGATATTTATCTCTAATCGATAAAACAGATCGTAATTTGACTAGAAATCCATTATAGCATTGAATAGCATCTACATCTCCGAATTGTTCTTCATGACGAAGGATTCATGCACGATTATTTTATCACGAGAAATCTGGAAGATCTCGCGTTCTTAGAATTTACATGAATGGCTGATAGAAGATAGTTATCAGTCGTTTTTCAGCAAGAGTCTTCTTTGTTTAATATGCTACAGCATTGGACTCGATTGGAAGAGCGATTTGTTGCCGTTCCATTAGACAGGGCATGTGAAAAACAGGTATCAATATTACAGTTGGGCTATTGTGAACTAAGTTTACGGACTGATGGACTTTAATTGAGCTAGTTTAAAGGAAATTTTTACATTCTGTTAATAAGAATTGAGATTTTGGCGCTGACGGAAATGAAAATGTCGAGCATAATAATTCGCATATTATCCTTCATTCTTCTCTTCATTTTTGCTTATCCATTGACGTTATTTCTTTATCCATGGTGGATATTAATTCAGCCCCTGGGGGCCTATGATCTTTTCTCAAATATGGTGGACGAAATAACAGCGATAATGCATCTACCTCAAAAGTTTTCTTTATCAATTCAAACCGGTACATGGTGGTGGAATTTATGATGAGAGATACAAAAAAAGCGACTAAATAAATAACAAAAAAAAATGCCAGTCGATTGTTCGCTGTCAATTTTCTAAGCATCAACATCGTCGGGATTAGTTTTTTTCGTAGATAGACTCAAAAGTCGTTGATCAGCGTTCGCTTGTCGAATTGACGAGACCGTCTTTTGCCTTAAAAAGCTATATTTCGATAGGGTAAACAACTGTATCAGTTCATTTCGAAAGACTCGACCAGTTAACGTGTAAATATAGAAGTGGATCGCATGATTCAATTGCCCCATGGCAATAAAGATTGCTGTGACTAAGGCCGCAGGACCTTGAGTCTGAGGAACGTCGGGTGGATGAAAAGCACGTATCGTATCATTTATTTCTGTCGGTAATGTAAATACTAAAAATGCTAAAAAAGGAAACGAAAACAGTTCTTTGTTTTTTGCTAGAGCAAGAATGTACAACAAACATACCAGCTGCGCTTCCAAGTAACATAACAGTTAATTGTTTTTCTTTATCATGTCGTTTTCGGGCTTCCTTTGATTGACCTGCGTTCGAAGCAGTTGTTGTAACCGATCGTCGAGAAGTAATAACACGTATCAGAATAATTATATTACATATTAACATAACAATAAACGGAATAACAACAGCGAATAACATATCTAAAGAGTCGAATATCGCGTAGAAGCGATCATAAGTCATTGAATACGGCTCATTATAATAGACATATTTAGCTTTTGATGGGAGACAAAATTTTGATGATTGCTCGTCAATGATCTCAAAGCCCCAGAAGAGATGACCGTTGATAAGAAGAAATACAATTGACATAACAAGAATAATATAGATCGCAATGCGTGCTCGACAGAAGTACTGCGATTTCACAGGACATTGAATCGATACTGCTCGATCAATAGATGCAACAGCTAGTAGAAAGTTCGATAGATCAGTAGTGAAATAGACCAGTAAGGGATTTAGTTTACAAATGAATGTCCATTTCATTGTCAAGGAAACATTATTAAACGATGGAAGGACGGTATCAATAAACGATGAACACAATGAAGCTATATCAGTAATAGCTAATGCAAGAAAATAGATAGCACAAGATCGACGTCGTAGCGCTGGTCGACTAAAGACTAATACACTAAGTAAATTGCCGATGAATCCGATAACAAAAATCGCTAAACATATGTATTTATATACGAGTTTCTCTGCTAGATTACGATAAGGATCCTCGGATGTTGTTATTGTATTGTTTTGAGTAATTTCTATCGATGACGAGAGATTATACACTAATACATTTGAATGTGGTAGATGTAGATTATTAAAATGAGGTATAGTGTCTTCAAATGTAGCGGAATAGAAATGCATTATGAAAACTAAATGAAAGAGGAAGAGAAAACAATTACATGAATATATATATATATAACAATTCTATTATCTTGAGAGAAAAAAATAAACGGCAAATGTTCGGCTGTTTTCAGACATAAGCTAATTTGTTTTGTTCCAAGTGAAAATGTTCGTCTAGTGATAGTTAATTACGTTTTTTTTTTCTTCTTTAAGATCTCATATTACATCTATATCATTAAAACAGAATAAGAGAAAAAACAGAACTACCTTCTTTTCAAACATGCACACACTTTCAATTTAATTTATTATGATCGAAGAAAAGTTTTCTGTTGTCTGGTAAGAGGACAAATCCTCTTTGTTTTTAGGTTCTTCGTTGACAAATTGTCACCAACATTTGCAATTCTAACAATGAAAACTCGAATGAATCTGAAAATAAAGAAAAAGACATACACAAGATGATTGCACTGTCTGTCTTAATTGAATAAATCAAAATGTTCTCGTGAAGAATTAAAGTAAACAAAACTAAAAAGTACGATCTGGTATGTCTTATGCAAACATGATTAACTCTTGCAGTTGGTAACATACTTCTAAACATTCCATTCTATTGCTTCGATATACATTGTAATTGAACACTTGAGAAGCACGAACGATGATGAGAAAATGACAGAAAATAAAGACTGAGAATGTCAGAAGTTTATCCAGCTTTTAGCTCGGAGAATCTCTCGAAAAGATGAACATGCTGTCTGAAATATGTTGACTATTGTCTATCAGAGAAAAGTCTTCGTAGAGAAATGCACACTCGTTCGAGTCTATCGTCCTAATGATAGAGTAAATCTGGAAAGTAGAAACATATCGTTTGGCCGACGAAGTTATTCACACATTAATATTTTGCTTCAATAAGTTATTGTCGAGCTGTTCTTTCTCTGCTTCTCGTTCTCGATTTTCTTTACATTATTATTTTCCTGTTATACGATGCCAACAAAACATCAAACATGAATTCGAGTATCATAAGAGTAATAAATAAAGATAGAAAGGGATATATATATCATACCTTTTATGATTTGTTTGCAAGTATAAGTTCAATTGCGATTGATGACATGTATTTACTGAGATGTGGGAGGAAAATATCAGCTAGACAACGGATGAGGACGATTATATTCAATCAAAAGTGACAAACAGCGAGACACTGTTCAGAGAGGAGATAGAGGATAGGATTCCTTGCATCATGATTATTATTGTGTCTTTCTATCAATTCTTGTTCTCCCTTTATGAGTTCTATTGATAATAAGAAAAAGAAAAGACGGAGAAGAAAAGAAAAAGAACAAAACCATCATTGACTAACGATATGACTTGGTCTGAATCGAACTAAACCTGCGTATATGAAATAAAATTAATCAGCACTCTTTGGAATATATAAACAAACATTGATTCATTCTCATGCTCATTGAACAGTGAAAAACTAGATGAAAAATGAGCAAAATTCAATATTATCCGTCATCTGACTACCTCGACAAATGTCAGCTAATCAAATACAAACCACTTCTTCACTTGTCCCAGTATGTGCATCGAGTGCGACCAGAGAAAAACATTCTATTTACTAGGAAATGATGTTGTCTTTCACTTCAAGTGTCGACAGTCTTCAAGGTATTGAAATCATTCGATCAAAGAGTTGTCGATAATTTCCTCTGGCGAATACGATTTCGAACGTTTATGGACGAGAATAATCAATGTGTTTTTGTCGTTCTCAACGTCTGTTTATGATGAGAAACGCTCCTATCGTATTACATGGCAGTCCAGAATATGCCGATGCATGACTCCAGTATTTCGTTTTGTTTTGTTTTAATATAAATGATCGCGAAGATTACACGTTCTTCTCGCGTCTATCTGAGAAAGAATGAGCAGAGAATAATTAGGTTTGCGATCAGACAAGTATTTTATTATGCATATTAGTTAACAAAGAATTTTGATTGTATTCTCTAGTTCACAAACAATTCCTTCGAGAGAATAATTGCTTTATTCGAGAGATCTGCACTGGACTCGAATAGAGGAGAAATTAACGGCCAGTAACCTTTGTCAGATATTTTCTTTCTCTCGAATGAAGTGCTATGATCCCAGAGCAGTTCGATGAGTGACAAAGAATAGGAAAAAGACAACGATGATGTTTTCTACGGAAATAATTAGCTTTTACACATCTTTTCTCTATTGAAAAAAAAACGGCATCAATTCACAATAAAAAATACTTATCGCTTGGAATCTTCTATTACGAATTGGATATTTTCAGATCGACTGATAGACGTTTATGCTCGACACAACAACAAAGCCATCATCGTTACAAACTCGTTCTCGTAGAAATACTATATCGATATTGTTCTGAGCTCGTCGACTGAAACAAAGGCGTAAGAGCTCGAAAGAAAGTTTGCAATTATTTTATTATACTTCATTGAATCTTGCAAGGAGTTTTTCTATACAACGAGCTGCTTGCTTCGAATAATCCTATTCCATTGAAATCAGTCATCAAAATTATTCGACATGTTCGTGTCAGTCGAGATGAACTCATGTACTTATAATAAGCCAGGAACAATCTGCCAATGCAGATAATTAGACTTGCCTTGTGTTTATATGAGTAAGAAAAGTCATGACTTGTAAAGATAGGACTATTGTAAAGTATTAATACCACCGGTGTAAACTTTTATTTGAATTTCAGTTTTCTTTTTATAGAAGAAAAAGCAAGGAGATAGAAAAACAATACAAAGGAGCGGTTATGACTGTTCTTCGAGGCATTTCCTGGAAGGAAACTAATGATGAAGTGTGATAGGGATCAAATTTGCTTTGTTGATGATGACTAAGATACCAATTGTTTAGTTTTACGCGACTGTGCCAATTTCGACATTGTATATCCGAATAGAACCCAACCACTGAGAACAGCAAGAACCGAATTTGCTCGACCACGAGTTGTGAATGAATTGAAATGGCGGACATACCAATTCGTGGACATTTTTGCTTGGATATGAGCGGGAATATCTGCGTGACTACCGCCGCCGCAACGAACAAGGCTGAATTTCATTTTCGGCAGCTGAGAAATGTGAAAGATATTCAATCAACCTGCAAATAACATCTCCTCGATCGATTTGTTTTGGGATATGTATCAGACGAGAACCAATCAGGGTGATTTCAAAACGACATCTAGAAACGATCGATCGTGCGAGTTTCGCAGTGAATATCTGTGGAAATTCTTAGATAAAAATACAATGTTCGGAAGAAAGAAATATTTATTTAGTAGACAGAATAGATTCAGAGAAAAATAGTTTTATAGAATATGAATAAATACAATCACCCGGTAACTTTCAAAAGTCGAGACCAAATAGCAGCCTAAAAAACGCAGTACGCGCTATCAAGAGCAAAGAAATGAACAGGATAGAACTTACTGGCATAGCCCATAAGAATAAAAGTAAGAATATGATAAAGCAGACCAGAAAGATTGCGCCGATAATGTGCCATTTGAATTTTCTCCAGATAATGTTCTTAAATGTACGGAATGGTGATTGAAACCAGAGAAACGATGTCTCCGGTCGTCTGAATGACAAACGATATAGAATTCGCATAAATTAAATGTTAAGTTTTCTCTTACTGAGGCTCTTCCAGTTTGGGATTTTCATTCGGTTCTTCTCGGCCACGGCCAGCTGGTCTCTTGGCCGCTTCTTCTTCGGTCAAAATTTCCAGTTCAAGTTCGACTTTTCCCTAGAAAAAAAGCACATGCATGTAACTGATCCGAACGTATAGAAACTGAAGTTACTGTTAATTCTGGATCGCCACCGGCAACATCGACACAAGGCCACCAACCTTTCACACGTTTCATTTCGAATAATGATATATGACTCGAAGAATCATCATTCAAGATGTCTATTGTACAGAATTCCGAATTTTTTGCCGGTTTGTACAAATGATTCAAGTCAAGCGTCAACGCACCTAGCCAGCATACAAAATCACGCTAAAGATTCGCAGGAGGGAAAACAAGATAACCTACCAAGAAAGTCGTCTGCACTGAATTTATCATTGTCCCAAACTTGTATATTCAATACAGGCGGAATAGTTAATTCAGTTGCATCATAACTCCAGAAATGTTCTTTCTTTTTCACCGAAATGCAACGTTCAGCTGGTAGATATGCAAAATCATAAACGAAACGCCAATTGAAATTGCCTTCACCATCCATCGATCTGCGAACCAAAGAATAAAGACATAAGTCAACAATAGCGATAATGATACAAACCGATAGTGTATATCTGTTTTCTGAACATCCTCTTCAACACCACTCATCCAACCTTTCACATAGATGTCGGACATTTTTTCTCCTGTAATCGATGTTTCTTGTAGTATAACATCACTGGTGTTCCAAATAATGCAGCGAAGAACATAACTAAAAATGATTTCATTTCGTACCAGATATCATTCTTTTGCGCTCTTACGGTTTCGGTTTTCGAGGCGTGATATCAAACGTTGGTCCTGGCAATCCTAACGATTTTGGAAAGATATCGACGAACAATTCTAAACGACCCTGTTCGATCAGTGGTTGTAATGGATTAAACAATGGTCGAGTTTCGACATGTTCCGGACAGAGACGTAGTTTATGCAAGATGTATAAAGCTAGGCGTTCTTCATCGTCACCAACATGAACTGTCAGGTGTTTTTCTTGTTCTGAAAACGAGTGAATATGAAATGAAATAACATGAGAGAGCGGAAGCAATAACAACGAACCGAAATCTTCCAGACGAAAAACTGACTCTCCAATTTTAATGGTATGATCATCGACTAATTCCGGAACAGGTAGATTATTACGTTTACAGACATCGAAAAGAATCTTTCGAGGGCGTACACTATCCCGCCAATGATTCGGACCCGTTCTAAATAAACAGCATTGCACTAGTAGCGAAATCCGATTTCTACCCGATCTCTTACGCATTGTATTGTAATGGAAGACCACACGTGGCTCGATATTTGCTTAAAAATCGATTTTCTAAGTCGATTGTTGTTTGACCAATGACATCATCGGATGTTAACAAATCCCAATCTTTAATACGAATAGTTAAATCTTTGGCAGTTGGAATGATTGTTTTCAATTCGAACATTCTACAAATGCACAGAGAGAGAGATATATATAGAAGGAAATTTTCATTTGGAAGTCGATCTCGAGGAGCAAGAGACGTACTTTCCAAAGATGGGATTTGTTGTATTCGGTATTTTTTCATCGCGATTATCAATACGAGTTTTGCCTAGTTCAATCTCAATATAAGGATCTGATTTGCCATTCGAATCCGTTGGTTGTAAATCGATTGCACGAATAATGTAAACTCGAACAATGCATTCTTCTAAACTGCTCGACGGTAAGTTTTCCATGATTCGAGGCGGTAATGGTTCGCTCGGATCTTCAGGCAATGGATAAACTTTAAAGAGACCTTTGAATTCACCGACGATTTCATTTTCTTCTTCAAATTTCGTTTTGCCACGAGATAATTGAAACGTTCGACAAAAGTCACTGAAACCTTCGTAGATTTCATGCGATTCTAGTGGATGGTTCAAAATCTAAAACGATCTCTATCGGTAAAAGTCGAATCAAATAAATATGCATTTACTGTTAATGTTTCATAGCCTTTCTGAGTGTAAGAGCCACATTTATTGAAGTCACCTTTCGATGCGTAGTATTTCGACCACCAATCGATATCTTCTTCAACGGCCGGCTGAAAATAAACGATCAGTGGTCTTATTCTTGAAGAAAATCTTGGACGTACTTCTTCCACCAAGGGAATACTTTGATAATGTTGAGGATTTTTTCCCATCATGGATTTTTGTATTTTAGCCAATTTCGATTCCGGTTTCATCGGTGTGCCATTTCCTTTATGCTTTTTCAAGAAATGTTTCACCCGTTTTTTCATTGATTTTCTATCGACGATGGTTGTCTCCGTTTCATTTGTTGTGACTGCAACTGTCGTCGTAGCCATAGCACCGTCAGCTAAACTGCTGGCTGATTTAGATGACTAGTGAAAGGAAAATAGCAGGTACTGGTAATTCGAATTGAGTCGCGTGCTTACGTCCTTCGATTTCTTCTTGGACTTCTTGTCGACTGGAGTGGCAATTTCTTCCATTGGTGTTTCGGCTGGTGTTGGTGCATCTACGAACGAATATGGATGTGAAAATGATTGATTAGGGGTAGTCAAACGTACGAGCTGCTTCCATAAGAGTCAATGACGGTGTGGTTGGATCACATCGAAATTGTTCGAGTGATTTAATAACATGGAAACCGACAATGGGTTTTCTTCCGAACGATCGATGATCTTTCACTTTGATATTCATAGGCGGCGCATAGAGATCTTCTTTTGGCAACATCTATAAGGAAGCAAGATACGGAAATCACGAGAATATCTTCGTGAACATATACATACAACATCAAGGAAGAGTAATGGTCGATCGAAATTTGGTGTTTTCTTCGTGTTTTTGATAATAGTGGACTCGATTTCGTGTCCGCCGACTTCAAAAACCACTTGTGGACAGTCCACATCCGATAGCATGAATGTCTTCATATTACGAATACCCCATGAAAGAATCTAAAACAAAATCCATCGCTTTCCTTCAACTCGAAATTTGTTTTTTCGTGTGTCAACAAACTTCAATTCCAGTGCGGACAAGCTGTGGTCGAATGGAGTGTGGTACAACAAACAATGAGCCGCGTTTTGGCGGATGTGGTGGCATTTTCTTCTCACTGTCAGTTTCCGGCAACTAGAAAAAGACGAGATTGATCAACTAGTTGATCTATTTCGAGCGTTTACCAAGAACAATTCAAAAGCAGCTAATAATTCTCCGGCGTCGTCTTTGCCGATTTTAACTGGAAACCATTTCAACTTGATTGCTGGTTTAGTTTCGTCAGGTGTTAAACGAACAATTGGCGCACATTGCACACGACCGAGGAAATCCGGAGCACCCTGAACATATACAAAACATACCGTTATCATGATGGATAGTTTGATTAAAACTTACATATTGATCTTTGTCAAATAGTTCAATGAGAATATTCGGCGGATCGTGATGGATCTCGTCAGGTTCACCGAATAGTTCAACAGTTGAAAAGATCAATGTCTAAAGGAGAAAACAAATGGATCCACTGAATAGAGTGGAACGAAAGAACACCAATTACTTGGTCCCATGTAGGACATAATGATTTCTCAATGACTTCCGTACGTTGACTTTGGTTAATGAATGCAATTTGAGCGAAGGGATCCGAAAAACTATCGTTATCGGCCGAGATCAAATTTCTCGCTTGATAAATATATGCACGAAGTTCATAATAATAAGGTTCTACAAATTTTAGACAAGTTTAGTTCTACTCTCTCCTATATACTCGTGATAGACAATTACTTTTAAAAGCTAAATACATTCTCGGTGCATTCAATTCAATCTTCACTTCTTTCGTTGTTGCAACAGTAGTGGCTGATCCATCGGCTTGTTCTTGTTCTTGCTGTTCAGATTTTGTCGGTGAATCAGCAATTGCTGGTACTTGAGATTGCATTCGAAAAACAATATCCGTATTGGCTGCAAGTTCAGTGCCTGAAGCATCAAATGTCTGTTCAGCAGATGGAACCATCTTTCGATGCCAGCGTCGACGACGTGTCATATCCATGCTACGTTCATCAGCGTGAAATTTCATATTGAACATTGGAGCGTATTCCCATCCATCGTTTTTCAATGGCTCATGAAGATCTTTTCTCTATAGAAAAAATAAAATAACGATGGACTTATGGAACTACAACTAGACGGAAACTAAATCTAAGGGAAATCTAAAACCCACTTCTCTGTCATCGGATGAACCGAGCAGTGCAGTTCGTTCATCCGACGCGTCAAAGAAAAGAAAATTATCCTGAAATGCGAGTTAATCAAACAGAACATGTCTATGAAATAGAATTACTTTTCGTTCTTCAGGTGTTGCATCGATTTTGATAATACGATTTCGATACCAACGTCGTCGACGATTTAAATGAAATACTTTTTCGGTTGAACACCATCCACCGAGAGTTTGGTTAACACAATATTCAAAACCTGGTTTACGAAATTAGATCGCACATCAATCATCAAAAATATTTACCTTCTTCATCAACAGCTCGGTTGGAATCGATCGTCCACTCATCTTCCCAAACCCATCCTGATGGTGGCTCCGTTCGTTCATCTTTACTCGGTACTTTGTCCCCAGCCTTAATACGCAATAGGATAAGTAGTTCCTTGCTTCTTTTGACAACTTTCTTACCAGATCCGTCCATGGAACAGCCTTCGGTTGCCATTGAGCACCAGCAATCAGACGATACTGATGTTCGTACACCTCTTCCGTAAACTTTCGATGTCCAGCATCCTCAGCATATCGAGCACTAAATTACATGATAAAAATTTCTTTCTACAGACACTCATCAAACCTTATTTCTGGACTGATGTACCAATCACCATCCCATCGCCATTTGGGTGGCAATTGAAAGTTCTTTTTCGGTAAACTGATCTAAAAAGTTTCAACCTTGTAAAGAAAACAAACTCCACTTGGAGGATCCATACCGTTCCAGTAGCATCCGACCATGCTGGTCGACTCATTAGTGGCCCTGATGATGTCCATTGGCCCAAAACATTCGTTTGATTTTCATACGTTTCTGCATAGATCGCCAAATCTGCGCCTTTCTGTTGCGATAACCAATCCTGTTCATGAGTAGCAAGACCTAGCCAGATTTTCACTCTGATTTCCGCTGGAATGAAATTTCGTCTGTCTTTTTCAATGTCACTTTCTTTTCCCGGCCATTTCATTGTCACCGTCTGCACTTTACCGCAAAGTCGACCACGACGATCGACATTAGATGAGTAAAACACTTCATTCGCGGGAATACGATAATATGCATAACGTTTACCATTCGACAATAGCCAAATGATCACATCAGGGATGCTAACTTGTGGCTAAACGATTCACGTACATATTTTCATTTTTTTCCAACGAACAAGTCGGTTTACCTCAGCTTCGAGATATTCAAGATTCTCTCGAATATCTTCCAATGTGTTGATAATTTCCTGCGAAGACTTCGCGTGCATTTTCAAATTCTCCAGTTTGCTTATCATATCCTTGAGATCCTTCACACGCATGTTGCGTCGTAAACGATCCAATTCATTTGTATGATGACGGCCAGGTTCGGGTTCAGGTAACGGTTTTCTAGACATACAGAAATTTAATTTAAGAACAAAACCATCTTCATGTTACTTCAAATGACCAATGACCAAGTCAAGTGATTGCTTGTAATGTCGCATGAGAACTTCATCAGATGTCTGTTTGATTTTCAATAAGTCTAATGTTGAGAGAAGACCCGTCTAGATACAAAACAATATTCCAGTACAATGGAAAATCAAACCCAGATGATGATCATACGATGAACAATTTAATTTTTGACAATTGATTCATCGCTTCTAGACGAAAGCTAACATCTTCCCATTCACTAGCGACTTGTACACACGGTTTCGTATGTCCCCATGGTAGGAAGTAATAAGATGTTCCATCGAAAACAGGGTTCGATGGTGGCGTTGTCGAACAGCTTGCAGCACCAACGAGATCATCAAATTTATTACCGTAATTACCGATACTCATTTCGAATTCCAGCGTCGATTCATGTTCGTATAGCATGCATGCATCAAGAAATGCGGCATGGAGTTTGTACTTTTTACGTGCTTGATATGGCAATACTCGAACAAGATCCGAATTTGATATTTCACCGATTGGTTCCGATGGTGTTTCACCAAGAATAGTTTGTAATTCAACAAACACTCGGCCACGATAAGCGACACCTTCACCCTACGATAGAAAAGTCAGAGATCAGAACTATGAAGGTGATTCTTTCTGGTCAACTTACTTTGCCACTGTTTAGATCGTCCAATGCAGTCGGAACATCGGAGTATTCTCGTGGCGCACCATAAAGATTGATCCAGCTCGGACCAAATGTTGGTAGAAAGCCTGAAAAACAAATCGAATCAGTATGCCTTCACATTCACTCTGATCTCTACCATTATCTTTCGTGAAAACATCAATTAAACCAACACCAATCATATCGCTGTGCGTAAACCGATCCCTTCAGCATCATCAAAGCAAAACATATATTGAAAACAAAGCATTTCTATACAAGCAGATCTAATCATCAATGGAATGCTAGTCTCAATCTACGAAGCATGTCGAACTCTAAGAATGAGTACCCTTATCGCTCAATTGACTGATGAGTATTATCTTAAGAGAAGTCGTTCCAGCCTTTTCATCACGTGTGAATTTGTCCCTTGAATGAAATGAAAGGTGAGATAAAATACCCAGCCAATGATAATGAATTCGTATTCGAATGAAAACATATAAATGTGCAATACGAAAGTAAAACAAAATCAACGTTCATCAATACCATTTTCTCGATCATCACATAATCGATTAATGTTAAGCAAAGCGCAGCCCGTTGTATCATCGAATTGTAGTCGATCCCTGTACATGTATGTCACGTTTGTTATAGTCATATTCTCAAGATGTATCGAGTCGACAGAAAATGTAAACTAAATTTTAACTTACCAATCCATAACAGTCAATGTAATTTTGTCACACATCGATGGAAACTACATGGCAATGAAAGCAATCCGATCAAAGACCACAGCGACTTACTTTAAGGCCGAGTCGAAGTTCTTGATTGTACTCCGGATGTGAACATGTGTAAACAATTTTTGATGACACTTGCTGACCAGCAAATGAAAAATTGACGTATGGATCGATCAATTCTTTGATATCTTCCGTAGCATGAAAGATCTTCTTCACTCCATGCAAAAATGCACTATCCACTACAATCACGAGAGAGAGAGAGAGAAACAATGTTTAGCTGTTCCTTCGAACAAAACGAACTTCTTGGTAAATCATCGGCTTTGTAGACTTTCAAAATAAACGTTGCTGGCCGAAGCATAAGACCAGCTGGTCTTAGTAGATTACTTTCAATATCGTCATCATCGCCATCATTTTCTTGCGCCTAAAAACATCCGATACAAAACGTTGTTCTATTGAATCGATCGAATAGTCATATACCGGTGCTTCATCGCCTGGTCCTAGGATGTTCACTGTTACTTTCAGATAACCTTTTGAACCGGACATTTTATCATCATCATCACTCAACAACAACCACTTTCGATTGATGGAGTGTTTTGCTTGCGCATAAATGTAGTTGATATCCATTTTGAACGTTCCAATTTTCATATCCGATCGAAGTGTTCGTGAATTGCAAACTTCAAATTCGATCATTTCATCACACAATTCGGCTTCAGACATATGAACATTAAAAAAGAAGACTTCGTTGAAATACGGTTGATTTGTTCCTTTTTGAATTTTTGTTTGTTTAACGTCTCCAATGACACGCACCCGACACACCGGATGTAGATTACTTCCGTCCAATTGTCGAGCTTGAAAAATTTTTATTCGAATCTGAAATTCACTCATAAGTTTCAACAAAATCAATGGTCAAACTCACTTGGAAATCTTGAGGTTTTGTTGATCGTGGTTTATTTTGTCGTTTAAATGCAAGATCAGCTGTAGAATCTGCTTGCCAGGATGTGTCACCGCCATTTTGCAGAGGTACATCATCGAATTGATTTGAATCGGTTGCTAAGAAGACATACACTTCGATACTCATATACTCGTATTTATTCTTCCTTACCGGCTTTTCCATTTGTTGGTACTTTTCCACCACCCGTAGGTGAAACGTATTCCAATGTAATGTATAGTTTCGTCTATCGTTCAAAATAGAAAAGATCTTCTCTTGTTAAGAAACTTACCGCTTCGAGAACGACACCTTGAGGATTCATTAGCTGAACGAGACGACGTTTGATCGTACCAACACGCAGTACTTCACTCAACGGTACTGTACTTTGCCCAATGAGTCTAATAATGTATCCGATAGAGTCATACAGATAAATGCCATACTCAGTCGATAGTTACTTATTTGACCCAATAGTTTCATGATCTTTCAACTGAACTTCGAGAATATCATTGTTTTGAATGGGTACACCATTCAACGGGAAATCAAGTGTCTAAAATCCGATTGATAAGAGAAAAATTAACAAAAATCACAGTCAGATTTACTTCATCCCATTTGGGATCACATGTTGAGCGTTGCCAGTTTGTTTGTTTTTTCACTCCTAATCGACAAGAAAACGAATGACTACGTTGAATTCAATTGAAAACAATCAAACTATCCCATAACAAAAAATATTCACATATGGATCGGGTGATCCTCGAAACCGTTCGGTCAGTGGTACTTTCTCAGCATTATGCACAATAATTCTCATAACACCATCGTTTTTCACGTCACTCATCGTGTGCACTGTGTTACATCAATCATAAAACATCTCTCATACACTCTATTCTCTTTTATATCACCATTAACCGCCCACAGAAATGAATAAATATGTTTAGTAAAGTTTAGACACGTACATACCTTGAAAAATTAGTCGAACCAGCGGATCCACACTAGTAAAACGTTCGACGTTGGGTATGTGTTCAGCATTATGAACGGTAACTTTAAGCATTTTTATTTAATTATTAGAAAGAGAAGGATGTTTTTTGCCGTCGGGACGAAGGGATATTGCTGATGTTGATAAAGAAGAAAGACGACAATGAATGTCGATTGAATGAAACTTTATTCATCTTGTTTTTTTCTTCTTGTTCTAATGTGATTAAAGCTGACCATCTGTTGCATTAATGAATACGTCATATATGGCAAAAGATGCTAGCGGGGGAAGAAGAAAAATAAAATGTTTATCGTTTAGTATCGATTAAGAATGGGAAAATGCGACAGCAGCGATCCAATGATGCGAAAGACGGACTCAAATTTGTTTCGAATGGTTTCAGCAATAACATCGAGACTCTACAAAAAGAAATTTCTCGAATATCTCACTTTTTGAGTCATTCATTTGAACAACATCTTGATTTCTTCAAATGATTCATATCCTGACGTTATCGATGAGAATTTTTATAGCCTATTTGTTGATTTGACTTTTACTTTCACTCGATATGATCAATACATGACTGTGTTCTGTTTTATATGTCAATTAGTACATTCTAATGCAAATAATTAGGTGGAATATAGAATTCCTGCTGTAATAGATAAACATTCGATGTGTTGAAAAGAAAAGAATATTATTATGCTATTATCTCTAATGGATTTTCAGTCATCTGGCGCACGTACGCTGTTCCTTTCCGATCATGACCTATTCTAACTTTGAACTTAGTTGTCATCCGTGGTTTAACGATATGTATTAGAATGCATCTTCATTAAATTCATCGAAGAGAGCAAAACAAATCATTTTGACGGTCGTCCGTTGCCGAAAATATGGTCCGGAAAGAAAACCACATGAATCATATCGATTGAATACGACATTGATTCTGATTTCGAGACCAATGGGTCTGTTTTGATTCGAATTAACATAGTCTTGGCGTCTTGCACAATTTTTCCAAGTTTCGCTTCATTCAATCGAGAAACATTGGCTGTACGAGAGAAAAGCAGTTCAATTTTAATCATTATTATCACTCAATTCTCACCTGTATCGATTCGATTATTCGAGTGAATACTAGTCGAATTCAGTAATCGATTTTGCTCGTCGTACCATTCTAAAGCGATACGGACTCGACCAGTGTCATCGAACATGGAAGCCGAGAAGTAATAATTGTACGGCGTGCTCATCGCAGTAGCTCGTGGAAATGGAATATTTTGAATGTATTCCGTCATCGCATTCGATTCTATTTGAAAATAACAATTGCCTTGTCGTTGAGGGTCATCGCGACGAAGAACTGAATCCGGTGCATCATAAGACGTACGACGGATTTGACCATGCATCCGAAACCATTGCCCTTTTGGTATTTGAGAGTAGTTCCAAGTCAATTCCTCGGGTAGATCTCGTCCAATATCGAAACCAGCCTCTGTGGAACAGAACATTTCAGCATCACCATCAGGTAGATCTGTAGTTCCATAGAATAGGCCGCTGGCTGCACCCATGAAAGTCAGAAGTAATAAAACGATTCTTTGCATTTTGTCGTATCGAAGGAATGTCTGCATCTGCACTATTCTGTTTCATTTATAATTAAAAATCATTTTAATCTTTTAAATCATTTTGATTTATTTTCTATTTTTATCTTCATTATGTACTAATCGAAAATACATGTAAATGTTGTTATCTCAACAGCAGAAGATAAGATAAAACATCTTTCACTTTCATTCTATCAAAATAAGCATATAGCTGTGTCACTCATTCGTCAATGAAGTTTCTTTGGGTATTTCTTCTGTCGAAAGTTTGGCTTGCTTTTAGCAAGCAGATCGTCATCTCGAATGTTCTTCCTCGATTGGATACAAACGGAAATATTGTCAATGCGCACGATGGTTGTCTAGTGAAATTCAATAAAACTTATTTTATGTATGGTACTGTTTACGACCAATGTCGTCAATCGACAACAGTTTGTGATGGTATATGCGGTTATATAAACAATACATTCTCTCTTTATACATCATCAGATCTTGTTCAATGGACATTGATCAGCAATAACATCGTACCGGAAATGATGAAGGATAATTTACATATCACTTATTGGATGCCGAATGTTGATTATAATCCTCGAACGAAACAATACGTCATGATTTATTGGTCGAGCAGATATGGTTTTCAAAATTCTCTTGTTGCAATTGCTGTTTCATCGACACCGTATGGCCCGTTCGTTAATGTTCAACCGCTGGAAATGCAAGGTGGAAGAATAATCAGTGATACGGTTAATCTATTCGTTGACAGCGATAGTACAGCGTATGTTCGGTACAATACACGTGATAAACCATCGAGACATATCGTAGAAAAACTGTCGCCAGATTGGATGACAAGTACTGGACAATCGGCGATTATCCTTGAAAAAGATGATTTTCCGTGGTATAGCGGAGGTGGAATGTTCAAACGAAAAGAATTCTATTACACGATGTTATCATTCGATTGTTGTTTTTGTCAATGGGGTTCGGATGCACGAATCTATCGAAGTACTAAGATACTTGGAAATTGGACATATCTCGGTCAATTGAACTATTGTGCTGATGGAGGAGCTCCACCCGAACATCTGAAAGACATCACGATCAATCCGTGTTCAATTGATGATCCATATGGAACAAATTTCACAGTTCCTGCTCGTCAAATAAATGTCGCTACTTTACCAATATCAACCGAAGAAACTGTACACTTGTATTACGCTGAAAGGTACCGTTCAAGTAGAGACGGAATCAAAGCTCATGACTTTCAAACTTGGCTACCAATTCAATTCATAGACACTTGTATACAACCAATGAGATTCTTCAATAATTTTACACTCAATATCGATGTAGAATTTGAAATGTAATAAACTTTGAAAGTCTTTCAATTGATGTTGAGAAAAACGAATTCATTCGTTGATTTTCTAATACATACACAGAAAATACGTAAGACATCTGATAGAAAAGAAAAGGTCATTTCGAATTACAAAAAATGGAATATCTGACTAGACGAGAGAGAGAGAGAGAAAAGGAGGAGAGGGAAGACAAAAATTTACAATTTCAATTGATCAAAATTCGGTAAATCAATCATTTTCTGTTGTTCATTCTGAAGTTTATATTCTTTACTCAATTGTCGCATTAACTGTGGTGTCGATAAATGAGGATTCGCCTGTTTCACTGCTTGAAAGTTTTCTTTAACGAATAAATTGTATTTATTAGTTGCCTTTTTCGGTGTTTGTGTTTCATCTTTGATCCCATTGGTAATCAAATCAAATTTCCCCATACATTTACCACAACAGTCCACTTCTAAATCGAGCGATTTCGAATGTCGATAGACTTCATGAAGACATTGACCACATCGATAGATAAATCTATAAGCTACATCGTACGTATGGCGAACTGATATCGGTGGTAGGTATGGATACGATTTTGCAGCTATAGAAGTCCATTGCCGCCATAAAGGTCCATGACCATATTCCATGACGCCATCAATAAGAGTTACAGCTGCATGGCACATTTCATGCAGGAGTGTATCACGACAACGTTCTAGATAGGGATATTCTACTTGATATTTTTTGCGTAGAAGATTAAACTAACCGGGCGAATCGCACACTTTATGTGAAAGTGTAATCACGGCGGTGCGTGTTGCTTTGCGAGTAGTACAATGACCAGCCGTTGCAGTAAGACGACCACTCCAAACGACGGTGACTTTATCTGACAGCTACAATGCCGGAGAACACAACGAGTTTCATCATCATATAATATGTGTAAAATTTACTTTTGAAGAGAAAACATCTTGGTTGTATACAGTGAAAAGTTTATCGGCAAGTTCTTGTCGTTTGCTTTTAATATTAAAATTTGAGTGCATAAAATATCTACACGAAGTAAAACATCAGTTCGTGAACAGTACATGTTACTGATAAACGAAGAAAGACATACGGTTGTGCATTTGGATGTTTCTGTTCAAATGGAACATGTTCAGCAAGTGATTGAAGAAAATTGAATATCGTTTTTCTATCGCCACCCGTTGCTGATAGTCGATTGTCAACTTTCGATGATGATGATGAAGAACTCGAGGATTGGTCCGATGTATAAACTTCGGATTTCAGATGAAGACTAGAAGACGAAAAAAATCATTTTAAGTTTGATCAGTGCTCTGTCGAACTCACCTGTAGTTCAAATTGGCTGATAGCAAGTGGGTTTTCTCATCCGAATCTTCGGAAGTATAGACGTCAGCTAGTCTACGATGAATATTTTCGTGTAAATTTACTTTTCTCCAATTAGATTACCTATGCCATGATGGATCATCGCGAATAAATGGACTTGTTTTCGTAGGAGTATCGAATTGAGGTACCTTGACGATTTCTTCGGACGAAGATGACAATTGGTCAATTGAATCTCTCTGACTACAGTTACGCACAAATAAAATACTTGTGGTAATGATATAAAACGTGACATACCTATTCCGTTTCTTTCGTCGTCGGTGAATCGGCGTAATGTTCTGCTGTTGAATCGCAGTTGGACTCTGATGGCCTTGTAAAACTATGACAACATTGTTATTCGGAAAGGATTGTTGATGGAAACCTACACTGTTCAAATGCTTCATCTTCGATACTACTGTCTTTAGCACGCTGATTGTGAACCATATCTCTAGAGAAAAAAATTAATCAAGGGTATATTGCACGTTCGAAACAAAATTCGTACTTGCGTGAGTGGCGCATGGGCTGTTTATTGAAATGGTCGAATGTGGTTGCTAAATTTGAAAAGAAGATTATTCAGTTCCTCAGTTTTACTTCATTTTTTCATACGCTGTAGTTCAACAGTTTGTAAATTTGGTGACAAAATGTCATTTGACATGGCAATGTCTGCTTCTATTTGACGTTGAATATTTTTTGTACATAACTTTCTCCAAGGATTGGGACTAATTGGTTTTCCTGTGAAAGCATTGATAATGGTTTTCGATACTTCTTTAGTGAAGGTTCTGTTGTATTCTGTAGATAATGGCTGATCATTATTCTGATTAATGAATGAAATTTCTGAACTGGCACTAAAATTATGACGATTTTTATCGAATACATTCGAGTAAGTGTCCAGTGATGAATTGAAATCCGTGTTTTTCAATGGAATGTCGATGAGATCTATCGAAGATGAGGTTCTAAATGAAATATCTTCATGATCATGGTCCTCAGCCATTTCTCATTCATTGAATGGTCACTGGTCAGTTGATCTATCTATCCATCCATATGTGAATTGAAATATCATTTGTTAATACGTTGAACGTTCTTTATCTCTATCCGCTAGATATCGCTGCTTGCACAGAACGTTCATGCAAGAGAAATAGAAGAGAGAGCCGTAACTTGTTAGAAGTGTGTGATGTGAAAGTGTTATAACAACGGAGGTAATCACGATCTTAACGTATTTTTCTGTTAGTTTTCCGATGATTGAGCATACATGAGTTTTGCATTTGTACTAATTTGCCACATTTGGCCGAGATCGTTCTTCTTCGTGCTTCAGGTCGCGTATGCATTACCTATGTGGTTCATTTTGGTAAATTTATACGCAGCTTAAAAAGCAGTAAAAAGCGGAAAACTAAGATTAGGACTATATTTGTATTGAATATCGTATCTTATTTATCAGAAAAAAATTACAAAGCACAAACAATTAAATTATTTCTCGAGTAGTAATAGCGTGATCTATCCTTATATTCTGATGATACTATAATTAGAATAGAATCTTAGGAATAAGAGTCAAGTAATAGTCTGAAAGATGAGAATTCAATTATTGTCACTGTTCTTTATCTTTTTCGAGTCCTTCATCAATAGTTAGTTTACAAAGTACGTTTCAATGGCATAATTGAAATTCTTGATCCAATTAGCCGCCACCACCGCACCCTCCGCCGCCGCCACATCCACCGCCGCCACCGCATCCTCCACCACCCCCGCCACATCCTCCACCACCCCCACCGCATCCTGCAGCTCCACCACACCCTGCAGCTCCACCACACCCTGCAGCTCCACCACACCCTGCAGCTCCACCACACCCTGCAGCTCCAGCACACCCTGCAGGCCCACCACATCCTGCAGGTCCACCACCACCTCCTGCGCCACCACCGCCGATATTACCTGGCGATACTCCTCTACCCGCATTATAATTATTATATGGTGGTCGCGCAACTGGCCGACTACTATTGATACCGAATAATGCAGCAAGAATTGCGCTGAAGAAGCCAGGCTGTTGAACTGGAGGCGCCGATGCGTAATTCATTGGACGGTACATCATTTGTCGGTTGGAGAACTGAGCCCTCGGGTATCGTCGAATATTGTTTTGTGCTTGGGAATAGCGATAGGAGCCACTCGATGCCCTATTGGGATATCGATTATAGGAACGAATCATTGTTTTCCAACAGCGTTACACTTCCGTACCACGTGTTGTAGGGTCGCGTATATAAACGAATGTAAATGTAAAATATTTGCTTCTGTGTAATGTGTCGGACAGTGAAATAAATATATCACGCAAGTGATACGTACCTGTTGTATATCGCGTTGCTTGTGTTCGATATTTGTTTACAATGCTACTGAATATATATATATACCGTGAAACTAGGAAGGAGAACACATCGAACAGGAGATGATTCATTGTTCACGAAAGTATGTGTATAGAACGATAAGAAAAGCGCGTGTGCATCTGCTAACGTATGTATACTAGAAATTGAGTAATTAAATGCACCATAATAGACAACGGATCTTCATGATTTGTAGAAATTATCATATACAAGTCAGTATATACGACGTTGACACGAACCAGTATTATTTCAATTAACCGTGACAGTAACGATGATTTTAACACTACGAGACTCGATACTTCGTGACTATCAAGAACCTATCTTTGATATGATTCATATTGATAAACTGTCATATGAGCAATGATCAAAGACTAGGTGTTAACGAAATCCAAAAGAATAAGCAAATTGCACTGATTTAAACATACTATCCTCTGGTTCCAGTATTTGCTTTTGGCATATTAAAATTCGTATAGTTATCCAAAAAACTCTAAATTCTATTCAGCTATTTATCTTAAGTACATGTGCCAGTAAGAGTTATAGCTGTTGCCGGTACTGGTTATAATATTCGTTATTTATCAACGTGATCAGGTGGTTTTCATGTTAGATTTTTCATCTCACGTTAAAAATTTGAAAAGTTTCGAACTATATATGTCCTCAATAGCTTAATCACCACCTCCTCCGCCACCGCCACCACCACAGCTCGCACCGCCTCCGCCTCCGCCACAGCTTGCACCACCTCCGCCACCGCCACAGCTTGCACCTCCTCCGCCTCCGCCACAGCTTGCACCGCCTCCACCACAGCTTGCACCTCCTCCACCGCCACAGCTTGCTCCTCCGCCGCCACCACAGCTGGCCCCTCCGCCATTGCCGCCACCACTTGTTCCACCTCCGCCTCCTCCTCCACTGTTTGTCACTCCACCACCGCCACCACCACTGGTAATACCACCACCTCCGCCACCACCACTGGTAATACCACCGCCTCCGCCACCACTAGTAATACCACCACCACTAGTGTTACCACCACCCATCGAAGGTCGCATTCCGGGTCTACTTCTGTTTAGACAGAATAGTGCAGCAAGGAATGCAAGTATACTTTCAAAGAAGCCAAGGGATTGTACAGGACGAGACGGTGGTATTGAATAATACCTTGGACGACGAATCATCATTTGTCGATGAGATAATCGAGCCCTCGGATGTGGCATAACATTATGACGTCTGTGGTGCACACCACGTATGTTGCTCGCTGACCGATGGGGATAGCGCTGGTAGGAACGAAACATTTATTTTGACTTATATCTGTTTATCTGTAACATGTGCTAGTCAAGTATATACATATATTCATACATATGTCACAGGTAGAAAATCGTCCTTGAGCCGTTTTTCGCTTTACCTTGATGACACATTCAAATATTAAATTCGCATATAATATAGGTTTTGTATACTCCTCATGCATCGATTTTTATTTTACTCTACATTCATACCTGACACTGATACTCAAGTCACGTACAGAATAGAAAAAAAAATAAAATGATGTATTTCTTTCTTGGAAAGTTCAATAAGTTATTATACGCAATATCTTCATTAGCACTACGGAAGTCATTACTTTGTAGCATGATTTACTTAGCGTGTCATCTATTATTCACTTTTCCTTTTCGTGTACACATCTTATCAGGAAAAAAACTGACACATTGTTTCTCTGACGTAGTGTACGTGTCAAAATAAATACTGGTGGCGCAATAACATTCTCACATAGATAACTAATTTTAGTATATAATCATGTTGGTAAAAACAAGAGACCATCTTCAAATAAAGGAGAACAAAAGTATCAGAAGTTCATAGAACTATGTCCAGCGTTAATCTTCATTTTGTTACGATACCTGGAAAACGTACACTGGTCACATTGCCTAAGGAATTTCAACTAAGTGACATGCTTCATATGATAAGAAGTCAAATATATGACAATGCTGTCGAAGATTGTGTATTTTTCTGCAAAGGTAGACGTTTGCTATTGAACGATCCAGCTGCCTTTCAGAATCAGAAAAGCAAGTTAATCAACAATGGAGCTGTCATTCTAATAGGCAAAAGAATGTCATCATGCGAGCGAAATCAAACAATCAGAGAAGAAAGCAAAGTAAATGTTCGTCGAAGAATAAATTTTAATTCTCTTCTATTTATTTAGAAAGATACCTCGATCACGTTGTACTTCATTACAACTTCTGGAGAACGAATAGTGTCGAAGATCCCTGGAAAATTTACGCGAAGTGATTTTCTAAAAGTCATCGACTATAACTTCGGCAAGAACTGTCAAGACCACGCATGTTTTATATGTATGGGTCAAGAACTGAACATTTCTAATCGACTGCTATTTGAGAAACAAAGACCGCTGATTCGAGAAGGAAGTCTTATTTTTCTTATCGCACAAAGCGAGAATAGGCTTGTACGATACGATGACGATCATCCAGTATTGATGGAAAGAACTATAATTGAAAAGTTTTGTGTTTTATTACCGTTTCTGGTTTTTCTCATCTTCTACACTTAGAATGCTCATTAGCAATGTGAATACGCATTATATGTTGTTATTTAGGAAATTTAACTGAATAAATGTAGCTGGGAGTTTTATAGATGTTCATGTAATCGTACGGTAACGACTGTCCTGCGAAACAAAAGTTGATACCCCTTGACCTGGTGTTTCGCTTCGATTATGATGATAAAATGTCACTCTAGGAACGTGTTTTTTTAAAGTTCGAAGTCATATTCAAGAACATCTTTTTGATCTCTGATCTTGAACACGCATGTAACATCAAACAGATATTGACTTTAGGACGGTTCCGGTATGAAAATAATCGAAATATATCCATACGTTTGCCGCACGTCATAAGTTAGAAGTAGAACAATTTCCACTCATGGTATATTAGACTAATTCCATAAAATTCATCTGCTTATAATTTTTATATCGAATTTATACAGTTGTATTAATAAATCTCGAACACATGTGACTCTCATCTTCATGCGATGATAAAGTCACTTGAGATACTCCAGTAGTATCTATACACTTCTATCCAAGGCTTGAATCGTTATTCGCTGCATCACATACAATGACACTGGCCTTTTTAACAATACGGAAACTGTTCGTGGGATGTGCGAAAAAACTCTTAATCCGTTGATCTATCAGATCGAGAAAGTCAGTACTAAGCTATTTTTTCCTTGATTACTTTCTTTCTGGCTACAATGATGCATGCAGTGATTATCATTATTTTATGTAAGAACTCAATGAATGATCTCTTCTTTTATTCTTCCCATGATCGTTGAATAACTCTTATATTTATGGTGAAAACTGACAGTGATCGAAGCCTATGGTTCACTTGTGATTTTAATTCAAGATTCAAAGAGAGTGGCGAGTTTCTTTCTGTTACATCATGAGAAGAGCTTTCAGCAAAGACAATACTTTCAGTGAGATCTGGATTTCCGATCAGTCTAACTGAACCAGGACGATTAATCTTGGACGTGACATCCATCAGTATGTTTCGTTGTATTCTATCTAATACCATAAAACCACTTCTTAGTTACTCCAACCAACGACTTCATTTGTGAACTGTCATATGAAATCAATGGTTGAAACATGAACTTTTGTTTGAATAAAAGCGATATGTATTACTACACGTGTCTCTATGTCGTGAAATTGATAATACCATTATAGAGGTGACACCACAAGCAAGAAATAAATGATATAAAATTAGTACCACTTCCATAGTAAAATCAACGTAGTTTCTCGTAAGATTTCATATTTATTGTTGAAAAACGTTGCCTTTGTATCAACTACTGATTAGTTTCACTTACAATTCTATTACGGTAGCGATAATGATACTAATGACTTCACTTTTACAGTGGATAACATATCAGCCACCAAACGCTCATACAGTAAACAGCCTTCTCGATCTCTCCCAAGTATGACTAAGTCAGCACATATGACATTACCATTTGTATATGATCTGTCACAAAGAAACAAGTTTGATTCGACCATACATTCAAGCATTCGACCTTTCGACGTTATTTTAATAAAGATTACGGTTTCTACAACACTGAACAAGTCTTCAAAGAATATTCCTACTCTTTCGGTAACTAGTTTTATCAAATTTAAATTCTTGGAAGAACTTTCTCCCAGTAAAGAATCGTAGTGTATTCATTGGAAAAATGTCTTTTTTTTTCTTCACAAGACAACGTTGCGTTGACGGTTGGTTCATGATAGGACTTAGTTTTATTCATGCCAGTATTGTAAATGTAATCGAGCACATAATGAATTAGATGCAGACTGAACTATGACTTTCAACAATGGTTACAAGTGATCCGTCATACTTTTCGTTCTCTAGCATATCCGAGAATTTTTTTTCAGGATGTTTTGTAATAAAAAGAAATGAAAATAGAACCATGATGTTGTTCATGAGCGTATGTGGATTTTCATTTATGCACAATCACATGTAGTCAGCTGTGATAAGACAACTTCTGATCGAAGTATGCAAAGGAAAAGAATGTTCTGTATTATGTGTCTAAATGATCGTTTTAATGTATTGTTCAAGAACATTATGCACGTCTACGAAGATCATCGATTAAACGTTTCTTGCGTCGACGACTCTGATTACTTAGAACAAATGGTGCAGCACGCACATTGTCAGCATCTTTTATATTCGCTCCCAGATCACTTATATCATACGTGGGAACACTGATACTGGTCTTCGAGAATACGTTGCTGAGAAAGGATCGAACTTTGTTATAAGCACATTTGATGGTATTCTTCAAATCGGTAATGAAATTGTCAGATTTCTTCACACTAGCCGTGATATATGGTGTGAAGAATCGAAATCGTTTTCCTTGTGCGACTTCATTTGAGATTGCTTGTGCGACAGCGTCCGCTGGATTAATCACGAAAAGACGATCAAAATTATCGTTACCAATCTCTTGACGAAGCTCATTGAAAAAATGTTCACTTGCATTGATTGCAAATTCAACCGCTTGATAACTGAAATACAAAACACCACATTGCATCATCTTCACTCAAAAACTCTCTCTTACTGAAGACTTGCATGTGGTGAAAAGAGTAAACTATTGGAATCTTTGTTGATTCCACCGATGGCTGGCACATTTGCTGAATCATCCAAAACAGAACCATGTGAACATTTACCAACATTCGCTGGTTTATTCAGTGGCTGACCATTTTCACCTGTCTGATTGAACAAGTAGCCACTCGTGAGTATTCGTTGACTATTGATAGCAGCTAGTATGTTATCAGTGCAATCATAATACACCAGTGGACATTTTCTTATCGTAATTTGTTGCCAAAGAGACTGAGAATAGAAGATGACAGTGCATGACCAAGATCAAGTATTTCCACTATACTTACACATTTTTGTGTTTTCTTAGTGCAACCCGTATCAGAGCATGTTGCTTGATTTGGTGCTGCAACTTGTCCAACAGTTTCGTTTCGTCCGATCAAAGTGTTCACATCAGTATTACCCATTTCCACCCAATTCGAATGTGAATAGAAATCTTGCAGGGTGTGAAGTAACTGTCCTGTCTTTTGCCGTGCATCAGTTAGGTCTCTGTTAGGAGTACGTGATTCTTTCACCACTGAAAAATATCATAAAGATAAAGCTCATGTAGCGAATTACTAGTTACCCTTTTCTCGGAGTTGCATAATGCGGCGACTACCATTGTTGAAAGCTTCACTATCGAAATGTGCAGGTGATAGTATTCTTGTACTTGGATCGAAATCAACCAAAGCATTGTATGTCATCGCCAAATCCAGTGTGAATTTCAAAGGAAGTGAGTAGAACTCGACTTGCGCATCGCTATACTCAGGATATGCAAGTTTGTAGAGGTCATCAATAGTATGCTGCTTAGTGAAGAAATCTTGTTGATTGACGGTACCATTGTTGTTATTATTGGGAGCAATGCGTGTTTCATAGAAGAAACGAGCAAGACTGCGAATGAACGCAATTTGTGTGATTTCTGTATGTGTGATACCTGTGTGACACGAAAACGCAAACATTCATCGTTAGAGGGTGAGTAAGATATAATGGACAGAACTGACTTTCGCTGGTAGAAGCACCGTCAGCAATCAATGGTTGTGGAATGAATGCATCAGTATGTGATGCATAGACGATCAGATAAAGTAGCCAATACATATTTGTTTTTGCCACTGTATATACTCACTTGAGAATCTTAACAATAAACGATATCAATGGAAAAGGTCGACCTCCTCGAATACAATCTATACTTATACAAATGAAATCGATTGCATAATCAATCAAGCGCTAAAGACTGCTTTCACGATCGAATAACTTAACGACTTTTATGAGTTACCTGTAAGAACTAGTTATTCATATAATCGGAGCAGAGTGACGCTTAGGAAGTAACAAGAATTAGTCAACGTACTGTGACTACGTACTCTCGTTACGTAGGCGCATCACCTTTTAACATGAGTGATGATGTATTTTCCGAAGAGAATGATTTATCTCTCGATAGGCAAATAAACTGAGAATATTATCAGTCGATACACGGTTATTCACAGGTAATATGAGCAAAACGAAAGATGATGAAAAAGATCATTCGGTCTGGCGAGGAAAGACTTTATTGAGATAGAATGTAAATACAAAAATTCATGTAGATACTTTTAAGAAGGCCATAACCATTGTTTAAATCGTTCAAAAGGACCTAAACGATAATCAAAATAGCGCAATGTTCTACACAGATGAACATGATCAAACGTACTTTTCGTATTGATAGGCAAAACTAAAGTGTATACGATATCATCTGATGAGTAATTCAATGGTGATAATGTCGTAATTCCATTATCTGTACGAGTAAATGCTGTTGATTCATGAAATGTATCCCAATCATAAGTTTGATCATACTTCAAATCGTGATATATAATGCGTAATAGATCGTATCGATCAATTGGTAATTCGTATTCGATTTCTTGAACTGAACCATCATCTAGTTCAAGTTTCAGCGAACGTCGATTCAAACGAAAAGAGGAGTAGCTGTGATCGTTCATCATTGCACGACTACATACCGGAATGGGTTCTCGAAGAACAGACAAGATATCTCTTTTATTTCAGTTCATCCGTTATAAGGATTATATCTCATAGCAACCAGCTAAATGTCCCAACCAATTGAACATTCTCAGTATATTTCGTATGACGAAAATCCACAAAAGGAGCATTGTGTAAATGCAAATTCCATCAACGAATATTTCGAACGATGATGTATTTACTAATCAGTTGGTATATAGCGCCCTCTATATCAGATCGTGCTCATTTGGCCAAATATAGTTTCTTCTTCATCGATCGAAGACAATCGCAGCTATATATGTGTATGCGGTAGTGCATCATGTCACGTTTTCAGACAGCTTGAAACATGTGACTCGTCAAGATGGTTCTCTTTTCTATTTGATATGCATTCGTTTTACTGTTTCACACAGACATACGCATTTTTGTTTAGATTCATTCATTTGACGATTTTTATAATTAGATTGCACGAAACTTCCCCGAAAAATGAACAAAATTCTATCAATTCTTTGTCTGATACTTTTCGTTTCTGCTTCATTAGCTAAGCAGAAATCAGCCACAGAACAAGCAGTTGACGCTGCCGCTGAGTTGAAAGATAAAGTTGTCGAAACAGTAGGTGATATACTATCTCATTTGAACTGTGAAATCAATTTTTCTATTAGGTAAAAGAAGCATACGATGCCGCTGCACCAAAAGTTGTCGAAGGTGCTGAAGCACTCAAAGACAAGACTGTCGATGGTGCCGCATTTGTCAAACAAAAGGTTGGTGAAGCATACGAAAACATCGCTCCGAAAGTCGTAGACGGTGCCGAATACGTTAAAGACAAAGCTGTCGACAGTGCTACTTTCGTAAAAGATAAAGCTACCGAAGCATTCGACAATCTCGCACCAAAAGTTGTCGAAGGTGCTGAAGCACTCAAAGACAAGACTGTCGATGGTGCCGCATTTGTCAAACAAAAAGTTGGTGAAGCATATGAAAACATCGCTCCTAAAGTCGTAGACGGTGCCGAATACGTTAAAGACAAAGCTGTTGACAGTGCTACTTTCGTAAAAGATAAAGCTACCGAAGCATTCGACAATCTTGCACCAAAAGTTGTCGAAGGTGCTGAAGCACTCAAAGACAAGACTGTCGATGGTGCCGCATTTGTCAAACAAAAAGTTGGTGAAGCATATGAAAACATCGCTCCTAAAGTAGCAGAAGGTACTGAGTTTGTCAAAGATAAGGCCGCCGAAGCGTTGGATGCAATTAAACCAGCTGTCGATGGAGCTTTTGATACAATTAAACCTAAAGTGGAACAAGCTTATGAAACTGGAAGTAAGAAAAATAAACTTTCACGTTCGTCTGTATCGAATGTTCTTTGTTCTTTCAGGCAAACTCGCCGGTGAATATGCTGAAGTTGGTAAGAACAATTGACCGTTCTTTTCATTTTGACATGTAAACATCTTTAGCCAAAGACAAATTAGCTAAAGTTGCCGAAGATGTCAAAGCTTCAGGTAAAGAAACAAACTGAAAGGGATTTCTTTTCATCTCTACAAAAAACATCGATCGTTCTAGCTCAACACTTCGCTGACGATGCAGTTAAAGCTGCTGAACAATACGCAAAAGATGGTGTTAAGCGAGGTGAAAAACTACGCGATGACGCTATCGAACTTGGCAAAGAAAAAGGTTAGACTAAAACGAATTCAATACAATCACATCATTTCCCATTTACTAGCTAACGAAGCACTCAAAGCTGCTCAACAAGCTGGTAAGTCTATCTAAACAAATAGTTGTTAGTTTGTTCTATGTCAATTCTCTAGGCGCTGATGCATATGAAGCTTCACTTGAAACAGCAGCTGGTTTACCAAAGAAAGGCCGAAAATTAGGTACGTTTTCTTCACCATTTTTCTTCTCTACTATTTGATACTCTGCATAGCTGAACAAACCGTTGAATTAAGTCGAGATAAAGGTAGGTTTGACGCATTCCTACTGCCGTTGTTTGTGCATGTCCATTCGTATTCTTTTAGCCAATGAAGCTTTGAAAGCTGGTCGTCATGCAGGTAAATATTTTCTAATCGCTGTGATTTCGAAAACGACATATCTTTATGAATTTAGGCGCAGATGCTCTTGAAGCTGCTCAAAACTATGTTAAAGAATCACGAAAGCAAGCCGCGAAAAAAGCGAAAGAAACAGCTGAAGAAGCCAGTGAAGTCGCACAGAAAAAGAAACGACAAGCTACTGAATTATAAACTACTAGCTGTGTTTTTGCTTTCATCTCAGTGCTTAGTTAGTCACGTGTCTTGTGTTTTCTTCTACGTTGATACATTCTTTTTTTTATTAATCAAGCAACATATCTGTGTTCAAAATAAGTCTGGTATTGTTCGTCATTAATTTTTATTCAATAAATTCGATAGAACTCACTTGCTTTTTATTTGATCTTTGTTTCGTTAGTATTGCCTCTCACTGAGAAGCTGTACGATCTATGAATCATATTTACACGTTATGGTAAAGTCGTTTGAGATGTTCCAATAGTATCGATTATCTTACACTCATGACTTCGACCATTAACGCGAAATCTCGTGCAAAGTGATGAGATGAATGTAAATTTGTATTAATTGTCGACTTGTACTACACATCGGTGAGTGCAATGTATAGGGAAGATTATGAATCATGTGCTAGAGAATCAACAAAGAACGTCTCGTATGAACTATTGATGAAAACAAGGATTTCGTGCAAAGTTTCCATCCTATGAATAAATCCGCTATCTGATTTGATAAATAACGATTTTGCTATCGTTTGTATGAACACCAAAAATTTTATGATGACATCCTAGTAATTGCGATCAACAATCGAAATGAGTAGCAAGAAGATTCACATTCAACAGACGAGTAAACTTCATCCTTGTCCGAAAATGCTTTATTAATGATGCTCGTCGCAAGTCGAAAACAATCCGAGATGCGATCTGCATAAATAAACAATCAGGAAAGTATACTATTTATTTTCGTATCGTTGATATTTATCCTCAAGGAGAATACGGCTTGGTCCAAGATTACTGATTCTATGACGATGTTCTAGTAGCGTCTATAATCAAATGCGCACCAGTTGAATTAGTAATATTAACTTTCGCATCGAATTCATCGTAATCCGTTATATCAATTGGCTTTCTATACTTATCTTGAATGACGTTGAGTTGATACTGCCATATATCTGTAACTGCTTGATGATAAGGAAAAGTTGAGATTATTGGTTTAACCTGCGAAAAAAAGCGATGAGGTGATGTATTTAATCGATAAAAATAATACCGAATTCTCTTTTTTGATCGTTTCATTTCAAGCATAATCATGTATTCAATCACCATCATGGCTTTAGGTGAGTATTTCGTTAGAGATTTTTTCATTTTCATAATGATTTTTCAATAGTTGTTGCATTTATAATGAAAACTCATGCGAATCGTACAACAATATTCAGTTGTGATTTCAATTCAGGATTAACACTCGAGTGTTCATTTCTTCCGACAGTAACGGGCTCGAATCTTCAGTTTTCATCTGGATCTCCTGTTGATTCAACTGAACCACAACGGCCAGCATCAGATGCGACTTCCATTAGTAAGTTTGGATCTATGGCGTGGAATCTCATGTGATTATCTCTTAGTTACTCCAATCAACGGATCCATATGCAACTTACCGTATCAGATCAACGGTTGGGACATGCATTTTTGTTTGAAACAAGATGATGCAGATGTTTACACGTGTCCAACTGATGTGTCAAACGCAAGTCGATGTACAACAGGTAAATATGGATATGCTACGGTCAATCAGACGAAAACATTTGACCAAACTTATTCGACAATTGTAAGAAACAATACAGCAGTCGAGCAATGTCTTACCTTCTACTATTATTTCACAAATCATCTGTTCAATCCAACAATTGAAGTGTTCTGGCAATCTTTAACACCCTATAGTGAAGATCATATTAGTATTATTAAAGTAGCATCCCAACGAGAAAATAAGTGGTATAAAAGCAGCACTTCTTTCGTGACAAATTCATCGAATTTTTTCCTAAAATTTCAATTTCATCGCGATAGTGGTAGCAATGCTAATGACTTCACCTTTGCAGTGGACGATATATCAATCACTAGCGATTTGTGCAATACTGCACAACCAAGTTTACAAAATTTCACCATCGATGTAGTAAGTTCATCGACACCGTCCTGATCACATTGATTAACGTGTACATTGTAGACAGATGAGTCTACCAACTATATTAGTTCAAGTGAATCGTATTCGACAAATATTCCAATGGATTTAGATGAGTCAACGTTGTTGGCTCAATCATCATCATCTATTTTGGTAAATATATCTGCTGAGGATATAGGTACTAGTTCAGATTTTGAGCTAATATTCAACTTGTCCTCCACACGAGCATCAACCGTTGTTAATCAACCATACTCTACAGAAGCCGTCTCGACATCCAAAGTTCCTTCAAGCTCTACAACAATTGTATGTGTCGAAATTTTTCGTTGTACATTGTCACCACTTCTCTTTTGTTTATCAAAAAGAAACGAGAAGAAACATTCAGCTCAACTATCCAACTTCTTACCAATACTTCAACAGCAACCACCAGTATTCAAACAACGACCCAGTCTTCATCTGCTTTTATGACGAGGTCTAACGGTAAATCATTTCAGCACAAAACTTTCAAAGAAAAACGTCTGTTTTCTCTTCTCTTCATAGTCAATACTGCGCTGATCATTGGTCTATCCGTGGGCTTGGCTTTACCCATGACAGTACTCTCAACAATTGGCTTAGTATATTATTTTAAATATTATCGATCAATGTCATACCGAACACGTCGTCGAATACATACAAATAGAACTATAACTTTCAACGATGACTGAAATCGGTTTCGTTTTCTATCCCACTAACGTATCCAACAAATAAAAACTTTTCTTGCAGTATATTTCATAGGACATTTCTAGAATGAGATAACCAAATGAGTCAAGTTATTTCGTTGTGATGACAAAGATAAAATCCGAAGGTATCCTAATTTGATTGTGTCAGGTGCAGTTTCTCCCTTCTGATACCGACCCATATCAACTTACCGTTGCTATAAATAGCCGAAACGATACATCTCGACATCTTCTCTCCGTGATCTATCACACGAAGTATTTCATTTGTATCCTTGCCTGTCAACGCATCACATTTCTTTCCACGTCATCTTGATTTTTTGCGCACTTTGATTTATTTGTATTGCGATTTAGTCAAAACACGACCTTGTTCTTTTTTCGATCCATGAAAACATAAACAAAATAGCAAGCGACTCGCTTTCGTGACGTGTATGTACATATATTTTCTTCTTCGTTTGGTTTATATACACAAAAAGATGTTAAATCAGGTCGAGAAAAAAAATAAGGAATGAAGATGACAAAAAGAAGAGGAGAGAGATAGAAGCTCTATAGATAAATATTACAAAAAAAAAGCGCCATAGTGAACTTTATGTCTAGAATGAGATCTTTTCTATTTACATATACATGTGGTTTCTTTTCTATACAGATGATAAATCAAATAAACAAAAATATATATATATATAGGACAAACTAATGAAAATCCATTCTCCAAGAGAAAAACTATGGCCTTGTCCACTTACTTTGGCGAGATCGAATACATTCTCGTTTTTCTTTTCGATCGTATGGAGAATAGATTTTGATATCAGACAAAAAAGCAACACGTGAATTTTCAGATTAAACAAAAAACTCCAATAGAGCAAGATTTCGAGAGGAAAAGCATACAAGTCGAGTAGTGTGATGTTTCGCTTTTTTTTCGTGTTTGTTCTTAATGCTTTCATGTATAAATTTTTAAAAAAATGAAAGGAAATGAAAAGAAAAAGAATAATACACAAACTTATTGGACAGGAGGAAAAGTGCGACCACAAACAACATCGGCATAGGTTGGTCGATCAGATAAATTCATCAATGGTTTTAATGGTTTATAGGCATGGGATATGAAGGTTAAGTCAGATAATTCCAATCGAACAACCTTATAGGATGGTAATAGACGAACAATCAAGTCTCGACATGATAATAATGCATCACTTTCCACCTAGGACAAGAAGAAAAGAGTTGAAATAAGGAAACAAAGCGGATCGTACTTTGGCTAGTTGTTGTAAATAACTGATCGATTCCAGCCAATCAATGTTCATTTCCGATTCTTGTGTCTGCTGTTGTTGTTGTTGTTTCTCAAATTCTAAACTAATCAAAGCCAATGCAAGAATACGTGGCTTAAACGTGGCCAGACGATGATGTTGTAGACACGAAGCTAGTTTAATCTCTAAATCAATATACTTCTCGCAATTCTCTTCCGGTTGATTATTTGTTTTGAGCAGGAGGAGCGCAAAGTACTAAAGAACGAAACGATCAATGTATGAGTTCGATAGGAAATCGTTCGACTTACGATTTGCAGAAAGTCAACCGTAGTAACAAAATCTGCGTACCAATCGAATTTTTCCAGGATCAAGCGTTCCATACGAAGAAGTTCATTGGGTGAACAGGACGAGTTACAATCGATGACAAATTCCGGGGTAATCGAAATTGTGTCATCTTCTTCCTTGCATTTAGCTGCGATATATAAACAGCCAACGGCCAAGCATTCCAAGAATTTCGGACGAACCTGCAAGAATGTAATGAAAACAAAACTCTGCGAGAAAACCGAAGGATCGCGAATTTACTTTGAGTGTCGCCAAGAATCGATCGAGTATATCAACACTCAATGCATAGGTATCTATACCGAAGTGCATGGATGCAGCCACTTTGCGAAGCCATGATGATGCATGATTACGTTGAGAACTATTGACTTCATCCTACGGAGAAAAATTGATTTCTTACATATCACCTTCTTTTGCCTTAATCTCTCAAAGAACGAATCGGTCTATTTCGCACTATCAGAACGTATAAACACGTTTCGCTTATCTCGTTTTTAACAATAGTCATGTTTGCTTTGCTAGTATCATCGAGAAAAACAGATTGAGAGTGTTATGGTTATGTTAAGCAAGGTCAACAAAATTTGATGTTTTGATGTTTTCTTTTCTACTTCTGTCTGCCGTCCGAATGAAGGAAAAGTAAATACAAAAAGTACCTACCAACTTTGTTTGATTAAATATACGTTCTTTCCATGTTCGATCTTCTTTCAAACATAAACGTTCCAATGATGCTGTGAGAGTGCCCAAGGTTTGTCCCGATGTTCGGAGACCCAAAACGACGACGACCATTGTTATTTGGAGGAGATTTATACAAAGGAATTCTACCAAAACCACTGATTATTACCTAAAATTGACAAGAAAAATGNCTTTTTCCAATAGAAGTGTTGATTGTCTGAATAAAAAAACAATAAATATAGGAAGCGACTATTGATTCATCATTCTTTATCTTTCCTTCTCCTTCTTTTTTTTTGAGACGATTCCATAGTGTGTATCTACTGGTGTTAATTGCATTCTCTTTCTCTATCATAATCTTGACAGGCATCTCAATAAATTAGCGTTAATGATCCATATGTATGGACAAAGGATTCGCTGACCTTTTGGAGATCGATACGTCCAACTAGGAGTTAGTTATGTGATATCTTAAGTATTTTTGTTTGGATTACGAAAGGTGAACATGATGGAGATTGATTAGCCCGTTTATGCAATACTTCTACTTTCAGTCGCACCTCATTTCGTGTCTTATTATCCACTGGAAGGAAGTATTTCGTCTCCGGAAAAGTCGGCATTGAATTTTTCGTGCCATGCATTCGCAATTCCACCTGTAAACATTAGTTGGATATTCAAGAATAAGTTCAAACAATCGAAAAGTAAGAACGAACACTTCTCTTGCTGTAAAAGCGATCTAAACTCTACTATTGAAGATGTTCACAACAGTGACGATTTGTATTTAACATCGATTCAACCCTCCGATAGTGGTTTATACGAATGCATCGCTTCAAATATGTACCACGCATCGATCAGTCGTGCCTTCTATGTTACTGTTCAGTGTACGTATAAAACACTCTTCTCACACATATACTATTCAATTAAGGCTAAGAGTAATGTCGCCTTATCGATTGACGTTTAATTATGATAATCAAGTTCGTTACGAAGTCTTATATAATCCTATTTAGATGCCCCTCATGTATTAATATTGAATGAGAAAATAAGAATTTTACCGCATGAAACAGTGATAGTTCAATGTCGAGTATGTTCGATACCTCAAGTGCACGATGTCTATTGGCGAAGAGATGATCAAGCGATTGTCGATATTAATATCGATGTCAAAAGTCGAACTATTGATGATCAATGTTCCGAATCGCTGATGACTATTATGGTATGTGATTGGGCCGATTAGAAATGCAAATTCATGGTTTTCTTTTGTTAAGGATATAAATGAGCATCAATTTGGACAGTACGAATGCCATGCTGAAAATCTCTTAGGATCGAAATCTGCTCATGTTGACATTCAACAGAGTAGGAGTAAAGTTTCTTTGTTTTCTCTTTGTTTATTTCATTTGTAGTGCCACGAGTTCGACGAGTGAAACAGAAAGTTTCTTCAGATGAGATCAATCGAAATGGCCGTACAGCATTATTAACGAACAAATCAGCGAAAAGGCAGAAAAACCAAACGAGTACAATAGGTAACTATGTCGATTTTCTTTTCCTCAATTTCAGTCTCAGATTGAATGTAGGATCCAACGGCATTCTCCTATCGCACTCAGAAAAACAGCGATTTACTTGCCCATGCTGGTGGTTATTGAGTTTATTCGTCTATTGGATTCAATCAGTATAAATTCTCTCGCAGTGTCATAATTTCGATCCGGTGAACGAACTCATTCTGTTCATTTTTTTTCTGTGCAAATGATTGATTTGGTGTTTCTCTCTCGCTCTTTTTCTACGATAAACTATTCAAGTAACAACAAAAATATGTGCGCACTCAGGTATTGCTTAGTTCGAATAAAACGTCTTTTCTTTTTCTAATTGTGTCACTTGCCAATCCCCTCATGCCAGAGAACATATATCATAAATTCATTTTCTGCTTCACATGTCTTGAACATTAACCTTGCTAATCGACACGTTGGATGATTTCAGACAAAAAAGTGAGAGACAATACTGGAGCATTCCCATTCAACACAGGTATTCATTGATCTTGCGTCATTCTCTTGCGTCCATTGTACGACGACGATGACTAATTAGAAAAGATCTTTATTTTCTGCAATCTTATTCATCAGAATCATCTGTCTGGTTAATCGAAATGAAAAAGAAAATGAATTTTCTCCTTTACATGACATAATCAATTATTTAAATGTGAATATACGCGAAGTTATTATATAATCCTTGATAATTCAACACACTCCATGATAAATTACAAGCAATTACAATTAGAAATTCAATCGAAATTTTCAAAGTTCTCTAAACAAATCTTGAGTGCTTTTTAATTACTAATAATATTGATTTTGGCTGTCACAAGGACACACGTAAGAGATCGATCGCTTTCAGTCTATGAGCTCAATGTTCAAACCCTGTCAGTTCGAATAGAAGCGAAAAAAAAGAACAATTAATAACTTTTCATTCTATACCACTCGGAAGTCAGATTAAGAGTACAGTCGAAGGCCAATTATCTTCGAACAAACAAAACGAAGTCATTTTTTTCTTTCACTATTGACAAGAACGTGATTATGGTCAAATAAAAAGATCGCATGTGCCGACAGATCACTAGAGAAATGACAATTGACCAAGACACGTGCTTAGAGAGAGAGGAAGTATTTACCTTATAGCGGAGACGCTGTCGCCGATTTTTCTCTCGCAGACGACATTCGACAGATGTCGTGAAATCGAAAGACAATTGGTGAGTGTTTTCTCATATGAAACTGGACCGGCCGGTAAGTCATTTTATTCATCGATTTATCGTTGACGAGATATGGTGAATGTCGTGAAAGGCTCGTTGATCAAATGTGATCCAGCGGTGATTCAATATTTAGTTTACTTAGACGATTCATTAGCATTCGGAGAGAAATTTATTCTACATAAATTAGATGAGCAACATTTATTTGTTCAAATATCGGCTGTTGCAAACATAAAGGAAAAACTGCAAGAACAAATCGATCGCATTTCTTACGATTCTACTCAAGCGAAATAACTTCCGATGTCACATGAAGAATTTCTCAACGATATCTATTCTCGCTTATCTACTATCATAGCCAAGAAGTCTTCAAAAAAAACTTTTTCGAAATCCTCTCCTGCATTATTCATTTCTATTCGACGTTTTGACAATTCTTTAATTAACGTTCAAATTCCTCAAGATGCTCGTGTTTTTCAATTGAAGAAAGCAATTACGGAACATTTTGTCGAAAAGAAGATCAATTGGAAAACGATTTGGAAGAAATATGCCCTGTCAACATCGGATCGACGGCAATTATTGAACAATAATCGGCGCGTGCAAGATTACGGAGTCTCGACTAACTGTGAACTCTTTTTTGTTCGTCGACATTGTTCAAAATAAGTTTTTTTTTGTTGTTGTTTATTCGATGAACGTTCCATGTAAACTAAAAGATGTCACTAAACGTCATTGTGAGTCTTAACAAATGAAAGCTATTGGTGATCCGATATCGACACACATTCGCATGACTGACATAAAGGAGAGAGAGGGAGAAAAAGAAGTTTAGCTCAGTTCTTAACGAGTAAACAATGGTTGACCAACCTCCACTTCATCGTTCGGAAGAAATCGAAGATTTAGCTCATTTAACTACGGAAGATATTAACAAGCCATTAGTGACAAATGAGAGTAAATCACAACGAGCATTACTTCTCGTTGATATTCAAAATGATTATTTTCCTAATGGGAAATGGACTTTGCATGGCATGGATGCCGCGGCGGATAATGCAGCTCGATTATTAGCAGCCGCACGTGCGGCAGGTGATTTAGTCGTTCATATTCGTCATGAATTTCCAACAGCTGATGCTCCGTTCTTTACACCGGGTTCGAAAGGAGCGGAAATCCATGAAAAGGTACAAAATCGAGAAGACGAAGATGTCGTGTTGAAGAATCAAGTCAATTCCTTCCGGGATACAAAACTTAAAGAAATTCTCGATCGTAATGGCATTCGTGACTTAGTTATATGCGGCGCGATGAGTCACATGTGTGTCGATGCAGTAACTCGTGCTGCGAATGATTTTGGCTATAAATGCGTGCTTATTCATGATGCTTGTGCTTCCCGAGATTTAGAATTCAACGGCGTTCAAGTTCCTGCAGAACATGCACACGCTGCCTTTATGGCTGCACTCGGATTTGCTTATGCAAAACTGGTTTCGACAGAAGAATTTCTTCGAGAAAACAAACATGCTTAAACAATATTCTAATCCGTACAAATAATTTTGCGAGCTTTTTTTCTAATTTAAAACATCTTCCTTTGCATTTTATGGTAGAATAAAAACAAGAGAAAACAATGTTTTGTGTGTTATAAAATCTCTCTAAACATAGCAGTTCGTATTTCGATAGTCAACTATGCAAATGCGTTGTCGAATGACAGTGTCACGTTTGATATTCTATCTAACGTCTAAATAGACTATGAGAAATTACTCGAATACGACACCAAGTATAAACCCAAGGGTTCATTATTCTTTTCACTTCAAAGTACAACCAAACGGACGAGCAGCACATTTTGAAGATGATCTCAAAACACGATGTTTCATGATGATGCAGGGATACTGAAGTGTTTTGATAATAAAATATTTTATTATTAGAAACAATATAAATTGATAAGAATTACATTCTCATAAACTTAGGTCAATAGAATAGCAATAAAATAGTTCGATCATCTCTATAAATCTTTGAAAAATAAGTCTGTTTCTTATATTTTGTTATACTGTCGACTATGTGGCGAACGCTCGTTCTTGTTGGATGTGTTTTCGAATGTGCTGCGTTGATTGCAGCGATGAGTGTAGATAAAGATCAAGTTCCCGAGGCTCGATATGCTTCCGCGATCGAAATCAGTGACGTTTTGAATCATCTCGATGTTTTACAGAGTATTGCAACAGTTACGAACGGAAATCGAGCTGTAAACACCACGGGTTTCAATCGTACTTTGGATTACATCACTGGTTATCTTGCTGAGAACACAAATTTCATCGTGACAAAGCAATTCTTTTCGCGAGGCAATTTTAAACTTCTTCGGAATCCAACACTAGTCTCAGTTACGAATGGAGTTGTCAAAACACATACTTATTCAACAAATCTGGCTCTTGCAGAATTCTATCATGTACAATACTCGACATCGGTTTCTCTACCGAATAACGTTCCACTTGTTGCTATTCCAAATCTAGCCTGCTCAGAGGCTGATTGGAATGCAGCACAGCCATCCGTTGCCAATCGGGTAGCTATTGTTAAACGAGGTGATTGTACGTTTGAGGAGAAAGCTCGCCTTGCTAGTCGATTCAAAGTCGCAGCACTGTTGATCTACAACGATGGACGAGCTTCTGATGGTACTCGACCTATCTCGATCAATCTCGGTGCAAGTAATCGTGTACCAGCACTCTTCTTATCGTACAATCTTGGTCAAACACTCGTCGCTGCAGTCAATGATCCATCACGAACTGTCAACGTGGGTTTAACAATCGCTACTGCTCCGCTGGATTCAGTTGGAAATATCTGTGCTGACACACGCACCGGTGACCCAACACAAACCATTTTAATCGGTAGTCACAGCGATAGTGTCACTGCAGGACCAGGTATCAATGACAATGGTAAGACATCGAATCGCGGTCATGTTCATTTCGATGAACTCTTTTTTTTCTGTCTTTATTAGGCAGTGGTAGTGCTGGCAATCTTGCTCTGGCTGCTGCATTGTCTCGTCTGATGCAAACAGAAGGTTACACTCCATACGCATATCGTGTGCGATTTTGTTGGTGGGGTGCAGAAGAATTAGGACTTCTCGGTTCTAGTTTTCACGTATCGGAAGCAAAAAAATCCACTGTTGTCGGTGAACGCATTACGGATTATCTCGTCAATATCAATTTAGATATGATCGGATCACCAAACTTTATTTTCGGTATTTACGATGGCAAAACAGCTCCGACATCCACTCCAGCAGCTGCTAAACCTGGAAGTAACAAAATGACTACATTATTTCAAGATTGGTTTAGCAAAAATAGTTTACCGTGGGATTATACAAAGTTCGATGGTCGTAGTGATTACGGTCCATTTTTAGCTGCTGGTGTCGCCGCCGGCGGTCTTTTCTCGGGTGCAGATGGAGCGAAGACAGTTGAGCAACGTAATCGATACGAGGCTATGCTTGGTCCAGGCCTCGGTGGAACTTCCGGTATTCGACTTGACGTATGCTATCACAAAGCTTGTGATAAAACGACGAATATCAACAAATTTGCTCTGGAGAAAATGGTTCAAGCAAGTGCTTATGCTATTGAAAGTCTCGGTCAACAATCTAATCTGAAAGAATGGTTATATCCAACGAGAGAAATACAACAGTTTGAAAAACAATCATTACCATTGAAGTACGAATACAATCCCATCAATGAATACTTTGGAATGCCTTACAATTGACACTCTTCCCTCTTTTTTCAAGTTTGGAGAAGTGTAATGAAAAATAAACGTATAAATACGATCTTTTTGTTCTCATAGTGCGCGAGAAGCTAGAAGGTGATTTTATTTTCAATTTACGATCATAGAAACTACAGAAAACGTACAACTCACTATACAGGACGTAAATAGTAACGATAAAAAAAGTAGAATATGTTTCATTCTGAGTTTTTTAACCACGCAATTAAACTATCCATTTGTTAACCGTATTGTATTTACCTTCCAAGACAATCTTGTAGAAGTTAGATTGATACTGTGTTATGTTGAACACAGCTTGTTGATTAGTTACTGGCACAGTACCAAGCAATTTATAATCGTCGGTCAATCCTTTCTTGTACGCATTCGTCGTAGTTAACCATACCTTAACATTTCCGGCATTGTCTAACGACTTCCATCGAACACTTAATGTACTTCCAGATAAATTAACTTGAGGTTTAACTAATGAAACTTGACCGATTAATGGAACACCATCTAGTTCTTTTTCGGATTCAGTTGGAATCTCTAATTTTAAAAATCTCATCATCGTTGGCATGAAATCGACAATAGCCGGTTGATATTCGTCGAAGTAACGATTAGTATCATGATAATTAGTTACTATCCACGTAGTTCTTTCTCTTTCGGTTTGAGCACCGTGGTTTTGACCGGTATTTGCATCTCGGCCGTGATCTGTTGTTAAAATAAGTAGCCATTCTTCTTTGTGATTTGCTTGCCGATATTGAATTGCTTCATAAATTCGTCCGACTTGTTGATCGACGTATTCAACTGCTTGATTCATCTGTTCACTGTCACCATATTTATGTCCTATATCATCTGTGTATTGCAAGTACACCCATGAGACATCCGGACCGTTATCTCTAATGCACTCCGCTGTTTCATTGACAACACGTTCGTCAATGTTATAAATATAAAGACTATTCGAGTCGTGTGGATATGTGTTTAAATCTAATTCATAGCCATCATATTTGTAATTAAACATGAGATTTCCGGCGCTTGTTAAACCTTCGCCAACCAATCGAATACGATTAGTAATCCATGTAGAGAAGATAGCAATCGTTTTTGTTGGTTGCTGTTCTTTAACTAATCGAAAAATATTCTTGTAATTGTAGTTCGGGTTGTTGACTGAATTGTCATAAACATTGTGTTTATTGCCCCAGGTACCTGTAATCAAGTTCATATAACCAGGTGCGGATATTGTTACAGTCTGGGAATATGTGCCAATGTCACCTCCGACATATGCTCTTTTATATCGACCAGTTTCTTGAATTTTTCTAATGTTAGGAACAGGTAAACTCTCTAATGTATCAGCGGATATGCCATCAGCAATAATAAAAACCACTTTTCTGTTGCTAGTAACTAGAACAGAGTGTTTTATGACCCGACAGTTCCTATTGACAATTTACCTGTTGTATTGCCTTTAGGTGGCAGTCTAATAACAACTAATATCAAAATAATAATAGTGGCAATTAGAATCAGAATCGCAAGTATCAGAAGCAATCGTTCAATATTGGTCTTCCCTCTTTTCACAATTATAGTCGTTTCTTTCTTGATTTCGACGTCATCTTGTAACGCAATGGTGTGTGGAATAGTCAATGGTGCTTGTGCGTTATTCTTATCCATCAAAAATGGTGTATGAGGAGATTCTGCTAAAACAAATAAACAAAAAGCATCTTACTTTCTTATCAAGAAATGAACAATAGCGGATTAGCGATCAGTAAAACTAAAATTTACTAGCAGTTTAGACGCTTGACTAAAGCAGAGTATCTATCTCTATAAAAGAAGCCACATAAAAACAAACTTTTCTATCGGTTTTACCACTATTCTCAGAATGTAATGGTGAGAATGTTGAATATTCTGACATTCTTTTCAAATATAAAACAATAATGAAAAGATAAAACTATATGACTACTAGTCAACGAAAAGTTCTTATCAAATTCAGATCTGCATTTATCTTTTTATATGTTTCTCGGTGATGTGCTCCGTTCGATTGAGGTGTGTAATGACCCTATTATTTCTCCTCAGCACATCTCATCTTACTTATTTGACTTTCTTTATTCATACTTAAACCTTTTATTGAAGGTTAAATTCATCTTGACATGTAACATACGTGCTGTCTCTTCGCGTTCGAATCAAATCAATACATTTAAACAAGGCAACAGGAAGTAAATCGCTTATGATCGAGATCATTTTTTGTTCATTTGAAAGTCAGTAGAGAGAAAAAGAGGCAACAACTGTCGTGTGAATAGGATAATAATCATCGTTATTGTTACGTGTTTAACATCTGAATTCGATAACTAATGAGAATCAGAAGAAAAATTCATCTATGGATATGTGCGAAGGTGAATGAAATCTCATTTTACCTGTTTATCTGATGAAACAATGTTTTATTTTGATAATTAGTTTTGAAAATATGAGTAGACACTCAGAGCTCATTTTTACTCCAATAGAACACATAAATTGCTTTTAAATAGAAAAGAAAATATAGTTAATTCTGACTCTTTTATTTATGCGTAGGTTTTTGCCCAATTTGAAGTTAACGATGCTAGTATATTATGAGAATAAAATTGCCCAGACATTCATTCACCGCCGTTAGCACATCTTGAATAAACACCTGCTCTGCAACCGGCTCTTAAATGACAATCGCCAGTACTACAATTCTGCACTTTACACGAGTTAATGCAAGTCATTCAAGTACCATAAAAACATAATCGAGCACCACGCGTTTGATTTCATGGCGACCAAGTTTCAGCATCGATGGTTAGGATAAGCAGCAGAAGAAAAATGAATATTATTTGCATTGGAGAATGCATTGTATTTTCAGTCTCAAGAGATATCTGTGCCCTTTATAACACGCAGAGAAAATTTCACATCACGCGATTATTGCTCATCGCAATATGATCGTATTTCTTACACACATACAGATTGAATACATTTTGAAACTATCTGAATTGCAATAAGTCATATCCTTTTACTAGATTACATTGCATATATTTACATTCTGTGCTATGTCTCAGAGCCTTCTGTTATGGACTTTGAGTCATGAAATTTCGCTGAAAAGTAACACGACGAATCAAATCGACTTCTTATTCAGTATACATTCCAGACTTCTTCCTATTGTTATTACGTAAGAATTACAAAATAACATCGTCATACATTCACACGTGGCATCTAGGACAAACGAAACATATATATTAAATCTGTTTCTATTCTACTCTACTATCGACATACATACAAAATGACTAACGATTCAGTTGCACCAGCAAGCAAAAAACCAATCATAGCTCTCGATTGTGATGGCGTTCTCTTAAATTATCATTCACAATTCGCACACATCTACGAGAAGACATTCGGAGCCAAGCTAGCCATTGTTTCACCGAAAGCATTTCATGTAAGACTATTCTCACTAACTAATCGAACTTTAATACATAAACATTGTCCATTCACAGGCTCGTGCAACATATGGCGTCAATTTTACTTCAGAAGAAGAGGAACAATTCGAACAAGTATGGCGTGAACATGGTTGGAGAACAATGCCCACGTACGATGGAGCAGTTGAAGCGTGTCAATTATTGCATGAAGCTGGTTACGAATTGATTTGTGTGACAGCCATGCCGGCTCGTCATATCGAACATCGTTTAGAAAACTTTCGTTCACATGGCTTTCCGATTGACAAAATTATAAGTACTAGTTTTGATCCGAACAATGAAAATCATAATCCCAAACGACAAGTCATTGAAGATTTACATCCAGTGGCTTTCGTCGATGATTTCAGACGAAATTTTCGAGATATTGCAGGTGTTCATACAAAGCTCGTCTTCATTGACCGTGAATACGAGGGTGATCCAAGTCAACACCATGAAATTTACTATGACGCGAAATATCCATCTCTTTTAAGCTTCGTAGAAGATTTCCTTCGTACGGAAGAACATGGAAACAGTATTATTTGGCCAGAAAGACCACCACATCTCATACCTTCTTCTTAATTTCTATTCGTTTTCTCACGTCGTACTAAAATCTTTATTTTAAATATAAAAAAAGACGGTTTCTCGTTGGAAAGAATGATCTAATCGCTAATTCCAGGGAATTGTTTGTTGCGAATGATATCGAAGAATAATTTATGATCACGTTGAACTAAAACTCCATAGACCTAAAGAAAGATAAGAGATGATGTTTTGTTTTGATCATTAAAGCTGTTCTAACCATTCCGAACTCGACCATTTCGTCAATAAACTCATTATCACGTCCTCGAATAGCATCACGAATAGTTTTCTCTGTATGCTGTGGAATGATCGAAAATGGTAAACAGGCAACACTTTTTGGCGTGCTGATACAATCGGAGTCAGCAACACAGTGAATTTTAGCTAAAACAGAAACCAACAAACGCATTCTTCATACATAAATCAACTTCACCCACCTGTCGCTTGCCCTAAATATTCAACAAGTTCGATAATATCATTGAACTGGTTGATGTCGGACCAATCTAAATCTTCGGCATGTGCACTGACTTCATCAACTAAACAAGGAACCGATCGGAATGTTGTATAACCTAACCATTTTGGTGTGGCTGCCTGCATTGCATATGAACAGAGAACAGTTCGCAGACCATCATGCTGGAAATACTTTTCTAGATCCGGATTTTTGATTACGAAACTAATCGCTGATTTTTGTGCAGGCTTCATGTAGAGAACGACATCATTTTCAAGTGTTTCTGATGGACCTTCGACTAAAATCGAGTAAGATACTTTGCCAGCTGATCCCACACCAGGTGACAAACGAGCAATGATGTCTTTGATTCGATAATCTTGTCGTCCTTCGTGATCATGATTTCGTTTCGCTTCGGGAATTGATTTAACATACTCTTGAAAAGCCTAGGTATTCTTCGCGATGAGGTCATTCAAAAAAGCGTATGTCATTTACTTTGAGAATATCCGCTCGCGTTTGATCGTCGACATCTTTATTCGTTTTTGAACGTTTGAATCTGCGATCGTAGTTTTCGATAACTGTCATTTCATCCAGATGAGCAACATGGCATTTCATCCGAGCTTCGTTCAGCAGTTTCTTCACTTTCCCGGTCGTGTTTCTTAAGGTCAACGAAAATTGATCGTTCGAGTTTTTGTAGAAATCATAAACTTTTTTCAAATATGCGTTCACATACGCGCGTAGAACATCGCGAATTTCGTTGTCGGAAAAACCTTTACTATGGCAAATTAGAAACAGCGATGCTGCTAAACGTTTGACATCCCATGTAAACGGTCCACAATAACCTTCATCGAAATCGTTCACATCGAAATTCAGCACACCGTGATTGTCTAAGTATGTCCCGAAATTTTCGGCATGTAGATCACCCTAGAAATAGTGGCATGAAAGAGTGTAGTCGAGGGAAATGATTTACATGAATGAAAATGTTGCCGGCGGCTTTGTTTGCTTGAATCCATTGGTCATGATCGACTTTTAGATCTTGGTAGAACAGAAGGGCGGAACCGCGATAGAAATTGAAGGCTGTTGAACTCATCTTCCGAAATCGACCAGCAAATGCCGTTGGATTCGCGCTAATCTCCTTCTCGAAAAACTTGCTGAAAATCTCGACTATGAATCGAGCTCGCTCTTCATTGCTGACTGCTCGGATACGGTCAATCGCCTTTTTCTCAGCGTTACAATCGAATGATGCACTTGCCGACATGAAATTCTTGTCGAATACGACGAACGAAATGTGATTTGTGAGTTTCGTTTATTAAAAATTTCTTTTGTAGCATGTTGTGAAGGAGAAACTATTGACATTCGTCGACAAGTGTCGGTGGATTGTTGTTTTGACGACCACAACTGTTTTATGACGTATGCGCACACTCCCGAACGAAAACGACTGAAATCTTGTTTAATTTTTATTTTAGAGACACGTTAACTAACGAGTCTTGATAATGATAGGAATTCCACGAAAAAGAAAACGAAAAGCAATAAATTGTACCTAAAGAGAAACACACATAGTCTTTTGTTTTTTGTTGTTGTCTAAAAGGTGAACGAAAGAACATGGACTAGAAGAAGAGAATAGGAGAGAGAGAGAGAGATAAAGAAAGGATATATCATTCTGGTAGGAGAATTTTCAAGAGACTAAGACTACCACAACATATGTATGGCACAACATCGAATGAAACGAATTGGTGTGTTGATGTTAAGATGAAGAAGTTGTTGAAACTCGTTCTTGGTTTGAGTAACTCATTAATTTTTGACGAATCTCACGAATACGTTGAACCAGAAGGCGTTTGTTTGGAAACAACTCTTCGTTTGCCAGTTGAAATGCTGTTGTCGAGGTGTCTAAATTCAATTGGATTTGAAAACTCGCTGTGGTAAATGGCATTTTCTACCTGATGGATACAACTGTTGCTTGAGAAACTCGATAACTTTCAATCGTGATGCTAGTTGGACTCGATTCGCAGATTCATTGCTTGTATGGCGAGTTGAACTTGACTTTATATACTGATCTTTCATCTCTACAAATCTCACTTTGAGTTTTATCATTTCATTCACAAGACCTTCTCGATTACCTTCTAGTTTTCTAATGTAGTCAATCGTTGGTTGTTTGATATCAGTTTGATTTTGTTCGTTGATAATCGATGCTTTTCGTTTACGTGTGACCATTGAAGATACATCAGGTATTCCAGTCCGATCACTAATACTGTGAGATCGAGTCCTTGGACCTTGATTATCCTATACGAATGCAATGAATCGTAACAAGAACAGAAAAGGACGAAATCAGTGCGTTTTCAAACCTCGGATGTGATTGTTTTCCGTCGTTTATTTATTGGTTTATCTGCGATAGTTTGTTCTTGTTGATGCAAAGGTTTATATGTCAAGTCGTCATCGGTTGGTATTAGATATTTCATTGATGGCATAGGCTTAAATGATGTGGGCGATGTTTTACTTCGTTCTGATAGTGAACTATTCGATCGGGAACTAAATGCTGATAGAATTGTACTACAACCATCGATAGATGAACCACTTGAATAGCCCGTTGACGACGATGAACATGATAATGCTAAGAATATGAAGACGGAATGATGACGATCGAGAGAAGGAGTCGCTTACTGTATGGATGTGTTGGGTGGTCGTCCGCAGAAGTCGATTTCGTTGATGATTGTAAAGACTTTAATTGTTGTTCGAGATCTAGATTTGCCTTGCGTTGATTGATCAATAATGAAAATATCGTTCGGCAAGCTTCTGTGTCGGACACTTGTGACGGTGAATTCGAGAGTGAATGTTCAGTTGAACAAGGATAAGAATCAATTCCATGCGATGCTTTATCTGAATCCGATAGAATGTTATTGCTAATTTCCGTTTCTAAAGTAAACAATCGGATTTGTTTATCATTATCTGATATATCAAATCCTGTAAGAAGATTTTTTTTTCTTTATTAGTTCTTAATCGACATGCTGGGAATATGCTCGAGCTAATCTTGAACTTCATATATTAATCAAAGAATCATCTGCGATGCACATTAACTATCCTTAATCTGTTTTTCGTGTTAGATTTCTTGTCTCAGCTCTTATGTCAATACCAAACAAGTTAGAAGAAACATAAACAACCGTTTGAGGTTTTCCTTTTCTCGTATTGACTGTAATTTAATAAAATCTCTTGCCATGATTATCAGGCAGTTTATTTATTAAGGTTATCAGATGTACGTGTGCTTTTAAACATTGACCTCGATGTCAATGAGAAGAAAAGTGTCATATCTCAAGTTCGGCTAATCTGTAAGGCTAACTCAATCGATTAGTTTTACCATAATGTGAAGCATTGGTTGGCAATTGATCCGAAGTATTGCATGTTAGATTGATATGAATAGGAACGGGTGTAATCAGATTCGTGATGACTGATGTTGTTTCACTCGACGGCTTGTTGATCGGTGAAAAACATTCGGTCAGTTTGGGCATGTTTGTACAAATCTACGAACGAACATTTCTCGACGAATTCGCGAGCAAGTCAAAGAACATACTTGTGCAAATGCTTGGAGTGGATCGGACGAAGGAGATATTGATTTGTTATTCGTCGATTGTAACCGTGCTGATCGTCGTAATTGTTCATTGTTTTGTTCATTGATTTCTTTCGCTCGGGTTTTATACTGTTGCTGTTGATCGGGTGACAATGAATACCATCTTTCTCCGAGCATTTTCGAAACGTTTCGATTGTCATGGTGAGGATATTCGAGGTGAATTTTGCTTCGTTCCTCTTGAGAAAATAGCATGAAAGCATTGATCGGCCGTCGAGGAGACTTTTCTTTCGATGTCGGTTCAGATGAAGTAGTCGGTACTGTCGATGATGATGATGATGAAGAAGGAAGAGTGGAGTTGTGTTGTTTTTCTTTCAGAGATAAATGTCTCGAACAGAAATTAAATCGTTGCGATTCTTTCGAGCAATTTTTGAACGAACATAGTCGTCGCCATTGTTTCCCATTGAATCGCTTTCGTACATGAGTCTCCGTTACGACAATATCACCTTTGCGATACGATTTCTCCGCCGAAGGATTACTTGATCGAGAACTTTCTTCCACGGATGAATCTATACAAGAATCTACGATTCAGAATAAGTATTCGTTAGAGCTGTCCAAGCTATTCTTACCGTTTTGTGTCGGAAATACTCGTACTTGCTGCAGCAGTGTACTCCAGTCGATTGGAAATTCTAAAAGAAAACAACAACATACTGCTTTCAGTGTTTCAAAGGTCAACACGAACCATCGTGCCACGGTGGTAAAAATAATCGAATCGATTGTCTCGGTACACATAAGCTTTCATTCTGTTCTTGAAGCTGAATTTGAAATTTTCCTTCTCTCGTCTTCTCTGTAATAACTGCCATTTGGTATACGAATGCATTCGACAGCGTTTTACATAGGACATGTTTTCCCTCAGTTAAATCTTGTATTGACGGTGCATTATCTGATAGAATTCCGAAAACATTATCGTAGACGTTTATAGCAATGAGAACTTCATTTGTTTGAACGGTTAAACAGCCATTGGGACCGATTTGATGGATTTTGCCGGATACGTATTCGTTCGGATTCCTTTCGACGAGAACTGCTATGGTTTGCCAATCGTGGAAGTTATATTCACGCATAAGAGGAGCTAATTGCGACAAGATATTACTTGTCCGATTGCTCACTTGTTGTTGATCGTCGTGGTGTGACGCCAACCAACGTTTCTTCAACGAAAAGTTCTTTTGATCGTCTTCGGTCGTGCTGGATGATCGTCGTGACATTGTTCGAGTTGTTTATATAGAAAAAATTTTCATCGTATTGCGAATGAAAATACACACCGGTCTTTGAAAATAAACACGAATAACAAGTTGAAGAGAATGGAATGATATTTCTTCGATAGTTGTCGTTTGTCGGATTATTTGGTTAATGATTTAGAAGCAAAAAAATAAAATTCTTCTCATCTGAAACAAAATAAATCATATTCTCCAGCAACATTGCAGTTTTGCTTCGCAATTATTCAAAGAAACTGATGAAACAAAAAAAAAGAAAATAATAACAAGCATATTCTAACCAGTTCGGAGACATAAACATCGACACTACACATTATTTTGACATGTGCTAGATGGCGGCAAATGACGATACGTATTGGTGGAGATTTTTCTCTTCTATTGCTATGTCGAAATCTTATAGAAATGAAGCACACTCGAAATAAATTCATCACTCAATGTCAAGTAGTGAAAAAAAGAAGAAAAGAATTCGATACTTTCTCTCGCTTTTTTTTCATACCTTCACCTGATATACACTTCAAATTCGAAAACTCATTTTCTTGCTCGACTGTTCCTCGAAATGGGATCAATCTCGAGGTTTCCTACTCGACTTTAGTTTTTCTTTCATTTGAAAATTTCAATCAGTCATTAAGTGATATTTATATTGAAATCAAAATCTATTTATAAAACACAAATCTCAGCGCCACGGGTAAACACAGAAGGGCTTTGTTCTCGCGTCCGAGACGAACTGGTCGGCGTCTAACCTGAATTTGAACCAAATAAAACAAAAATGGTTTTGTCGTTCAATCGGAAATCAAATAGAAATATTAATCATACAATCCCTCGAGGCTTTGTCTCGTGTGAAATAAAACACCTTTATCAATTAATGAACCTAACATCATCTAAATTAAATTTATATTGTTAAATTTGACGAAAAACCTCGTCAGTTCTACATTCGAATGACGGCTGTTCACTAATCGATCTTTGACTTTCGCCAAAAAGTTCGCTTTTTTTTCCTTCATATGTGCTAAACCTCATCATTTATTAGTTTGATGAAAAATGCCTGTTTGGAGCATAGACTCTCATTGATTGACTTAATGATATGCATACATGCATGCCATTACACTAACAACAAATAGAAATATTCAAACAAATTTTACAAAGAAAAAAAGCCTCGAGGCAATTTCTGTAAACTTTGTCAAATGAAAAGAAGTCTGTTGTACGTACAAACACTTGACTAACTCAAAGGCAAAATACAACGTTTACTTACGAAATTTCGTCGAACATTTCTTTGTGTTGGTTATCTAGTAGTTTGAAAAAGAAGTCAACGAATATGTTCTGGGAACAAACGGATAATAGTCTGGACGTGACTGGAATCATGACTGGTAATGAAGATAAATCGACACGACATGAACAATGCTGCGAGAGAAGAGTTTCTCTCCTAGTTCAAATCTCGAACGTTGTGTGAAATCAATAGATAAGATCTATCTATATACATAGTTGCGTTCGTTTGACAGCTTTGAGCCTTTTTTTTTCTTTATTAAAATATTCAACAGCTCATTTGCCATCGATGTTGACACACAGACAAGGAAATATTTCTTCTTCAACACTATCTAACAAATCGAAAATAAATCTTACCTCGATTTTCTTCTCATGTCTTTATATATCAACTATTCATGGTTATGTGAGACACGTCAGTCTCGTTTACTATTAATAGGCACTGCGCACATTTCATTCATTCACTCATTCATTCATTCGTTTCATCTCATCTCGGTAGTGGCAAAAGCACGACAGGCATCCATCTCTCTTCTCTCTTTCTCTAATATATATTCCATTTGATTCCCTATACACCAATGCAAACGGAGAAGAAAAAGAAGAAAGAAAAAGAGGTGAAATAACGTTCTCTCTTTTTTTTTTCTTCATTCTTTGAATACGCCAAAAACTATTGATCATGGAGGAGCTCCTTCTCTGATCGTTGATCCATTGAACAGTGAAGAAGAAGAAAAAGAAAGTAATGAGAAGGGGAGCGCGCGAGTGGGAGAAGACAGGTCTGATGACAAATCGTCCTCAGCAGACATCATACTCTTCATTGTCAATATATTTGAAAATGCATACGAACGTTTCCGGTCGAGATAGAATAAAATCACAAAGAAATTGCCGGAATGAGAATATCACTAACGAGATGAAGAGATGTGTCTGCATACATATACAGGAAAATGTGATAAAAGAAAACAGTGGGATTTCCGCAATTAGAATTATCAATTCAAATTGATTTTATCTTCAGCAGGAAAATAAATAATTCACTCATTTTTTTTTCACAGACATGTAACGCCTTGATTATACAATCAATCTCACGTTCCTTCGCAGTTGATTTTCCAGCGCCTCGATCTCGATCGATTTGAAACATAATCGAACACCTGAGAAAATAACGCCTCGCTCTTCTACGAAACGATGAATGAATGAGTGAATGAATGAAATGTGCGCAGTGCCTATTAATAGTAAACGANCGGTGCTTTCTAGGAAAGCTTCTTAGGCTGCAAATGTTAATACGATATTTTGTTAAATTGAAATTACGGTAAAATGAAAATCTTTTGTGACCTGAATTTGACCTCTAGTAAATTATTCTTTGTCTTTAATCAAATGGTGTACACTTTCTTCTGAAGCTTACAGATTCAATTTCTCGCCAAAGATAAACATTTCATTTCCGCTTGCTCAACTAATAATTAGTCCATGAGTTTTCTTTAGCTTTCTATTTGAATAACTAATAAACTGTTAATCGATTTGCAAAAGTCAATGAACATTTTCCTTTGAAATGTTGCGAGACAAATCTTTATTTAACAAGCTTTCTCCTAATGACGGCGAAAAAAAAACACAAAGGGAAGAATCGAAATGACATTTAAATACCGTTCTTGTTTGAAAAGCGAACCTTTGTAACTTAATCCAATCGAATCGAAAAGCTCAACTTATTCAAAATCGCTTCTAGAGCAACGCGCAATGCTAATCGAATTTTGCAGTTATCGAACAACTTACCTTCGCACAACCGATCTTTGACTTTTGAGAAGAGAAAAGTAGTACGGCAGTTGTTGTCGACGCGTTTTGTAATAATGATGTTATGTTGTATTGGATTGTAGGGCGAATTCGAATCACCACAAAGTACACACACACATGCACAAAGGCAAATCTTTTTTAATAATGCATAAAGTTTAACTTGTATTATTCATAGAGAGAAGGAGCAAGCGAGAGAGAGAGAAAGGTAAATATCTTACACCACTATACACATTTGTCATGCAGCTGTTAGAAACGCTTCATACATCAATACGACTTGATATGAGACACTTGATCGAGTTCAATTTGAGTTTTTATGTTCAATATTCACTAAGTAAATCTGACATTGAAGTGTTGATATTATCATCAAAAGACAAGAATAGATTTGTGTATATATATATATATTCTAATCAAAAAAGAATAGAAGGAAAAAGACAAGATAAATCTTTCTTAATCGATTATTTGACATGGAAAGAAAAAGAAAATATCGCCATGTATATCCCTCGAACTGACAAATTAATCATTTCTATTCAAGGACGAAGATTTGGTGAGAAATCGAAGTTTTCTTTCGTTGAATTCATTCGATTAATAATGTAGACATATGCTCTAATAAACAAATAAGTCGAGATTCGCAATGAGAATGTTTTCTTTCTTCCGCTTTAATATTCGAAGCACTTAGTTTTATTCATTCGGGCCTGGCTGTCTTTCTTTCTTTCTTTCTCTCTCTTCTTTTTTTCAGAGACGAAAAGCCTTTAAAACTCCTCATTTTTCTTCCCTCGTCTGTACTGAAATCTAATCATTCAATTTATTTCTCGTTGTTGTCAAAAGGTATAAAGAAGAAAAGGGAGACAAAATAAACGAGCAGCAAAGTTGACAATATATGAATAGAAGTGAAAGAAAGAAAGAAAGAACCCGAACAACACTTTACATATATACATCGAACAAATATTATTTTATTAGATCGATTCAATGTTCATACCCTTTTTCTTCTCATTCGATATCGGTAATCCCTACGTTTCTCTACTATGATTGTCATATGCTGATCATCATCAACGTTGATTCTAATCTTCGAGATCACTTGTCATCAAAGCATTGCTTTTTTGTTTTTGAAGAAAGAGATAGATAATCACTAGACAAGACCAAGATTGATAATTACGTATGTGCAAGTTTATTGAATATCAAAATATCTTCTTCTTGACTTGTACTGTTTTTCTCCACTTGAAAGATTCAATAGAATGTTCTGACACACTTTCCAAATACGCTGGAGCGGATATCGCGAGCTTTCTTTTCTGAAGAGTAACTTTTGATGATTATCGAAGGTTGTGTATCGCTAGAAAAAGACCACGAGACTCCAGGCGCAGACAGTAGTTTTGGATATACGAAGTTTGACTTGTATAGCACATTATTATGTATAACATAAATGATAAATCAGCGAGACATTGCGGAAAATTCCGATATGTCTGTCAGCGATCAAACTACGTAGAACGACTTCCACCACACCGAATCCCTCGATTTGCGTTTTAGAGGGGCCCGTTTCAAACAGTTCGTCGAGTGCAAGAAAATAACAGAACGAATTTTTTACTTCGTATTTGTTTAGACTGAAATCGAGCTTAGTTATCAGACATGTGCAATGCATCACAGAGAGACACAGTAGATGTAATCGCTAACAATCTCTTCTCGTCTGTTTACCAGTCGGAGATGAAAGGAAGGCAATTTCTACGGAAATTCTCGATTGATCGTAAACAAACTAGTCTTTCAAGTGCATAAAAAAGTAGTTATTCTCCTCTCTTCTGTAGCGAAATCCAATCATTCGATTTATTTCTCGCTGTTGTCAAAAGGTATAAAGAAGAAAAGGGAGACAAAATAAACGAGCAGCAAAGTTGACAATATACGAATAGAAGTAAAAGAAAGAAAGAAAGACAGAAACCGAACAACACTTTACATATATACATCGAACAAATATTATTCCATTAGATCGATTCAATATTCATACTCTCTCTCTCTCCTTCCCATATCATATTCATAACACTCCCTCTTTCTTGCAATATTCAGCATACATCTGATATGATCATTCTTGAAGAGAACGTGCGATTCTTCTATAATGTATATATCTATATGAGAATAATAATTAACATAGATTCATGCACAAACAACATCAAACAACAGTTTTTTTTGTGTCTCACGAAACGAGTATAAATGACTAGATGAGATTATGTTGAGATGAAAAGAAATTCAGATTGATGACAATAAAGACGAATGTGTTTATATGATTGTCGGTGAAAAAAGCAACAAAATATAAAACCAATTGCTATCACTCGGAAATGAAATTTCAACGATAATTGCGATACATGGGGTTCTCGATAGTTAATGGAACTGCTGATGTTTGTTCATTGTATCGACCGGGAAAGTTTGCATAACTTCCATTCGCCATTCCAGCAAACGGATCGGCTGATTGATAGCCAGTATTACCCCCAACGCCACTACTGCCGCCACCATCTGTTACCGTCGATCCATACGAAGTGGTTTGTTCGTTACCATCTATTCAATTAGATAACAAAGGAAGATGTTCGTAGACTGACAAATAAAGATTATCTTTTACATTTGTAAGCATCATCTGTAGACGGTGGTTCTGCCCATGGTTGTTTTTCACCGGATGCAAATAGACCATAGAATATAACACCACCGAAATGTATTAACGAAGCAATTAAGAATACATGGGCCCATTCTTCACGAGTCTAGAGAAATTCGAAGCAGCAGCCATGGCACTAGCAGAATCAAAGGAAAATCTTACGCCATTTTTCGTTAAAAATTCCACTGTGACTGGACATAACATTCCAGCTAGTGTACCAACACCATTCGAAATACCCATGAGAATACTTGCATAACGTGGAGCAATATCCAGATGATTGACATTGAACCCTACGATAAGCAAGTCAAGTCGATACAGAATATAATCTCTAACTTTTCTCATCATTACCTGATATAGCAAAACCGCTAAATCCCACCGCAATCGTCAAAGCCAAGATAGCTAATCGCGAGGTCTTTGCATAAGCAACAAGGAGAAGAAATACGGCTTCCATTCCAAAACCACCACAGTTCATTATTTTTCGCACGACTGTCGTTGTTAAATAATTTGTCCGTAAATAATCGGCTAATTTTCCAGCAAATGGAACAATGCACGACATGGTCAAATGGGGTAGAGCTGCTGAGAATGGATCCTACACAAGTTTTCATTCGAAATTTAACTTAACTAATCAGAAAACAAGAAAGCCAACGCACCTTGCCAACTTTGTAATCAAGTGCTTCACGAAAATATTCCGCTTGAGAATTAATTAATAAATAGAATGACCATGAACGACAGAAATTAGCTACAATGATTGCCCAGACTGGTTTTGAATGTAGAAATTCTCGCCAAGGTGGTTTGATCCAAGTCTAAACATGATTCGCTTTGTAACATTTTGTTCTGATATAAATTATCTGATTACGTCCTGACAAGAACAACTTGGCAACTCATCTTTTAATTAACTTTGATTGTTGGCAAAAAAGAATGCAAAAGCCTATTTATGACACTTCTAGGAACGATAAATCGACTGAGAAATGTTACGATATAAATCTTTGTAATACCCTCAAGTATTTTCATGGCCTTGGTTTATTAATAGAGAGTCTTTCAGGAACAAAACGATACTCTACACTTCGGTTGGAGCAGATTTTATTTTCGCACGAAACAAATTTATCTGACTTTCTTTATGTCACGTTTCTAAACATTAATTATTTATGAATATTCCACAACAACACATTATTCTTTTCTTTTCACAAAACTATGATGAATGAGTGCATTCTAATCATAAATTTGACATCGTACATTACCTTATTGGCAATCGAACTCGCTTCTCCAATACTCTCTTCAATGTAAATCCGTTCTTCTTCGCTGATCTTCGGATGAATAGCTGGTCGTTCATAAGACGAATGCCACCAATACACAGACCAGATAATTCCAACCAGGCCTTTACAAATAAGCATGTCTCTCTTTAGAAAGTCCTTTTCTGAATTACATGACATACCGTAAAAATAGAATGCCACCTGCCAATTAAAGTACTCGGTTAGAATTCCAGACAGTGGAATGCCAAGTACAGCCCCTGCGTACGAACCTTGACGAATGAAGAACATGAATAAGAAGAAATAGAAAATTGATGAGCATCGAACAAACCGGTGAACGAGATTGTTGCCAAAGTACTTCGTTCTAATGGTGGTGCCCACCATCGCCATATGCCGTGTGCTGCTGGGTATGTTACACCCTTAATAGAAATAGAAAACCCTTTTAACAAAATGAAATGTCAATCTATATTCTTTTACTTCAACAAGTCCCTGGAGAATTCGAAGAATCATCACCAGACCATAATGAACTTTGGCAGCAGATGGAATGAATAGATTGAGAAACGAAGATATACCAAGTGCAAATCCAAATACACTACATACACGCGAATGTAACGCACAAAGAGAACAGAATGAACTTTCTTCTTACTGATTCGCAGGAAATTTTGCTGCTAAGTATCCACCGGGCACCTGTGTAATCAGATAGCCCCAAAAGAACGAGCTATCGACAATGCCGATAATTCCTGGTGTCCAATCAAATTGAGCAAGCTAGGACGAGAAGATTTCGGTCGGATTTACTTTTCGAGATGTAGAACGCCTTTACTTTGATAACTTTGAGGGTTCCATTAGGCAATCTTTCTGTTTCATTATGTGTCATGGCCACAACACTAACCCCCATATTGCAACGAATGCCGAACGAGATGAGAAAACCTAAGGAACTGAGAAATGCGGTTTGATACCGTACAGGCATGTTTCGAATGGAATCAATGAGTCGGAAACGCGATGGAATATAGGAGCCGTATTTTGATGATGTCGCCGGGATAGTTTTGATACGTCGATGACCTGTTCCATCGTCATCGTCAACCAATTCAGCATAGTCGGATTGTGCATCAGGATTACGACGTTGTAGGAAACTTCAAAACAAGAACATATGTTCAACTCTGAACAAATTTCTCGTCTATTATTCTAGTCTGTTAACACAGAATGCAATCTGACGGTTTTCATTCATTAGCACGACTAATTTGCCTATCCATCAACAGGGAGATAGCGAGTAAGGACAGAAAAATGATTAATATAATGGTACTGTTCATTTTATTTATATCACGATAACCTTCGAGAAGTACGCGTTAGAGAAAAAAAAGCCATGATATAGAATCATTGCACACTTGACTTACTTATAAGCGGAATATTATGAAGAACTAAATCGAACTAACAAATTTAAGTAACAACTTCTACAAACTGCACCGCGAGTGAGGGCATGAATTTCCATCATATAGTCGTTGGTTTTTCAACGAAGGTTCGTTTCATCAATAGTAATTCATTTATGAACGGAAATATGAAAACCTTTGAAAATCTTTCGGCTTTTCTGCATGTCTTACTCAAATCACCTTCCTTTTGGGTTTCCTTCCGACTATTAGCTATATCATTTACCGAGTAGGACACGAGTTATCCATTAAATATTAAAAAACCCGACAGCGCTTTTGCATTGTCAATCCATTATTAATAGGAGAAGAGAATCTTTTCTCCTTATCGATAGATTTCCTTCCTATCAATTCAGCCGAATTTATTCTTACTACTAGTACGAGCAGATCTTATTAAAAGTTTAATTAATTACATATTTGTTCCATTTCTCATCGAGACACAAACAAAATGCACTGAACGGCTAATCTAAGACTTGAATGGAAAGAGTGTCTTTGCCATTGAAAACCAACTTCTACTCATCTTCTCTTTTTGTTTGTGAATAAGCAGAGATTAATGGAAAGAAAACATTCCTGACTTCGTGCTCGTATCGATACACAAAAGCAGCTATGAAGAAAAATCTTTCATACCCATTGATTTTGTCTAACACATTTTGTGTTGTGGTTCGAGCAATATTGGTAAAATAAGAAACGTATTCCATAGTGACTTGTCGTTTTAATAATAAAAATACTAATCAATCACTTGTATTCAATACCATAACTATTGACGATACATGTGCGTGTTATTATTCTCGTTCAATATCCATTGGATTTAAACAAATAATACTGGGATGGTGCTGAACGAGAAAAGTAACATTCTTGTTTCTCCTTGCTTGTTCTTCACTCCTCTTCTTCTGCTTCTCTCTTTTTTTTTTAATAATGTGTTCACCACAGCTTGAGGAAAACGTTTTCTGTCGTAGGGAAAAAAGAATTTCTAAGTAATTGATTTCGTCAAGTGACTTATACGTGCACGTCTGCAACTTTATATTAATAATGTAGTTCTTCCAGTTGCACCGTTTCTAGAAAGAGAAAACAACTGACAGTAATCCTAATCTTTCTATATATTCATGTCTACCTGTAATTAACACTTAACAAAGCTCATATTGAAATTTACTGGTATTTTCTAAGAAGGAAAAGCTAATGAAAAAAAGGCGTTATGGACAATGTTCAATGATAAAACTGCGAAGAAAGAGAAAAAGAGATGAGAGGAAATCCTCTCTCCCCTCTCTCTCTCTCTTTCTTTCTCCCTCTCTCTTTTGAAATCCTTTTTTTTTTCATTAATAAAATCTACCAATAAACATCAACTAGAGGTTTTGTTTTTCGACGTCTATTAATCAATCATATGAATATCATGAAAATTAGAATAGACAAGTTATTGCAACAGACTGCGTTTGCACCTGACACAGTTCTATTTTTTTCCGACGATTACCATTGTGGAGAACAAGTTCTGGAGACGAGTTCGGAAGTTTACAATTTTATTTTTGAACATCAACGATATATTTTCCTCAAATCACAATCATGCAATGCAGCACCGATCGAGTACTCGTGTTCTTACCTAAATGAGAACGAGATCCGAAGTATCTTTTCGCCTAGCGACTATTCAATCTTCTTTGATGGACTTTTCTTCTCTTCTAATTTTATTTTCTTCAATAGAATTATGCCATTGTCGATTAAGATATTTCTTTTCGTTCGTCGGTTTCCGCTTGTTGTTATTTAGTCAATGAGTACATGAACATAACAACAAAAAAGGCTTTATGAAGAATGACAAGCGTTACTAGCTATATTCATTATAAATAACAATGATGCTTACTGAGTATTCCACTTAACAAGAAATCGAGATGATGTGTCGAACTATTGAAAGAACTTGAAAGGCTAGTGCACTGTTTTTTTTTGTATAGCAACTGCCGATTGGTTCGTTGCAATGGCTTTACTATTGAAATTTTTCTCGAAGTGAAACACGGCAAGTTCATTTCGATCTGTGATCAGACGGAAATGCTTATTTATTTTCGGCATAATTACATCCGTTTTCTACTCATTGCTTTTCTCAAATATAATCAGCAAATCTGATGTTGTATTTCTTTTCCTATTTCATGATTTCGACGAGAGAAGAAAACTGCACACAACCTTGAAGAACTTGTAGACTTCAGTGTTCAATTTATTTTTCTATTGCGTGTGCAACTGACATGATAACACGGAGCGAAACCAATTACCAGCTTGCATGTCTTCTTTGCGGTAGTGGGCCTTACCTTTAGGGCTTCTTTTCTATTTTACTTGACGCATTAAAAATCTTTCATACTGTTCCACATCAATCTCAAACATACCTTTCATATCAAATATATCTAATCATACTAATTGGAAAATGCATATTCACTAACAGGATATATGCCCTTCGGCGAAAAGAATTATTTCAGCTTCAATTACAAACATCGACAGGTGATTAGAAAAGAAAATTTACAAAACAGACGTTCATTCTTCGTTGTATTGAATTGAGCGATAGAAAAACACGAGCCGATCGATTGTATTTGACTATAAAAACGTACTCTCCTGTATTAACAACCAAACAAACAGGATCGAGCTGACTTTTCTTCCTTTTCATCTTCGCGCGACAACATTCTTCAATCCATTGAACTGCTCTTTGAATACATATCATCACAATATAATAATCGGTAGAAAACCCCTATTGATTGATATACGTCAGACTCGCCAATCCAATGAGACAAAGAACAAATGGTTTTGCACATACACATGGTCACTCTGTCGATAGATGAGGACATCTGTATGAAAAAGTTTCGAATTAAGAGTAATTAATGGTGATTGTTCATTGTAAAGAATTGTATCGAAATAAAACAATAGAAAATGATCAATAGAAAATTTCTTTTCTACATCACAATACCACCATAGATTCGTCCTTATGGATTGGCCTCCTCGCTTTCTCTTGAAGTTTCTCTAAGGACAATATTTACTTTTTTTCTCGTCTTTTTCCTCTTATTTCATTTGTTCGACGTAATTTTTGCCATATAGGAACATCATTCTTTTGTTTCAGATATTGATTCATTTTCTTTCATCAACCGAAAGAACTTCCGAACTTTGATTATTCATTCAAATCGAAATTGCTGAGAATGCCTTCCGTCACTGATATTCAACAACAACCATCAACAGCATCAAATACTCATGGAAAATCAACACCACCACCGACGACTACAACGGATTCAACAAATGCCGATCCCATCATTCAAGTACTCAGCGTTCTAGAGAAGAAACAACGAAATCTTGGAAAGCGAAAGGTATGACCGAGTTGAGTCGATGTCAAGCACAAAGAGACATTTCGGATTTTTCCCAGTGACGCGCAAACGATTATTTCTATTGTTATTTTCAGGAAAAATTGGAAGCATTTGAGAAGTCCGAAAAATCGGGCAAAGAACTTCACAAAGACCAAAAAGATGCGTTAGCCAAATTACCGGAAGTGCTTGGTCAAATGGAATGTGTCAAAGAACTCAGCGAACAAATCAAAAAGATTCAAATCGAAGTAGGAAAACATTCATAGGTTTCTTTCGAATTTGCTATTCGGCTACTTTTAGTCTGTGAAATATCAAAAAAATCTTTTGAAACAAGCCACAGCCGAGAAACGTTCATTAGTCTCTCAACGTTTACGAGAATATGCTCAACTTCGATATCTTCTCGACCACCGGCCAACAACATTGAAACCTGAAGAGTCGACGCTGTTAGATGAACTATCAACAGTAATCAATCCAGCAGATAGTTCATTAAACTCAATATCTCGTTCAATCGACACAGTTCTATCGATCTATCAGGGTGGATCGTCGGCAACATCCGTGAAAAACCTTCAGGGAAGAAATGTTCACGACGTCCGAGCAGTTCTTGAACGTTTAATTCAAACAAGTGAACCTCAAGTATCGTCATCTGACAAGACCACGGAACAAGTTCAAACCAAAGAATCCGATGAAACAAACGAGACCAATACCGAGACCGACAATGTTCATGCGATCGCAACCAATAATTTCAACGAATATCCATTTCAACTTGATACGCGAACTCAAGACGTGTCTGTGGAACAAATTATTCAAAATAGTCAGTTTCTTTCTAATGATTTAACTAATCAAAGTCAAGATAATGATGATGATCAAACTCGTGATTCAAACCAATATTCGCAACCATCGACTGGTATTGATTTAAGTGAGTTCTTGACGAGCTTTTCTTGAACCTTGGCTAACTCGGGTGTTTAGATCAACAAACTTCTTCACTATTGTCTTTGGATAATCAGCAGCAAGATAACGTCACAAATCTCGTCGATGCACATGATCAACAAGGCGACGAGCAGTGGCAACAACAACAACAACGTGGAAATGCTCAGCGAGGTGGACAGTTTTCTAACGGAGGCGGAAACCGAGCCTATCATCGTGGTCGATCGAATAATTATCATCAACAATGGAGAGGATCACGTAAGAATGACTTACTGAATATCTCAATCAGGCATCATTCGTTCTATTGAAGGTGGTGGTGGATATGACAATTCATACGGTAATCCTAGCCAACGATCCTATTATGATAACAATAACCGTGGCCGTGGCGGTTCAAACCAAAATTATCGAGGTAAAACAAATGATATTCTTAATGAATTCAAATGTTCATCTTTGTGACACAGGTAATCGTGGCGGTAATTACCGTGGCGGCAATCGCGGTTATAACAATAACGGTAATGGATATCAAAACCCTGCTCAGTATCACCCAAACAATAATCAACCACAACAAGTTCATTCAGCACCACCGAACTCAACTCATTCTCACCATCAACAACAACAATGATTTAGTTACTAATGTTCGTTTTCTTTCTTTTTCTTTCACGTTTTCTCTCTCTCTCTTTCTCCCCGTTAAATAACAATTTATCCACAATGATATTTTCTTGTTTGTTGTGTTTATCTCGTTACAAAAAAGGTTTCTATATCGGATGGTGAAGTATCTTTGTTTTTTTTTTTCTACCATGTTTTTTTGGGTCATGTGTGTGATGTTCACGTTTGGATGATTACAAAAAAAAGAAAACAAATCCATGCGTTGTACCCTGCTTTTGCAAAGAGATTTTAAAAAATTTTCAATTGACAACCTCTGACACAAACGTACTCGTTTTCTTCGAATGAGAAAAAAAATACTAGCGTGCAAGATGTTGCGAACGAAGGAAATTTACAGGAAAATGCAATAAAAAGGAATCTGCCCCGGGTGAGGATCGAACTCACGACCTTCAGATTATGAGACTGACGCTCTACCGACTGAGCCACCAAGGCGAGTTTCTACTTGTTGTACCAACGAGTTATTCGTATATAATGGATAGAAAAGCCATTAAATAAAACGTTTTTTAAAGTTTACGATGTATATTCATGATTAAATGTGGTTTCATCAATTGATTTTCATTCGTTTCGGGTTAAATTCCGTATCAGGTTTTACTCTCTCCAATCTATACCGTCACTTCGCGATTGTATTGTTGCTAAACCACTGGATTATTTCATCAAGAGAAGGCACAATTTCTGCACAAAATTTTGACACGAGTTTCAGTAGGAAGTTGACATGTTTATCACTCCATTTAGTCTGGAACGACATGGATGGTACACTGATGAAGTCTTTTCTTACATTCACAGCTTGTTTTAAAATAGATTTACACTTTGCGTATTCCGTTACAGAACGCATATCGCCGTCAACAAAACGTTTCTTCTGTTGTGTACAGGCTAAATTTTGAAAGGATTTCTATACTAGTTGAAAGTTTTCAGTAGGGTTTGTTATTCAAGAAAAAGAATTTAAGTCTATCTATAAACTGACGAAGATTGACTTGAAAAACGTTTTCCAGATGCTTGCCATCTTTGTCAAGTTCATATCCAATTGGTTTCACTTATCAACTGAAGTAATGATTCGATTTGAAGACCATCGAAACGTATATTTTCTGTTGTAAATAAAGTTATGATACTGATCTCGATTCGTTCATGAATGTCTTGAAAAAATAATTAATCGAAGACGTGTTGATTGTTGGAGACGATATGAGAACACGAATGTTCATTTTCAGCAAATATTAATGATGTGACAGCTTGAGAAGGGAATCAATCGACGAAGAACGTGTTAATTTGCTTTTGAAGCATTATGGAAATCAACTTTCATCGATCACATGTAATGATAACAAATTAGATGCCTATGTGGCTTCACCTGTGATAACAAGTATTTGAAGGTGGAAGTTTTTTTTATCTGCATCAGTGTTTTTTCCCTTCTGCACATACATGTAGGAGGAAAACGAATGACGAAGAAGAAATTTATTCGTATTTATAGTTTGCAAAGAAATGATTCTTTTTACACACTACTATCTATTTTTACTTGTTACTTTTATTGCTTTTTAAATACTTTCGTAGAACGTTATTCATGCCCATCTGCGCTTTTCTTCATTAATGTTTTTCACCCAAACATGTTCTTAACTTAATTCGCCATCAGTTTCATACATTCTCGCTCAGTTTCCTTCGAAGAATATTGATGAACTAACTAGCCACCGGTAACGCCTGATATACACTTTCTTCTAAAACACAACTCGTTTTTTCAGCACGCGAAATCTACGTTTCAATTCGATTTGCGCATCGTCGATTACTACTGATGATCAAATTAGCCTATCATTTGTCAGTAGCGAGCAATACATCATCAGGATGTTCGACTGAATTTTGCGCTAACCAAATAATGATTATCCATAGAGAAGAATAACATCATGCATGACGTCCACTTTCGATATCGCCGGAAAGCATTTGGATAAGCACTTACGTCTCTTGAATATAATATTTTCATCTCAGCGTGAATTTAAAATGATGAAACGTTGTATATTAGAAAGCAAATGTTACCGATCGTAATAAAGATATTGAGGTCAATAGATTCGAAAAACTTTCAGTTTGTTCTGCAACGTTTCAATCAAAATCTAGCTTTCATTTTTCGATTACCAAAAGACAGTAGCATCCAGTCCAAACAAATTCAGCTGAAGCACTTTAGCATAATCAGACTCAAATGAGTTTCTTATGCAGATAAACCGTACAAGTGACTATGATTCATCCAAAGTATTTTTCCAAGGAATGGGCTGACTTTGTTTATTAAAATTCCAACATCTTATGCATGTCCGATTCATGATTGTTTGTTTTCACCGGCAGTAACTACCAACTTCAAAGTGAATTTGCATATTATGCAGTAAAAGTTGGTAACTCGTTGGAGAAAGTCGTATGAAAGAAAGAAACTGTAGATTGTTCCGAGCAAGGTGGATGGGTACAACCATATGATGTAATGCGAACAACGAAGAATGATTCTCGAGACGATAGTGCGTACTTATGAAAGTTCGAAAGTTTTCTGTGAAAATATTGTTGTTTTGTTCGACTAGTGAAAAATAAGCTTCTCGCAATAAAGAAAATGTTTCGATTGATCGCGGGCATCAATTAAATTGATAATTGATCAAATTGTCGCTCGAGTTATGCATTACTTCCTTATATGATACGCTTACAATCGATGAAAACAGTTCTGCTTCATTTCCTTTTCGTTTCTTTACTAAGCTTGCGCGTGGTATTCACTCGGTTGTGAATATTGAATAGAATGGTAATATTATATTCTTGTGTTTCACACTCTTCTTTCCAAATTCGCTCAAAATAAAGATAAGTTTCCTTGCTTCTCTCTATTTTTCACATATAGCAAAGATGAATCGAGCCCTGTATATATCGTTCAGTCATATTATTTATCATATTTTCAATTTTTACAACGAGCTGTAAATGCATTTTTCACTTCTGCTCACCGGCAATATTGTCAATTATGTGCACACACTTTTCATCAATGCTGCCTATTGAAAAGAACCAAGTCGTCGCATACTAAAGTTGAAAACTTTTGCGTTCTGCCTCATACATATATAGCGACGAGAAAAAGAAGAAGGAAAAAACCAACTTTTCTTATTTAAAGTGTCTCATTGACATATAAAAAGGATGAAACAACAGTAGATCGTGTGAGACACACAAAATAAAATTTCAAATTTTTCTGATGCAGGTAAGTATTTTTTTATCCTATTATGAGCATTTGTAAATATCTCGGACTCGGTTTTTGCCTTATTTTATCGCGATACTTCATCCATGAGTCATCATCTAACAGCCAATCGGTTTTTTCTCACATGAGTATGGTAGTTTCGTTATCAAGGACATGTGTCTAGGAAAAAGCAGATACTCGAATGCATTTCAGTGGAATATTCGATGCTATTCTAGAAGATTATCAATAATTAATATTTTAGTATAGAGTATGTCGACTACTCAGTTTGTGTTGTTTTTGATAGAAAAATTGTCTAATAGAAAATTCCACGTGATTTTTTCAAATTTTCGTGATTTTTAATAAAGGAAGAGTCTTAATCAAAGGAAAAAACTGCTGCACAGATAATGAACAAGAATCATTTGAAACTAACAATCGGATAAAGTTAATAAAAGATCGCGCAGCTGATTCTTTCCATTGTGTGGCTCACTGATGTGTATTCCTTATTTTAGATATTATGAACATGGAATTTTGCACATTGTTTTGGAATGAGACGATGATAGAGAATCTGTTGTGCGTACAATGTCGTTCTCTACTTTTCCCTCCCATGCAGGTCATGTGCTGTGGAACCCGGATTTGTGGAAATTGTTCAGAAAAGTATTATTTCTTTTGATATTTCGGATTGTTCAATATAAAGCTCGATTTGAATTTCTATTTTACAGATTAAAACAATGTTCGCAATGTCCGTTCTGTTCAGAACCTGGAGCCAGTGACGTAAGAACGATATTAACACGATCTACGATTTCATTCGTCTTACAATTGTCCATTTAATATTTAGATAAAACCAGACAGGGGCTACGAGCGCGAGCTGAGAAGGATGCAAATATCTTGTCCAAGATGCAATGAACAATTTTCTGGCCGCTTCCCTGAATTGATTGTACGTGATCGACTATTGAAATTCATCATCTTTTTTAAGATCAAACCATGGCTTTATGTTAGATTCATTTAGGCAAGCACCGTGACCTACCTTGTCCTAACTGCGCTGAAAAGTTCGTTTTTCCGCAGGAATTGAACAGTCATCAGTATAATACGTGCGAACATCGTGTGATAGAGTGTCCACTGAGTTTTCTCGGATGTGACAAAATGGTGAGAATGAATACGAACGTTTGTGTAGTGAAAGACAAAGTAGTCTTTGGGTTTTTTAGGTGCCCCACAAATATATTGAAAAGCATCTTTTAAGCAATTACCATCAACGACTTTTGTTAAACTTCGTACAGACAATATTTTCGCCATCATTATTAAACAACATTTTATCAAAAGATTCCAAAAATGCCGAACAGACGTTTGAAAAAACATTACGGGAGTATTTAGAAAAGATAAATCCTTTGATTGAATACGTGGACCAATGCACGAGAAATTGCCACCAGTTGAGTTCGAAAAAGCAAGACATGGAAACAAAGATTAATGAAATACGAACACAGTCCGTTGCTGTTAAAGAATCAGCGGAAAATGCGGTTAAATTAATTAAAAGTATTTATCAAATCATAACTAGTATAACTGAAATTTTAAACAAAATGAAATCTCAACCGATAGGCGGCTCGAGACTATTAGATACAGACGGAACTTACATCTGGAAGGTGAAACTGTCCGACTTGATAAGCAATCGACAGACATTACAATCTAACGTGTTTCTCACTTGCCAAAGCGGATACAAATTAGTACTTCAATGTGAAATTTATGAGAATACATTGACAAAAACGAGTTATATTTCAGTAGCCGTTGCCATCCTTCGCGGAGAGTATGATGCTATTCTCAGCTGGCCGATGCCTTATCCAATCACACTGGCGATAGTTGATTTATCCGGAAAAAGAAATGATATTTCATATCCGATCCATATGGATCCGTCTATGCCACCACTTCAAAGACCAATGAATGATTCGAATCCTCCATGCAAAGTGGACCAGTTTTATCCTTTGGAAAAAATAATGAAAAATAATAATCGTTACGCACAAAACGATGCAATGTTCATTCGAGTGCATCTGGATTTCGTGGCAGGAAGTCTTAATTCAATACCAAACAGAGAACAGCCGAAGTTGCAGAATTACGATTCTGTTCCGAATAAAATAGCATCTCAATTGCTGGCGGACTGACAATTTTTTGCATGCATGAAGACGTGGATGAACGGATCATACATCTTTTTCACCTTCGATCTGCCAGTGTTTTGTTAGCAGTACAAAGTCACCCTGATTTTATACACAAGAGCCGTTTTTTATTAACTTCTTATGAATGCTTAAGTTTCACTGTTACAAGTTTATTGCCCAGTTTAGAGCGACAAAATTTCTATTTGCAAATTTAGTCACAAAAGAAAAAATATTAAAATTTGAAAAAAACCGACATGTCACATTTGTTCTTCCTTTTGTGAGCGAGTCATAAATAGTTTCCAACTTTGAATAACTACAGCGGAAACGTAACAGTTTTTCACGTAGGAGGAGGAGGATATCAATGGTTGCATTTCAATTGATTTGACCACGTAACATTCTATGAAACGAACCCGTAGTCCGTACTAGCACTGATGATAAACAAAAGTAGAGAACAACCACAGACAACTAAATATGTAGAATTATTCTTTCTGGCAGTTTAGGGATTGACTTAATGTCACAAAAAAATGTTCTATTTTGTTGGTTCTCATTAGACAAAATCAATATTCACATTTGCATTGCATTGCATTACGATGTTCCTGACTTCTCACATAAACATCTTTGCATGCGCTCATAAACGTTTGTTAAAAATTGAGAGAGAAAAACGAAGTATTGACACTAGAAACCGGTGTTTCTATTTGATCAAATAAAGTTTGTCAAGACAAAAGAAGAAACGAGTTGCTTGAACTAATAAAATGATCATGTAGTAAAAGTTTAAAACGAGAAAAACTCGACAACAGGCAAAGCACAAACCATTGTAATCTGGTAACACTGGAAACAATCATGAACAAACAAAATCGTCCACTCAATCACTCGTTAATATCTTCGTATGATACATTATTGTGGCTAGATACAATTCCCCTGTCCCGATCGATACAAAATTTAGAAGCAGATTTCGCCGATGGTTTATTAGTTGCTGAAATCATTGCGTACTTCTACCCTGAATATGTGGACTTCGGCATATTCCATATCGCTCGCAATATGTCGGAGCGAGTAAAAAATTGGCGTTTGCTGAATTCGAAAGTATTACCGAAAATCGACTTTCATACGCCAGGCACAATCGTTCACGATATCATCAACGAAGACCATCGTACCATCGAGCTGTTCCTCGCACGTTTACGAGAAAAACTGGAAGAACACGCATTCCGTACGGGGAGAAAGTCGCGTATATCATGGGAAACCTGGCGTTCTCTGTCAACGGAACGATATCGTCTACCGCAAATATTACTCACACCAAGACAAAAGGCTGCTCTCGTGCCTAGTTACGGATCGGTTGTTCGAAACGGAAAACTAATCGATTCATATATCGATGATAACGAAGAGATTCTAATGAACAAGGAAGAAGAAATTGAAATCTTACGCGCAAAACTGAAACGTTGTGAGAAAGTTATTCACACCCAGGATAAACGGATACAAGAATTAGAAGATAAGATTGAAAAACTGAAACTCAAATAGCTTTTTTCTCTGTATTGATAAAGAAAAAATAAATCACCTTATATTTTCTCCTTCTTATGCATGACGCGTTTTGTTCAATGTCACATTTATTATCTTATCGCTGTGACCCGAGTGCACTTTTCGTACGGTCCAAACAAGGCGATACAGTCGTATATAAATAGAGAATAAGAACGCAAGAACGCTATCACTGAACGAGAAGAAAACAATGAGCATAATTTCAATTATTCTGATCTGTATTCTCTTATGTCTTGTGTGTTATGCAGTTTATCAACGGTTTTGTTACTTTAAAAATCGCTCGATTCCTTGTCCGCCATTACCATCGATATTTCTCGGACATCTACCTATTCTCTGGTCAGTCAAATCACATGCTGAACAACTTCGTCAATGGACACAACAATACGGTTCGGTCTACGGTCTTTTCGAAGGTATACGACCAATGTATGTCACGTCAGATGTTGCGTTCATCGAAGAAATCTTTGTGAAACAATTCCATCGTTTTCCTATTCGACGTCTAACGTTACTCAATCGTTCAATAGGACACAAACTTTCCAATGTCTTTTCCGCTGGTTTGTTGTCTATATGGAGGAGACAGCGCCGAATCCTAACACCAACATTTACTGGAGCAAAAATGCGTCGATTATTACCTACAGTGGATACTTGTGTCAATCTTTTCATGGATAAATTAAACACGGTGCCCAGTGGTTCGATATTTAATATCTATGAATTGTACAAACGTTTGACAATGGACGTTATTTGTATGTCTCGCATTTCTGTTGATTAACGCGCTAATTCCATTTCTTTAGGTCGATGTGCATTTGGCATCGATACGGATGTACAAAATGATATGGAGAATCAGAATATCTACATGAAAAAAGTGGCGGAAATGTTTGCGAAAAATCATGAACTTACGCTATTACCTCGAATGTATCGTGTGACGTCGCATACGGTATTCGGAGGTATATGTGTGTTGTTATTCAAACTGAAACGATTGATCACAACAAACGAGTCAAAACTTCAAGCAAATGTTTGGCTATTAGAACACATGAACGAATTCGTTCAGCAGAGATTCAATAAAACCGAAACACATAAGCCAACCAGCGATCTTCTTCAGCTGATGATGAATGCTGTTCATTCCGATAAAGTTTGTGCCACTGAATTTTTCCCTACTCATTCACTCACTTGAATATGTAGGATATGTTAACACCAACGGAATTATTAAGTAACGTGTTTGTCGTTCTCGCAGCAGGCTTTGAAACCACATCAACAGCATTGGCTTACTGTACGTATTGTCTTGCTTTGCATCAAGATATTCAAGAGAAATTGTATCAAGAACTCGTTGAACATTGGTGTCCCGATGAGACGAATACTTACGATATCATTTCGTCTAAATTGACGTTTATGGATTTATTCGTACGAGAAGTTCTACGAATGTATCCGCCCGTTCCTCAAGTTGTCCACCGTCAATGTACAGAAAATACACATGTTGCTGGACATGACATTCGAAAAGGTTTGTATTTGATAACACCAAAGAAATCAAAGCAAGAGAATTTTCTTTTTCAGGAACTCTGATACAAATTGATGTACTTTCTGTACATTATGATCAAGAACTCTGGGGTCCCGAACCGGTAAATGAATTTCATCCCGAACGACATTTACAAAAACGGCATCCACTTGCTTTTCTTCCATTCGGTGCTGGACCAAGAACATGCATTGGAATGCGATTTGCATTGAGTAAGTTCGATGTTAATATAGAAAGTTTGTACTCTATGACATGTCTAAAATAGTGGAAGTCAAATTATGTTTGGCTCAACTGATCAGCACCTATCGTATTCTGCCATCGTCATTTGAAGACTACAAGTTAAATATAACCGAGCAACTCTCAATGACGCCTGATAGTGTTTGTATCAAAGTGGAAAAACGAATCACATCATCGTCTCATTGATGGCTGACACTTTATTGATTGTTGTTTTGGACATTAGAATATAATTAGTATCTTCATAAAACATATTTTCAATTTATTCTTTAAATTGATTAATAAACATCGATTATTCTCCCTCGTTTCGTTTACAAATAAAAATTGATAAAACAGCTTAGTTAGAGCAAGTCTAGAGTTCTTAATCTCCCAATTGACGCTTTTTGAGCGCATCAATGAAACGCTTTTTACGTCGAATATTTTTACCATTCATAACGAGTGGTGCTGCATGAACATTGCTTGCATCTTTAATATTCGCTATCAAATCGCTTAGATCATATGTTGGAACATTTATGCTCGTCTTCGAGAATAAGTTGGTAAAGAAGGATTTCACTTTGTCATAGGCCGATTTGACGCTATTCTTTAAATCTGTTAGAAAACTGTCAGATTTCTCCAAGCTGGCTGTCAGAGTTGAGGTGAAGAGTCGAAATCGTTTTCCTTGTGCGACTTCATTTGAGATTGCTTGTGCGACAGCGTCCGCTGGATTAATCACGAAAAGACGATCAAAATTATCATTACCAATCTCTTGACGAAGCTCATTGAAAAAATGTTCACTTGCATTGATTGCAAATTCAACCGCTTGATAACTGAAATACAAAACACCACATTGCATCATCTTCACTCAAAAACTCTCTCTTACTGAAGACTTGCATGTGGTGAAAAGAGTAAACTATTGGAATCTTTGTTGATTCCACCGATGGCTGGCACATTTGCTGAATCATCCAAAACAGAACCATGTGAACATTTACCAACATTCGCTGGTTTATTCAGTGGCTGACCATTTTCACCTGTCTGATTGAACAAGTAGCCACTCGTGAGTATTCGTTGACTATTGATAGCAGCTAGTATGTTATCAGTGCAATCATAATACACCAGTGGACATTTTCTTATCGTAATTTGTTGCCAAAGAGACTGAGAATAGAAGATGACAGTGCATGACCAAGATCAAGTATTTCCACTATACTTACACATTTTTGTGTTTTCTTAGTGCAACCCGTATCAGAGCATGTTGCTTGATTTGGTGCAGCAACTTGTCCAACAGTTTCGTTTCGTCCGATCAAAGTGTTCACATCAGTATTACCCATTTCCACCCAATTCGAATGTGAATAGAAATCTTGCAGGGTGTGAAGTAACTGTCCTGTCTTTTGCCGCGCATCAGTTAGATCATTATCAGCAGTGCGTGAATCACTTACAACTAAAAGAAATCTGCAAATGAAAATCATGCAAAAGACTGATTGTTACCTTTTTGTCTGAGTAGGATGATACGGCGACTACCGTTGTTGAAAGTTTCACTATCAAAATGTGCAGGTGATAATTTTTTCGTATCTGGATCAAGGTCCACCAAAGCATTGTATGTCATCACCAAATCCAGTGTGAATTTCAAAGGAAGTGAATAGAACTCGATTTGCGCATCGCTATACTCAGGATATGCAAGTTTGTAGAGGTCATCAATAGTATGCTGCTTAGTGAAGTAATCTTGTTGATTGACGGTACCATTGTTGTTATTATTGGGAGCAATGCGTGTTTCATAGAAGAAACGAGCAAGACTGCGAATGAAAGCGATTTCGGTGATTTCTGTATGTGTGATACCTATAGTTAATAGAAACAAAAAACCAAATACTGAAAAGCAGATCGTAATATCATGATGTGTACTAACTATCGCCACTAAGAGCACCATCGGCGATTACCGGTTGCGGAACGAATGCATTGACAAACGATATACAAATGGTCAGATACAATAACCAGTAGACGCTGGAATTCAACATCATGAACGAATATCTTCGAAAATCAAAATGTAAACTCGATATGTGCACTGATTGTCCTCGTTCTAGAATCCCCGTATTTATATCACAAATACCATTGTATGACGTCAGTATTATGATTGAGAATGACGCTCTATTTTTTCATCTACCTATTCAAACGATTAATTCAATTATACAAATTATGATAAAAGTTACGTGGGGAAAGGTTTTCATACACTCGTACTCGAAAATCCTGATCAATGAGAACGTTGTGAAGCGTACTTGTCCTTGAGGTTTATTTCTTATCCTCTATGACTTTCGTGACGACGTTTGCCTTATTTATCATATCAAAAGATTGCAATTACTCTTGAGCGAGTAATCGATCATTCTTCGATATAGTACTATTCTTTCAAAAAAAAATATTCTCTCGTAATAGCATATTTATGTAATTTCCATATGCTTGACAAACGTTTCTAAGTTCAGTTGGTTCGAGATTCTATTCGACATATTGTTCTTTTTTATGTTAACAACGACGCATATATAATTTTGAGCGGAAAATGTTCAAGAACTTGTATATCTATTTGAAAATTCAATACTTGTCTGTTTGATTCGCGTGTCTCAATGAGAGTACAATGATCATATATTTCAATTGGGTCATAATTTCTGCCAGGATACGTGTCTAATAGAGTTCCCTATATATATAACACTATAAATATATACATATCTCAAGCATGAACTAGAGGGCGCCACTGACTAATTATCGTTTTTAATAATAATACAATGAATCGAAAGTAACTGTATGCTTTTTATTGTTGAATAAGTTAAACTGAAAATTCGATCGTATAAAAATTGATCTGACGTTGACAATTGGTCGAAGTGTTCGCCGCTAGTATTCAACCATGAATCATTGGTAGTTCTAAATTCTATTCGCAGATCTTCTATCGTTTTCTTATTTCGAAATCTGATTGTTGTCTGAATAATTTGTTCATACATTTCTAGAAAACTATGTCAGCGAACGATCGATTAACTCGGAGTTTACCTCATTTGCAAAACTTAATCAAACGGGATCCAGATGCTTATCGAGAAGACGTAAGATAGCATCGAAAATTTTTTTTTCTCATACTGATTTCAATCGTTTAGTTCAAACTTCAATATCTCCATTTCGAAAGTCAATTTCTGGAATTAGCGGCTAAACCCGATGCATGGAACAAATCTTTAGCAGACAACATCTCCTTTGTTTCACAAGTATTTTCATCTTTGACAAAATTGCACAGCTTGCAATTCAAATTTAGGTCGCTCATTGTTATCGAGAAGAATGCAAAGGATTACCACAAATGTTTATGGATACTCTCCGGCTTTATTCGACTGTCCTTAACAACGATATTCGACTCGTATGTATCAGCGTTGTCTAGAGATGATCTCTGTTATGTTTTTCTGGTCATTTGAAGGTAATCGTTCGCGCATTGATCTTGATGCGTAACCGTGGTTTAATTGAATGTCTTCAATTATGTGAATTGTTCTTTCTCCGTTTGTTACAATGCCAAGATCGTCTTCTACGTGTTACAATTCAATCACATATTATCAACGATATAAAAAAACAAAATGAAAAACACAAAAATCACAAATTAAACAGTGTAAGTTTGATTTTCTCTCCGCTTCGTCTTTCCTTTACATTCGATCTCATTTTAGACATTACAAAACTTTATGTGTACCATCATTAAAGAAAGCAATGCGACTGCTGTGAAAATGGCTCTCGTAAGTTTGTGAATAGCCCGACAGGCGAGATTGGATTTGATATGTTTTATTCAGGATATTATGGTTGATTTGTATCGCAAGAATATTTGGAATGACACGAAAACAGTTAATATCATCGCTTCGACATGTTTCTCGAAAATAACTAAGGTTTGTTCGCATTGAATACTGGTCGAATGGAAGTTCAATTTCGTATAGGTTCAAGTAGCAGCGTTGAACTTTTTTCTCGGCAACAATCAGAGTAAAGATGATGGTAAAGATTCGGACTCCGATGATGTAAGTTGATGGGTCATGTTTTGGGTCATAGAAATTGTTGATTTTTAGGATAATGTAACAAGAAAAGATATTTTACTTGGTCATCGTGTTGGAAAGAAGTCCGCTAAGCGACAGAAGAAAACTGAACGAGCGTTGAAAACACTTGAAGTACGTTTTCGAATGAGTGAATCGAAATATATCCATTTCCTTTCGTATTAGAAACAAAAGAAGAAAAAGAAGGTTGAAGTGTATGATTTCTCTGCACTTCATCTCTTTTACGATCCGCAAGGTAAACGAAATCTTAGCGAACAGGCGTTTTATTCAACCATGGATCAATTTAGATTTCGCTGAACGTCTGTTCCGTCAATTAGAAGCCTCGAATGAACGTTTCGAAGTGAAATTACTTCATCAAGATTTGATTTCTCGTCTCATCGGCCTCCACCAACTACTTCTCTTGAACTTCTATCCATACTTACAGCGATATCTTCAACCGCATCAACGTCAAGTGACAAAAATTCTCCTCTATGTCGCACAAGCATCACACGAACTTGTCCCACCAGATATTTTACAGAGTATCTGCAGAACTATCGCAAATAATTTCATTACCGAACGAAACTCCGGTGAAGTCATGGCTGTCGGGTTCGTAGAAAGCAAAATTTGAGTGAAATTCAATTCGTTTGTCTTTAGTTTGAATACCATTCGTGAAGTTTGTGCCAAGTGCTATTTAGCAATGGATGAAGATCTACTACATGATCTTTCGAAATACAAATCCTATCGAGACAAGTCGGTTTCGGCATCTGCTCGATCCTTGATTCAAGTTTTTCGCGAGAAAAATCCGCACCTTCTCGAACGAAAAGATCGAGGCAAGCCGACGGAATTTCAACGCGATCTTGTTCCATTAGCATACGGACAAGCCAACCCGAAATCTTATCTGGAAGGTGCTGAAACACTTGAAGATGGAACTCAAGAAAATGATGAACAATCCGATGGTGAAAATGAAGACCAAAGTGATGAAGAAGGCTGGGTGGAAGTATCAAACTCAGAAGATGAGGAGGAAGTCGAGGAAGAGCAAGAGCAGGAAGGTGATCAAGAAGAAAATAAGGTATGAAAACAAAGAATTTCAGTGAATGTACAAAGAATTTTCTCTAGATGGAAGTGCCGATGACAGAAGAAGAACGTCGTGAACGTGCGATATCGATCAGTACACAACGTATATTGACTCAACGTGATTTTGAACAGCTGAAAGTTCTTGAAGTGAAAAAACGACTCCAAGATCGACGACGAAATCGCCTTGAACAGTCGATGTCGGCAAGCAAAAAACGTAAAACTATATCCATCGATACCGACTCCGATTCCGACGATGAAAATCGAGCAAAAGCCGGCCAAAAGTATGTTTATTGACAAACTTCAAATTAACACTGATGCATTTATTTAGCTCGGATTTGATCTCATTGAGAGACATCGAAAGAGTTCACAAGAAGCGTGCACATGATAAAGAATCTCGCTTGGAAACTGTTCTTGTAAGTAGACACCATCGGCACTAATTGTTTACGCGTGTTATTTTCGAATCTCGTAGGCTGGTCGAGAAGGGCGTGAGAAATTTGGTAAATGGAAGAAGGAGAAAGGTCGAGTAGGTTCAACAAATAAAGAAAAATTGAAGAACAAAAACTTCCAAATGCTTAAACCCAAATTACGCAAGAAACAAAAACGATCATTTCGTGATAAACAGGTTCGATTTGACATACAGCACTCTAGCAAACCAACTGACATATCCTATTTATTCTAGATCTCTCTGCGGGATTCATTATTGAAAGACAAACGTCTCCGATAATTTTTGTTTTGTTTTTCTCGAATAAAATAAATCCATGTTGGCTGTTGACGAACAAACTTTTCCATTTAATCATCCTAGATTATTGTCTACCATGGTTTTCTACGTCATCATAAGTCTAGCTTTGTCTATTTCATTGTGGCTAAAATAGAAAGTCTGTTTTCAGTCAAAGCTCAGCAAATCGGATCCAACCACCCTTTTCTCTGAATCCGCCGTCTTCTCTTTGTTTATACAGAAGAATTTAATACCGAATAAAACTAAGCATCAGGTTTCATTCAGCTGTTAATCAATGACAGGTTTAATTCGATTATTTCCATGCCGAGTTAGTTGATGATTTGATGACGTAGAAGATTTCGCTTCAATAACAAATCGTAATGAACTTCCTTCGTTTTTCTTGCACAATCATCATCGCCAAAGGTTTACTCTATTTCCTGAAGATAATAATGTGCTTAAATGAATGGAGATGAAAACAGAATCATTTGTCTTTTGGCAAGAAATGGCCTTTTTTTTTCTATTTGTCTGCGTGATTACAAGTTGCACCTGTTTTCATCGATTGGTTGCGTGTCATTCAAACAGCTTTGCGAATATTCATTTCTTTTGTTCGACGCGATCGCTTTTTATTGACGCTTTTTAACATCAAATCTAAGAACTACGTTGTTTATTGTTTTTCTTCTGTCATCGTTATTGAAAAATCAGGAAGCAATAAAAGGTAATTAGAACTCATTCTTATGTAGCGAACTCATTCATTTGCTATTCTTTAGAAGCGAGAAAATTAGACATTGAGTTTTTATAACTAAATGCTACGTTTCGAAAGCGGATTTCTTCTTCTTTTTTTTCTTTCTAAAAATACTCGACATATATTCGATAGGATTACAGACTCCGCGTGTAATCTCATTAGTTATATCGAGAGCGAGTTTTCTCGGTAGAAACCTAATCCGGCACTTCCGAGTTTCTTTCTCACCTTCACGTAGCAGGTAAAAATCAAGTCATCTTCATGTTTTATTTGATAGACATATGGTGAGCATACTGGCAAATGTTTTCCGAATGAAGAATCAATATTTATTACATAGTCGAACAAGAGGTTGACTTCACTCGTGAACACAGTGCAGCTAGGAACTTTACGGTCCGTAGGATGAATATTCCCTAAAGAATGTTAGTAATTGATGAGCAGGAAGCGAAGTATCTGGATAATCGATGTTATTGAGAGATTCAGCAGAGAATCTAAAGGTCAATGTTATCATTTGATATCAATCTCTTGAGAGCAGGCCACGACATTACACATGAAAAGAAACAAACCGGCGATTGTTTTTCTTGTATTTCAGGTAGAAATACTCTTTAAACGTGCGTGAGATGACTATAAACTGTATGTGAATTATCAAACATCTATTGTCGCTATCATGAACTCGATGCACCAGTTTTTCTACTTAGCTCATTGACAAACTACAATGAAAGAAAAGCAGAAAAACAAGAAGAATGGAATGCATCAGGCTACCGTAGGTGGTAAGATATCATAATAATCTTAACCTGTTTCTCATTAATGAATCCAACACATACAAGTTACTAGACATACAGTTTTATCAGTAGACAACATTCCCGAGACCTATTTTTCCCCCACATATCTGTTATATAAGCGGGTACAGGTAGGTTCAAAGGAAATATTATTTATTTATGAGAAAGCTTTTTTTGAAACATATCAAATAGATATGTTAATATCGAGAATTTCTGTTCTGAATTATTCAGCTTAGAATATATGAATGCACGAAATGAGATGCGCTAGGAGAATTGATGAGAGAGAGCAAAAAAAAGAGAAATATAGATCTTCTATGTATAGTATGTCGGAAGAGAGATATGAAGAATGTCACCAGAGAGGTTAATTGAATGAAAAAGGAGAAAATCTGTTTGTGATTATGCCGGCCGGTCAAAGTGAAATCATTTTTTTCGTCTTCAGATAACATTTTAACGATTAAAATGATGAATAAGACAGACAACGACTTGATGTTTTCGATGCATATCAATGTTAATCATATATTAACATTCTTATTTGTTATAATTGCAATTGTTGGCATATTGGGAAACCTTCTCGTGATTATCTCGGTCGAATTCGATGCTCGAATGAGAAGATCATTAACGAACCAACTGATCGTTCGCGTGGCATCTTGTGATTTTCTCATTCTTGTTTTCAATATTCCTGATTTAGTACAATTTGTCTCATCACCAGATGGAAATTGGGTTCTTAATCAATTGGCGTGCAAACTTATTCGAACAACACTTGTTTTAGCACAATATGCGTCGGTGTTAACTATGTGTGCACTAACAATCGAAAGGTATTTGTCTAATCAACTTTGTTTTCCCTTCAAATGTATTTCTTCTTCGTCGTAGATTCATCGGAATTGTTTATCCACTCCGTTCGAAGTTATTACGTGAAAAAGAACATGTGACTGCGATCACATTTGTTGTATGGATAGTCTCATTTGTTTGTGCCTCGCCAAATTTGATCTACTTACGGGTATTAACTGATCCATTGTCCTCACGTCGCGCATGTGTGCTTCAATATTCCAAAATGAATTTCGTGGAAAACCGACGTAGTTATATAATTCATAAAGCTCTCGAATCAGTTTTATTCTATTTTCTTCCGCTGCTCTTGCAAGTCTTTTGTTATGCAAGAATTGCTCGACAGTTGTGCCATGTTGACGATGCACTACAAGCATCTTTTCGTGCAGTTATGAAAACATCCACTCAGCGAACACAAGTTCGTCTTTCGAAATGCGAGAGTACCAACGCAACACTCTACTTTTCTCTTTTCAGGTCGATATTGATGATGAAGATGATTATACTGACAATGACGAGAACTCGGGTACCAAATACACTCGCGTCGATTCCATTTCTCACTCACCGATTCGTCGCTCCAAACAATCACCGCAGCCTTGTGTGACTTACGTTCTTCAACGACAACCGTTCAAAACGTCTTACCCAATACATCGAACAACTGTCACCTACGATGCATTGAAATCTCGTCGGAATGTTATCAAGATGCTCTTTGTCGTTGTACTCATTTATTTCATTTCCTTCAGTCCACAAGTGCTCGTTTTCATCTTGTTCGAAACGACTCTCATCCGTCATGTGCCGCAATTCATCCAAACACCTTATTTCATTGCATTTACCATGCTTCTCGTCACGCTCAGTTCGGCATCGAATCCAATAGTTTACGCAATCTTTTGTTCGAAGTTTCGACAGAGTTTCGCCAAACTTCTGCGAAAGATATTCTGTTTCTGCCGCAAAGAGTTCGATTACCGTTCAAACCACCGAGCTGTCTCATTACAGCAAATTCAATCATCCAATCTTCGCGCGAATGACAGAGTTTATACCAACGAAAGAAGACATTCGCATACTAATGGCAAACAACGATCATCCTCTTGAATATATGCTTATTCAACAAAACTAATGTCATTTCTTATTTACTGCTAAAGAATGGTAAATAAATTCTATTAATTAGTTATATCAACTGAAACTATTTTCAGTTCTGGAGTCATTGATGAATATCTGTTGTTCATCCATTTTTCCGGATGGCGTTCTCTTGTGTGCCTAAAAGTGAAAGATAGCAGAATCGATTGCAGAATGTCTTAGGAGCTAAATATTGCTCTTTTAATTAAAATATGCATCCGTAAGCAGTAATAAAAGAAAATGTCTGCGGCCTGACTAGTCTTTACTAGATATGAGGTGTTTAATTGCAGTTAGTCTTTGCATGAACGTGCTAAACGCGATTAAATGCGCTGTTGTAGACAGCATAACGGAAGAAACTAGGTCACACAACTCGTTTAAGTCTCCAACGATGCTTTGCTGTTCTCTAGATAAGTGCTAATAAAAACAGAAGAGAGAATGCCGTTTTCACGTTCGGAAATCATGTTGTTCTTTTGGCTGGGATCTTTCTTTGTATGTCTATGATTGAGCATTCATTAGATGAAAGCTTTTAGTTAATCGGTTATCGACAGAGAATATATTTTGAAATGTGTATTTTAAAAAGTTTACTTTCTTTGTACAAAAATGCGACAAGCTTTTTGATCGAACGAAAAATCACTATAATCCATGATTATGAATGAATGAAAACAAGTGTGAATGTGGAGATTTGATCGAAGAAAAACGGAAGTAGTCATTGTATTTACCCGTCAATAATACTTCACGAAGAGACTGACTTTTTTTATTCTTCAAAGTGAATCCCTGGATTAAAAAAATTTACACCGATGGGCGTAGGCTGGTGATACTATAAAACGTGTACAAGAAAGAAAAGCAAATTAACTAGAAATCTATTCATCATTTCAAACGATTAACGATGACGGATTTAGAAGGCCAATCACGAAATGGCAGAGCCTTCAAATCTTCAAGAATTCTTCAGCCGCATAAAACAATTCAATGACTTTCACACATGGACATTCGAACGTCCCTTTACACTCATAAATACAACGATCACTGTGACACTTTCGGTTACAAATATCGTTGTCGGAGTTGGTGTTGGTTGTTCACAATGAAAACGATTTCTTTTTATTGAAATTAATCTTTTCGTATTTTTGAGTAAATTCGTTTTTTGCTTAAACTGACCGTACTTTCTGCAACAGAAGTGATAACGTCATTCGAGAGAGATATCGTCCGCATCAAAATACATCCTACCGAATTCGGACGTCGAGTGATTATAAATTTTATCAATTTCATTTATTTCATATGTAAAATACAAGACGATTAGTATAGAGAATAACGATAAAGATACGAAGCGAGATTTTGTAGACAGAAAAGAGAAACAGTTCAGATAGAAAAAAAAGTGTATTAGATTCAAAAAGAGAATGTTTGATTATCATTTTGTTTGTGTACAATCAATTCACAATTGCTGATGAACACATCAAATTCACACCACATGTGCCATCACCACGATATAAACGGTAATAACCCTACAATAAAGTCAAATCAATTGTCGAAATAGTTGGCTTGATTTTCATTACCTTTTCACCCCAATGTGCACCCCAACTATTCTTGATAATCCAAAATGGAATTGACTTCGAACCTGTACACATGTGCACGTGCAAAATATTCGATAGTCAACTGTATATCTTACTTTTCTGTTCGACGCCATAACCGACTAGTAGAACACCATGATTTAAACCTTGTGGATTGCAAAAGGCACGTCGAGGATGAGCAACACCACGGAAATAGAACTGTCAACATAGAAAATGTAGTTCGTACATGAAGCAAACCGAATTTTTCTGATATACCTGCATCATGTTAGCGTTCAAGCCAATTGAGATCGGTGCATTCGTTGCCAACCATTCTGCCATACCTTAGAAACAAAACTTCATCACCATCGATCAAGAACATTTCGATTTCTTTACCATTTTCATCTGATGTTATATTCACATAACTATCGATATTAACTTTAATTTTAGATTTGTCCAATAAGCATTGATTATGTTGTTTCCCTTCATACTTGTAGTCATCTTCTGTCATCAATCCGCCCATGCTGATGATTTGCCCATAAGCATCTGTCATAAATCCACCATTGCAGCCTTCATCGACCTTATCACAATCGACCAATTCTATTTGAATGCGAAAAAACGTTAAAAGATCAAAGTCTCAAGTTTTGGTACGAACCTTGTTCGGACAAAGAGATCAGATCGCCTTTTTTTGCTTTCCAAACACCTTCGATATTTCCGGTGACGCTGAATGCCCAACATGAACCACATTGACCTTGATTCTTCACATCAGTAACAGCACTGTGATTACGCCAATCGAACGCGTCCGGTGTGACTTGTAGCGGATCGTTGCGCGATTCTGCCGATTGTACGCGGATATCTTTGGACAAGGAAAGACGTTCATTTAAATGGTATTGAGTATATTCTTCCTCTGAAAAGCAAACGAATGGTGATCGAAAATGAAAGAAGGTCGAAACAAACCATTCAGATCACTCAAGTGTGTTATTCCGTAAATAGCCGTGCCTTCTTCTTGCTCGTTGAACTGTTCAATTCGGTTTAAGTTATGTTTGAAAACTTGAAATCGTTTTTCTTTTTCTAGACAGACAAATTCAGTTCGATGAATACGTAAACAACAATAATTCAATCAAACCTTTGTCATCCATATAGAATTTTTGATGAAGTCTTTGAAAGCGCTCGAATAAATACGTGTCATATTCGCCGACTTCGTCAATCGAAGTATGCTCGATAGGAATTTTAGTTCCGGACTAAAATTATTATCGAATTCATTCTTCGAATGCATAGAACAGAATATACTGACCACAAATGGGTATGGAATCTTATTTGCATTACGTTGCACATCTCCACCGATTAATTGTTCATTGTGAGAATCTTGTTCCAGCGAAATACAAACGATTGCACGAACTAATGCTCGTATATGTCCAATAGGATCGTCATAAACGGCTACCGGACATTCGTATTTCTACAAAGAGATCTATTCTCAAACATCTATCATCTTTTTCTTCGAAACTTACGATATCGTTATCACTTGATGTGACTTGGAAATGGACTGTGTAGATTTGACGACTGTTTTCTATGTCAACCTAACGGAAAAGTTTGCATGTTGGAAATCAAATGAAAAGTTATATACTTACAGCGGTTTTGATTTGAACAATATGCGTTGTACGCATTTGTCTATCATTTCGGAAATGTTCTGACAATGCTTTGTGAGCAAAAGAGGTGATTTCAGTATCCACTGCTGATAATTTTTGCTCGTAAGTTTTTCGTTCTGTTCCATCAATGGAAACAACAAACAGCACGAATAGGAAAGAAACTAACCACATGTTTTAACTATATTTTCAGTTGAACTGAATTGAATGGCGATGTTTACGAGTTAAAATATCAATCACCTGATGAAACTCATCCACATAACCAATCAATGGTATGCTTGGCTGTAGAGAATGCACGTTGCAGATGTCACTCGCTGGCGGATTTTAGAATTTCAAAGAGAAATGCGGAAAAGACGCACCATTTTATCGAACTTTGCAGAAAATAAATGAGCTCATTGATCAAAATGACAGATTTTTATTGTAAAGGGAAAGAGAAAGAATGTTTATTGATGAGTTTGGATATTATCTAATTGCTGTTTCATTTGATTAATTTGAATTCGATGATTTTGAACCATATCTTGTATATTTTCCATGGATAGATTGTCTGGCTGACTTTGACTCTGATTCAATGAAATGAATTCTTGAATCTGTTGGATCTGTTGAGTTAAACAATCGATTTGTATTTGATAAGTTTCTAACTGTTGTTGCATTCGTATTTCTTCATCCGATAGAACTGGTATGGACTGTTCAATCGTAGATAAGAGATCGTCGATACGTGACGATAATCGCTTTCGACGCGAACATTCCTATTGGCCGAAAAACAAAATAACGAAGTCGAATTTACAATCGATGCCTTACTTGTTGATAGAGTGCCATTGAGTTTTCGAATTGATTTCGTATCTCCTGGAACCTATCTGTTAATTGTTTGCTCTCATTCGATTGTGTTTGATGAACTTCGACTAAGTAACGTTGTTTATCGTCGATTTCTCGGCGAACTTTGTCTTGTTTTTGAATATATTGTTCAGTGAATATTTTCATGTATTGAAGAACATTTTTCTCTAAATCAAAGTCGGAGAGTTTTGTTGATGAAGATCGAAGTGTCACAAATGGAATGGATTGGTCGCGAGCAAGTATCGAACGAATACGAGTGAGAAATTGTGAGGGCTTGCTTTCCGATACGGTAATATTACTATTGCTATCCGAACTCGATACTTGTGAACGAATAAGAATCAATTCCTAAAAGATATGATACAGAAAAACGTTGTTTAGGGAGAGTGGAAACTCACCTGTTCTGTGTTGGCTTGTGATCGAACGATGGCAGCCAGATAGTGGCCGTAGTTATCGATGTATATTGAACCAAGTTGCTCGATTTCATTTGTAATTTTATTGTTCAAATTCGCACCGTTGATCAATTGTTGAATTTGTGTCGGTTGGAGTTGCTTCGAACCTTGTTGAACTTGATCGACCCAGGCAATTTCTACTGCATAGATGTTCGCATTCGAGTCTGTAATATAGTATCTATTCGGCACAAATCGATCCGGAAGAATCGATGTAATAATTAGTCCGAGATCACTGTTTGGGAAAGTCAAACAATCGATCGTAAACAGATGATGTTGATTGATCGATGGCGATAAGATCATACATTGATGAATTTGAGTTCGATTCGGTGTAAAGATAGCTAGTGGACAAGAGGATGGTGCTAAACAGACTAACGTCGATTGATTTTGTCCAGCACCGTAGTTGTCAAAAGCTGAGGGGAGAATACGAATAGGACCGTGAAAGTCTTCGTCGATGTGATTTTTCAACAATTGATCTTCCTCGATTTCGAAAAGAAAGATATCACCGTCGGTTTTCATTGCGAAGAGAAGGATTGATGTTGATTCTTTTGTTTGTTTCTTCGTTGCATCTAGTTTGATGATGTCGGATGGCTGATGGAGAGATATTTTTTTACTCGGTGTGTTGAATTTGGTGTTTGAAAATTTGCCGATAGAAAATTTATGGATGTGTTCAAGTCCATCGGCTTTCGATGACCGAATATGATAAAGATAACAATCAGAAGCAGATGGAACCGAATAAACGATGGCAAAATGATTGACTGTTAACCAAACGAAGTCAATTAATGAACAATTAACAGATGCAGATGATGTCGAAGGTGGAACACGAAGTATTGGACACAGACGAGATCCTGAAGGTGAAAGATGAATAGAAACAACAACAAAAAAGAATCGACTCGTAGTAAACTAACCTTTTGAAGGTGAACGAATGTGTGTCTCATGATGTGACTGTGATAAGAAAACAAGATAGACAAGTTTATCAGCTATCAACGCAAGAATGGTTTCATCTTCGTTAAGGATCAATTTTCGAATCGGCCATGTTGGTGATGATGAAAGATGAAGACGGTCAAATCCGAAATCCGTCGTGTTATTTAATGTTATCGATGAATGAACAAACAAACAATGATTTGACGAGTCGTAGCCATATAGAGATGATTTACCAAAGGTAAAGACATTGACATGATGCCATTGAAATGGAATACGAATTGAATTCATTTGTGACATTTCGTCAGGGAAATTATTTTCAACAGAAAACCGAACTGATTCAAGTAGATTCCCGTGGATCAAAAAGAAAGCCAACGAGCATAAACATCGATGACTAATTTCAATTGTCTAAACAGATGGCGTGATAATACTTCAATTCAGTTTGATTTTATGAACACATCTCGGTAGCAGAATGTTGAATTTCCTCTCTTTGGTAGAACAAATGCTCGACAATCGATCGATATGATTACACTCAATGGCTTCTGAACCTTAAGAATAATAAAATTAAGTATTGGGAATCACATCGATTATGCGATTTGGGAATATCTAAGCGTGAAATGTGGAACATGCCATTATATATCTTCATCGATGCATCTCGATCGTCGACGATAGTATCACTAATATTTATCAAACAACGTGTGAAATTAAAGTTAAATGAGGAGAATAATCAGAAACTAATCGAGAGAAAATATGACTTATAAAGTATTGTCTATGATTATGTGTTTTTTTTTATAGAACACACTGTAATTATAATGGTCATGCTTACATCAAGGTGTAATTACTTTCCTCCATTATTTCTTTAGGAGAAAGAAACTTTAAAATGTCATCGAAAATTTTTTTATATGAGAAAGAAAACGAAATTTACCTTGCCGGGAACAGGCAGTTGGCTATCGCGCGTTTTGTAAAGAGCAAAACCTTTCAGTCAAAAGAATGAAATCGAAAAGCAAGTCCGAACCAGCGATCATTTCAAATGATTCAGTGACGTGTTACTCCGATCGTCTAGTTATTCACCTGTACTATTTTCCTTATGGTAGTAAAACTATCAAATATGAAGATATTCGATCATGTCAATTGTTGCCATTGCGTCGATTGAATAGATTGAAATACAAAAAATGGGGAATGGGATTAGCGCCGATCTGGTGGCATTCGGATTTGCAACGTTACTATCGGAACTATTATCTTTTATTAGATACGAATCATTGGCCGTATATTGGAGTTACCATGGAGGATAAAGATATTGTAAATGTGTTTGAGCTGATCCAAGGTGGAACTCGAAGTAAATTTCTTTCGGGACCAGCGAATGGAAAGGAAATGAAATATCGAGATTTCAGTGAATATGAGAGTTGCGAGCAATAAAAGATGTTGATCTTTGTATTTATTAATAAATAAAAAGAAAATTTAAACAGTTACAGTTTTTGATGAAGGCTTTACTGGCAGTATATTCTCCGGTCAGTTGAGCGTCAACTGATGAAACTAAGGGGATGATAATGCGTGCAAATATCACATATTTGTTTACTTTGGCCATCAAATTGCGTAGCCGCAGTTGGTTCTAATCATAATGTTGGATGTTATCAGCATATGAATCTGTTTGCCGATTCCACAAGCAATAAATTTTTACTCAAAAAACTCTTTCGTATTCATTAACCCCAACAGCGCTGGCTGATCATATTCTGGCGTTATTTTGACAACATTTTCTTTTCACATACTACATTTGTTTGAATTGTTGTTTCTTTAGCATAATCCTTGGCTACGATAGACGACAAAAGTTGCTACACAACGACGCTGATCGCTTGTCTAGCGTTGAGGCTTGGTGATTGGTTACTGGATACTTGATATTCCCGGTGTGGTATGTTTACAATAGTCGTAAATTTCCGTTGAACATCTTCTTTCTGCAGTTGAATTTGAGCACAACAAATCCAACTAAACCTTAGTACTAATGCAGAATCGATAATTTATTAATGAAGTAGTCTTCGAAATGTCATTATACATACCATGACTTTTGTCACAGCAATTGCTGAATTGTGTTCATTGTCGAATGTTTTCGACGATGACGAAAGTGCATGTCATACCTTGAACTTATATGCATTTTAATTCTAATCCATTATGACTCGGACTCTTTTGTTTATGCTCGTATGATCACGCTTCATTTACTATCTAATCGTATCCAACATGAATGAGAAAGAAAAATTGTCTATGAAAGATTCACACATTTCGCCTTTCTTTGTAACATTAGACTGAAAGTGATAAATCGAATGAATGGAGATTAATTTGTGTCGAGAACGGTCAACATTTGATGTACACGCAGAAAGAGAAACGAATTCATTGTTTTGATTATCAATCAGAACAAAATCTTTTTTCTTTTCAGTTGATAGACTCGCATCACAACAAATACACATAATATCAATCCTACTACTAATAAGTGTATTCCTTGAGAATTCTCATACAAAAGCCAACGAACGACATGTTCTCTTCGATACCTTTTACCCTGAGCATCCATTTTACTCGACCACTCTGCACACCATTGTAACGAACCATTGAGTACATCTACACATACGCACACACATAATCAAGTCAAACTTATTTCCATCATACTCACCCAACTTGTTGGTTCTAGCATCGATCTTGACTTGTTTCATTTCTCGTTGAATCTCGTTTGTCAACAGTATGGTAAGATTTGTGGCAAGTTCTCGAAACCACTTTACAACAGGAGCATAGTTTGTTGTTCGGAACACATATTCCTTATTCTGTACAAGTTCTTCTTTGAGTTGCAAATGCAATGAGCTCTTGTTAAAGATTATTGTCCACATGGCTGAAATACAAGACAGTTTAGTGATAGTTGTCTAAAAGGAGCATGAGACTTACGTTCGGGTAGCTTATAAGCACTGTCGGCGAGGTTTTCGATGATGCTGATGGCTGATATGAGATCTTTGTTTGCTTGACATTGTTGAGCAAGGCAGAGAAAATGTTGTCGTAAAGATCGACGTTGTTGGGATGTGAGATGGATTTTGTGTTGATTGAAGTCGACAATTAGTTTTTGTAAACGTGTTTGTACGCTTGTTGTATTATCCTGTTTACTACACAAAGACTTCAATTGAGGCCAATGAATGGTATTATTAATGCCGTGAGCTTCTTTCAATAATCTATTGCGCCAAATGTCATGTAGAGATAAGTTTTTCACTGGATGCCACCAATTGCTTGGATTTCTTTCTATGTCTTGCCACGAATAAGATCGACGCCATACTAATGTGTCGAACTCTGTCGGTGAGACAACGGTCATGTTTTCATTGAAAGCTAGTGTTTGAAAGAAATATTCATGAAAGGTAGCAATACCTCGCCAACGAATGTAATTATCGACTGTCTTCAGAAAACGTCGACTAAAACCAACTGCATTCGTCATTGATTTAAACCATGGTGGAGGAAGTTTTCCATATGCTAGCTTCCAATGAGGCCAAGAAACTTCTTGATTGCCGTCAAAATTCGGATCGACACGTTTGACTATCAGATCACTTGTGTTTGAATAAAGTTCATGAATAGCACGAAATGCACCTACGCTCGGAATGAAGAGATCATTTTCAAGAAGCCACACGAATGAATAGTTTATATTCAACTTGGAAAAGTACAGCAGTGATTTATCCCACGATGATATCTGAATCGGTTTCGAATACACGTACATTATATGTTGATATCCATGGATGACACATTGTTTGTTAGGAATCTGAAGAAGTTTCACAATGGATGTTTCCGACAAGGGAATTTTGAACGAATTATCATCCACCATGACAAATACATCGATATTATCTTGTTGTACAGCTCGTGCCAATCTATCAGCAAACTCAAGAGTTTCATTCATCGGTCGAACAGTAAGAAAACAAACGGCAGTACTCGTCGTACAAATCGAACTAATTCGAAGATATAGTGTTAAAATTAGGAACGAAATCCCGGCGGCGCACATAGAAATATGTATTGAAAATTATTAATTCGATTGTTCGTCGAAGTGTATTTCTTGATGTGTGAAACACAATCTGACTAGAAATTTGCGTTAGTGATTGCACAGAGTAACGTTATTCCGATTGGCAAAGCAAAAAGGAAGAACAAAAAGCTTTCTATGCGTATAAATTCTTAATTAAAACTGTAGATTGCTTTTTTTATGTTCTCTTTGAAGAGAGTGGTTTCTTTGTTTATTCTTTTCACTTTTTTTGATTAACTTCAGTCAGATTCATGTTGAGCACACCAGATAGTAACTGATTTTCAGCTGCTCTTCCATATACAAATCAGGTCATAAGATGTCGTCCAAAAAATTTTCATTTTCTTATCATTCTTCCCTTGCCACGTGGTCGTATGTGTTTGTTATCGACTAATAAAACGCACGCTTATCTATTTTCATTTTGGTTTAGTTTGGTTTCGAATAAGTTCAAGAACGAAGAATGCCCGTCGAAGTTGGTCAGCAAGCACCTGATTTTACTCTCTACAATACTGAACAAAAAGAGATTTCTTTGAAAGATCTCACATCCAAATCGAATGTAGTTCTTTTATTTTTTCCATTGGCTTTTACCGGTGTTTGCACTAAGGAATTATGCTCAGCTAGAGATGATATAAGCAAATATCAAAAGTTAAATGCAACCATCGTTGGCATATCGGTCGACTCCTTATTTGCACTTGGTAAATTTCGTGAAGAACAAAAGCTTCCGTTCGATCTCTTATCCGATTTCAACAAAGACGTTGCAACAAAATACGATTCACTCTATGAACAATTTCCGAAATTTGGTTTGAAAGGTGTTACCAAACGCAGTGCATTCGTTATCGACAAACAAGGTGTTGTTAAATATGCTGAAGTGTTAGCTGACGCAAGCAAAGTACCCGATTTCGATAAAATCAAAGAAGCATTAGAAAATTGCGGTCAATGAGCTGAAACGAATTCATACTTATCATGTATTTCGATTTTCGTTTTAATAAGAACTAAAATAAATTCGTTTGACCTTTCGATTCTCTGCTCTTCAAACTGACGTCATTTAAACGCGCAATAGGTGAGTAATTACGATCGCTCGATATACAACATGCAAGTCAATACAACGTCATTCTATTCATCGATGCTCCCTTTTCGCGCTCTCGCCATTTTGTTTTTCCTTGAGTCAATGGTTTCGTTAGTAAAAGCAGATGATGATCCAGTTCTGTTCAAAAACGATCATATCACCTGTTATTCCGATCGCTTAGTTATCCCATTTTATTACTTTCCGTACGGCTCAAAAACGGTCAAATACAAAAGCATACGTGCAGTCGAATTACTCGACGGCAAAGATTTAAGTTTCTTCCAAACAAAAACTTGGGGAATGGCACTCTCATCCATCTGGTGGCCTCTAGATATTCGCCGACAATGGCGCAAGCATTACCTCGTAATAGATGCGAACCAATGGCCGAAGATCGGCATTACTATGAATGACGAAGATACGATCAAAGTTTACAATTTAATTCGACCGAAAATATCGAGTTGAACTTCAACGACTGATTATCACGCCACGTCGGACGAGTGCTTTTCAGAGATAAATTTTTTATTTGATAAGAACATATGTCGTATAGAACAAATAAACAAAGAAAGAGATATCTAGGACGTTAAAAATTGTTTGGTTAAATTGAAAGAATCTAAAATCGAAGCGAACAGAATTCGAAAGAAAAATCTCGGTTTCAACAACGAATACGGAGTTTTCTCTTGAAAAACAACGTGAATAAACGCAGTTGTTAATTCTCCGGAGTAGGCTGCGCATTTAATTAACCAATAAGTATACCATTGCAGAAACTGCATGAATAAAGGTATCTGCGGCGGTAGACAGTTCAACGTCGGATCATCGGTTCGTTGGTATGTTTTTGTCTGACCGTTTTGATCTGTTTTGACTAATTTCAAACTTGGCACTGCCCAATCGTTCGTAATTGAACCGAGCCAACATTCCTCGCTGATTGATGAAGCTTGTCGGTTGTAGACATAAGGAATTTCTTCTAATGAATACTTTCGGCTGAAGATTTCGTTCAATTGTCGCGCCTGTCGACATGCGTGTGTCATACCTTGTCCATTTTTGGGATTGAAAACACACATAGCATCGCCGACAAGAACATAGTTTCGAGGCCATCGTCGACCAACGGACTCGACGTATTTTCGATCATCGAACGCGCGCCGATAAGGAAGTAATGGGCCGATTAGTTTAGTCGATTTTAGCATCAGATAGTAATCATTCGGCAGATGTTCTTTGACCCATTCTAAGAGACTTTCATAAGTATCATTCGGAGGATATTCATTGTTGATGCAGTAGACAGCAAAATTTGATAGCAAACCTAATGAGTTCGGATCCGACGTGTTCAACTGACGAATGGGTATCGTTAGAAAACCTTTATTATGATGTGGAGCATGTGCAGCATTGCCACCGACGTGAATCGAATCTAACGTTGAATTTCCTGTTTTGAGTCGTTCACCAACGAACGAAACGTAACCTGTTCCGACATGTAATTGTTCAGTCGGAACGATTAGATCAAAATCTTGTTTCAACCATTTGATTGATGAGCTAAATCTTCCTGTGCAATCAACAATGAAATCGCCGTAAAGCACACTTTCTTCTTTGTCTGAAGTCGTTTTTGAACGGTATCGAACACCTTGAACAGCATTCGTTGATCGGTCAACGATCAATCGATTGACTCGAGTATTGCACATCCATTGAATTGTTTCTTGATTGAATGATGAACATAACTCACGTCGCATAATCGTTTCTAATGTAAAACGATCGATACAAAACCATGAAAGATCTTCAGTTAAGTTCTTGTTTAACAAAACATCACCGATAACGAAACGAAAGTTTTCCTTCAATGAAACAACTTTGGCACCGTGTTCGTTAATCAATCGACTTTTCAAGTTCGGGAATAAATCAAACAGAATCTTTCCGCCTTCACCTTGTAGAACATGAATCTGATAACTTTGACTCGTACCCGATCGACCTAATGTATTCGAATTCGTCAAGTTACAACGATAATTCAGCAACTCATCAGCGGTGGAATTCATCAGAGTTTCATTCAGAACATCATCCGGTTCAATAATGGTAATTCGTTTGAAGTACTTCGATAAATACGCAGCTGTTGTCATACCGGAAATACTTCCACCCATGATAATCGCGTGCTCATATTGCTTATCTGAACTGACATTTGTTCGTATTCGATTCTTTTGTTGATTGTATACGAAGTAAGTAATACCTATGAGGAGAAGAAGAATAAGCCAAAACATAATGTATATGATGTGTGAAAAGAAGGAATTGCATTCTTATTTAACAAAAACGATAAATGTGTCTTGTCAAACATCTGATGATATACGTGCGATGTGCACTGATTGGATGCATTCTTTCTAGATACAAGATCATACCATAAAGGTGATATCTATGAGTCATTTTATTTATCTCAATAGTAGAAACAGAACAAAACGCGAAAATCAACAAAAGAAAAGAACAGAACTAGTTATGAATGATTACATTCATATTTTATATATCTACCCAATGCCCAAATTGGAAAAATATTTCGATAGTTCGTATAACTAATCATACAGTTGCCATTGAAGACACCGCTGATTGCTTCTTGATTCCAATCTCCATTCGCGCATTGTTTTTTCAGGAGAAATTGTACACCGCGACGAATAGCACTGGCATCAGCTTTAGCCAATATTAACGATAGAACTGCCCATGCCGTATTCACTACCTGCGAATGTTTATGCGGGACATATGTTTTATGTACGCAACTTAAATAGGATTCACCCCAACCACCGTCGGCATTCTGCTTTGAAAGTAGAAATTGCACCGCACTTTGAATAGATTTCGATTTTGGAGATTCTCCAACAGTAATTAAAGCTTCGATAGCAAACCATGTTCCGTAAGTGAAACATACCGCCCAACTGCCATACCAACTACCATCTGGCCGTTGTTTGCCTTTGATGAATTCGATTCCACGTTGAATAGCGCCATCGATTTCTTTTCGTCGATGGTTGGCGAAATAACTTTGTTCACGAAACTTCCAAAGTGCTTGAACACAAGCAGATGTACATTCCGTGTACGAATAATCCACCATAATTCCTTGAAAAACTTCCGCTGGATTTAATAATTCTATCCAAGCAGTTGAACGTTGCAGTTCATATGTTGCCCATCCACCATCTTTATTTTGTATACTTAAAAGAAAATTCACTGCATCTTCTAATCGATCCGATGAAATTCGATGTGGACTAATTGACATTTGCTCGTGCAATAATAGCGTCGCTTTAATACCTTCAGCTGTGCAATCTGTGATAGGCCAGCCGTGATCACGAGTTGAAAATGGCCAACCACCTTTCGATATATGACGATAGAATTTCACATGATCTTTGACATCTTCTAACACTTGACTAATATCCAAATAGTAATAAGCGGAACTGAGACATTTATTATATAAATGACCTAAGCCCGTTTCTAAGATAGCTTGGATAGAAAAGGCGGTGTCCCATAATTGTGAGCCGTTGTAGCCTTGAATTTTCATTCCGTCTTCACTCAACCAGAGATAGTCGTCAACACGAGCCAGATGTTGATGAAATTGTTTACTGTCTCGTCCCTTTGCGTACCAGATGGACAACATGTTAATGAATTTGTTCACTGGACCGATATTGACATAGTTTGTGTGTTCATCTTCGGCTTCAATGTAACTGATAAGAAATTCGCGTGCCTTGTCGCGTAACTGACGAATATGCACGGTTTCATATGTATTCGTACAGAAATTCAAGATCTTTAACAGCACTGTTTGAGGATAATACAAATCCAATGCACTAATCGAATTTCGATGCTTAGTAAAGTCGATACTTTCGTATTTTTCCACATACAATTCTTTTCGTAATTCTCTCACTAACGGAGTGATTTCTCCAACGATTTTTTCGGCATAAACATAACTCATTGGTACATAAACCATTCGACAATGACACCAATACCGAGATGGATGGACGGGTAGCCATTCAGGCAATAACCACAATTCAGGAAATAGAGAGTTCACACCTTCCCATGGCATTACACCGAGAACACATAGCCAAAACTTTGCCCAGCTCGGTGCATACATTGCACCGCCTTCCGATTGAATAAAATGATGCGCTTTCTGTAAACGTTCGTTAGTAAATGGCACACCTAATAATCTTAACGATATATAATTCAAAACTGTTCCAAACATAGTCGATCTGTTTTCAATGTGTGTTCCCCAACCACCGTTCGGCAACTGATGGTTAAACAAGTATCGAATCAACTGATATTTTTGTTCTTCAGTAAATTGAAAGTTAGTTACGTACGATGTAATAACAGCACCGGGTAATAAAAACATGGGACCACCGTAATCGCCAGCCCAATGTCCGTCTTCGACTTGTAATGCAGAATAGTAGTTAACAGCATTTAGAATACTTTTGACGACCGATGCTGAAAGTTCTTCTTGAAATGTTGGAATTCGTAATTTATCATATTGATCGGCGTCAGCATAGACTGGTTTGTAATTTTGTTTAAATGCTGACTCACGATAGATTTTATCCGATGAATTCGGATTCTCTTCGTCGTAGTCAATTGAAACTGCTGGTTCGTCTTGGAAATATCTCCAAAGTTGCCGTCCACGATCACAAATTAATCGCCAAGCCATTTGCACTAGTTCACTTCGAAAAAAAAATATCAAAGACTTGCGTTCTCTTCTCGTGTGGTCTATGACACATGGTTTATATACGATAAAAACGAGATAAGGACAATATTGTATTCTGTTTTATTTACACATGTCCGATTAGTACTTTTTTTTTCTTTTTTGTCAGAACAGAATAAAAATTGATCACGCCACTATCTGTCTATTGATACAATTTCTATCTACAGATTTGAAATTCGAATGACGCGTGTCTTGAATAGAGTTTTTTAACCGAACAACTAGAAAAAATAAGATACAACACAGAAAACTACAGAATAAATTATATGGTGCTATGTCTGTTCGTTTAAAAGGTAATTTACGAAATATTTAAGACCGCCTGCATGAGAGGTGCGATCTTGTCACTAATATTGGATGCGCTTAATTGGTTCCGGAAAAAAGTTCTAAATTTTCTCGAACAAGTTTGAATACGAAACATAATGGCTAACATGTCAATAAAAAATTTATGCGCTTGTGCTTCGCCTTGTTTATTCGCGACATAATTCCAAAGAAGTTTTGTGTAATGGATTTGTGCACGACCAACAGCTATTGGATCATTTAGCGAGGGTTGTTTTTCGTCCACAGCTAAATGATCTGTGAAAAGTATAATGGTCATAATAAGTGCTAGGGCGGCTGGATCTTGATTTGTTAATTGAACAAGTGTAAGTTTTATTTCAACGAATGTCTTCATCAGATCACCTGTATCGCCACATAATTCGAAAAATAGTCGATGCTTCTCTTCTTGTTCGGGGGTGAAATTGAGAGCTTCTGTTCCGTGTATATAACATTTATATACGGAGAAAACTGAGAGAATATTGAATTTGATCAAGAGAAATCGATCGTCGGAACAGGAGAGATTTTCAAATTCCTCGATGTGACGGAAGAATTCGATAAAATGTAGAGACATCTGACTAGTATTATGCGACCATGCAACAAGTGCCGAATCACGATCAGATACCTCGGCGGTACAAAACGGTTGATGTATATTTTTAAAGGTCGCTATGAACGATGATCGGATACTTTCGATGGCGATCCAGTCTTCAATCGATAAGGTATCAAATAAAAGACTTTCTATTCCAATTGAATCTTCACTATTTGGTTCGTTTAAATTCAACAATAACTAAACGGACAAAGTTTGTTCTACAACTATTCATTTTTCATTACGATTGACTTACACGATCGATATCATCGAGCGGTTCTTCATTTGCTGGAATAGATGGCGGCGACGAATTGTGTTTTTCTGTAGCACTTCGATTTTCTTCCAAACGTTTCTTACGTCGTTGTTTTTCTTCTTCGCTCAATATGAAATCCTTCCGCATTCCAACTGCAAAACAGCGATCCAAGCGACAGCGAGGACACTTTCGATGAGTTTCATGAGACACTGAACATTGACCTTGATTTGTGTAACAACGTAATTTATCCTAAAAAGTAAACCAAAAAGATTAACAAAAAGATGAAAGAACGCTCTCTCCAACTGACTCGAGATTGATTAGCATTTCGACGAAAGAAAGCTTTGCATGATGCGCATGACAGAGCATCGTAATTAAATCCAACCGCTCGATCGCCGCAAATCGCACATATTAAATCTGCTGATTTTCGAGAACCTCTAGCCTGCTTTGGACGACTTTCATGTTCAGAATCCAGAGCTCGTTTGTACACTTGATCACTCTTGGCATCCTAAGCAACGAAATAGTAAAATCTGACGGAATACATGATCCAATACGAACGTGTGTGGAAAATTCTGCTAGAAAAGCCAAATCTATCATATCGTTCTCATTTGGATTCGCTGCGAGATGCTGATTTGGACGATCTAGATCTACAATACGCGTGTCTGGGCGTTTGTGCAGTGCTAATTGCCGAATTAAATCTTCATCCGACGTAATAATGATCATTTTCGTTTGTCCGTTCATATTTGCTTTTCGATACATAATGACGAATTTTATTTTCTATCGTTTAATATATTTCCATTTTCTAAAAAGAATATATATGTGTCACATAAAGTTCTGAGTTCTTTTCATACTAAAATTAGCTACGATAGTAAGGAAAGGAAAAAAAAGTTGTGAAGGTAAAAAAACATGAAAATATAATTTTCTCTAAGAGAAAAAAAGAAGAAAAACAGCGATGCGTCATTCTTTCCTCTTTCCTCTACAGCCGGTCTGATTTTCTTCGTCATCATGACAAGTGAAAAATGATGCAATGCTAACCTCTATGCAGGACATGCCGGTTATTCTTAGCAGCTCGTAGTTAGGGAGAAAAATACCAAATGAAACATAAGATGTACAACGAAGATTTATTGGGTTTTAGATAATACAATTCTACGCGATTTGCAAAGCAGTTTGTAACAAAGGTGCCATTTGATTGACAACATCAGGTTTGGAATACTGTACACGAAGAAGGTTTCGAAAGTTCTTTGCACTTGTTTGAATTTTAGCAATCGTATGTGCTAAACGAGTGAAGTATTTGTGAGTTTCTCCTTCGCCACATTTATGAGCGAGATAATTCCACAGAATTTTCGTATAATATGTCCGAGCACGACTGAGCGCCAAAGAATCAGATAGCATCGGTTGATCAGCATCCATTGATAAGCCTTGAGTGAACATTAATATGAGTGCAAGAAGACCAATTATACTCGGATCTTTGGAAGTGATTTCTACGAGTGAAAGAATTACACTTATCCATTCAAGTCGAACACCACATGTATCATCACATAGATCGAAAAATTGGCGAAGTTTGTTGGAAAAAATGTTATTTTCGTATGCACAACAATCGCCCACTGGATTGTAAGAGTAGGATTTTGATAAGTGAATGATTGACATGAAGTTATACTTGATCAAGATGAATCGATCATTGTCGTGTAGGTTTTCAAAAGCGGGAATTTTGCGGAAGAATTCAATGTGCTGAAGAATGACTTTTTGAGCGAAGTTCGACCAGGATATCAATGCCGATGCACGAGTCGTCGTATCCGTGCCGAAACAAAGATTATGTCCAGGTAAAAATGTTGCTAATAATGCCGAACGGACATTTTCGATTGCTTGAAAATCTTCATTAGATAAAGGATCGAATAAAATATTTTTTATCTGTTGTGAAGTAACTATTTGATCAGACAAGTCGTCTTGGAAAGTTGCCAATAACTGAAACAGAATAGACTTTTATTAGAATATGAAATGGAATAAGTTTACCTGATCTATTTCATCGAGTGGTTCCGGAGTTGACGGGGACGAACGTTTCAATGTAACCTGTCGGCTTTCTTCGACTTTCCCTTTTCGTTGTTGTCTTTCTTCTTCACTCAAAATGAAATCCTTCCGCATACCAACTGCGAAACAACGATCAAATCGACATCGCGGACATTTCCGACGTGTTTCACAAGATACTGGACATCGGCCTTGTTTAGTAAAGCATTTGAGTTTGTCCTACAAAATATTTTCAAACATCGTTCATGTTCATACGAAGTTCAAAACCAAACTCGAGATTGCAATGCATTTCGATGAAAGAAAACTTTACACGATGCACAGGTCGCAACATCATAATTGTATCCAATCGCACGATCACCGCATACAGCACAGACGAATGTTTCGGACTTTTTCAATGATTTCAGTTGTTTCGATCGGCTTTCTTTCGGAGATTCAAGTGCACGCTTATGTGTCTGGTTATTATCTGTACTCTAACAAAAAGAAACCTTCAAGTGATTGGACGACAAAGTAATACATACAAGTGCGCATAACTGCTCTAGCAACGCGTTATTGGTTACATAACCATTATCCAAATCAATAATTTTCGTGTTCGTCGTAGTATTCGACGCAAGTTTTTCAATCAAGTCTTCGTCCGCGGTAATGATGATCATTGTAGTCGTATTCGTCATCGTCGTATCTGGTTGGGCTTTGGAATCAGAATGGATATTTTCGAACTCTAAAACAGGAACGAAAGAACGTTATTTTGCGACTGGCTGACAAAATGAAAGAGAAACGAAAAAAAAAAGAAATAACTACGTCGTTTGCGCATGTTGTTTATTTACCAACAATACTTCTCAATAGATCGAGTGAAAGAGCGTTGATGAAACTATTATGCAATGTCACTTTTTCGCATCTGTCATATCAATTCTTGACAGTGGGAAAGATAGAAAGAGTAGATCGATGATACTTCAACGACGAAAGACTGTTAATCTAATTGATGAAAGGTTTTATCGAAATAGAAAGAGAGAAAGTTAACTTCATTGAATAAGAGTGCATATGGGTAGAGTGCAATTGAGATTTTGAACTTTAGTACATCCATATTTTACCAGGTAGTCCAAAAACATTTTTTTTTCAAATTAAATGTCAAGTAGAGGGCAATGCATACTGTCAAATCGATTTCAATTGGTTTATGAAGAAGAACTTGAGATAGGTTAGACTCATGCATTTCAAATTTTAGAGAACAACAAGTATTGCTATCTGACGACTGATGAATCGGATGTTTGTTTGAAAAGCAATTATTCGTGCCTGGTTTATATCCGGTATGCTGCTGCTGACGTGAATTTGATATAAATACAAGATATTTTCACCCAGTTGTGTTTTGCTTTTTCAATAACAAGAAGGAAGAAACTTGTTTTGACTCTAATCATTCCCAAGGCTTTGTTGTAATTAAAAAAAAGAAGAAGCGCGTCTATGTGTCAAATACTCCAATAACACATCGTCAGTAGATTACTTTTCAAAATTATTCATAACTACTCTCTATGTGCAACTCACTTCTGTTATCGCTCAGAGCTCATATGATTTACGAATAGGTTTCACTGAAATTCTGTTCGGAGCATAATCCATTTCTTTCTTACCACTTCGATTGTCTTTGACAATCTTTAATTATACATTTTCTTGACGGATGTAAATGCATATATCCACTCCTAATTTCGACAATCGGAAAGGATTCAACGTCGCGACAGGTAATGAAATTCTTCAATTGGACAAAACAAACCCTCTCTCTAATTCATCTTTCGTTTGTATAGAGGTCACTTCGAGGACACAGGTTGGTGTACGTTAGTCCAAAGGATTTGAAAAAGAAGCCGTTACATCACTGTTGTTCAATACTATTTTTTGCTTAACGACAATGACGATGCAAAACGCATAAATATCATTGAATTTTCTGCAAGTTTTAGACGAGAAAAATAATGCCACCAACGAAAGATGTTGATGAGAAGGCGACAGATCATCTTGTGGAGAAGTATATTGAAGAAAATGATGTGATGATCTTCTCCAAATCATGGTGTCCGTATTGTACAAAGGTTGGTTTGACATTTTCGTATTCGAGTGAGATTGGTTTGTTCTTGCTTTAGATTAAGAATGCATTGAAATCAGCAAAAATTGAGTTTTATTCTATTGAATTGGACAAAATGGGTAAGATTTTCTTTGACCAATAACTTTTCCGATCGAATGTCTTTTACTTTAGCCGAAGGTGATGATATTCAAGAAGCATTGATCAAGAAAACGGAACAAGAAACCGTTCCAAATATATTCATTAAACAGCAACATATCGGTAAAGCTCGTTTGTACATGTTAAAGAAGACAATACTCTATTTGTTTGGTTTTAGGTGGATGTGACAAAACACTTGCAGCATTGAAATCAGGCCGCGTGGCTGCTCTTCTCAGTCCACCGGAGCCGGAAGCGAAACATCAGAAATTAGAAGATGACGCATTGGATTCGTATGACTATGATTTAATTGTCATCGGCGGAGGTTCCGGTGGTCTCGCTTGTTCTAAAGTAGATCATAATGCTGAAACATATTGTTGAACTCATTTTTCTACTTAGGAAGCTCGATCCTTTGGTAAGAAAGTATGTGTACTTGATTTTGTCAAGGCAACACCAATTGGAACAACATGGGGTGAGTACTTTTACTTCTATATTGAGAAATTGGCTTCATTTTGAGATTAATCCATCCTAGGTCTCGGTGGAACATGTGTTAATGTTGGTGTAAGTTAAGTTTCTTGTCTCGTGATTCTCTTTATTAATTTTCCTTGCAGTGTATTCCGAAAAAACTCATGCATCAAGCAGCATTAATCGGTGAATATGCTCAAGATGCAACCGATTACGGTTGGGCTCAACTTGAACAAGGTTTGTCGAAAGTCATCTCCTCGTGGATACCGAGTCTGTTTTTCTTCAGCTCGTCAACATAATTGGTCGAAAATGATTGAGTCAATTCAAATGTATATTCGTTCATTAAACTTCAAATATCGTGTTGATCTTCGTTCAAAAGGTGTGGTGTATGAAAATTCCTATGGAGAATTTGTCTCCTCCCATCGATTGAAAGTTTGTGCTTGTCTTGTAAAAATAAAAAGGTGTAAGTAATTTGTAATGTGACTTCTTCACAGATAACTGACAAGAAAGGTCAATCAAAAGAAATAACTGGAGAAAAGATCGTTGTGGCTGTTGGTGGTCGACCAAAATATCCTGACATTGAGGGTGATAAACAATATGGAATAACCAGGTAAGGAGATTTTCTTCAATTTGACAATAGAAACGATATTTGTAGTGATGATCTGTTCTCACTCAAATATGATCCGGGCAAAACGATTGTCGTTGGTGCGTCGTATGTTGCACTTGAATGTGCTGGATTTTTACATGGTATTGGTCGAGAAGTTCAAGTTTTCGTTCGTTCGATACTTTTACGAGGCTTCGATCAACAAATGGCATCTAAAATAGGCGATTATATGTCAGCTATTGGCATTAAATTCAGTCATCAAACTGTTCCGATACGCTTAGAGTGTTTAGAAGAAGGTAAACCAGGCAAATTGCGTCTTCACTATCGGCAGACACTCGAATCTGGAGAAGTGAAAGAATCCTATGAAGATTGTAATACAGTCCTATTTGCTATTGGACGCGAAGCTTGTACAAACGAATTACATATGGACAAAATTGGTCTCGATCTGAAAAAAGCGAACGGTTATAAAATTAAAACTAGAGAAGAACAATCTACTCAAATTCCATGGTTATATGCGATTGGAGATTGTATCGATGATGATACAATGCCACCTGGCCAACCTTTGGAACTGACACCAGTTGCTATTCAAGCAGGACAATTACTAGCTAGACGACTTTTTTCAAATAGTTCGTTGAAGGTGAGAATGTTCTAGATGAAATGTTCGTGTCTGTTTTTGACACCTCGTATGTTTAGATGAACTATTATAACGTTGCAACAACAGTTTTCACTCCAATCGAATATGGAGCTATTGGTTACAGTGAAGAAGATGCACTTTCGAAATTCGGTGAAGAAAACATTGAAGTAAGAGGAAAAACACGTTGAACAGTATTGATTGACTCGTTTTCGTTTAATTAGATCTTTCACAGTGAATTTGTTCCTCTCGAATGGTCAATCTGCCATCATCGTGAACAAGTCAAAAACATGTCTTATTGCAAGCTAATCGTTGAGAAGAAAACGGTAAGTCTCCATCCGAGAAAACCATCTCGAAAACAGCTGTCCTTCAGGATCGTGTCATTGGCTTTCATGTTCTCGCTCCAAATGCAGGTGAAATAACTCAAGGCTATGCCGTTGGTATGAGACTTGGTGCGACAAAAGCTGATTTCGATATGACTGTTGGCATTCATCCAACATGTTCCGAAGTCAGTCAAATCATTCATTTTGAATTGATAGTCATCGATCTTTATTTTAGAATATCACAACTTTGTCAGTCACGAAATCATCCGGTGAATCAGCTACTCAAGAGGGTTGCTGAGGTTAAAGTTCCCCTGGCTATATAGACCAGGGCTTTCCATTCGATTGATATAAATCAACATGAAATGATATTGTTTGTTTTCTTAATGACGAATTCGTGTGTCAAAGCTCGATCATCGAGACGCCTCGAATTCCGACTGTCATATCATTGATGTTATTTCATCATCGAAACTCATACGGGTGATTTTTTTTTACCAACTCCTTGTATTAGTATGACTAACAAATTTTCGCTTTTCTTTTTTCTCCTTTGTTAATTCATGCAGGCAATAAATCACGAGTTTTATTTGATTCAATAGTGATACATATGCGATTGCGAAAGGTATAATTGACGATGTTAATGTTATTTGTTTCATAAGAAGAAGGAAAGAGAAAAAAAAAGTGATTCATGACAATTCTAATACGCGACCGCGTCATTTGTACTCGAAAATTAAATGGGAAACAGGTCTACATCGAAAAATAAATCATCGATAGGAAATCCGACGACTCCATTGGAGGATTTAAATATCGTCTGGTTAAATACTTTTACTCATGAGGATTCCGATCGTACCTTTAAACTTCTGCCGAATCTTCAACAAATTTTACCTTCGATTCGAACATTTAACAATGTGACACATTGCGAAGTCTTCCTTCGAAATGAAGTTCATAACAATCAAATCGTCTTCTTGATTGTTTCTGACACATTCGCCGAGGATTTCCTTCCACATATTCGTGATCTGTCTTACATTAACTCGATCTATATCCTCGGTCGTTCCGATGCAAAATCCGGAGAGAAGATCTTCTCTGATATATCTGAACTTTGCCGTCAATTGAAAGAAGACGTACGTGATTGTCAAAATGATTTAACTCCAATTCATTTGCTCAATAACATTCAACGTGATAATAAACTAGAACCAAGTTTTATGTATTCACGTCTATTGAAAGAAACATTGATCAATATCGAATACGATGAAAATGCGAAGAAAGACTTTGTTGAGTACTGTCGAATGCAATTCAATCAACTGCCGGTTCTCGATGATTTCGAAAGAGATTACGAAAAGCATTCACCGATTTGGTGGTACACAAGAGATTGTTTCGTTTACGAAATGCTCAATAAAGCACTTCGGACGGGTGATATCGACATTCTGATCAAAATGGCGTTTTTCATCCGTGATCTTCATCAGCAAATTCAGAGTTTATATGTTTCACAAGATCATTATTCGATGACTGTCTACCGAGGCCAAGGAACGTCAATCAGTCAATTTGAGAGCTTATGTCAATGCAAAGGTGGCTTGATTTCATTTCCAAACTTTCTATCGACTAGTCTAGACAAGGAAGTTTCTTTGGATTTCGCTCGTCGTGCGATTATGAAACCAGGTCTTCGTGGAATTCTCTTTCGAATGAAGATCGATCGGAAATATTCGGACAGTTCCAATCCGTATGGATCGATCAACAAGTTGAGTTACTTCAAAGGACAGGAGAAGGAGATTCTCTTTTCTACGCACACAGTTTTTCGTCTGGAAGACGTTCGCCCGATGAAGGATGAGCCGAAAATCTGGCAAATTGATTTGAAACTTACTACAAACGAAGACGATGTTCAACTTGAACAGTTGACAAAACATTTCCGCGAAGATTTACAATCAACAACGAATCAATGGGAGAATCTAGCTAAATTGTTATTAACTATGGGTGAATATGATAAAGCACAACAAATCTACGAAAATCTCCTGGAAAAGACTTTCGAAGACGATTATGAGCAATTAGCTTTTCTCTATCATCAATTGGGTTGTGTTTATAACGAGAAGAAAAACTTCGAACAAGCACTCAACTACTTTCAAGAGTCACTTTATCTCAAAAGAATATATTCACCCGGTCAGCTAGCTGATACGTACTCAAACATTGGTTCAATCTTTCATAGACTAGGTAAACTTGATGACGCACTGCAATATTTCCAATACGCATTGGAAACAAATACGAACAACGAAGGAATCTTAGCGTCACTCTATAATAACATTGGTATGGTTTTGAAAAAACAAGGAGAATATGTTGATGCTATAAAACATCTCGAGAAAAGTCTTCAGATTGATTTAAGTCGTCTTCCATCAACACATCCTGATCTGGCCATAACCTATTCCAATATTGGACGAGTTTATATTAATTTGAAAGACTATTATCATGCTGCAAAGTATTTTCAGAAAACGGTGAACATCCGCCGACTTTCGCTCCCACAAAATCATCCGTCGTTGTTGATCGCGATTGCTAACTACGAAAACACATTAGCGCTACTACCTGAAAATAATTTACAGACAACTTCATCAGCTCCAGTTCAATCAACACCTTTTAAGCATTCACATCGATTGAATAGAACACTTTCAAGTTATGCGAAGATGCTAAAAAGAAAACCTAAGTGTTGAAGGACTTCATCGAGTAGATTGTTATAGATATTTTACTTCGATTTCTACCGGAAATAATGTACTTTCTCACATTTTCTAATGAATAAATGTATCTATAAAAAGTAACTTCGAAGTGGAATACGACGTTTCAAAAGCAACTTATTTTTATCAAATTTATTTCTCATAGACGAACGTTTGAAGAATCACCAAACGTTCACCCTTTTGCTCCAAGTAGCATGCTACCACCGTTTAGTTCACTGCTAATTCTATTGATCATCGCAAAAAGTACTCAGCATATCGCTCGCATCGAATATGCTGGAGCTCCTTCGACAAATTCGACTGATATCATGTCGTACGAGAGTACATGTCTGGAATGCGTATGCTATGCATTTTCGTCGTCAAACTCATCCAATTATCGAAGTTTCAATTGCTATACAAATGATAAAACATGTGTGTTTTTTGCCGATGACTTATCATCTATGTTACAGATTGATCTCAATTCCAACTTTTTCTTCACAAAAGCAGAACCGAGTAAAAGATTTGTTTGAATCGTGAATATTATAACTCATTGTTCGTTTTAGTGTACATTCCCATATGGAATACGACGGGTATCAACGTTACAACCGCTGGTTCAGCGTTAAATCAGACCAATCATCCGTATGGATTGTTCATTCCTGCAAACAGTGATTCATTGTACATCGCTGATTCCGATAATGATCGAATCTTGAAATGGCTCCCAGGTGCTACAAGTGGAATATTACTAGCTGGAGGGCAAGGAAAGGGATGGAACACGACGCAGTTTAATAGTCCAAGAGAAGTTTGTCTCGATAGAGATGAAAATCTTTATGTCGCTGATTCTGGTAATTATCGCATTCAGCGATTCGATTATGGATCTTTTATCAGTCAATCTATTGCTGGAAATGGCTCATACAATGCGATCGGTAACTCTTTTGGCAATATACTAGGTCTCGGCGTGGACCTTTACTACAACGTTTATGTTTCTGAGTATAATCTAGCACGTGTAACCAAATGGATTCGAAATGGTACATCTGGAATACGAGTAGCCGGTGATGGTACACAAGGAAATACTCCATCGCAACTGAACGTTCCAACGGCATTTTATACTGATCCGATTACAGGTACGCTCTACATTCCCAATCAAGGTGGACATTGTGTGACGAAATGGTTACCCGGAAGTTCGTACGGAATCACTGTTGCAGGTGTTTGTGGTCAATCTGGAACGAATGAAACTCTCCTGACTTCTCCAAAATGTGTTACATTTGATAAATATGAGTATATGTATGTTGTCGACGGCGTTGGTGGCGGTCGAATTCTCATGTTTCTCCCCAATTCATTAGTTGCGATACCGATTATCACAAATGGACTGAATAATCCTATAAGTATAGCTGTTGATACTCAATTGACTATCTACGTTTCCGATTGGGGAAATAATCGTATTGTTAAGTATATCTTATTGAAATAAACAATGAAACTCTTCGAAGAATAAGGCGCTTGATTTAATCATCGACATTTGTGTTTAGTTTTCGATTATGTTATTTAATATCCATTTAATTTTCATCTTTCATTTTCTGAATAAATCGTTCGGAATCATAGGGACTGAATTCGGAAGAGAAAATGAATGCTCGATTCGACTTCAAACTGATCAAGGTATCGAAACATGTCAAAATCAGCAATGCTTGCATATTAAAGACCCATGGCGAGTGATCGGTAGTCACATACAAGATCAACCATGCTACGTTCATTATCTGCAATTATCTTTTACAAACTACGATCTATTTCTTGTTTTTATCGAACTACAATATGCCAGTAATACTTCTCTGGATAGTTTTTTTTCCGACAACTCAACAGTACATAATCTGCTCGAAGTATGAGCGTCTTCTTTGTGTGCTAATCTTGACTATTGATAGAAAATTTAGATACATATTGACAAAATCTATCCGTTCAACGATAAATATTTTCTAACTGAAGATACGTTGAATAAATTAGGTGGACAAAAAGGCACAATCTCGCTTTTACAAATTGAAATTTTCAAATGGTATAATTCTCGTCTGGCAAAGAGTCAAACAATTGAAAACGAGCTCGTTGATTGGCAACCATTTCAACAAATTATCGTTCGCTATCCGTGTAACATTCGCAAATCAATCGAACGATTAGTTTTAGCCAAATATCTCGCTTATCAAGAGCGTTCGTCGTGTCCAACACAAATTCGCGTAACCAATGGTGACGAACTCATAGGACCGAGACATTTGCCTGTTCGTAGAAGCCACCTATATAACTCGGACTTTGACTATGAATTGCAATCTGGTGAGGGTGCACGAGTTATTCAATATAGTCCGGTCGGTGATCAAGATAGAGTGTTCAACTCAGATTTTATCGGTCGACTTCGTTTCGATTCCGATGATGCAGCTCGACCTGGATGGATGAATCTAGCTCAATCTGGTTCAGTAGACACTGTTCAGCGTCATTCAAATGGTCAACCGGATAGATTACCAAGCTTAGATTTCAACGATGAAGTTCGAGCTGATTCAGCTCAGCAGATTTCGATTAGAAATTCTGATTATCCATCGATTAGCGATCCAAACAGATTATACAATTCCGATTATCCATCAATTAGCGATCCGAACAAATTATACAATTCTGATTTCAATGATAAACATCGATTTACTTCGATGGATCCAATTCGAACTGTTCCTGATTCATTCAATTCTTCGAATTCAACATTCGATGAACAATCAAACGACTCCAGTACTCTGGCAAAGGTTTCCAGAGATAAAACACACTCTTCTATCTACAATTAAATTTGGACTATTTAGATCCTGTTGATACTACTTATTTTTCTCTTTGCTGCTATTTTTATGATTTATCAATGCTGCTGTTCACGATCACAACCAACAATTACTCAACAATAGACATACAGAAAATGTTCGGTATTTTTTTTTTCATAGAATCGTTTGCGATAATCGATGTGTTCGTTTTCGATATGGCCATGAATCTTGTCGATGTTCGATACATGAACATAAATGACATGTTCCCCAAAGAGCAAGAATATTCCAAAGACAACTGACTGTTAAACCAATTTCATACCGTAACGATTTGGCTAACGTAACCAGAATCATGTAATTATGTGCAAAATATAACGAATTACTCAGTGACACGAATACATTCGGTTGAATGGCGAGAAGATTGGCGACCAGTAGAATAAATGAGATGAGTGACGCACCTAATAGCATTGAAAAGAAGAACACAAGAAAGCAGAGAATGATAATTCTTGCGAACCATAAGCCGTAGAACCCAATGCAGAAGATCGTCATGCTCAGCACGACTAAGAAGATCAATTCGAATTCGTATTTTGTATGGAAAGTTTCTTTTTGCATTCGAGAAACTCGATTGGCATAGAGGAGAACATTAACTAACAAAAATAAGAAATAACATGTCAGTAAGACTCGCGTTCCAAAAGGAGAACGTTGACGATCGTATCCCATTTCTCTTTGAGACTAATCTAATGCGTACGATACTCTACATTTGCTGTTTTACTGCCATCGTATAATGCTCAAGTAAGGTGATCATGACAATAAAAAGAAGATTTTACTCTGAGTCTGAATCGTAATTACGCATAATGATTCTTTCCTCTCTTTTATTTTATCTTTACCATACATATTAATGACAAAATAGATAAATCGAAAGAAACAAACGAATAATCATGAATATGTCATTTATAATAAGCGTTGTGAATATGCATTTGTATAGATAATAGAGTGATAAGAAGTAAAGGCAATGTTCTACCTTTGTAAAACATCGTTTGTCGATGTTAAACATATTTATTTTCTTGATGAGTCAATGGAAGTTTTCAAAAGAAAACTTTTCATTCTCAACTAAATTCCAAACATAATTACGACCTATATTTTTTTTATCTTTTCCACCTGCTCCGAGGCCCACCATAAAAAAAGGCCTGTCGACTGATTGTTCGCCAGGAGTAAACCTTTGCTCGGGGCGTATTTTCTCTCTCTCTCTTATTGACCATACTTTAAATGCATGATTAAGCAAAATCGTTTTTCACTGGGCGCCTGCCTAGCAATTACACTTAGTAGTATATATTGCGCAGATATCTTCCAGTTAAGCACACGAAAAGTAAAACATTAATAATCATTGATAGTTGCAGTTAACATGCCATTGGTAATGAGTACCGTTAGTAATATGTTTAGTCGGAAAAATAAGAGCAAGACAGTTAAACGAATGCCACGCCGTAAGTTGATTTGTTGGAAATTTTGTCTATGAACAAATCGTTTCTTTTCTTCGTAGAAACACCTGCAAGTACAGGTCTTCGATGTTATCCCCTTCGTCTTGGTCCCGGTGTTGAATTGATCTCTACTATTCATGAATTAATGGAAGATATTGGTGTACAATCGTTGTTTATTTTGAGTTGTATTGGAACATTGTCTCAATGTTCGTTAAATTCACGTCAACTGAATAAGAAAGAATACGAAATCGTCTCATTAAATGGAACATTCGATAGCGAATCTCATTATTTAATGGGCTCATTTGCCGATCCTCAAACCGGCGCATTGATTGGTGGTCGAGTTCATTCATTAATTGTGCATTCGACTTGTGAGCTGATGTTAGCCGAGCCGCTCGATTGTACGTTCTCTCGCGCATTCGATCCTCGAACTGGTGGAAATGAACTAGTCGTTAGACGGAAACTTCTCACTGATCCTTAGTTTGAAGAATTTGTGAAACTTTTTCTGTACAAAACCTTTGCTTTTTTTCGTCGTTAAATAAATATTTTTGTTTAATTAATCAACTCGCAAGATATTTGCATCTTGTTATTGTTTTTCTTCTGTCGGCATCCTTGATGCATCTCTTAATTTATGAATAGGTACGGATGACATTACTCGAATGAATCGATTTCTAATCATTAATCATTTGCTTTTGGCAGGCATGTTTTTCATTCTCTTGCCGAAACGAATAGAAACTTCGTTTATCATTGACTCTCCATTCTAATCCGATATGATCGATTCAAAAGCGATGAATGGATATTTATATACTAATACAAAAAACATCAATCACAAATGATAAAAACAACTTGATAATTGTCCAACGATTCGTACGAAAGCCAATCGCTTCATGCAAGACATCACGAACGAAAAATGATTTGTTAGATTGTTTATCTGTATGGATGAAATCATCAAGGTTAAAAAATTACAAATCAAATCACATACAATGAAAGACTCGCTCATAACTTCGATCTTTTTCGCGTACTCATAAACTTCATTATTGCTTCCATGAATTCATCTGTTACCCATCGCCGCTTCAAAGTATTCAGTTCTTCTTCATTAACCTCCTTTAATTTGTCAATATACCACTTTTGTATCAACGCTTTGCCGTCTAATAAACTTCCTTTCGGTAATGATAAAATCAGTTGACAAATCTTCTCCTTCTCTTCTTCGAACGCACTTTCCTGTATGACTTGAGTCACAAGTCCACGTTGTTGAGCTTCTTGCGCGGTTAATTTTCGATCAAAGAGAAGAATCTCTTTTGCTTGAAGTGCACCCATCAGCGATGGGAAAACGTATGACGAACAACCTTCAGCAGATAGAGCTGTTCGAGTGAATGGTAAAACAAACGTCGACGCTGATGAAGCGTAAACTCCGTCAAATAGACCCAGTGTTGTTACAGAAATACCAACAGCAGGTCCATTAACGAAAGAAATTAGGATTTTTGGAAAATTTATGAAACTTTCGATAAAATTTTTCAAACGAATCTTGCCTTGTTCAATTGCACCTTCGATATCATCGCCTGTGGATGTCTATGCACATAAATCTTCAAAACAATGAAGATAGAAAGATAAGGTCCTCACTTACAAACGCTTTCGCTGGATCAGATAAATCTGTTCCTGATGAATAAAATTTTCCTCTGCCAGTCACGGAGAGTAGGACAAGATCTGGATCTTGAGCTGCTTCGTTCAGGACTTGTGTGATACCATCGTACATATCACCGGTGATCGCATTGTATTTATCGGGTCGATTCAAAATCAATTCCCAATGGGACGGACTTTTTTTCACTAACTGAAGTTGTTCAGTTAACATTCGACTACTAACACTCATAATATTGTGTTTGTAAGTCACAAGTTACAGGATAACTCGCTCGCTGACTGAGAAGAAATATAGATCATTTGTCGTTGGTCTTGTTTCGTAAACAAATAGAATCAGAGTAATGAATCTCTACCCACTCAGTGGCGACATCTATGTGAATAGAAACGAAAATCATTTCGGGAAAAACCGTTGATTTTTCAATCTAGGGAAATTATCCATGTATTTTCAAGACTTATTTGTCTGTTGATCTATGCTAATTAGGACAATCATATCCATATATATAAATAAATCTGTTTGTTTACTTCTTCTTTTTTCGTACCTAAGAATCTTGTTGTAGCTCGTCGTACATATGACGAGTCAGTGCGGACATTCTCCTTTCTTTCCATCTATCCATCCATCCATCCATCATTGGATGGTACTATGACTCGCTATCATACTTCATGTAATAGAATCAGTATCGTTTTTTCTTCTCCTCCTAACGTTTTCTGCATTGTTTTTCTTCTGGAGAGATCATGAAGAAACCGTAAGTTTCGTTTTAGAGTGTAAAAGATTTCTTTTTCGATCTTCATTCGAAAGACAAGGTAAATGTACTTAAATCCCTTATTTACAAAATTCTATCTCGTAAGTTAGAATCATGCGCTGTGCGTCAGGATTTTCGCGAAGATAATGAAATCATGCAGCCAGTGCGTGACTGCGACAAGGTTATTAAAGATTTTGTACTAAACAGCGTACGGATCGGTGGTTATTTTTACATTCAATAGATGATACAGCGTAGGGCAAAGATTCGTTTTTTTGTTATTATCGCCACGAATATTTCTACTCGATTTCTCTTCAGCAGTCAAAATTTGCCCTATTTAGTTATAGATAATGTCGTCTGAAGCATTTGTTACATTAGCGACCAATGATGGCTGTGCGCTTGGAGCTCTGGTGGTGGCAGAATCACTACGAAAAGTTGGAACACAACGAAATTTAGTAGTCATGGTTTCCAGAACATTATCTGATTTAATAAGGTTAGTTTGACGATGTTTTTTGTTGCTTGCTCAATCTCTCGACATACTTGCTTTTCCAGACAAACATTACAGAATAGTTTTGACGAAGTTGTTATTGTTGATGAATTAAATTCCAACGATGAACAACATTTACGATTATTAGCTCGTCCCGAACTCGGTGTTACATTTACGAAGATCAATTGTTGGCAATTAGAGAAATATTCGAAATGCGTGTTTCTCGATGCTGATATTGTTGTTTTGCAAAATATAGATGATTTATTCGATCGCGAAGAACTGTCAGCAGCTCCGGATGCTGGTTGGCCTGATTGTTTCAACTCGGGTGTTTTCGTCTACAAACCATCCAAAGAAACATTCAGAAAATTGGTGGCATTTGCGAATCAACAAGGCGCATCGTTCGATGGTAAGACGTTTTTTTCCTTCTACGGACTTAATCAACATTCGTAAAACTATATTCCAGGTGGAGATCAAGGTCTTTTGAATGCATTTTTTTCAAACTGGCGTTCAGCAGATATTGCTCGACATTTACCATTTACTTACAATGTCACATCGAACACATTCTATTCATATGTTCCAGCTGTAACACAGTAAATATTCTTTCGTTTGTTCTTTGTCGTCCGATAGGTATTTTTCTGATAGATTTCGTAACGATATTCGTGTTGTCCACTTTGCTGGTGCATTGAAACCGTGGCAATTGACATATAATCCACAAAACGAACAGTTATCTGGTAACTTGGGCGGACAACATACAGTTCAAAGAGAATTTCTTCTCGCTTGGTGGAAAGTGATGTACGAACGCGTTTGGCCACGATTATCTAAACAAAATCAGGTCAGTAGTTTGAAGTGCATTGCTTGTTTTGCATCCAGCATGTTGTGTTCTCCTTGTTTTTTATGCAGCAATTGAATCCATCTCAATCCATCATTACCGAGGTAAGGCATGTTATTCGATTTTTCCTGCTTATCCTAACTCGAGTGAATAATTAACTAAAATCTGTTTAGTCTGATATTTCAGTGCTGAAAAGTTCATCTTTCTTGTGGATGAATTTCCCTTCGGAAAAAGAAAAACAAAGTGCATTTGAAAAGCGAAGTTTATCTTTTCCATCGATAATCGATGATTTATTTAATGATATATCAATACGAGAAAATCTAAAACGGAAATTCTCGGCAGATAAATTTCTTCCACGTGCAGGAATCTTTCATCTAAAACAAGGTCAAATGAAACCTTTTCATAGAACTCAACCGAAAATTCGTCATTATGACTCATTTCAATTCCAAGAGAAATCTTTATCATCAGAGAAGATTCTTTCATTATATGCCAAACAGCAACATACGATGGTTTGAACGAAAGCAACGCGAAAATTTTAAGTTTTGCATCTGCTCATTTGTTTTTCTTTTGCATCGAAAGATAATTCAGTTGATTGAGAATAGTGTAAGCAGAAGGTCAACAGATCGAATCTACTCGATGGGAGTATTTTATACAGGATGAATAGTTCTGTATAAGGTACCAGCACAGTATTAATCGGGGCTCCTTTAATCGTGGAGTAAATTCCTCACTGTGACATCGAAAAGCATGAGCAAGTGTTCCCGAGTAATCGGTGCGAACCACGAACTGTATATTCTGTAGCTCGGTGCGGTCCTATCTGCATTTGTAGACAAACCATACGGATCACAGAAACGAAAATTTTCTTTTCTTTTCTTTTTCAGAACAATTCACAAGTTGGATTCGGTGGTCAAGTATTAAACTATGGTTCATTAACTAGCGATCAAGGTGTTCAAGCTGGTTCAGTGGCGCATCGACGAGCCTGGGAAGCCGGACATGTGGATTATCACGGAAGAGATTCATTCTCGAATATTCAAGAGCAGTTAGAGAGAAATATTGCTCAACAACCACAACAATATCATCCATCCCAAGCAAGACAAATAACACCACCACCATCACAGTAGGTGATTCGTTCCATCCGATTGATTTTCATTATTGATTTCTAGAGCAACATCTGCTTCTAGTAATAAACAATCTTCAGGTAATGATTTAGACATGTTCATTACCTTTCATTCGTTTTCCTTGTCCTATATTTAGACCAAACCACGCCAGCTACCGCTGCTCCATCAGGTACAAAATAAGGTGAAACTTTGTACGCATAGCATTTCATTTGTTTCTGTCTAGGAGGTATAAAATCAACAACAGCTGAAGGCGAAAAGAAATAGTTCGAATGATAAAGTGAAGAAAAGGCAGAAAGAACAGAATTTGTCGAGTTTTGTTTCATCCGTTTATTTTTATCCCCGTGTGCAGTGTGATGCTTGATTTGATTTTTCACCCGATGTTCTTTCGTTCGTTTTTTTTTTCTTTTCTTTATTCTTCTCTCTTTTTTTCTATTAGTTACTTCATTTATGCTTAGTCCTAGACATATTTTTAGTCAACAACATTAGCAGAAATCGTTGATACCATACATTAATAAAAATTTTAAGCAAAGTAAAAGCTACACCCCGGAACATCAGTCTTCATCTCTTTGATGATGATTAATTATGCTACATGACAATCACATCGATCAATATTGCTTTCGACGTCCTATCGCTAACACAATTGACATCATGCCGAAGAAATAAACTAGTTCTTCTAGATATCTGCTTTCGATTCTATTCGTAAAGTAAATGCTTTATTAATTGAATATTATTCTATTAAAATTTCGCAATATGCGCCTGAAAAGCCATTCATACAAGCACAACGATTTTCAATCGTTAAACATGTTCCATTGTTTTGACAAATATTGTTCGTATCATCACAAATTAAACTATTCAATTCACAGTTTAAACCAGCAAAACCCTTCTCACATTGACATTGCCGCTTGATTGGATCGCATTTGCCACCGTGTTGACATTCGTGTAATAAACAATAAAGTTCGCCTGTGACATTCACACAACTATCTGCTAGACAAATTTCTTCCGGATATTGACATTGTTCTTCGCCACACTTGATAACTTCTTGACAAAATTTACCAGAGAAACCTTCTTCACATCGACAGAGTCCATCAGCAGTTGTCGGTGATTGAAGACATGTTCCATTGTTCATACAGGGATTCGATGAACAAAAGGATTGATGTAAATTTTCGGAACAGTCAATACCTGAGTAGCCATATGTGCATAGACACTTATAAGTTTGGCTGACGACTTCATGAACACATATTCCATTGTTTTCTAAATGAGAAGAACATTTTCGCTGTCAGAATAGTAATATTCGTCTTCCTTACGGCAAGGATTCGATGCACACGGATGTAATGGAATATCACAATAAAGTCCTGTCACATCTTTTGGACATACACATCGTCCGTATTTGTTATCAATTAATGCACACTTGCCTTGATTTGTATGACAATATTTCTTGCATGCTGCTGGTGTTATATATTCACAATACGGTCCGGCATAATCAGGTGGACATAAACAAAATCCATCACCTGTTTGATTCAATACCACGCATGTTGAACCATTTCGGCAAAGTTCAAGTGAACAAAACGTCTTTTGTGTATGCTCACACAGCCGACCTGAGTAACCAGGTGCACAAAGACATTGTCCATCAACACCATCTAATGGCACACATGTACCTAAACAGAGATATTAATGGTCGCCTTTTTTACTTGTATTTTCTTCGAAACTAACCGTTATTTCGACATGGATTTTCTTCACAGAACGGAACACGTTTTTCACACAAATCTCCAACATATCCCGGTTGACATAAACAAATTCCAGCCGGAGGTTCAATTAATATACACGTGCCGTTGTTTTTGCATGGTAATAAACTACAAAATGTATCGTTTCGATAATCATATTCACAAAATGAACCGTTGAACATCGGCGGACACGAACATTTGTAGCCATTATTCGATGTATTGTAACAAGTTCCATTGTTCTGACAAGCACATTCACCGAGATTTTCTTCGCAAGATATCCCAGCGTATTCGGGTGGACATAAACACATGAAAGTGCTATTTGTTGGAGATTCTTTCGCAAGAACTGGTGAACATAGACCTTGATTATAGCATGGATTACTTTCACAAGCTTGTTGAGCATAATTCAATTTCTCACATAATGGACCGTGAACATACTAAGATAAAATGATGTTGATTGGATGAATTATTGGCAAAAAGACACTTACAGAACTACAGTGACAAGTGAATTCCGATTTGGAAATGAGTTCACATTTTCCAGCTCGACATGGATTCGATTGACATGGATTCGTCCAATTTTGAAGATGAACATCTAATGAATAAGATGAGCAATTCGTTTCTTTCGAAGTATCAACTCCTACGTACTCAACAGAGAATCAGATCCATGTATGATTTGAATACAGAAAGCAATAATGAATGAAATCGTCCACCTAAATACGTTGTTCATTGGTAAATGTAAGAAACGAATACGAAATTCTTTACTTCATTTCACTTGTATTACGAACGCATACAGTGATTGATTGTGAAGAAAGAGAAAGACAAGAGCGATTGTTTTGTCTGGACAATAACGTGTTCGTCCACTTGTATATTGTCTTGTCTGTATGTGACCTTTTATGTATTATCAGCTTTATTATGCATCAAGACGACCAAACAAACGTATTAAATTGATGACAAGAACTGTAAACCGCATTAGTCTAATGAATCTTAGCATATGATCAGACAACAATCGAATATCTCGTTAGATTACCGAGATTGAATGACAGACGAACGTGTACTGAGTGAATATAGAAGTCGTACAAAAAGTTTTTCATGCAAAATATTGAATAAAGTCAAATTTGACTACACATCACGGCAATTCAATGTTTGAGAACACATTTGCAAAACGTCATATTAATACACAACCATGTGATCGTTACCTCAAAGTTTTTTTTTGTGTTTACTAAGTGCAAAAGTACGTCTTTTCTTCTCGTTCTGCATCACTATGTGAACTACATATTTTTATGTAACATAAACATTCAAGGTAAGATGCGAATAACAACTATTTTTTTACGACACAAGCAGACAAAAAGTATCAAAATGAAGTTGGTTTCTGCGATGTTGCTATTTCTACTGGCGATTATAATCATGATATTTGATCTGTACGAATACCACATATATTCATACAAACCAAAATATGAGTATCCGTTTCAAGATCCATCATTACCGATTGATACAAGATTAGACAACCTAATGTCATTGTTAACAACAGAAGAAAAGGTTCATTTCAATTGTTGAAATTGACGATAAGACAGAACTATTTGCCTTTTTAGATTGACATGTTATGGATGGGAGCATTGACACCAGGTAATGTTGTGGAAGTTTTTCGTTGATTATAATCGTCTTCTTTTTTTACTTCAGATGGAGAGACAATCAATATGATTGTACCGCGTTTGAACATCCGTGGCTTTTCTTGGATGGGACAAGCATACGTTTATCGATCGGCATCAAATGGTTGTAATATAAATTGTCAAAGTCCAACTACTGATGGAAACGTTTCCGTTTTACCGCAAGGTACAGGTGTAGCTTCAACATGGAATAAGTATCTCATTTTTCAAGCTGGTGTCATGATTAGCGATGAATCTATGGCTATACATTATAATTATCAAAATAGAACAGTTGATTATAAAACAGGTGCATCCAGCGTGATAAATATCGCTCGAGATCCTCGTTGGGGACGAGTACCGGAGACATACGGTAGTTAAATTCAGTGTTCTAACTTATCTTTGTATTCTTTCGGATGAATAGGTGAATGTCCGATATTAACTGGTGAAATAGCGGTCGCTTTCAATAAAGGTTTGATGGGATATACAAAATTAGAAGATACGAAACTAGAATATGAAATTTATAAAGTTCTGCCTGTGATGAGGTAAATGATCTGTTCGAATATATTTTGCAGATTATTTCAAAGATCTTTTAAGACATTTTGTTGACTACGATGGTCCTGATAATGGTCGATTTAGTTTTAATGCAATAATATCTGATCCTGATTTGAGGTATGTAATAATATCCATTCAGTTTGATCTTCCAACAGATTTTTCATATACAGAGCAACATATTTACCAGTATGGAAAAAACTTATCGATGAAAATGCTATTGTCGGTGTGATGAGTGCAATCAGTGCGGTCAACGGTGTACCATCAGCGGCAAATAAATATCTGCTAAATGACGTCTTACGAAACGAGTGGAATTTTACTGGCTATGTGATTAGTAACATTGTTTGATTTGTCTCTCTTTCTCTCTCTGTTCAACGTCTTTTTTCGTGTTTGCAGGCGACTGTGATCCAGTCGGTGATATACAGAGATCGTTTCATTATACAGCTACATTAGAGCAAGCCGTCGCTGCGTCTGTATCGTCGGGCAATGATATTAACTGCGGTGGCGTGTTTCAATTGTTGCACAAAGCACTCAAATACGGTTTTGTGGACTTGGATGTAATCAACACTGCTATTAGACGAGGTTTACGTTCACGGTTTTTAAGTGGAAATCTCGATCCAATCGGTAGTGATCCGTATGCGTCCATACCCTACTCCGTTGTCGATAGTTTAGAACATAAACTATTAACGAAACAAATTATTACTGAGTCTATAGTTCTCCTACACAATCCAAGTCAAATATTACCATTTAATTTAACAAAAGTCAAGCGAATTGCTGTCATTGGTCCATCCGCCGATGATATCACTGTTCAAGCACATACTTACCATGGTACACCAAGTAAATGGATAACAACATTGGATGGTATACAAACAATAGCCTCAAAATCGAATATCACTGTTGTTCATACTACGGGTGCATTCCGTAAGAATGATAGTGACGAAGATTTTGCACATGCTTTAGAATTAGCTATTGAAAGTGATGTTATCTTATTTGTTGGAGGCCTAGATGCAAGTTTCGAAGAAGAAGATACAGATCGTAGTACTCTGCAATTACCCGGTGGACAGTCGGAATTGATTCGATTGTTGATGAGTTTAAATAAACCATTTGCAGTTTTAATTGTGTCGGGTTCACCTATATCAGAACCATTGATTGTACAGGAAAATCGAGCTGCTCTCCTGTGGATATCCTATTTCGGACAGAGTGGCGATGCAATTGCTGAGATCTTATTTGGTTTCTCTGTTCCGAGTGGTTGTTTACCATTTACAATACCTATGAATACTAGTCAGCTATTACCAATCGATGATTATTCAATGAGCAAATCACCTGGACGAACGTATCGTTACTTAGATTATACCAAAGCACCCCCATTCTTTCCATTTGGTTACGGTTTATCTTACTCGACATTTACTTATACATCACCATTATCTATTTATCCCAATCGGATAGATAATCTTGATACTGATATTACAGTGAATATCAGTCTCTCCAATGACGGTCCATATCGGACACAACGAGTAGTACAGTTGTATTATGAATTTGTTAATTCAACAGTCAGCTATTTACCAAAACGTGAATTATTACAATTTAACAAATTAACGTTTGAAATCCATGAAGAGAAAACAGTTTCTTTCGTCTTTCGCACTAGAAATCTTCCATATTCTAATCGACAACAAATACCTGGCAGCGTAAATCTATGGATTGGAAATAGTTACAACAGAGATGTACAAGCAACACTTACCATCGTCTTTGACGATTAATAAAACTTAACACAAAACAAGTTTTCTATTTTGATACCAGTGATTGATTTTTTTATAACGATCTAAGCATTCTCGAATAGAATAAAACATCGCATTTCTGTTTTCTATCTTTTACTAATGACGCATACAATAAATGACGTACACTTCTGTAGACGGCGCTTCCTATTTTGTGAAAAGTTAACTATGATACAAATAGATCGTAAAGGCATTGAGTATACACTGGATTTCTTAATAAGCCTCATTTATTTTGCTGTTTATTGTCACGTGATAGAAATCACGACATAGTCTCGTAGATGATGAATTAATTAGTATCATACGGCGTTGAATACGTTTATATATAACCTAGGTCTTATCAGTATAAAATCTTCCTTTTTCTTTGAGAGTAGGAAACTTATTTTGACTTATGGAATATGAAGTTCAGTTTATCTTACTACTTACCTTCCTCATTCCAGCAGTTATTCTATCGATTGTTGTTCTCGTACATTTTCTCTCCAATCGCGAAGTTCGTAATAAGGCACCAAATCAAGGATGGGTGATTTTACTCATTCTGAACTTCTTTCAGTTGATGTTGAACATTCCGATGCCTTTGAACTACTATTATTCGAATAGAACTGGTCCGGGAACAAACGCATACTGCACCTGGTGGACATGGTGTGAGTTTTCATTCAATAGCACTGGTTTATTCCTAATGGCATGGATATCAATCGAACGACATGTGTTCATATTTCAATTGAACAATGGTTTTCAACAAAAGTGGAAAAAATGGATCTTACACATCCTGCCTCTGATTTTCTGTGTCTTTTGGGCACCAAGTTTATTCTTTGTTATAGTGGTTATCAGTCCTTTTTGTACTACTTCATGGGACTTTAACACATTTGCATGTGGTCCGCCATGCTATTATTCCATCATGTTTCTCAATCAATTTGATTTTGTTTTCGATCTATTACTTCCCGTTTTTATCATTATGTCAGCTAATGTCGCGTTAGTTCTCCGAGTTGTCTATCGAAAAGTCTCACGACAGCATGTTATTCAATGGCGACGTCATCGTAAAATGGTATTACAGTTATGGATTGTCTCATCTCTTTATATCGCATTTTGGTTCCCAGTAACCATAACTTTGTTGATACAAAATACCGTTTCGCCTTCATTCATGGCAGACCAACTTCAGACTATGCAGTTCCTTGTTTATTTCATTCCACTTCTATTGCCGGTGATCTGTCTCAGCACATTCCCGAAATTAGTTAAGAAAATCAAGACGTTCATTCTACCATTGCAATCGAATACCGTTGGCGTTGTTGTACTTAGATAACATGGAGAACGAGAAATAACCTTTCTTTCTTTACGATTAATAAATCTTCATAAAATTTTCTAAAGAATAATGCTATAATATGTTATTTTCCAAATAGTGCATACTTGAAGTTTACTCGCTCACTGTGAAGGACGAATTACATAACATTGTTGTGATCATAAAAACGAGTCTCAGATGGCATTAGCTGAATTTAGAAAGTTCTGCACGATATTCATCTACAGTGCGCTCGTAAGCTACTGTTAAAGGATAATTCTGAACATTCTTAGTGAAGTTTTATGTTTTTTATTAACTTAAAAAAGTGTTCACACTTTTCTGATGCACGGCTCGATTACTATCCACTCGGTTTATTTTCACGCTTTCATTATTATTTATGTTTAAGAAGAAAAGAAAAGAATTCTCTACACGACGACAGAACTTTTCCAGCACGTGAAAAGAGAACAGCAGCAGAATTGACGTGCTTACTCAAACAAAAAAGTTGAAGGCATGCGACACTTGATATATTTTTCCATGGATATGTTGCGTCTTTGTATTCTTCTCTTTTAGAAATCAGAAAATGTTTACAGCAGTGCATAGACACGTCGGACGCTTATCAGGCGATCAACCAAACATCAAAGATAATGATTTGAAATCTATACTCACCAACGTTTATGATGTTTTCATTGAATATGGTGTGATTAATCATGTTTTGACATCGCAAGACAGTTTGAATGCGATGAAATTTTTTTGTAAACATATGGTTAATAATCATATGCAGAAAAAAATTCTACGTGCTCAAATCATCGACCATGAAATGTTTACTTTGATAAGAAATACAATCCTATCGATCGTTGAAAAAAACAATCAGTTAACCGAGCAAGACTGGGATCCGTTTCACGCCATGGCCGTATTGTTGACATCGGCATTATCTCCTGTGCAATTTGACGATGGAAGAGTAAACCGACTCGTTATAGAAACATTTTGTAGCGACGCATTCTTCAATGCCGTGAAACAATGTATGGAAAATTTATCGTCAACCACTGAGCAAACTAATCCAACGAAATATCGCATTCTTAGTTATGTTTTTCGACATATTTACGCGCATAGTAAGACGTACCGAAGCAGAATTCGAATACTGTTTTTAGATCTTGCGGTGCGATGTGTAACATCAAAACATTACGTTGATCAATTTGAGAAAAATGAAGAAGCATCAAAAGATTTTTTCCTATTGGATTGTCCCAGTTTTGTTCTTCCGAACTCAATCGATCGACACAGCGAAATTGCGAAAACTCTATGTCCATCTCTGTTGCAAGACTATCGAACCATTTTAGCTTATCGTATTCAACGAAAATCAACTGATTCGCACAAAAATGTTTATCTTACTTTCTATTTGAAGTTATTGAACTTTTGTACAGCAATCGAATCAACACGTGATATGTTCGTACAATACATACCATCGATCATCACGCAAATCTTTACTGTTCTGAAAGATTATCTTGTTTTAGAAAGTGATAAAGCCATTACGGGCATTAAAGATGAACAACTCGTCATTACTATTCTCACATTGATCTATAATTTGTTGCCAAATTCAGCAATCAATGTCGCGATTAAAGAAAACGCACCGATGTCAGTTTTAGTGTTACTCAGCGGTAAAGAACAATTACAAATGACGAACGGCAACTTTGAACGAAAAAAGTATGTCATTCCAAAAGCGATTCAAATCGAAGCTCAAAACCTTCTTCCTCTGCTAATGGAGGATGTTGAACAATTAGAGCGACCTGAAGAAATCACACGTGCGTCAGTGACATGTTTAGCTAAGGCTGTTAAAAGTGAATCACATATGTGTAGTGGAATGCATGCTAGTAGCGTACTAATGAATATGAATAGTAAGTCGAAATGGATAAAATGTTCTTTCACGAATAAATACCGTTACTTCGTTTCAGCTATCGTGCAGAATGATCAAGTCAAAGAACAGATTGTTGAGCAAGGCGCTCTTCGGCTATTGTCTGATTGCGTCTGTGATCCAAGTATTGCCATTGAGGAAATTCGGCAACCAGCATTAGGTGTAATCTGGACAGTTAGTTTCAATCCAAGAGCTGCGTGTATATGGAAAACAGATCAAGCGCTCATAGCTCAGCTATTTGAAATCGATAGGACGAATGTCAATCAGCCGCAATCGGTAGCAAACAATATCCTTTGGCAATTAGTTAACGAAGAAAGATTCGTAGCTACACAATCAAGCATCCAACGCATGTTAGTTTTACCAAATGGGCGAATGCAAAACAGTGATGATGCACTGTGGGTTAACATAAATACGCCTGGCGGTGAGATCGTTGTCTTCCGAGAAAATCTAACGCAAGAACAAAAGGAAATGTTGAAAGCTGAACGCGAACAGACAGCAAGTCTACCCACCAATAACATCCAACTGTATGAATACGATCTAATGATAAGCTATTGCCATAGAAATAAGGATCTATGTACGGTTATTTATAATTGTTTATCGAAGATGGGTAAATATAGAATTTGGTTTGATCAAGAGCAAATGTATGGTTCAACCATGGACCGTATGGCAGAAGGCATTGAAAAGTCACATTTATTCCTAGTCTGCATGTCGAGCGCATACAAAAACAGTAATTCGTGTCATAAAGAATGCGAATATGCTGATAAGCGACAGCATAAAGTACTTTTCTTGAAAGTCGAACCAAATTATACGCCAAACGGTTGGTTGGGATTCTACCTTGGACAACAATATTACGTAGATGTTACCAAACCTGATTTTCTGACTCGATTCAAAGATTTGATTAAGCAAATTAGCATGCAAAGAAATGAAACCCCTGATTATTCAATGCTGGATAAAATTGTTACGGCCGATGTACAAACTGCTATCGCGAATGCGTTACAAAAAAAATCGGAAGGAAAACTTGGTAATAGTGATACTAATCTTCGTCATTCGGTTTCAACAAGTACACTATCGTCAGTATCATCCCGAAGTTCATTGAATTTCAATGATCTTGCTAAAACAAAAATCGATGATGTATCAAATAATTCGAAGACAACTATGCGAGAAAATATGACATCAGAAAAACTTGCAAAATATTACCCGGCGCGGTATTCGTACAGTAATATCAATGATGATCAAGATTCTCTCAATGATATTGTTGTGAGTATTTCAACGCCAAGCATGTTAAGTTTATCGAATGAGGGTGACATAGTTGGACTAAATGATCAAGTCGGTGGATTTAAACTTGATCTGTTATCAGCAATGATGCCGCAAATGAATCGAGATTCGATTAGGGTGTCCGACTTGTCTTTGAACACTGAGAGAAGCAGTGTAAATCAAGACCAATCAGTCAAGGATTGGACACGTAACGATGTGCTTGAATTTCTCCAGAGAATCAATCTTATGCATGTATCTGTATTATCTCAAGATCAAGCAATTAATGGACAACGCCTTTTAGACTTCTGCGAAAGTAATCTGTCACCATCTCTTACAATTATATCAACAGCTGATTATGAACGTTTAAAATACGAACTGCACAAACTGCTTAGCCCCTAATAACAACAAATAAATACATTCATTTGAATTTTCTGAGTCTTTTGTTCGAATAGAACATTTCCTATGGCAATGTGTATGGCGAGAAAAAGATAGATATTGCAATTGATATCGTCGCAGCCATTTCGATAATCTTCGAGGTCAAAGAATAGAAAACAGGTGAAAAGAGCGTTTCTCTATTCTATTCGGACATAGATAAACATGCGATGTTACTCGAAAGATTTTCTTTATTAATTCTCTTGATTAAGATTGTGATAAAATACAAATTAAAATCTTTATTTTTAATTCCACACTTTTTAATAAAATTTCGAAATCCGTAGATGGCTGTCTGATGTTCCAACTACCAAGAGGTAATTCTGAATTAACTGTATCCGGACCCTTTGCGTTAATAACTAACTTAAATCGATCATTTTCTAAAATTGTGACATTCCAATGAATATCAATTGTCAAATTAGTTCCCTGATACCCAAAGATTAACATATCACGATTTTCGATCCGTTTATCTTCAGTAATCCACTGGTTTTTGCCTTGACTTGACCAACCCATGCATTTAAGAAAACGATTGACGAGTCTAGTTTTTAAATTATATATCATTGACACCATGCAGACAAACGGATCTTCGAAAGGAATCACCGACAATGTCGGATTAGTATTAACTGTCGATGAAACAGGGAAATAGTCGGTTCGCTCGTGTTTGTTCTGGAGTGGCATGATGATGCATTGAAGCTGGTAATCAAGTTCATCTATTGACCATTGCTGATCTGGACGAGCAAAACCACGATCGAAGATTAGCCTTAAATGTGTTTCTATATGTTGATACATAATTCTATCGTCGTTAAAACCTGAAATCGACAAATCTGGTGATTCCACATAAAAAATATTTTTCCTACAAACATACTTGTGACAGCGCCAATTTTGCTTTCGATAATTTTGACGTTATCACGTAATTGATGCGGTGCATTGCCAGATATATCACGAGATGCTCTTGGTTTGTGACCAGTGAGCAGCCAGAAGAGAAGAGCACAGGTGCCCGATGCGTCAATTGTAGGACTATATTGACAAGGTTGAACTTGTTGATTAGTTTGAAAATTGATCTCTTCAAGCTGTGGAACTAAGTAAAATTCACTGCTCCATTGCTCCTCGATAGGTTTCATGCAACTAATCAGTTCATTACCATCAATCCATGCCGAAGTGAAGTTAACTAGCATCAATTTGAAATCCTTTGTTGTTGAATTTCGTTGAATAAGAATGTTTCTTGGTTGAATGTCACGATGAACAATCTTCTGATTGTGAACTTGTTTGATGATCATTAACAATGATCGACAGATTTCTAAAGCTCCAAGCAATGGAACTTTACCATGAACTTTTAGATCATCTGAAAGTCTTTCGCCATCCATCAACTTCATAATTGTCCAGAATTCTGTTTTTGATGAAGCTTCATCGACTACATTACTTTCGCATATCTTCGGCACACAGTTACGCAATTCACTTAGCTGTTGTAGAGCAATTCGCTCACGGCGTGCACGTAATAAGGTATTCCCATGATTTCCTGACGAGTAGATTTTTATTATGGCGTTCGTGCCTTTCTTCGATGAATTTTTCAACCAATACTGTTGATCCGTATCAGATGAATCGTTATTCATCATTTCGCCGGTCCACTTCCATTGGGCGGCCAGTTGTGACATATCCGAAGGCGATGAACGAGCTGTAGTCTCTAAAATAAAGAGATTATTTGAAAAAAAAAGAACACGATTGAAAAAGCTGCATTTCTACGTGTTTGCGATCTCTGCGATGAGCTGGTGAGTTCGTCTTTTTGAACAGTTGATCTATTTGTTGAAATCGACGATGATGTATATGGCTGCTTACTCATTTGAGAGTGTTCAACAGTATTAGCCGCAACAACGGATGAATATGACTGCTGTAGTCGACTTCGACTTGAACATGTGCTCCCAAGACTTCGTGTCGGTGATGCACATCGACTGCTGTTAACCGATGAAGTTATATCCGCATTATCATTCCATTCGAAGAACTCCTGAGCTAATTCTAATTGGCATTGTATTCTTTGTTGTCTCGTCGACGAATAAAATGTGTCATGATATTTATTTATCAATTGTCGAAGTCTATTTTCAGATGGTTGTCGTACTAGGTAAGCTGTTATTGATGACTTCGTTGAATTGCCATCAGATGGTTGCAAAATTAAATGCTTGTCAAATTTCGAATTGATATTCAACCGCTTGATAAGGTCATCATGAGTAACATCGGGAGGTAGATTGCTCAGTTTGACACGATAACGTGCATCTTCCAAACCTATGTTCAAATCAATGATCATAGAGTGAAGACAGATGAACGGATTTCTCCTTACGCTGTGGAGGTCGAAAATGCGGTTTAGTTGAGCGCACATCCGTATGTCCATACCAACAATCCGGATTTTCGCAAGTATCAGGTTCATCACAACTGATATGTTTGAAATGGCACGTATCATTTGTATATGGACACTGACCTTTTAAAAACTTCGTACACAATTCATCTTCGTCGATTTCTTCTTGCATCACTTGACATACAATACGATTTCTACGCAGAGTTTTGCCACTGTTTTTTTCAGCTATATGTTGTGCATCTGCTTTGTCCCTGAATCCTTTTATCCAAGCTTCGCTCGTTGTTCGAGCATCAGTTGAATGCGCTTGTTCGATTAGAAAGCATGGATGTACAAGAATAAAAGGAATACGAACTTCGAACATATCAGCTAATTCTTCGCTTGTAACACGAACAGGTAAATTTCTAACATGAATACAATAAGGAACGTTGTTTGCGATACGATCTGCGTCTAAAAGCAAATTCTCTACTTCAGGAGTCGATATGAAAGATATTTCTCTTTTACCTGTGATGTATTTTTCCAAATCAATTTTCCGCCCCTTAATTTTCAATATTTGGTTACAGATGATGCTTCTATCGACTGCATCATAACTGAAATGATCAAATTGAAAATCGTTATTAACACTCTATATACTTCTTATACTCACTCCTCGAATTGAAATAAGGCTTCCGTTTTAGCTGAATTCATCCATTTGCTGGAAAGGATCGTTCCATTGTATTGAAAATGCTTTTTTAAATCGTTTTCATTCACTTTATCAGTCAATAAATGTTCATCTTGAAATGATTCTATGTTTATTTTCAAACCAGTAACCATTCGATCATATAATCGACTTTTCGGTAAACTTCGCATAACTTTCAATAGTTTACCATCGAACGTAAAAGGTCGTTGTCGCATAAATTCATCGACACTCTGCAGAGAATCGAATCCGATATAAATCCGTTGACGTTCTTCACCATTTTTACCTGCAAAAACAATCAGTTTTGTTTTCCAATGAAGAAAAACCACAATTGAATACATACGATAAGGAGTGCCGCGCTTATTTATCTTATAGTTGCCAGTAGAATACTTCTTCAAAAAGCGTAAGATTATTTTGTCCGGCGTGTTTTTGTCTACATCATGCAAAGCTATACCAAAGTCAGTGACTATCGATGCTGCCATTATTTTGTCGTGAAGCCGTTCGAAATTCTGAATAAACATGTAAAAATTGTTTTTATAAAGGCAAAAGCATTGGGAAAAAACCCACTGTCATTGTTCTTCATATTTTACTCGAAAACAAAAATCTGAAGAATAAAGAGCTTTCAATGTGTACTGAAAAGATCTGCTCGTTATCTTTCTCTCGCTATCGAGACTAGTGCGTAAAAAATCTTTCGGAGAAGATACGCCATAAAATTGTGTCTTGTTCATAGCGCAAGTTTAACAGGCTCGTTCGATCAAGTATGTTTGAATCCAAGAAAATATTCTTGTCGAATGAGTCATCTTTTGGTTCAAGCTGTCGCAGAACTAGACACATCCGTAAAAAGACTCTTTAGCGTTTGAATACCAAGAAAATGTTTTCGTTCTGTTGGATACGAAAAAGAAAGATGACAAGCCGCTGTTTCGTCTTCAATTAACAATTGCGGTATTCACGAGGTTAAACATTAGTAATGATGATGAGTTTCTGTACAAAGCATATCAACGAAAAGGAAAAAACCAAGGGGCACAACTGTTGAATGGTTGATAATCTACGCAATCGAAAACAAGTATGTTGACATTATAAACGATTATTTAGAACAATTCTCATTCAGAGCGCTTCAGGATGGAGATAGAATTGAAATCATATTTGTCAGTAGCCGATGTTTGTTCTACAAGAAACCATGCAATATGCATATAGTATTGTCTAATGATGAAGTCTTATGAAGTATGATGCGCATATACAGAAGGAACCTATCTGAGTAAAACAGACTACGTTAACAGGTAGAAATACAATTGACTATCTGCTCCAGTTATTGCATGTTACAAAATACCAATTTTGAGATTAAGTTATTAAGCATACAGTCATATGTCCAAAAATGATTGCAAGGTCATGTTGTACATTTGAGAAATGTTTTAACTAAATCAACGAAGTAATTAGCGTGACGCGAACGCGCCTGACAGTTTCCTCAAGAATGCTTCGGACCTTGCATTTTTACACTTTTGCTTGGTGCCATTTAAATTAGTTTCTATTTGAAATGGTGCAATGACATGAGACCCAAGGACGAACCTTTTTCTTTCTGCTAGACACCTTTCTATCTGTATAGGTGAGAATGAGAGAAGAGGTATATTTTGCCACGGTTTTATGGGTACTGTAACATTGATCAAAACCATCAGTTGACACAGTTAAACAACAAAGTTACAGGCAAAATCCGAAGACCGTCATTCTAATAGACCATCAGTTAACCCTTTCAGTCCCGGTGGAAAAGTTTCGGTTACATTTGTGGTTTTTCGAAATGTAGGAGTACTTTTTCAAACACTTCGTTGTAAAGACACATTTTTGCGAGATTGTCTCAATATTGTATGCGTAGACACTTTTGAAAAGACTTCTTCAAAAATTCAAGTTTTGAAATGAAAGTTCATTTATTTTTGATGAATTCACAAGTGGTGATTCTCGATCGAACAACTCAATCAAAATTTAGTCGATGATTGAGAATGGATATTTGGCAGCTCAAGTCTTTTCAATTTCTTTCGAATATTACAACAGACATACATTGGGAAACAACATGATTCGAGCAATAGATTCATTTTTCAAGTTCCTATCCCTAGATGTGATCACACAGCTTTTTATTTTAACTATATACCAAACACCATCTAGATATTTAATAGTTATTTCTCTCGAACCTAGATTTATTAGAGAAAAAATCGAGACTCAAAAAGTTAAACTTGCGTAGTCGCGTCTTTAAAAATGATTGCAAGGTCATGTTGTGCATTTGAGAAATGTTTTAACTGAATAGTTGCAGTACATTAGTGTGACGCGAACGCGCCTAACAGTTTTCTCAAGAATGCTTCGGACCTTGCAGTTTTACACTTTTGCTTGGTGCTATTTGAATTAATTTCTATTTGAAATGGTGCAATGACATGAGACCCAAGGGCAAACCTTTTTCCTTGAAGTTTTACTCAATTTCTGCAAGATCGATGTTCTCAAATTGCTCGATTATGTGCCGATAGATATTCGGCGTTGTGGAGTTGTTTTTTTCTCTTCAAGATCAATACGAAATACAATCTACACATGAATGACAGACACTTCGCTCAAGTCATCGTTTTATCATGCATCTGCACAAACTGAATGAGTCTGGCTGAAAGATTATCTTTGTAACGAATGCGGTTTTTAGAAATCAAATGCGCACACTGGCATTTAAGTGACAATTGTCGATTGACTCGGAGATAATCTTTGATTTCGAAATTGTGTGCTACATCTTCTGGTCGAAGACCTTGATAATTAACATAATCTAAATGGGCGTTTGCATCGAGTAGAATTCTAATAAGCGCTACCGCCGCATCAACATCGTCACTCGAAGCAATTAGATGCAATGGTGTTGACTTTGTACGTGGCTCAAGTTCGTCTACGTTGGCTCCAGCATTGATTAATAATCCGATAATAGATAGCGTTGGCATACTAAAAATACAACATACTTCCATTATACACCAGTTACCTAATTGTTAAACAATTGAAATAATGGAAATCGATACATACGTGATGCTACTGTATGTGCAGTCATCCCAGCCGGAATGAATTAAACTGACAAAGAAGGTGAACAATGGATAATCATCAATTTCAATAGTGTTCGAGCGTACACCGCGGCGAATGAAACTCAAGAGAACACGTTCTTCTTGCTCATTGACTGTTTTTGCATCAATCATCTATGAAACATATGATCATAATTCAAATAGGTCGATTTTAGTAGAATACTCACGTGCAGCATAACGAAAAGTAATTTGAACACGATTTCCGTCGACGTTTTATTTCTTCTCCTGATTGACGATTGTTCTGGAAAATGCAGATGAAATGGCGAAGGTGAATCTTGATAATAAGTACGTCGACGACTACGCATCCTTCCACCGTATTTCTCTTGAGTCTCCAAAATGATCTCTTTTGACGATAATATGCATGGTATATAGAGTGATGGATATGATCCTAGATCGAGCATCCATGACCAGACGATGCCCATATGTCGAATTGGAATAGTATTTTCTGACTTTAGTATTTTGCCTAGAGCGTTCAATACTCCAATAAGATGTTCTGTACGCAATTTCACGTTCTTTTGACGTTTACTTTCATTTTTCAATAGTAGCTCATACGCGTGCATGCGCATTTCCAAACAGCGATCATATTGCTTTTTCCACCGATACAAATTATCTTGCTTTCTCAGCAGTGGCATCAGATGATTTGTTTCACCATTTTCCACTGAAAGTCGTTCACTCATCATCAGTGCGAATGGTCGTAGTTTACTATCGTCATCTCGGATCAAACCAAGCTCGTCGAGTGTTTCACGTGCTGAACCATTGTCCGTTAGTATTCTTTTGCTCAAAGCTCTTTCCAAATAACTGTAGGCTATAGGACGCTTCTTCCGATTTCCATCAATGATATAATGACACGCAACGAGAGCTAGTTCATCCACAACTTGCTTTTCAGGTAATCTCCGTATTAGCATCTCCTTTATTGGTGTGTTATTGCAATAATCTGCCAACATCAGAGCAGTGAAACCTGTCTGAGCCATTGGAAAACGATCATGTTGATGATTGATGAGAATTTCAGCGATGTGGTTGTATCTTTTGTGTATTGCATAATCGAGAGCGGTTCTTTGCTTGTAATCAACGAGTAATGGATCAGCACCGTACTGAAGAAGTACTTTGACAATATCGAGATGATTACGACGGGTGGCGGCGTGCAATGCTCGTTCATTATAGTTTTTTACTTGTTGATTCGGATCACAACCTTTTTGAAGAAGATAATGAATGATATATTTATGGCCATGCTGTGCAGCAACAATGAGAACGCCACATTTGTTGACATTCGCATGACCACGTTCAACAAGCCGTTGGACTAGATGAAGATCTCCTTTGCGAGAAGCACGCCACAGAGCAGTTCTACCATCAGAACAAACATGCTCAATAATGGTACGATACAGATAACCATGAAAGATGTTGCTAAGTATAATATGAGCGCAATCTGACTCTTGACGATCTATGGCGTGGGTGAGCATTGTATGTCTATTGCGTTTCTTTCTTAAACGATATCGTTTTTGAGGGTACTGCTGATGCTGAGCGTTCACTTTTCGTTCTTGCATAATTGCATGTAGGAGAACAGCATCGTCATAATCAATAGCGTGGCGTATGGCGTCTTTTTTATATTTTCTATAGCATACACTCTGAACGGGCTTTGAATATGAATAATCAACATTTATCTCATACGAAGTCTCGTCATATACATCTGAGTAATCCGAATCAGCTCCAGTAGCAACCAGTTCCTGCCTTCTCCAAGAGCGAGCAGATGATCGGGTGCGTTCGGGAGAATCTTGGAAATAGAAAACGAACAGATAGTAGATAGAGAAACGTCCTAGTGTGACATACGTGATAACGTTTGATTTACTCTTTTTGCTGACCGGATTGCATGCCTGTGATATTGATGTTGTCGAGCGCAATTACGTTGATCAGCCATATGTCGGCCGAATTCTTTTCGTGAGACACTAAGAAACGTTCGTTATTTGCAGTTTTCAAAACAATATAGATTTAGAAGGTTAACTAAAACTGTTTTCCATATTTTTCTTGCATTTTATAGAATTTTTCTTCATACACTGAATCTGTGAAATATGGACAAGAATTGAGTGCGACGCGTGCTTTATTGTGCAATAACCTATGTGATTTATTCATACATCAACAAGGGAGTCTATTAATCAAGCACATTTACCAATAAACAGAGCGCGCGCAATTATAACTACCAAATCTTTGCTTTCTTCACATGATGTAATGTTTTCACCACGCTCGCGTGTAACAAGAGAAAAAAAATGAATCATACATTACATCAGCGTTATAAATTCTATTTCAGACGGTTAAAATGGAGAGTTAAGCAAGATTACATTTTCATTGCAAGCAGTCGATAGACGTCGTTGTTTTGTTTAAATAAATACTAGCCGTGCCCAAGAAGA